GCTTTAGTGTCTCTTAGTGATATTGAAAGCGAATATTTGAGCATTAACAAAGGTCTTGCTCAAATTGATAAGGAATTGAAAGACCATTACAATCCCGATTCAGATACTTACAGCCAAGACGATTCATTTGCTTCAATAATGACAGACTTTCACAAGGTGGCCACATCTGATGTCGATGCTTTGTCTCACCTCAAGGTTGGCACAGAAGAAGCATACAATAGTGTGGTAAAATACTTTGGCGAAGATCCAAAGAAAGTTACTTCGGATGAATTCTTTGGAATTTTCAGAACGTTTACTGCTAATTGGGAGGTAAATCAATTGTTTTATATTGTACTATTGCCTATTACATAGAAATGATTATATATACACTACTCTAAGAAGAAGAAAAACCAGCAATTAATATGTTTCATATATCAATTTGCAGAAATGCTACAACGATGTACGAGAAGCACAATTAAAACGTGAAAGAATCGAAAAGCAAAGGTTACGAGATCAAGAAAAACGCAATCGCTCACGTAATGGCTTACCTATCAAAACCAAAGGGGTTGAAATCAGTCAATGTGAGTATACAAGTAAAGCAAAACCCAGAAAAATATAGATTATAATCAAACTAAATCGTACTTTACCTAATTTACTCACTTATTTCATTCGTTCATACTTACACTCATACTTACTTACATTCTTTCATTCTTCCTTTATTTAGATACTGGCGATGATGATCAGAAGGCTATTATGGATAGCCTAATGGAGAAGCTGAGAGCCGGCAGTGAACCAAAGATACGACGACATGCTGATCAACGACGCCGACCACGCTCAGGTAGTGTGCGAAGTACTCATTCGATCTACTCGGACTCCGTTTCTATGCGTGCCCAGAAGATGCTACTTTCGATTCAAAATGAAGATATGGACGAAGCGATCAAAGGTTCTCCGTTTCCTATCAGTATTATGGATGGTACAGAAAATACAATGGAGCCTGTAGAAGAGGAGTCAGCTGTGGAAGAAACTATAGAACATAGTGAGAATGCGGATGAAAATGAAGTCGTAGAAGCGGATAAAGAAAAAGATCAACAAGAAGAAGAGGTAGTATTAGAAAAAGAGCATGACGATGGGGATGATGATGAGTATGAGACTCTCGATGGGTTGCCTGGTGCAAGTCGAGGTACTTACGGTAAATTAACTAGACCGAAAAAAAGTACCAGAAGAACGGCACTTGATCGATCGCTTCATTTGCGAGTAAGATCCAAAAGACATATTGGATGAAAAAAAAAACACACACACACAAAAAAAAGATACCCAATCTTCAATTGACTCTGTATTTGTATATAAAGCATCACATTTTCTACACTGTATTATTTAAATATATGGTAGTAATTATAATACAACCATTCTAGTATTGAGATATCCGTACGAGCTATGTACACAAAGTATTTACTTTCATTTTGAAACAGTTCATTTAAATTGAAAAAATAGAATACTCAAATTCAATTCTAACAGATTTTTCTCACCTTCGATGACAATAATAATAATATTAGTTTAAAATAGATCAAAATGAACTTATAAATAGATACATATAGCCTTTATTCATAAGGAAAATTCTCTATATATAATGTAGCTAAATATTATAAATGCGGTAGAAACAAATGTTAAGACATTTACGTAAACGAAATTGAAAATATATAATAAAACAAAATGGACAGAGTACTAGTACGATGTAGTAACTCTGCGGGTATCAGTTATCATTTGGAATCGGCTCTGCATGTTTCAAACCAAACTTCTTGCAAATTGCACGTCTAATATTGCCGATCTCTCCTACGAGGTCAACTCAATATTGTTCAAAGAGGTGACTGGGCTCCTTATTTTATCAGCTTATCACTCAAGAGAACTCTATCTATGGTCGATTTTTTTTAAAGAAATTATATATATTATCCAATGGACCCTCTTATACAATCAGCCATATGCTCCCGTGTGAAAACTTGGGCCACCATTCTGGAAAATAAAATATCTTTTGTCAAGGTCGGTAACGGTTGTACACTAAGAGTGAAAGGCTTTTCTTCCTTTGGATATCAATGTATATGTCATGACTCATGCTTTTGCTTTGAATAATCTTTTAGTCTAGATACTCTAACTCGAGAAAAATAACTGTTCTGTTTTACACCATCCTTCAACTCATACTATACCTATCGCTCATTTTTGTGGGAGATACTCATGACATTTTCAGTTACCGATTTACTTCATTGCGATACAACTTGATTTCGGAGCTCGGCAATGTACTATTTGTAGCGATGTGGTTCAGACAATTACTTCTAATATTTTCTTATTTGTTAGCTTTGTTTTTCTTTCTGACAAAGTGTGTATGTATATTCACTTCCTCGCAGCTATCCGTTTGATTATTTTTGAGCTTCCTTGAACAAGCACACATTTTTTTTTTGCTTTTCAACAAAAAGTGCACAGACCACTTCAGAGTAACCTACAAATCGCCGTTATAGAAACTTGTACTCCACTTTAAGAGTTATTGCTATACCGATTAAAACTAAACCCTTCGTTACTCTTTTTACTTCTTTGCTTCTTTGCTTTGATTTACTTCACTTTGCAATATTTGTCTGATTAAATCTATAAGCTGCTCCTACTGTCATAGAACAGTTACACAATCCTACTAAAAAGAGTATACAGCTATGTCACTGCTCTGACGTGAGAGGCAAAAAACACCCCTGGCAAAAAAAAGCGCAGTCCCAAACTTTAGTCGCAGACTGCGGGTATATCAAAATAAAGCCCATTCAACCGACACGGTTTTCTTCTCTTTAGCTTTTTTTATACTCTGGAGACGGGTACCCCCTGATTGCCTGTAGTTGAGTTTGACGCGCTACCTATGGGTCGATTGGGAGACATTCTTTTTCCATTCTGTGCAGGAAAAAGCGGAAGTGCGTCGTCTCTAGCTTCTTGGTTAATTCTTAGAGGCGCAGATCAACATTGTTCTGAATTGTGAATTTAATTGTATAATTTCTGAAACAATGGCGACGAGCAATGTTTAAAAAAAGCTGCCGCCGAGTTAGCATCATGAAAGTTTATTGAGTGGAGGACGGGGAGGAAGTGGAGTTTACTGCCGACTCTTCATGAAGTCCTTGTTCGAAGCTCTCTGGAACTGACGGTGTTGCTTGGTAGTCGAACACGCTGGACCCTGCTACTTTGTGGTAGGTTTCTCTGGTACGTTCGCAGGCCCTTCTCAGTGATGAGATAGGGCAGTTGGGATGAACCCGGTTGTTGTCTTACGCCACGGATTAACACCATTCCCACACCTCCTTCGCTACCAAGACAGGTTTACGTCCTGAGGGAGATTGAGCCGCGTAATGCGGGGACAAAGAACTTGGTGTCATGCTTTTTATTCTTTTACATTAGTAAAAGAACATTAAGTGAAATTATATGAAATAAAATAGCTTTATGTATAAGTTTAATAAATAAAATAATTTTTAAACTGTTGTTGACTCTAATAAAAAAATACGCGTTTAAACTTTTTTTTTACTTGATTGAAGAAGTTACTGTTGTAATTAGGACAGACACATTTATAAGAAAAATTAATCTAGTTAAATAAATCTGAAGATTAATATAATATAATATGTCTTTTATTATAATTGTGTCAATCACCGTGTTTGATTGTATAGGGTGCTTTTGGCGGTAAAGTTGAGACGATTCTTGAGAATGCTAATTGCGCGAAATATATAATACTGAATTTGGCTAATTCGGATGGACATTGTAAAGATGTATTAAAATAAGAGGAAGAAAAAGAGAGAAAGAGAGAAAAGTCAGAAAAAAAATGAAGAGAAAAGAGAGATGAGAAGGAATAAAGAAATGCGTGTTTGAAAGAGAGGCAGAAATGGTGTGGTGAATTGAATACGCCAGTAATGTCCTCTTCTATTTACACAGACTGTACACAAGAAGTTTAATACGGATATATTTATGGAACAATACTAGTTATCTAAAAACCTTTTTTTTATATTACAGTCTTTAAAAGATAAGATGATGGCATAGGGCATATTAAGTAAGCTAAGCATGAATATCATAAAAGAGACATTGTAATATTGAATTGGATGAAGTGATTCGAGATCTTAATGCATTTATGCCGATTATTACAACCGATTCATTTATATGGTTGATTTGCATGGTAGTTTTTTGTTGTTTTGCTTAGGTAAAAGTGTTCAAAGATACTTTGATTTTGCAATATCAACATCATCAATTTTCCTTAAATCGCTACCAAAAAAGCAATTCAACCTAACTTTTGAAGAGATTGAGAAATATATGTTCTATCAAGAAAAGACAAACCATTAATCCAAGTTGATAAAAGAAATTCTTATTTATATTGCTCTATATGAATTAAAGAATAAAGGTAATTTCAGAAAGTGTTTCAGCCTGTTTAAAAGGCATCACATCTCGGCAATACTTACTGAAGATTCTAATATAGTAATATATCAACAATATTAGTTGCCTCTTTTTCATAAATATTACTCTCACAGTATCTACTTTTCCAAATGTTGATATAGTAACCCAATAGCAATTTAAAATACCTCAGGAACCGTGGTATAACACGCTGGAATGAGTTTGGTAAATGTGTACTGTAATTTAAGCCATGCGTTAGTATGTTATGCATTGGCGCTAATCCTGAGGTACGACGTTTTCTGACGGGAACCGACATTCTGATTTTACCAGACCACCTCAATATGACTATTTGTCCAAAGCCCGATAAGTGTTCCTGATCCCTAACAGCCTAAATGTATTATTATAAAGCTACTTTAATAGAGAAGATGTGAACTTGTATATATTTCCCATCAAAATTCTATAAAGCCTGAATAATATAAGATGTATATTTACATCTTCTTCAGGTAATTTACGGCTCGGTATAATTAGAGAATGCTCGTAGCAATTTTATTGGACGTCAGTTTTTTTTACGTCTATAAAAGACTCTTTGTCAAATAATATTGTTTTCGAAAACCAAAAAGATATGTAAAATCATGTTGAGTGCCCCTATGGCAATGAACCGTGATGTAAACCAGGTTCAACAAAAAAGCGAAAACCGATTCATTAGTCCAATGCATTACAGCCAGAGTTTGATAGAGTATGGAATACAATTTTCTTTCAGTCATCCTATCTTATAAACTAGTCTTCTCTCTTTTATACTCATTATACTTCCCCTATTATATTATTTAACATTCCTTTCTTTTCGTTTTGTTTCAAGAATTTCTGAATTTCCTGACTTTTCTGAATTTCTTCATGTCTTTGCACTTATTGGCTTACTGCTTTATCTCCACACCTTGTGTCCTTATTGATAATTTTCAGGCACCTGCCCATCTTTCATAGGAAGTAAGAACTGTTTGTTTTTAGCAATGTAATAAATTTCTTATGCAGCAGCAAAAAAAATTGACAAGTATAGTAATAGGTGTGTAGATTGATACAAGTGCACACCCTCTTTAATACAAGACAGTACAATGGGTTTAACTGAGTACAAAGAGTGTCATATTAAATATATGCCTTTATATATAGTTTTACACTACTAGCATACATTCTGTAATATATATATATGTGTGTGGGAGTAATAAAATATTCATCTCGAATACTACTTCAAAATGTTATATCCTAACAGGAAACACCGGCTTCCATCTTGAGAACGTCATGCTCTAAAGATCAATATATGGTTTGGTGTTATTATTCAATTTCAAGACGATGTTTGAGTAGAGTGTAAAATTTCGCACCAGTCATTTTGGACTAAATCACACAGGCAGAGCTCTATATAGCAATGTCTGGTATAGTGATAGTAATAAAATAATAAAACTACCAAATTTAACTATATTAAATGTTTAGTGTGTCTTGAAAAATAAGCATTTCTTAAAAGATAGTTTGGTTATTCTTTTAAAGCAATATAATTTATTTATTTGTATTAATAAACACCAAAAACTGCTCATTCTTCTCTTCGGTGCTTTCGATTAAATCTATTAAGATATTATTTTAGCCTCTATATGTGGCCTAGAATGACATTAGTACTTTGATAAGACACAAGAAAACGTATTCTATTTGGAATGTCTTTGGTTAAAGAAAAAACACGTCACAATAGAATAAGCTTGCTTGGAGATCAATTGAACCAAATCCGTAATCACTATGCTTAATCCATTTGCACATGAATTTAAACCGATTCAATCGGATCCTTTACCTACCTTGCCTAAAAAAGCTGTACCAGACAAAAGAAAAGAAAATAAAAGAAGAGAGCGAAAGAAAGAAGATAATAATCAAGAAGCGATAACAGTAGAAAAAACAATTGAACAATCATCGTCTGCCCAAACCTCATTCACAGCAAAGAACAGCTCACAGAAATCGAAAGCTAAAAGTGAGAATATACAAATAAATGCTTCAATTAATGCCAAGCCAAAACCAGCCAAAAAAACATTCCCATCAAGACAAACAAAACCGAACCATTCTTCTGGTCCTCACTCATCTTTTACGGATCCTCCTTTTCAAAATTCATCACGAAGACATTCTAAAAAGAATGAGGAGACAGCAATCAATTTGGCCCCCATAGCATCAGTTTTTGATACGCCTTCAAAATTCATTACTATCGAAACTGCGATTCATCCAGTTTTTCAAATGCGACCCGAACAGAATATAGAAAGGAGTCAAAAGGGTCATTTCTCGGGAACAACGAGTGGATTGACTAAACTTGACCACGGCTATGAGCGATATATTGACTGGGTAGGTTAATATACTGGCGTTAGATATATCTATAAAAATATGCCAAGATAAGACGGAGAAAACTGAACATTTTGGATATAGATCGAACGGTCTCTGAAAACATTCAACATGATTACTATTGTGGGAATGGAAAGCGCCGTTGTGGATGTGGTATCAATGGTAGCTATACTTCAACAGCGCAGTATAGGCGAGCATGAAGGTAAGAAAACTACAAGAAAAAAAAGATATATATATATATATATCCCTGTTCTCATATTTATCCCTTATTTATCAGAGGTCGAGACCTTCTCAATAAGAGATGGAAAGCGTTGGACTTGTGGTATTCAAGTTAGGTTACATGTAATAAGCTAGATGAGCATATAAATATACTATAATATAATATAATAATATAATAATAATAATATAGTGATGATGGTGATAATAATAATAATAAAAGGGGGGCATAAATATAGATAATATTGTAAGCTGTTCTTTTCGGTTATTCGCTATTTGTAACCTTTTTGTCGGGCTTTCACTGGTTTGTGGAGTACCATATCATGTCTTTATCAGCACCTAGGCGGATGCAAGATACTAATGAGAATGACACCGAAATGATGCCTATATTCGATTTAGATCATCTCATTGACACTCTAGACGCACGGAACTCGCTTTCCTCTTGCAACATAAGTACTGACGACGACGATACCGAAAGTCTTGAAAGTTGTGATAGCATTACTTTTCAACCCTCTAATCACCTAGAGATGCAAGGAAATTCCTATTACGATCGTGCAGAGAACGAAACAGAATCTTCGCAGACATACTACATTCTTCCAAGGATTCATGATGTAGAAGCACAACAAAGACTGGTCTCTTCTAGTGACCAAGAAAACGATGATCTTGAAAAGGAAATGAAGCCTGCAAAGGTTTGCTCTCATCCAATCAAATTTGGTGACGGTTTATGCTTACACTCGTTGGACTAGAAGAATTCAGGTCGAAAATGGGGTTGTATCATATTTCTAGCTGTCTTGCTTATCGGTTGGGCAATATGGACCCTAAGCTTAAGTAGATTAAGTCCAGGTAATTGATTATTACTATACTATTGGTATTTCTGGTTTTGGAGGAGGCTATGGGAATCAGGTATATAACCTGATACATCATAAAAAATACTGACTAACTTTATTTCATTAGATGCTGCCGTGGAATCAAATGCTGCTGCGCCTAAATACGTTGATTTCGAGGATATCTTTAAGGAAGACTTTATACCTATACGATCTCAGCTTGAATGGGTCAAGAATGGTATGACAAATAGAATTAAATGTTAAGACTACACAACTAATAAATCCCTTTTATTTTTGGATCTAGGTCCACAGGATGGCGTTTATACGTACAGAGACCCTAGAACGAATGACATATTACTAGAATCAGTCGAAAAGAGAGGGAGTCGCATATTCGTGAAAGCCAAGGATCTTGTAATTAATTAGAAGCCGCGGCAGAGCGTTTACTGCAACCCAAAAAAAAACTCAGAATAACTAAAAACATCGTATTATTTTTATCTTTTATTTTTATTTTTATTTTATATTTCATATTTGTATGCTTATATAGATTTTTGATGGGTTTCCATTGGAAGTGAGCTCATTTGAAGTATCGCAGGACTCACAATATGTTATGCTAATTACAGACAAAGTTGAGGTAGATAAGAAAGAAGGAAAATGCCTATTTAAAAAGGACCACCAAAATATTGACATTGATTGATAATTAGCAATGGAGATATTCTTACCGTGCCAATATCTTCATATATTCTATCACAGATAAGACCATATCTCCCTTGACTCCATACTCTACAGTAGCATACATTCCACAAATATCATATGCAGTGTGGAGTCCCACAGGGCATAATTTGGTAAGAAACATTAGCCACTATTCAAGCACGGCTTCTTATAAAACTTGAACAGGCATACGTGATGGAAAACGACATTTACACAACTGATCTAAAGAGACATCGTCGTATCACATTTGATGGCTCTTCTACAGTATTTAACGGGATACCGGACTGGGTCTATGAAGGTATAATTAAAAAAAAAGGATTAAATGGAAACTAACTCCTAATATTCTATTATAGAGGAGATATTTGCAACAAATTTTGCCCTTTGGTGGTCTCCAGATTCAACCCATTTAGCCTTCTTAAGGTTCAATGAAACAGATGTACCAGAATATACCATGCAGATGTACACTGCATCAGCTAAAAGTTACCCTGACGAAGTGAAAATAAGATATCCTAAAGTGAGTGTTATACATACAAAAAGCATTCACTACCTGAGCTTATTGATTTAATAGGCTGGTGCTCCAAATCCAGTTGCATCTTTGCATGTTCACAGTTTGGTCAGTAGGACATCTGTTATGATCACAAAGAGATATGCACAGAATGCCACAATACAATCAAGTAGCTTATACAAAGAGTTTGAGGATCACGATCGCCTGATTACAGACATTGCATGGGCAACCGATTCAAATACATCACTTTTGTTTAAACAGACGAACAGAGTCCAAGACCATGAGATAACAAGCCTTATTTCTATTGCACCTTCTCTAAATGAGTCTAGGGTTGACCTCATTCGTGAATATATTCCTGATGATAAGGGATGGGTTGACTCTGGCCGAAACATGGTGTATCTAGAAACAAAATCGAATGGAACAATCATTCAATATCTTGATATTGCAGATGATGGAAATGGATTTATGCATCTTGCTTTGTTTACAGCAAGTATAAACAAGGAGCTGAGTGACCCTGTATGGCTCACATTTGGAGAGTGGGAAGTAATCGACGGAACCGTTGTTGTTGACAAGAAGAACCATTTAGTGTAAGTTTCCAAAGGTCCTCCCCTCCCCCTTCCCAAAAAAAAATCTGTAAAATTGAACAATGCATTTACTATGCTTTTATTTTTCTAGTCATTTCATGTCTACCGAAAGGTCTCATCTTGAGAGACATCTATACACTTTATCTTTGAACAGTAAAAAACCAGCAGCAACCAAAAAATGTATCACTTGTCCAAATGATCCTAAAGAACATGCTTACTACGATGCGAAGTTTTCTCCAATGGCTGGTTATTTTCTCCTGAATTACCTCGGGCCACACATTCCTAGTGCAGTAGTCAAAAAGGTTGGAAACGCCTCTTTCGAAAATCCAATTCAAGACAACCACCAGTTAAAGCAATTGCTTAAAAAATATGAGCTTCCAAGAAAGCGTATGGTGCGCGTGAAAAGCGGCGGTGTTGGTATGACATGAGAAAAGCATAAGATAAAATTAAATGCGTATACTAATTTGACAATGATTATACACGGAAAACAGAAATGACGGCTATGGAGCTACTCCCCCCAGATTTTGATATCACTCAACGTTATCCTGTTATATTCAATGTATATGGCGGACCAGGATCTCAACTTGCTTCTTACCAGTTTGAGTTAAATTGGCACAGTTTCCTTGCCAGTCAGCTCAAATACATTGTAGTGACAGTAAGATAAAGAAGAAGCAAGTAGGGGATTGAGATTAAATCTAATAACTTGGCTTAGGTCGATGGACGTGGTACTGGTTTCAAGGGTAGAAAGTACAAGGTTGGAGTACGCGGAAGACTTGGTGAATTAGAAACAATCGACCAAATAAATGCCGCAAAGTAAATACCAAAATGTCGACTATAATGTGCTTTACTCAATTAATCTAATTTATGTTTATTGTAGGCATTGGAGTAACCTTGATTATGTAGATAAATCAAGAATCGCTATTTGGGGCTGGGTATGCATGACAAAGGCATTTTCTTATTACTTGATTCATATATTTAATCATTGGCGAAATCTATCATAATAGTCTTTTGGTGGCTTCTTGACTTCAAAAGTTGTCGAGGCTAATAGTGGAATATTCAGTGCTGCTATGGCCGTGGCACCTGTAACAGACTGGCGATTTTATGGTATGTTGTGACCTACTATAAAGCTATAAGATGCAAGCAAATCATAGCCCTTCATTTTAGATTCGCTGTATACGGAGCGTTACATGAAAACACCCGAAATGAACCCAAAGGGGTATATTAAAAGTGCAGTAAACAACATGACAGGGTTCTCCAATACAGAGTTTTTGCTTGTACATGGTACAGGCGATGATAATGGTAATACAAGCAATATATACATGCATAAATATATACAGCAAGCTTATTAAACATCTTTTATTTAGTTCATTTCCAAAATTCAGCTGTCTTGATCGACAAGCTAACCAAGGCTGACATTCACAACTATAGAGTCCAGTTTTTTACTGACAGCAATCATGCAATCCAATACCATAACGCAAATAAGAATCTATACTATTTATTGACCGAGTTTCTTTGGAAAAGGTAAAGCAAAAAAAAACCATCTTATTTAGTGTGAAATATATTAAAACATATTGCAAATTAGTTTTGGAGGAAAAGAGTATATTCATTTGCGACAAGAATCCCATGGGCGTTTCTTTGGACCTCTAGTCGAGGATCATTAATTCTGCCATTAATTACCATTCCACCAAAAGCATGATCCAAGCAACCCATTTTTTAAACGGTTTTTCACACTTGAAATAATCTAATTTTTATGGCAGATTACCTTTTTCGCATATTATATACTGTCATCACACACTCATAACGTCAATATTCTAGAGATACATAAAATCATTTTTTTCTTCTGTTTTCTTTTCTTTCCTTTTTTAAACAAAACAAAAAAGCGTTCATAGAAATCACATCAAAAAGGCTAAAACAATAAGGATAATCAACAGCGAACATATCTAAAAATTCAAGGACGTAAAATGTACGATTTGTTTTATAAAAAAAAACACATGGAATATTATTCATGTGGTTAAATCAAAGACTTTTAATAAGTCTGAGCCTATTACAAGCTACATACTGAGAACTTATCTTTACTATTTAATAAGGACAGGCTACATTCAAGAGTATCTTCTTTTTTACAGCATTTAGTGCTATACAATATTATTATTCAAGACCATTCCATTCATTACAGCTACTATGACAAGTGAGGAATTGACAGCCAATACTTCCATTACATTAGGAATAAAAATCTGCCTCCACTACGAGATGTCCTTTTCTGACACCAAAAACACCACCTTTGAATTACATATTGCAAGTTCCTTTTTTTTAAAAAAAAAAAACTAAAATAAAAATCAATTAATTCTTTTCACTTGAAACCACATACTTTTCTTTCTATTTAAAAGAGATTGTCATTCAAATGCCAAAAATCTTTTGGTGTTGATTTATTTTTAACACTGTAAATAAAAATGCCTTTTTTTTAAAAAAAAAATTAATAATAATGAATAAATACAAAATGATGAGGTCAATTCAGCAACTAGTAAACTCCGGGAACAATTCTATATTTTACTATCTCGCAATACTTGTCCCAGTCTTCTCCGTATTTTTCTTTACACTTTGAATCATCACGTCGTTGACGATGAACTAAAAGGATTAGGAAGTATATGCTGTAAAAGTAAGGGATTATAGAGTCAAATCCACAGGCGAGACACCAAGACAAAGCCATCAACCAATCACCAAAGTAATTGATATGTCTAGACATTCCCCACCACCCAGAAGTAATTAGGCGGGTTCCTGACTTGGTTTGAATATAAGTAAGATCTAGAAAAGAACATGTAAGTTTGACGTTCCTTGTTTCTGTTCCATCAGAGTTTCGTAAAAATTTACCTTTCACACTAGGGTTTTCAGGGTTGTTTCTAAAGGTATTCTTTTGGGAGTTTGCCCCGCGGAAAATACGGTAACCAACGCACTGTAGGATAATAACAGCGCATACATGCCAGATGTTGAGATCATGAGGAAAGTCTGCGAGATAACGAGCTTGCAAGCAGTACATCATTGGAACCCAGCAAAAGTTTCCAAAGGCCAGCATGAACCCAAAACCGTCTATAGGTATATATGTTAATGTAAAGTTTTAGTATACCAGTTGAGATTATATTACCACTTGTAATATCCATAGTAGTCAATACAGAGGTCTAAAAATATAGCAAATAAAGGATAAGATAACAGTAGGCATTGGGCGTGTATATGTACGCTTACCTCATTCCATAGAGCGTCAAAGACGTACCAGGCTTGGAATAAAACGACAAGAATCATGCTGTTTGTGACGCGGCCAAGGTCAACATATTGCTTAAGTGCCATACAAATATTCAAAACTACCCAGCCAACTAATCCTGGTCTCAATTCGGTAAAGAACTTGAGATCGAAGTTTCCAATGCGTGGATTAAGCTCACGGCCAATCATAAACTAAAATTGAATATAATAATAAAAGAGTAAGACCAGGTTAACTTTCTGACGAGTATAATGCTAAATGTATTATTTACATCGTATATATGGTTTCCGGTATTTCCACCTAGAGACAGGAGACGCTTTCCAAAGAAGCTGTATACGTAAACACCAATAGATACAATGAATGAAAATATCACCGAAGCCACAGCAATGTGAGCAAAATTAGCGTGGACCCAAAGAGGTAGTTTGAGTCCCTGTCCGCGCACAGACATCAGTGTCATGGTTGTCATGGTCTGAACTGCTGACAAAGCTACATAATAGTAGCAGTAATAATAATAAATCGATGCATTGACTCATTAATATACCAAGAATATTGGTAGGAATATCGTGAATAAAATTACCATTGACTTTGTAAGACAAACGGGTACCATCTCGAAGACGGGTTCCTTCAACAGTGTCGCCTGGCATGGCAATAGAAAACGTAGCAAGTTGAGCAACAAAACCGGCGTACCATAATAAAGCCACGGCCTTCCAGCTGGTAACTAATGACCATAAGAACTCCCATTCAAATCTTCCAGCAATAAGATCACTCGCTATAGCCCAGAGACGATGAAATGGTGTATAGCCAATGTTGTCACAACCGAATGCAAACAGAATAACAACACATGGCAAAATAGTAATCATAAGGAATGCGCCAATTGGTCCACCGAATCTATGCGATCATGTCAATACAGCCTTTTTTTTTACAAGGTCATGTTGTGTTTGTAATCCTCACTCATAATGTGTCGTCTTGGGATTCAGCTTTTTATAATCTAAAGTGACGGGAGGCGCTTGTTGCGCAGGTACTGTACTGGAAGATACGGGACCAGATTGTGTGGCACGGGTTGATCCTCCAGTTGTCGACACTGCAACTTCTGCCTTTCTTTCTCGGCGAGTCTTTGGTGGCATATTGATATAGAGCAGAAAACACGCTAATGTGTGTATATGCGTTTATATATTTTATACTAAAGAATAAATTGCTCTATTCAATTAAAAGAAAAAGAAAAAAAAAGAAGAAAAAAAAGCCAAAGCGGCGTTCAAGACAGAATAGTCTGCAACGGGTCCCGCCAATGCTCAACAAATTAAAACCAGGATTTTTGTGGGATTGAGTCACCGCTACATGAACAGAATTGCTACACATCTTCCAAAACCAGTTTCTTGTACCCATATGATTGACACGCTTGTTCACTGGAACTTATATTTTGCACTGGATACCAGGACACAAGAACCCTGAAACCTTAATGCTCAATCATATCATATCTGGCGATTATTGACGGGAAGAATGAATAAAGCGCAATAAATAAAATTCAGTTTTAACTATTGTATGTGTATCTGTCCACATCTCCGTAAAGCATTGTAGAAGAATTTATATTTTCTTAGGATAGAGCAGATATATATATACTGATAAACTTTATTATCCCAAATAATTGAGGGCATTTTTTGAAGAATATTTTATTAGATACCTTGAAATCTCGAGTACCATCCTACACACCAAAATATATATATATAGTAGGTTTATGCATATGCGTAGTATAATTATATTGTGACATATGATACCAATGACTTTCATAATTTGTGTTAATTGAGATATGAAATTAAATAAAGAAACAAGAAAATAACGAGGGTTTTGTTTTCAGCTCAATTCTAATTTGTCAAAGATCTTTGAAAAGTGTAATTTGGATTCATTAACCAAACAGACCTAATAATCAAATGGGGGGGGGGGGGGGGGGTTTGATAGACTGGCAAAATAAAATGATATTGACTTTATTGTTTTTGTAACAAATAACAAGAACCAAGAATATTCTTGTAATTTATGAATATCTCTCAAGGTATTGTTTTCTTTAAAAGAAGAACCTGTGCTAAGTAGCTAGAGAAAAAGATATAGAGAAATATATGTTTGTGTTTGTGTTTGTGTTTGTGTGTGTATGCATACGCGAGAGGGAGAGGGAGAAATAGAAAGATTATTTAAGATTATTTACAGATCGTGAGCCTTGCGGAAGTCTTCACCAGCGTAGATGGCAGCATCACCCAATTCCTCCTCAATACGCAAAAGCTGGTTGTACTTGGCCAAGCGCTCGGAACGGCAAGGGGCGCCAGTCTTAATCTGGCCAGTGCGGAGACCGACAACAAGATCAGCAATGGTGGTGTCTTCAGTCTCACCAGATCTGTGGGAAACCATGACACCCCAGCCAGCGGCCTGAGCATCGAGAGAAGCCTGGATAGACTCGGTGATGGTACCTATTTGGTTGACCTTCAACAAAAGAGCGTTGCAAGCCTTCTTCTCGATAGCAGTCTTGATACGGGCAGGGTTGGTGACGGTCAAATCATCACCGACCAACTGGAAGTCAGAGTTGGACAACAAGTGGCTCCAGTTCTCCCAGTCATCCTGGTCGAAAGCATCCTCAATAGATACAACTAGGAGCAAGAAAGCACTCGACTTAGTTATTCCACTCTTTTGCCTTTTCTTTCTTTCTTTCTTGTTATCCTCTATTTTATTTTTCAATTACTTACTGGGGTACTTCTCGGCGAAGGACTTGTAGAGCTCAGACAACTGCTGGCCAGTGATATAGTCGGCAGGGTCAGAGTTAGGGTTCTTGAAGTCAAGATCGTACTTTCCATCCTTGTAGAACTCGGAGGCGGCACAGTCCATGGCGATCTTGACCTTACCGGTGTAGCCAGCCTTCTCGATAGCAACGACAAGGAGCTCAAGACCCTCTTGGTTATCCTGAATGTTGGGGGCAAATCCACCTTCATCACCAACGTTGGTGGCATCCTGGCCGTACTTGGCCTTGATAACACCCTTGAGGACATGGTAGACCTCGGAACCAATCTTCATGGCTTCAGAGAAGGACTTGGCGCCAGTGGGCATGATCATGAACTCCTGCATGGCCAACTTGTTACCGGCGTGGGAACCACCGTTGATAACGTTGAAAGAGGGGACGGGGAGGACAAAAGGCTTCTTGGTACCAGCAAGATCGGCAAAGTGAACGTAGAGAGGAACGTTCTTCTCGGCGGCACCAGCCTTGGCAGCAGCAAGAGATACACCCAAGATAGCATTGGCACCCAACTTGCTCTTGTTCTCAGTACCATCCAACTCCAACAAGAAGTTGTCAACGGCCTTCTGGTCAACGACATTAATCTTGGACTCGATGAGAGCAGGGGCAATAAGCTTGTTGACATTCTCAACGGCAGTGAGGACACCTAATAAAAGAGTGAGCAAATATATCACCAATATTATCGCTCGTTTTCTTTGTTTATCGGTTTATTCCTGTTATGCATACCCTTGCCAACATAGTCAGCCTTGATGTTATCACGGAGCTCGAGGGCCTCGTGGATACCAGTAGAGGCACCAGAAGGTACAGCAGCACGGAAGACACCCTTGGCGGTTGTCAATTCAACCTCGATGGTGGGGTTACCACGGGAATCGAAGATCTGGCGAGCGTGAACCTTGATGGCAGACATTGTATAGAAAGGTGAAATTTAGATGAAGAAAATCACGACAAAGGTGTGTTTGGAGACGCGTTTAGATGCATATATTTATACCAGACCAAAATTTACTAAACCTATCCTTGGTCCGGGGCTCAGAGACCCCGCCTTTTGGAAATAACGGTCGCACCCACATGAAAGCGCATGACCAGTTTAACTTCCTCTCCGACCCATAATCCCCACGTTCCCAACACTGACAGTGAAAGTCTTGCCTTGCCTTGTATTTTATTCTTTATTTTTATTTTTAAGAAAAAGGTGGACTCCCAGAAAAGCAGTCTATACGTGTTACTTGTTGTATTTACAATATTTGTGGGGCTGCTTAACAAACAAAGGGCATGATGAATTGAAATTTTATGTGATTGTGGTTGTAAGTAAAGGGATTTCAATTAAGCTTGCTATCCCCCTTATTCTCTATATTTCTCAAAGCGAGTTCTTCCGATTGATAAATTGACATGACCTGGGCCATAAGTGGGCAAGTGTACATATAAGCACACACACAACATAACATACACATACGCACTTGGTTTTTTTCTTCAGACTTTGTACGTCATGAAAGAACGAAAACACGACACGTTTGCACCCGCTGTACCACAAACTCAGCATGCAATAACCCTTGTCAGCTAGTCCAGGGTTCGATCCGTTCATTTTGGATGCAAAGAGGTTGGCAGACCGCTTAAGAATTTATAAAAAATTATTATACGAATATTTTCTTTGTTTTTGTATTTGGATTTTGTAATTAATTCATTAATTCATTAATTCCTTCTCTCTTCTTTTTTTTTGTTATAGGTTTAGTTTTTTTCTTTTTTATATATTTTACACAAAGGGTTCCAAGTTGAACTCCAAAGCAGTGGTAGGGTGAGTCAAATCAAAGTTGGACAAGACAGTGGGGTGGAGAACACCGAAGCTACCGACCACAATTTCCTTGCGCTCGTTTGTTTCAGAGTCCACGTATCTGAGATGAATATCAGCAGAACGACCGGGGAAGTAGGTAGGGTCTAGAAATTTTTTTTTAAACAGAAAAAAAAAAGAATTATTAGAATTCAATACCAAAGTTTCCTTTTTTTTTCTTATGTATTATTTACAGTTAAGAATCTACTTACTCTCAGACTCCTCGATCCAATAGCCCAACTTGGTGCTGGACTTGCTGATAAGAGAGGTCATGAACATCTCCATCAAACGGTTCAAAAGACCGTGGATAACCTCAAAACCAGAGGCCTTGGAAGTGTAGGTTGCACAAACGCGTCTCTCGTTTCTAGCTCTGCGTTCCTTGGTCTCATCCTTGAAACCGACATCAGAAACCTCAAAGAGCTTGATGGGAAGAGGAAGCTTCTTGTTAGAGTTGAGAGTCTTGAGGATACCAGGCAAGAGAGAGGTACGGACGACCTGGTACTCGATGGTCTTGGGGTTTGCAAGTTTGATTGCCTCGGTGTTGTCGTCGACACGGTTAAGGAACTTGAAGTTCTCATCGTGAGAGCACTAATTAATCAAGCAAATAATAATAATAAAAAGGCCATTCTTAAGGTGAGATTCCTTTTATAGAAAAAAATCATTATGTGGATTGAGATGTGTACCAAAATGAGGGGAGCAACTTCAGTGAAGCCAGAAAGAGCTAACTCTCTGCGAGCGTGGTCGCTAAGCTTGTTGACAGGAAGGGCAGAAGCAACGGTGTTGACACTGGGCATGCGTTTGGTGAGGTTGTCATAACCGTAGGAGATCGCAACATCTTCCATAATGTCACAAGCGTGGAGAATATCCCAGCGGGTAGGGGGAACCTGGACCAACAACTCGTTCTTGTCCTTGGGGTTAAGAGAAGCCTCAAGAGACATCTTGCCCAAAAGAGCACAGATTTCATCAGACGAAAGCGAAAGGTCAGTGCAGGAGTTGATGTAATCAATCTTGGCAGTTGCAAGGCGACGATCAATAAGAGGAGTGACCTTGACAGTGTTGTCGGGGTAAACAATCTCAACGGGCTCTACACTGGAACGACAATATACATCAATTTCTCTTTCCAGATCTATTTTCTTTCTCTTTTCTCTTCTCTTCTTTTCTTTCTGTCTCTTTATTACTTACGTAAAGGGCTTGGCACAGTACTCGGAGAACATGGCAACAAGAGTGCTCAAGACGATGTTGGCCTTGTGCTCATCAGTTGCAGTGATTTCAATAAAGACGTTCTTGGTGCTCAACTTGATCTTGGAGTGCTCAGAGTTGATGATTGGGGGAAGAGAGCAAACGACGCGGTTGGCATCGAAAACAACGGGGTAGACAGGGGATTCACGAATGATATCAAGGAACTTGCCAAGATGCTTATCATTCTATATATATTTATATATAACTTTAGTATTTATGTACACAATGTGCATAGATGACAAACTTACGGTGTAGTGTTCCATCAACTGGTCACCGTCCATAACAACATTCTTGTTCAAAGGAATAAACTTGATGTCCTTATGAGGAAGGGCCTCGTAGGTGAAAGGACCCTTAATGGTATCAAGATCGTGGGTACCCATGGAAGCCAAGGATCGCTTACTGTGGTCATATTGTCAGAACATTTAACTTCAATGACATTTGTCTTTTCCTTTGTTTTCTTTTCCTCATTGCTTACCGACAGATATTGTTGTGGAGCTTGTCTTGGAGATCAATGAAACTGTTATAGTTCTCCTGGGTGAAAGCAACATCACGAAGAATGGCAGCTACGACGTAAGGGCGGATCTGGGCAGTCTATAGTTCCAAGGTATGCAAAAGGTTGATCAATACCCTTTGTGCATTGTATTCCTCTCTTTTGGATCCTTCTTTTCTTTCCTTTTCCTTCTTATACATCTATTGATCTTACCTCGGGCTTAACAATCAAACGTTCGAGTTTGCCATTGGCGGGCTTGACGAGCTTGTACTCAGGGCCCTTTTGCTTACCCTCGAAAATGCGCAAAGCACGCGCCAAACCTTCCTGGCACAAAAGATCGTATCTAATACATAACTTTCGGTTTGAGTCATATCCTTTATCAACGGCAAATATAATGTTTTCTCTCTTTTTGTGCTTTATATATACATTTCTCGTATTTACAGTCATTTTTTTAAACACATAATGTATTTGTATGTGTGAGTGTGTGTACCTGTTGGCAGGAATGTCGATCTTCAACAAAGGTCTGTCAGACAATCCGCTGGCGTTTTTACCACCACGTTCAGCCATCTCCTTCTCGGAGGTCTGTAGAGAATTGAGTGAGTAATTAAGCCAAGGTGACAAAATAAGGTAGTTACATCTTCTTCAAGCTCAATTCCAAAGCGGAAGCAAAGCTCATTGAACTCCTCTGAGGCTGTGGTATCATTATAGGTTAGTTTTGTTCAAAAAAAAAACAGATGCTCATGTTACTCACTATAGTCTCTCTCGAGAGCCTTGAAGAGGGCTTGCTTATCGACGTTGACGGTAGGCATGCTGGGTGGAGCGGTGTTATGAACCAAAAAAAAAGCCTGGACAGGGCCACATTAAAAAAGTTGACTCTTTTCCCCCCGTGTGGGTGGCTTGGCATTCACTTATAAAATAGTCATAACGAAGAAGGCCTTTTTAAAGTATTCATCTTTTTATATATATTTATATTTCTTAGTAATTAATTAATTAATTAATAAATTAATAAAATAAAATAAAATAAAATAAAATAAAATAAAATAAAATACATTTTATCTGTTGCTATGGATAAATAGATATTTAACATATGCTTTACAGAGCACCATACAAAATGATTAAACAACTAATGTAAAAATGTATATAAGAAATATAAACAGAAAGTCAAATTAGCTGCGGTTTTGGTACTTTTTGGGCAGATCGATTACTGTGATTCAAAGTTTGACAAATCAGAATATGTAACCTCTCTAATATCCTCATTATATCATATCTATATTATATTTTATATTTTATATTTTATATTTTATTTTTGGTATTGAAGTACCCTTGTCAATTTCCTACAAAGATGCTTTTGTGAAATTAAGATTTTGTGGACCCCTTTTTATTGTTGTCGGAAACGATCAATGTACGGGAACACATGTTTGATTTCTTATTACTTATCCTACTTCTTGTGTAAAGTACCAAAAGGTTCAATGAATAAGAAAATGAAAATATTTTAATTAATAACCAAAAAAAAAATTGAAGAAAAGATGAAACCAAAACCAAAAGCAAGAAAATGATTTAGAGCACAATCGCAATACATAAAGAAAATAAATTATACATATGGTATATGTTACAGACCAATTTATTTATTTATTTTGGTTCATTGGAATATAAGAATGAGGTACAAAGAAGTACTAATGTTTATGTGTTTATATGTATGTCTATATGTATGTATGAGGTGGTTGCCATGTGTGTGTGTGTGTGTGTGGGCCTTCAATACCATCAATGATGATCGTCATTCGATTGTTGCCACCTGGTGGGGTTATCCCTAAAAGGAAATACTATCAGCCGGACACATCTCAAAATGTAGAGCGCCCTAGTGCTCGGACTGGGCAAGTGAGGAAGCACAAGGGAAAATATAAAACGTCTTTAAATTTATTTATTTTTTTTTAGTTGGTATTTGTTTCGCTTCTTTCTGTTTCTGTTATATTTTTTTTCTCTACTTAAATCTTTTACTTCCTTGAACTATGGTCTGTCTTGGGCCTCGAAAGAAAGAAAAGAAAGCCACATTTGTGAGTGGCGAGGCGGGTAGTACGTCCAGAGGGATCAATGACAAGTCCGTCACCAAACGTGCTTCCAAGCTCAAACCACCTAGCACAAAGGCACCTGCTAGCCATATCCCGACAAAGACCAGTCGCCCATCCTCTCTTGCTCCTCGCCCATCGACCGACTCGACAGATGAAACCAAGCCGGCCACAAAGCCATTACTTGACGCCAAACCAACCAAACGTCCACCTTCCCGAAACTCTCTCACAGTCTCTAAAGAATCATCCAGTCGACCATCCAGTCGACCATCTAGCAGACCCACATCACCTCAGAAAAAACCAGTTGCATCAGGTCGTACCTCACTTATCCAATCTCCAAAATCAACTCTAGGCCTAGCTCAAAACAAACCAACTCATGCACGCACCTCCAGTACTGCTTCTTCTATCAAACGTTCTCCAGTAGCGATTATGAGAGAAGAGTTTGATGAACTCAAGGTCAAGGTAATATATAATATTCATTTGCTTGTTTGTTTTATAGATAGATATGTACAGCTCTTTATTACGCAAAACAATAATAAAAGAAAACAAGTAAAACTAACACCAAGAACAAGAATGATGCACATCTGCAGATGATTGCTCAACAAAAGGCGGAGCTGGAAGCCTTGAAACAGCAATTAGCAATGTCTCATCCAACCGAATCGACCGAGTCAGCCGAGCCCACCCCGCCAGTCTCACAGTCTAGCACCTTTTCTGACCTCGCAGCCCTTCAGGCCCAGAAAGACGAATCGGCTCAACTTCTTCAAGAAAAAGAAGACCAATTAAAAGAACGAGAGCTCGAGATTGAGAAGCTTCGTGTACTGCTAGAACAAGAAGAGGCCCGCGAACGGGAAGATGTTCCTACGCTAGTTGTCAGTCAGCCTGATGAATCAGAGGCCCTGTTGGCAGAAATGGAACGAGAACTGGCTGCCAAACAAGCTGCTCTTGAGCAAGAGCGAAAGGCTTGGGAGGAAGAGCGCAAGACTCTTTCAGAGGCACAACTTCCAAACGAACAAGTATCTCTTGAACTCGAACAACTGAGACTAAAGAACGAAGAAGCACTGCGTTTGCTGGAATCTAAGGAGAAAGAGTTGGAGACTATTAGAAACCAAACGACTGATGCCGAACCTAGCAACCTTCAAGAAATAGAAGAGCTTCAGCGCAAATTAGAGGTAAAAGAAAAATTATTTCAATACAACGCTTATCTAATGATAAAGAGAGAGAGAGAGAAAGAGAGGGGAATATGAATGTGAGTGTTAATGAGGCTGAGTTTATTTATTCAATGCATATATATATATAAAATGTTTTAGGCACAGAAACAGGCTCATGAGGAAAGTCTGCGGTTACATGAGATGGCTATCGAAGAGAAAGAGCGTCTTATGGCTGTACAGAAAGAGGAATTTGAGAAGCTAGATGAAGAGCATATGGATGAGATCCGTAAACTCAAGACTAGTAAAAACACCAGCATTATCGCCATCAAGTTACGTCACAAGAAGGACATGAGTGATTTGCAAAAGCGTCTGGCTGAGGCAGAGAATGCAGTCTCGGCTGACCCGGCTGCTCAACTTAACGACGAGATTGAGCGTATCCTGAATGAATTTGAGCAGGCAGAGCATAACCACACTGCAGAGATCAAGAGTCTCGAAGAAACCCATCAGTCAGAACTCGAGAATCTCGAAGTCAACCACGTATCCAAGCTTAGATCCTTCAAGAATACCAACGCCAATGGATGGACCTCGCGGTTCTTGCCTACTGAGGCTGTGTCATGGCCCAAGCCCAGTACACTCCCTCCTCTCCGCAAGACGACTGGTCCTACTACAAAGCCAAAGTTCATTGTGAGCGGAACTAGTGGTCCTATTCTACTTCCTTTAGATAACAAGAAGATCCAGGTGTACTATTCGAGCGTGAGTGGAAACCCGGTTATTAAGAAGAATCAAGAAAGCATTCAGCAACTTCTTGGTGGAAAGAGTCTGGAGTTTGAGATGATCGATGTAGCCTCTAGTGAAGCTGCTTTGAAGCACATGAAGCTTGCGAACAACAATGGATCTACTGTAGGCCGGGCCAAGGAGGTGCCTCAGTTATTTGTCGGAGGAGAGTACAGAGGCCAGTATGATGATGTGCTTAGAGCTGTAGAAGAAGATTGCCTGGAGACCTTGTTGGTTCCTGCTGCTGAGCGTGTTTTGACAGCCGAAGAGAGGGCTGCTGCGGAAGCTGCCGAGGCTGCACATGCTTCCCAACCAAAGCGTGTGCTCCCTGCTGGGCCTTTAGTGATTCCAGTCCTTCGCAAGACGATGTCGACAAAGGCGATTACCCCTGTGCGCGGTTCGGAGTTCCCTACTTTGCGCAAGACTGTGTCGACCAAGCTTGTAAAACCCCTGCGGGATCATGACGATGATGAAGAGATGTTCCGACAGTTGGAGCTTGAGCTTGGAAAAGACAAGCTCAAGGATGCTAACTTTGACGATATCTTTGCATAAACCGCAGAATTCTTCTTTCTTTCTTTCTTTATATCTATCTATATCTATATATATAATCCCACCATGTCATTCCCCTCCTCAATGTCTACTAATCCTCCTATCTTAATCATGTTACCCACACTCCAACGTACAACAATTCAAATACAATTCAAATACAATTCAAAGGTCTCTTTCTTAAATTCACGAGAATGGGAAATAATATACTAGAGTTTATAAATAAATGGAAAATATACAAAGTGGAGGCTGTGTAATTAAGCAGAGATGAGCTAAATATATATATATACGAAAAGAATTAAACTGGGTTATATCATTGACTGTTGGTGTTCCAGGCTATATTTTTTGGCACTTCTGTATGTATGTGGTGGCACCTTTGGAACTAGTCTTGGTTGGTAATGGCGGTAGATCATACAGTAGATTTTGATTCTTCGGCAAGATCGTTGTGTTTGCTAAGTAGTTGAGTGACATGACTGAGGACCTGCTGTGGACTGAGCTCATTATCTAGCTTTTGATGTTGCACCATACTTTGAATATGAGGATCTTTCTATTTCGGAATCTAGAAATATTAGCTACGTCGATCTTGTTTCCCCAAATGTCTAACTCAAAATTTCCATTACATATTTGGAAGTCTAATTTTTTTTACCATCAATATATCGTTCATAGCCGAACCGTCCGATGAATTGATATGACGCATCGTTCTAAGATCCCATGTTATGGGTTTGGGTATAGCAACATGATCGGTTCCCTTGTAGTAAATTCTTCAGTTCATTTACCTGCATAGTTCGGTGACAAGATTTAGGACACTTGAGGCAGTTGGTTCACTTGCCAGTCCATCCCTCTTTAGGAACAAAGTCAGTATATATATATATGTGTGTGTGTGTGTGTGAATTGTGGACGTCATCGGAAATTACCTCTTTCTCGTTTTCTTGAGGATGATTTGCACGAGTATTTAACACAGTTAAACGAGGACTATCGAGTGGCATAAGCTGATGGTCTTTGACCCATTGATTGTTAAGAACATATGCTAATGTCTCAGGAGTCATGATTGGAGGTGACCCCCAATGATCTTGGATGTTGTTTATGATTTCAATGAGACGTTCGTCAGCAACAATCGGCTTCTTGTTTTTATTGTTACTGTCAGGCGATTCAGAATTTCTTTCGTGAGCGGTAGGTAGATCAAAGTACATTATAAAAAAGAATATATATGAAAAGGAGAAGAAAGACAAAAGAGATGAGGAAGAGAAGAGGTATAAATGCGTATAATATATTTGGGTTGTAAATATATAGCTTAAAAATAAAATGAAATAAAGCCAAGTAGGAGAGCGGGGAAAATATAAATATTTAATATTAAAATAATAAAAGAAAGGAAGAAAGGAAGAAAGAAAGAAAGAAACAAAATGAAACAAAAAATAAAATAAAATAAATAGAGTCTGGACCACTTTAGGATCTAATCCTAACTTGTTTTGATTATAAAATACAAGCATCTATTTATTTATTTTTCCCCTTTTTATAAAAGAAAATCTACCCTTTCAACGTTCAACTCAAGGAGTACTGAATGATTTATATATAGATAGATATATATAGTCCTAGCTTTCTTTCATCATCATCATCATCGTCGTCGTCGTCAGTATTATTATTATTAGTATCTCTTTTTTTTAAGCTAAGAATCGTGAGCTATAGAACGGGCTGGAATGGGTGGTGGAACAGATAAACGCGGGGGAAGGGGTGGTTGCGATGGTTTTTCCTCTGGTTGTTCCTGTGGCTGTTCCTCTGGTTGCTGAACTGACGATAGATCGGTGCTTGATGGAACTGCGTGGCGTGGTGGGAGAGGTGGCTTTGACTGGGTAGTGGAGAGGGATCGAGAAAGTTGGGGTGTCCGAGATGGTTTTGGTGGAGGAGTGCTTATGATTTTGATCGAGGTCGATTGATTGTCTTCCCGAGAAAGTGTCAATGACGGAGAATGAGTCCCAAGACTTCCAGAGCGTCGTCTGAAACCAGCTATACGTTCAGTAAATATCGCTGTAGTTTCAGGATCTGGCTTGGCCTTGTGCAAGAAACTAGTGGCCAGTTGTGACATGGTTTTCTTAGTCGAAAACGATGATTTGGGAAGATCTGAAGGCGGGTTATCTCTGGCATCAGATATCCGGCGGCTAATCTTGGACAACAACGAGTTCTTGGCCGATATAATGGACTTTGCTTGCTTGGATGATGTACTGTACACAGACTCGGAATCTTGCCGGTCGCTCATTGTCTCAGTCTCTTCTACTGAATCCGACACGCTACTTTCATTGTCTGTAATCAAAGGCTCATTCTCCAACAATAAATTAGGTGCGGAATGTGTTGTCTTTTCAAAAGTTAACATATTCGGAGCAGGCAGTGTATCTGATTCCACCCGTCGCAGTGGTGGCTCTAATCCTGAATCTGTAGTTAGGCTGTCCGGCCCAATCTTTACCGTAGTTGTTGTAGCTGTAGTTGTCAAAACACACGGTCTTTCTTGAACAGACGATGGGTCCTGTTCTCCAACCGTAGTTGTAGATTTGGATTCCTTTTGCTTTCCTTTAACCTTGATTTTGTCATTCTTGCTCTTATCGTTCTTGGCCTTCTCATTCTTGTTCTTTTCCTTTTCCTTTTCAAGCTGGTATAGTGCGTATGCCTCAAGACGATCTTGGTTATCTACCTCAGGATCTCTTGCGATACGAGTACCAAATATACCTCCTTGACCATCTGTCTCCATATATTTAAAGTCCTCCATATTGGGCAGAACCATTGAATCGGTAATTATTTCCCGAATCTTTGCTTCCATAGCATTCATGACCATCTGTAATTTGATCTGCTTCTCAGACACAATAGAAGTGAATTCCCATGTCATATCAGGTGTCTCGTAAAACCCAATCCAACATCGATTCGACGGTGGGGGCTTGATCTTGAACATGCATTTTCCGCTAAACGTCTTGAGCTTAACTGCCAATACCAGCTGAAGACGAATTGGCTTTCGACGAGAGGAATACGACCAACTGACGTCTGTCTCAATCTCAACTGACAGTCCGCCATCATATTCAATATCAACATCTGCCACCAACATACCCTGAGGAGTTATAGACACCAGACGAGGTTTGACAAGACGAGGCACACTCTGTCCAGGATCCACTCTCCTGACCTTTATTTGCTCTACAAATCCTGGTCGTCGCATCTTCTTGATCTTCTCGACAAGCTTTGCCTCAAAGTAAGCACGCGCCTTGTCCGTACGGTAAACACCCAAGAACAACCGCCCGAGAATTCCATTCAGCCAATCTGTATGACCATCTTCCTCAGGCCGCATCACACTCGACATCCATCGGTCTGCAGCCGACAAAGAGAACATGGTACTGTTTACCATTTCCGCAGATGTCTGATTCACACTGTCTACATCATCCATTAATGTTGAAGCAGCTTTCAGGCCAAGGTACCAATCTTCTTTGTCGGTTGCTCGGGTGCACTTTAGATACAATGAATGTTGTAGGTTATATTCTTCCGACCCCTTTTTTGTATTTGAAGGTTTTTTGGGTTCGAGTAGGATAGAAGAAGTCCGGCCAAAGATGCCTGCATCGGTGGTTCGAGGAGGGTAGATGCTGATGTTGTAATCATGAACTGGAATGATTAACCTACATTCCTCTTCTTGTTCTGAATTAAACACAAACATGGTGTTGTGTTTGATGACAGCATACAAAGGTTCTCGCGCCTTTTTGTTACTATTGTGGCTACTGCTGCTGCTGTTACTATTGATATATGATTGGATTCCAGCCATTAGGCCGGTAGAGGGAATTGTTTCGGGATTGTCTTGGTATTCGTTTGACAGCATAATCCAACCCCGTTTCTCATGGTAATGTTCGTCTAGCGTCATATAGGCAAGTTTGCCTTGTTTTCTGCTGGAGGAATAGTAATAGGCTCCATAGAGTATTATAGGTACAGATGTTAGACCGCCCAGTAAGTAGATGCACGCAAATGTCAATACCGAGATCATTAAAGAAGTGAAGAGACGGAAAAAGGACCCCGATCTATTTTTGGGGTCTCTTTGATAAGCTACAAGACAGTTCACACGTCATTTCTTTCTTTTTTTCTTTTTCTTTTCTTTTAATGTATTTCTCATCGTACCAATTATAGGAGCAAATATTACTTCTTTAACGTCCTAAAAGATTAACTGTTGTCTTTGTTCAATTGGCAAAGGGTGTAGGATATTTTCTTTATTTATTGCTATATTTTTATTTTTTATTTTTAGGTCTACTCAAAAATTACAACTTCTGGATACGGTTCTGGGAGTCAAACTCAATAACCAGTTTACCAAACTGGTCACCGCGTCTATGTGTGTAAGCGTATGCGTGTTTTAGTCCAATTGGTTCAAGTTATTAGCAAAGATGAACAATAAAATTAAAAATAAAAATAAAAATAATACATATATATAAAAGGATGAATTATCATCCAACTTACCGCATAACTTCAATTGCACTGTCCATGGAAGCCATTGAAAGACCATGCCAAACAAACGAAACGACTGGCTTGATCTTGTGTTTATCTATGAAATCAACCATCTCTCTAAACTCCTTGCGAGATCCGAGTGTGGAGCCACGAATGTCAATGTTCTTGAGGACGTGCATCATGGAGAAGCTTACGCCTTTGCCACTGACGGTTTGACCATAGTTGGAAATAATTCCGCCTGTACGCATAACTTTTGGGTATTGGCCATACATGCTACCACCTGCGCCGTCAATGACAGCCGAGAGTAGGTTGGATCCCAGTAATTCTTTTAACTTGTCTATGCATTTCTCTGTAACAAAGCATAGTAATAATAATAATAAACGATTTTAATACAAGACACATACACACACACACATAAGTAAGTAAGTAATTAGATCTTGTACTATACATTGATTTAATTTTACATACCGTCTTTGTAATTGATGCCTCCTTTAGCACCTAATTTGATAGCACGGTTAATCTTGTCCTGGCTGGAAGATGTGACATAGACAGTAGCACCTGCAGCTACTGCAAACTGGAGGGCAAACAAAGCAACACCTCCGCCAATACCGGTGACTAGTACATGATCTCCAGCTCTTACTTGTCCCTTTGTGAATACAGCCCTTTGTTGATTGAATGTCAGCAAGACATACACATATACAAATATATATATAAAAATATATATGATTTTCATTTTACCTATAGGCAGTCAAACCAGCTAATGGAACAGAGGCTGCTTCTGCTGTAGTAAGATGAGCAGGGCACTTAACCAAGTCATTCTTATTCACTACAGCTGCTTCTGCCAAAGTTCCTATATAAAAAAGAAAGTATGAGTTTTACATTACTAAGTAAAACTATTATTATAGATATTATGATTCCGAGGGTTATAGGTTGGTAAAACACATAATACCAAACTATAATTTCTCTCGCTCTCTCGATCTCTTTATGTTCTCTAAACTCGGGCGATTAGTTGGATGCTTTACCGATGTATGGTAAAAGGCCAATGATACCGAATTTTCCTTCTGGGCCTCTTTCGTCAGAATCCCATCCTCGGCCAGAATTTAGCAGTACTCGTTCTTCAATACCATTGGTAGTAATCACTCCAACACCATCGGCACCAACTACTGAATCAGGCTTGATTCCTGGGTACATTCCTTTGAGGATCCACACATCTCTAAACTCATTCAAAAAAAAAAACGTAAAATTTAAATTAATTTCTTGGATCATTATCTAATTTTGTATATATTGTATATATATATATTGCCTGTGATTCAGGGCAGCTGCTTGAAGTTTCACTGTAACTTCGTTTTCTTTGGGAGACCCCAAAGGTAATTCTTTTATTTCCATGCCATATTTGTATTCTTCTTTGGAAGGGGTTGCTGTGAGTACGATAGCCTGCATTTTTCTTTTTAAGAAGGACAACTGTAAATCAAAAAGAAAGACAAATCATCGAAGATTTCCCCAGGTTTTTTTTAGTGTGAAAATATATAAGTCCGGGAGATATTTTAACCCTGGTGATACATACTGCAGGCGTTAGACTTTTGGATTTCATCATATAGCTACACAAAAGCTCAATTCTTTAAGCTTACTAATGTAAAAGAGTATAAAAAGAACACGGTGTTTGTTATTTGTCATTTATATGTATACTTCTTTTATATTTATATTTCATAGGAGAAGAAATATATATATATATATATATATATGCAAAACTTTACACAGCTTGGAACCAAAAACTTGACTAAAATATGGATTAAATGTTGAAGATATAATGATATTGTATATACACAAAAAACAAAGCCTTGGGTTGATTGCACATGCTTTACAAAAAATGGTGAAAACATATTGAATTTAAAAATACTGGCTAGTTTCCATACTTGGATATTTACCTTTTTGATTTGACACGAATATTACATACATACATACATCATATAAAATAAAATAAAATAAAACCACTTGGTGCAAAAAAAAAAGAAGTCTGATAAATTAAGCTCTTTAAGCTCATATAAGGGAATATTTACTTTTTACTTATTCATTTCTTTTTTATTTTATTTTATTTTATTTTATTGTGTAGTTCTGTAGCCTTTTACGGCAAGTTCTTCAAAATAATTTTATGAAAGCAAAAAAAAATTTAGAGTTTAATGCGATCGTTTGCAATACATAGACCTTTTAAGTAACATGTACATATATATTATAGCTCTTATTCTTACAAGTTGATCATAAGCATTCAATCAGTCCCAGTTTAGTTTTGTATTGATTTCTAAATACACACAAAATCATTCTTTCTAAATTTTATTTCTGGGAAGATGTAGCTCGTCTAAAGAATATCTAATAAAAGCCATGTAATATTGTGGGCAAAAATTACATTACAAGAATATTTGAGCATATTTTGAATGTGAAAATTGCGTACTTTATCAAATATATCATTGTTCTCGATTCTGCATTTCAAATTTGTCTAATTCGCTAATCGCTCGAAGCCCACAATCGACTATATCCAAGTCTTTACGTTAATTTCAGCAAGTATTCCCTAGATTAGATTTTACATATGAAAGTATAAAGATATTTTTCTCTCTATTATAGAGAACTGTATAAGGTATAATAAAGCATCTTGAATTATTACTATTATTTTTCAAAGTCTGATTCTTTATTTTAGGACTTATATTATACACATGTAGCCTATAGTGAATACTTTGATAGCCCCACTTTATTTATGTATTTAATTATATATGTATATTGCTTGACTCGAAATCAGAATAAGAAGAATAAGAAGAAACGGGCTTAAGACCAAGATGGGTGGTGTTTGCCTCCTGTACTGTTTCTGAGTTAGAGTAGCCAAACATATCAATTGAACAAAATTCTTGTGTTCATCTTAGCTGTACACAATCTTAGTATAAATATATAAATATTCAGTTCAGAAAGAAAGAAAAAAAAGTCGCTGGTTTTGAGTTTGATGTCGTTCAAAAAAAAATCTGGTTCAACAATATGTCAGTCAATCCAAAAATAAGGTCGTGTTCGAATTGAATGAACCTTGTCTGATTAATGTTAGCTCAAGGGTTCCAAAGCGTATCGAAAAGAGAAAAAGCTTGGGGTGAGACGAATGCTTACAACACAGTAAGAGTGACAAGGCATTGTTTGAGCTTTTTGAAGACTACTTTTGATGAAATGGATATAGGTAACTCTGTTCACTCCCGAGAATATTGATACGTTTATCTTTCTCCGTATTCTCCAGAATTAAATCCAATTGAACAATTCTGGTCAGCTGTCAAGAGTAAATTGAAGCGATATAAGTTTCTTAAATAAATGCATTGCTCGAATTAGCAAGGTATGCAATAGTTTATATTTAAGCGACTTTGAACGTTTTGTTTCTCATTATACAAGATGCTTTAGTAAGTGTCTCAACAGGAAGAGGTTATAATGCGACCAGAAAAAAAGAGAAAAAGAATGGACCTCAATTTCTTCTTCGTCTTTTAATTTCATGCTCCATGAATTTCCTAGTAATTGTTTTATAACAGTTCAAACGGTAATTTTACAGAATCCAACTGTAGACCATTATATTTTCAAATCGTAAGAAAGTAGTCTTGAGTATTTTTATTGTATTTTGGATAAAAACAAAAAAAGAAACCTATACGAATAGGAAGATAAAGCAAATGTAGAAGATTTCACACTTGAAAAACTTTGGCGATTTGTTTTTTAACAGTAGCATTTGTTGACACAATATCAGACATAAAAATTTCGGCAAGAAGTTGCAATAGCTGATTCAAATTGCTATTCATAAGAATGTTGGTTAACGAGTCATCATCAAGGGGATACAGATATAGCATTGATCAAAGGATTATTTGAATTTTGCCCGTGGATTTCTGGATAGCATCTTTGGCACTTGACCTTGGAAGGCAACGCTGCTTGGCCATGTTTTAACACAAGGATCTCAATCAAGCGAAAGAGATTAGCCCCTGTATCCCGACCCTTATCATAATCAGCCAATGTAAAAGTAATGAATGTCTGGCATACATTCACGTCTGTAAGCGAACCAGAGGCACGGCACAGGGTGTATCCACTAGGTTTGTCAAACCTGGATCTCAGTTGTCGTAGCTGATATATAATTCTTGTATCTGATATGCGGTCGGTTCCAGCGTCGGCAGCCATGGCTATGCTTGCATCAAGTCATTCTTGATCTACTAATACCTTGGTTATCATTGAATCCTTGAAAGTCATCAACTGAAATCCCAAATTGACAGAGCCAACGAGAAGGTCCTCTTTGGTGTCTAGGCGGATTCTTGATGCCACAAGCACATTGGATGTACGTATGCCAATAATCAATTTCATGCCATCAAACTTTTGTAATGTTGCGGACAAAACTCCAGGGTACAATGGTTTGAAGGTGGTAGAAGGGAGCGATGTGGCTACTACACCATCCTTCACTTTACCAAATGATTCGCTGTAAATGTTGGGATTATTGATGCAACCATAGACCTCGACAGTGTTGACTAGGATCGAATGCCCGTTAATCGTATCTCTCAAGATACAACCAGAGAAGAGTTTTGCAGCGGCATACTTGATTTGAGAATATATATATATATATATATATATGTTTTTAGGGAGCTTTGTGACCAAGATGGTTGCTGTGCTTTCTATTGCTCTGAAACAAAAGAGGAAGTCGTGGCTTTTGTTTTGGATTTTATTTGTTATATGATGTTTTCGACAATTTTATATTTTCTAAAGTAAGAGAAGGCGAGAACCAATAAAAACACACCCAGTAGCCATATTTCTATAAGATATAGAATAGACCTGAATGATTCTTGGTTTTACTAGGGAGGAAATGGAGATAAAGTCAAACAGGAAACAATGGGGGCAGATAGGAAACCATGCTGGAGTTCAGCGAAAACGAAAAGAGAAAGAGTAGAGATTGACCGAGAGAATGGGTGGGAACTAATAAGGCCGCTACATATTGACCAACTCTTTACGCTATCTTCCTCAGCAAAAGTGAGATACGTGTTAAAGAGCCGTGTAGTGTGCAAAATATTTAAATATGCTTCATTTTTGCATCAATATTCCTTTTTTTTTAAATAATAATAATAATAATTAATTGCGCATTTTTAAATATAATTTGCGTTTAACAGAAATGCCCATTTTCTTTTAAAGAAAAAAGTACACGCATACAAATATACACACAACCGTGCGTATATAATACACTACCTTGTATCCTTGTAAAATACATTTGATCAAAAATTCATAAAAGGTTATAACAGAAATACATATTACAATATCATTCGATATATATATATAGATGTGCATATATTTATACATATATATGACGGGTGATAATACAATCAATAAAAAAAAAGATATTTCTTTAAAATTAATTTGATTCAATATTACAAATGCCAATCAATTTATTATAATTGTACACATGTAGCCTTTACCTGGTTATTGCGTAAAAAAATCCTCTCAGCATAAATATACTTGGATCAATTGTTTTCATTGGATTGTCATAGTCAGTGAACATAGAAACTTAGTACACAAATCGTATATTATGCTTTAAACGTAAGTCTGATATTTAAGATGGCGTAAATATTTGTCAAAAAAACACACATTTCTGGTTTTTTTTTTTTTTTTGCTTTTTTTTTGTTTATCCTCTTTGATTGTGTACATGTCCACGTTTTGATCACCCGAGGCTTTCTTTGTATTTTATTTTATTTTATTTTTTATTTTATCTTTCCCTCTCGAAGCAACTAATACACACACCTTCTTCTGTTGAGTTCCGCTTTTTCTTTATTTCTCTTTCCCCCCTGGCATTGAACTACACGCCATGCTGCATGCCGCGACTCCTGTACCCGACCCAGAACAAATGGTGCCTGAATTGTCTCTGGCGGATCCTCGACATGTCGGATTCAACCGACCATCTTCACCACCCACTTCTTCGGATGAACTCGTCCGGAGTCTTGAACAGGACCTCGAAGCTATAGGTAGCCGTAGAGAGCAGCAGCAGGAAGAAGACGAATTTTATTTTCTTTCTGGGAGTGAACCTCCTCGATCAGATCTTCACATTCCTCTCTTACCTCACCAGGAGTATGAGTTCAATCGACCAGACGACCAGCCCATTGATGATTTCTTAGACGATGAATATAGCCACACTTTGGTAGACGCCACATACGACCTTGCCAGTCGTACTTTTGACGCTACCTGCCACAAGATCGCTCGACAACACTACCCAGAGTACCGCCGACGATCACCGTACGGCTTTCTTGAGAACTGGTTACTCCAAAGTATGTTTAGCAAATCACAGCAGATATTATTAGGCATGCCGGTAGTTAGACCAACTGTCTTCTTGACCGGAGATGATTTTATGTTCACACCACCGCCACCACAACAGCACAGCTTTGATCAAGGCCAGAGCGAGTGGGATGATGAAGAAGGTGAAATGTACGCAAACGGCGGAATCGATCAAGCTCTTGACAGCACTGACGAAAGAATTATGTCGAGTGGCTTAATGGGTGTGGAACCTGAACAGCTTGTTATGGATGAAAATGCGTGGATGGCTCATGGGCGACAAACACATCGTATGGCACTTCATGTTGTTAACACTGATCCTGAACCAGTTGGTCAACAAGAACAAACAAATCAAATGTATCCGTTGCAGTCTTCTTATTACAACGAACGACTACCATCACCACCATATCTTGAAGACACTGGTTATGATGGCAGATTAGCAACAATTGAAGAATACGAAGAAGAAGAGGAAGAGGAAGAAGATGATGATGAAGAGGAGGAGGAGGAAGAAGAAGAAGAAGAAGAGGATGAAAGACCTGAAGAGGAAGAGGAAGAAGAACCCCGAAAGGGTATTTCCATGTCTCCTGCTTTGGTAGATTGGTACAGATCAGCTGAACAAAGACATGCTTCTGCTACCATGGATACTCAAGGGGCTGTTGCAAGTGCTGTTGTGGCCAGCCATCGATCAGACGGACAAGGAATAATACTTGGGCGCGAAAAAGGAAAAGACAAGGACATTGAAGTGTCTCGAACAAGGATAGAGCCGAGCCGGGGAATTATCCACCCCGAGAAACCTTCAGAGGCATACCAGTCATTGATAGATATGACAGCAGCCGAGGAAGGTCCGGAGAGGGCCGAGTATGGCACTATGACTCGCTCTAGTATTGCACCGGTCGTATCCGGATGGACAGGCCGTTGGCTAAATCTGCGTGAACACGTCGCGGTCCGAATCTTGGGTGCGTCAGACAGTTTCGTGGAGACAGCTTCACTTGCACTTGAACTTGCCGAGTCATTTGCGGAAGGTCACGCGCTGGAAGAAGAAGGCCGCCACAAGGACACCTCTACTTCCCAACTCGGCCGCTTTGTCAGGCATGTTTTTGGCCTGTGGCGATCACTGTTCATAAGCACTGAGTCTATGCTCGGTCATATTGGTGGTTGTCTTTTACTGTCCCCTACAGACTATTATTATCTTCCCTCTACTCCCTCTACCATGGTCAACGCTTAAATATATATACAAACACATGTATATATGTATGTACAAATACAAATACATATACATACACCAATAAACTCCTCCTCCCTCTCCCCTCTCCCCTCTCCCTCTCCCTACCTTACCCTACCTTATCTTACTTTAGTTTACCTTATTTTACCTTATTTTACTCTATTCTATTCTACCTTATTCTACTCCATTTCTTGTTTTATCCTACCCCCCAAAAAAAAGCGCAAATATCTGCACAGAACAAGCACAGCCCTGTGTGTATGTGTGTGTGTGTGTATGTGTGTGTATATGCGTGTTTCTTAATTTTATATTGAAAAATCCAAAATGAATCATATTAAAAAATATATATGAAAAAAAAATCATCCCACAAAATTACATCTTTCCTTTTTCATTTATACTATTAATGACATCAAGATTAATTTATTTTTTTTACATTACTTTACTTTACTTTTGTATCAGCATTGAAGCAGGATTCTGGTTCCTTTGCTGCTTTGTTTTTCTTTCTTGTTTTATATTTCTGCTTAATATTTCTTAATCCTTTCACTGCAAGTTAATAAAGCAAAATATCAAATATACACAAAATTGCCTGATTTTTTTTTAGATATTTCCATGTCAGAGAATACTAGATTTTATGTATATATTACAGTGAAGTTTTGCCATTACAAGTCCCGAAGTGAGCCCATCATTGAACCCCCCCAAAAAATAGAAAGCTTAATTGTAGCACAAGTTCTCATATAAAATAAATCTAAACAGAAAAAATTACACCAGCACATCTCTCTAGCTTAGACTCTTCCTCTTTTTAGTCTTTAATAATGACCATCACAGACAAGCCAACCCCCCTCCCAAACAAAGTCGACTTCCTTATCGTAGGTGGAGGACCAGTAGGTCTCCTGTCAGCAAATCTCATCGTCCAAGCAGGATTTACTGTCCGTATTCTTGGTTAGTCAACGGCTTTGAGATATAACATACTTAAAAACATTTAAATTAAACCGAGAAAAATCAAGAAAACTAAAAACATTGAACGATATAACATAAATAACAACAACCACAACCACAACCACAACCACAACCATAATCACAACAAAAAAGATATCGAGGCCGAGCCAAATCACTGGGGAAGAGGTGACTGGATTCACGGTAGAACTCTTGAGTTGTTGGAGAGAGCAGGACTGGCCGATGAGCTGTTAAAGACAGGCGTCAAGGTTGAGAAGATGGCAACCTACATGAATGGAACCATTCAGTCTACTATGCCTTTTGTTCCTGACCAGGTCGAATCTAAGCATCAGTAAGTTAAACTCCACGGACAAGGATAAAGAGAAAGAGAAAGAGGAGGAGAAAGAGGAGGAGAATGACTACAAAGGAGAAGAAGCTGATAAAAAAGGAATTGTGGTGATGAATTACAACAGATACTTGCTATGTGTTGGTCAGCACATCACAGAATCCAGCCTTCAGAGCATCCTATCGCTCAACGATGTTCAAGTCGAGCGTCCCTCTACTGTAGTGAAGATGGAAAAGTGTCCAGACAGCATCTATCCAATCAAGGCTACAGTGATGAACATGCAGGGTGAAACTTCAACCGAGGAGATCGAATGCAAGTATTTGTTGGGTTGTGATGGTGCACACAGTGATATTCGTCAACAGTTGGGTATCGCCAACGAAGGTGAAACAACCGAGACCCATGCAGGTGTATTGGATGCCCTGGTCAGAACCAACTTTACTGGTCGCCGTGATGTTTGGTAAGTGGATATGGGATAGGGAACATACATCCCTAGTCTGGTAAACAAACCAAAGCCAAAAACAAAAACAAAAACAAAAACAAAAAAATGAACCTTTCTTCTCATTCAGTGTTTGTGCTCCCTTAGTATTCTTCAGAGTGACCACGCAAAGACCATCAGTTTGTTCCCACGTGAAAACGGTCTCACCCGAATCTTTGTACACTTTAACGAGAACGAGCATGATTTGCGTAAAGAGCAGCACAACCGCAACAAGATCCAACTTGAAGACATCCAGCGCGAAGCCAAGCGTGCCCTTTTACCTCATCGTATCGAATTCCTTGGTATACTTTACTGGACTGTGTATGTAGTCGGACAGCGCCAGGCAGCAACCATGGACTCTCACGACAACAGAGTATTCTTGTGTGGAGATGCGGCCCACTCACAGAGCCCGACCCTGGGTCAGGGTGTCAACACCGGCTTTGGTGATGTATTCAACTTGGTAAGTCAAATTAGTCTTAATAAAGAAAAACGTAAAGAGAAAAGGTACACATGAAAACTAAATCTTGTCTTTTATTACTATTGCTATTTTAGATTTGGAAGTTGTGTCTGGTAGAGCGTGGGCAAATTAAACCTGAAGTGTTGTCTACATACACTGCCGAACGCCACCCAATTGCTTCCAAAGTTCTGTCGATTGACAAGACTGCAGCAAAGGCAGCAGCTGGACACAAGTCAGAGGACTATTGCATGGCCGTACAGGAGAACAGATCATTTACCACAGGATTTGGTATCCAATACACTAACTTGGTCAACACTGATCCCCTGGTGTGGAATTCGGATTGTGAAAATACGCGGTATGTGATGCAGGCCGGTATGCGTGCACCTCATTACAAAGTCGTCCAGTTCTCCTCTGGCCGCAAAGTACGTCTGTTCGAAGCCCACACAGAATCAACTCCCGACTGGCTGTCGTTCACAATCTTGGTTCTTGCAAATGATCTCAAGAAGACCTCTGAAGAGATCAAGCCATTCTTGGCATGGCACAACAACCACCAGACCAGTCTTACGACACGTCTTATGGTCGTAACTACCAGCACAGCCGACACGGTGGCTGCCTATGATCTGGGTATTCAACCCGAATTAATTATGCTAGATAAACTCAACCGCGCCCAATGCCACACTGGTTACCACCAAAAGACCGAACTCCAGGCAGAGAACTCGGATGATATTATAGTATCTATTGTACGTCCAGACGGATACATTGGTACCCTTCTCAGAGGTACTTCTGGTGAAGCCTTGGGTAAATTAGCACAGGCCTACTTTGACAGATTCTGCGTCCTTCATTAAGCACTCCGTATTTTCATTACACTTTCAAGAAAAATTCCCCTCCCCTCCTCCAAACTCTCCTCCACTCCCAACTCCAACCCCAATTCCCAACTCCATTACTTCATATCCTCTTTTTCTTTTCCTTTCATATGTATGACTCCCATTCTGTTTTAGAACGTCCACTCAGTGGACCTATTCTACGCATATATATTATTCCTTTTTCTTTCTTTCTTTTGGCTGGTAGACTAGTAGATTTTTTTTATATAAATAAAATTTTTAAAAAAAACAAAGCAATTTCATTTAAATATCTTCCTCTCCATCATCCACTTCTTCTTCTTCCTCTTCTCTGTCCAGAAGTCCGCTTTCGGGTAGTTGGTATTCAACTGATATTCCACGGGAGTTCTGAAACGCTAATAAATCACTGGGGCTTATGTGTAGAACGGGCGTTGCATGGGTATCTGGAGTGCTACGTTCGGCATTTCTTTGGCTAACCGGGGCTTACAAACCACAAAGAATTAAATATATAAATATATAAATATATGTGGGTCAAACCGTATGAGTTAAACCACATGAGTCAAGTATAAGCCCTTGTATATTGAGCGATCTTCCCGTTCCTGTTCCTCACCTCCAAAAACCATACTTATCCAGGTAAAACTAGCCAGACTACCAAGAAAAATACGAATTTGCATTATAGAAATGAAGAAATGAAAATGAAGAAGTAAAAGAAAGTTTTACTTGTTTTTCTTTTAAAGGAAATAAATGAAAAAGACGATAATCATTCAGATTAATTACAAATAAATATTTCAGTTTGATCTTGCACTAATGTGTGTACATTAATCTCTATGTGTGTCTGTGTCTGTGTGTGGTATGGAAGACGCCTCGCGCGAGAGACTCCGCTCTAACCCCAAGCAAGAAAATATTGACCTCAACTTCTTTGTTAATGTGGCCATTGATTGCCATCCTTTTGTTGTCAATCTCTTTCCATGGTGTCCGTGGCGGTGGTTCAGTAGTTCAACCAATACAAGATGCACCGACATCAGTCAGTGCAAATTCAACATTAGATACGACCGCGCAAAACACCACAACGCAAGATTGGAGTATACCCCTTTCTTGGACGATGACAGGAAATAGCATGCAGCTGTTTGAATCTACGCATGTATGCACAATGTTGACCTCACCCGCCGTTGGAGGTGTTTACCAAGGTTCGACTAGTATGGCCATTCGATGGCTGTATGACAATGATGGCATTCAAAAGTTTCGTACCGAGTTGAACCGGGCGGTGGACATGAGCATCGATCTGTGGTGGGTCGACAACCAGACCAACCAGACAGGCCAGATAGCGTCTGGAGTAGATCCCTTGAGTGGGGTCTATTTGTGGGATATTCCTTCCCAATTATCTTCTACCTTCAACAAACGACTTTATGTTGTACTACAACCCTCGTGGACTGGATTGACAGCTGAGGAAGCCAGTGATACTTCCACATTCGAACAGGACAATGGTCTCGACTGCATTAGTCACCCTCAGGTAGCAGGTCCCTTTACCATGCTGCCCCAATCAAGGCCCTTATTCTTTGTAACCGGACCCGACCCAGGGACATCCCAACAAGAAGGCACTGGCCTTCTCGCTAATTTACCTTTGGGACGTCTATTTATTGACATGGTACGACACAAACTTTTTTTGTTTGTTTGTTTTGATTTCATGATTCTTTTTTAGACAAATAAACTCACAGGCTGTACATATCTATACATACATACAGGCCCTTCCAATTACTTGGTATTGTACCCTCCCGAATATTGCAACGATTGATATCTTGCTGGTACCCACCGACCAACAAAATGCGTCGGACACTGTGACGATTGGCAAGAATCTCAATGTATATACTGCCCGCTATTATTATTCCGTACCTCAGAGCAACACTTTCTCGATGGAACGCAGCTATAGGATCATGTTGTACGGATACACTGTTAATTTTACTCAGTCACCGTTTGTAACCTGGGCAGCAGAAGGGCCTTACCGCATCACAGATCCATATGGCCTGACTGCTCTTTAACCAACACAAACAATCAAAAGACCGCATCTCTTTACGTTTGTTGCGTCACCCAATAAAAGCCAACCCAGGCCTATTGTGTACCTTTTTTTTTCTCTTTCTCTCTCTCTATATATATATATATATATATCCTTCTTCTTCTTCTTCCTTTGTTGTTACTGTTGTTGTTCTAGTCTATTGTTTCTATCGCCATGGCCAAAACAGTATCTATCGTTGCCGGTCTCGTTGCCGCTGCCGCTGTTACCTACAAATTCAGAGATGATCTGATCCACAACACATCCGACATTCACAACCGTCTCACCAAAGCCAACGAAAATCTCCAGGTTACTGCTCAGGACAACACCAAAACCTTTACCAAGCGCACCACTATCTTGGAGTCTGTACCTGTTCTTGCTGACTCTCAGCGTTACGTCTCCGAGAAATTTGTTCCTTCCGGTAATTATCAATTACTAATATTTAATTAGTATTGTTATTTTAATTTTAATTTTTTTGGGGATAAATTGTTTAAAATTGAATGGAGGAGAAAGAGTCAATGAAAGGAAGAAGAAGAAGAAGAAGAAGAAGAAAAGATTATTTAATCGTTATTTTATATTATGTAGTCAAGCACAGTTGGAACGAGAAGGTTAGAGATACCGCTCACACCATTGTCCACACCGATTATGTTGGATGTGCACAGAAGCTTTGGGAGGATAAGGTGATGAGCCAGTTGAAGAAATAGATTACCCGAATATACCTGTGCGTGTGTCGAATTGTAATTTCAATATGATTGTAATTGTAATTGTGGTTGTAGTAGTGTGTGTATCAATATAATAGAATGTGTTTATATCAATATCAAATAGAAGAAACACGAACTCAGATTACAACGATGTATACTATACCATGGTGTTTAATTTATTGAATGATCCTCAAGATTTTTTTTAAAGAAGTTATAGCATGAGGTTAATTGTAAGTGGGATGTGCACGAGTATACTATGATATATTGTTAGACTTACTTGTTATCGTCGCAAGCACAGTATATTATGTGTGTTTATTTATTTTTAAACAAGAAAAAAATTAAAAGCAAAGTACGATTCAGTACTTAACAACTAGTATTTCTTAAAGCAACTCTAGCAGTTTCTTTACACAGAATCTTGAAACCCAAATATAAATTTCGAGTTTATTCCAAATAAGGACTTAAGACTTGAAGCAGCGTATATATATATAAATCTTTAGAACTAGAAAACGTGTGGGTTTGCAGCAATGTCCCATCATATTCTACCAAGATCTACCTGGGAACATTCAAATATATACAGCCCTTTCAAGTATCATGAAATTAAAAGAGAGTACTGTAACTTTGAGTGATCTAATTTGACTGTGAAATGTGTTTTCATTCTTTTTAGCATGCTAGTCTTGATTAACTACTTTATTCCTTTTGGTCTTTTGGTATACTTATCAAGCTTGCACACTCAATTATTATGTTAAATAATATCCCTGGCAGTTTTCATACGAATATGGAATGTGGTGTATAATATATGAAGAATTTTTCTTTAGAAAATCTTACGTGTTTGCCAAGTAGATATTGTACCTTAAGAAATTGTTTAGTATCTGTAATCTGTATTTGCAACAAAGTATAATTCAGATTGTGCCAATATCATAGCATATCTTGTTTTTCAAACATTTTAAGCATAATGAATGCGTACCTTTTTTTTTACCCCTGGAACAGCAATTGTGACACTAATTTTCTGGCAAAAAACTTGTCTTTGGTTCATGCAGCGGTACTTGTTGAGTCTCGATAATTATTAGGCGATGACCTATGGTAAGTCGTTGTTGTCTTGGTTTTTTTTTGGTTTTGGTTTTGGTTTTGTAAAAGTCAGAAGAAATGTATTCTTGTCAGAGCAAATGCTTCAAGACAAACTCCAATATGGTTTGAGTATCAATCAGTTCAGGCGCATAATTAATGGTATTAACAAATGTACTTACTTTACAGCACGGGGCAAGAATCGAAGCAACATTTAGACTAGTTTCGAGATGAATCTCACTAATTTTGGTTTGTAGATTATATGGATAAAGCACTGACTAGTATAATTATATCTGGAATTATAATAAACTTATTGGCTATATGAATTGTTTAATAAATAAAAGAATAAAAAATACGTATTTTTTTTGGCATGCTTCACTTTCCAAAGTTAAGCATATTATTACACTGCCATGTGAAATAGCTGCTAAGAGAGAAGTTCTTGCCAGGTACAGAATATCAGAGAAGATTCCACCGGATTTTTGTTACTAAAAGTAAGATTATTGAATTATGAACCAAAGTCTAAAGGTATATATGGCGAAAGTATCATTCCGAGGCTGACATTTGATAGATTGGAGAAGGGGGGTGGGGTGGGGGATATTTTAGCCGGTGCATGGCACTGTAGTAGCCTTTTTGGTGTCTTGTCCTCTGTTTCTAAAGAAAAGAATTGGGATTTTGCTCTCTCGAGTGTACTAAACAAAAGACCAACCCGTGAGGTAAAATATCCTATAAAATTGGATTTTGAAATACCTTTTGAACTTTTTTTAAAAAAAAACAAAACAAATAACCCCATAGTTTTGGGCTCTCATCATTTTTTGAATTTGGTTGATTTATTCCTTGTGGGTTAGCCTTCTTTGTTTGAGTAACATGGCTTAGATAATATTCGGTCATTGTTGATAAACATATACACAGCCATGCTTTATACATGAAGCATAAAGGAGTACAAAGAAGTGAAAACAAAGAAAAAATGTTACTACAACCTTGGGAAAAAAATCAAAAGAGAGATTATATACACATAAAGAATTACTCTATAAATCTTTGAACGTAACGTTATTTTCTTTAAAGAAAAATATCTATGCCTTACAATTTCAGGTACCATCAGTTCAAATTACTCAAAATGAATCATATTTTTTGTATTTTACCAAATATATATATGTGTGTGTGTTTATATAATTTAGAAGGAGAGCAGCAAGAATATTGATATTGTTAATAATGGAATATAGAGGTGGAAAGGTAGTGGAGGGTCTCTATACACCCGAAAAGAAACAAACAATGTAGATGGATTTGGCTGGACTTTGAAGAATGATATAACCCCTCGCAGTAACTTGACAGATATAATCACAAGCTGTATCTTTTAATAACAATTATGTATAGTTTATTTACTTATGATGCCATGTATTATATATATACATTTGTATGTATACATTTTAATACTTTACAAGAAGTAGAAAAATGTCAAAGTAAAAATGTCTTTTTATTATTATTATTATTAAAAAAGAGTGACTTGACTGAATTGTACAACTTACACTAAATAATGTGCCGTATTGTTTATTAAGTAGATAATAATAAGCCTTTGCTTTGACAGGAAATTGGCTTACCAAAGTGGGATCTGTGGTTAAAGATGAGGCTCTATTTTTTTATGAAACAAAAAAGCTATAGATAAGACGATCGAAAGTGAAATCAAACATTAATTTTTTTATAAAGAATAATTGAAGGGAATAGGATCTTGAACAATAAAATATTAATACAGGGCTTTGGATAAATAATAACAAGTTCACTTGGATACATGTTTGTGGGGGAAGTTTATAAAGAGAAAGAGAATATGAATTTGAAACAGCAAAAAGCTCGAAAGGGTGGGTACGTTTAGAAGGAAGAAAGTGGATCCATGGCTTCTCTCCACTCCATAAGAGAAGACGGATCATTAACTTGCAATAAATAAGAGTTGTTGTGGGTGTAAACAGTGATTCTGTTTGGAGTCTACAACAATCAAGAGCGCTGAGTTAGCTTGAGTTCAAATGAATGGTTTTTTTAAAAAAAACAACAACAATATACCTGCACAGCATCGTCAGAGATAGCAACAGAGGTAATACGTAGTAGGCTTGCTTCACTAATCTCGGTTTGATCTTTGTATAGGAAAAGTAAAGGTCTAAATAAAACAGTGGCCGCACCAGGAACACAATAAAGTGGGTGTGTATATATGAGATAAACAACAATCAAGAAGAAGAATTTTTTGGATGACTTACTTTCTCAGAACACACCAGTACTTCTCCCATTTTCCAGTGTCTTTTTCAAACCGTGAAAGTGGTCCTTTCATGGTCACTGGGCTACTGAATGATTATTGTGGTTAGCAAACAATAAGCACAAAACCAAAAAAGATATAATATCTTACTTTGGTATGATTTCGTGAACCTCGGACGACCAGCGTTGGATTCTTCCTGGGCTACCTGGTATCTTATCCATTGGCAGTACCATAAAATTCTTCTATACAGATGTTTATGTACAAAGCAACAACAACAACAACAACAACAACAACCAAAAAAAAACTGTAAGAATCCAAAAAAAAGAATAATTTACAAATCTAGAACTATTTGTCTTACCTCTCTGCTCAATTGAGGTTTGAAGGTCCAAAGTTTGATGACCTTGTGTAGCAGTGCTTCTTTTTCTTTTTGACTTAATGGTATGTGTTCTACAGGCCCATTGCGTTGGAGTATCTGCTCATGAAGAACTAGACCATGTCGCATAAATGAAGCTTGCTCTTTACACGATATCCTTTGATGCCCTGCACGATAGGTATCAAGAAGTTCCAGACTTTGGGTTTTATTTTCTGTGTCCTGGTGGCCATTTTGAAACGTTATGTCGCTTTCAAGTCCTTTTGGGGGGGAGCACACAGAGGGGCAGATGTGAACAGAAAATATGGAGCTCATTCTGTCTGACAAGGTTCGCTCGGCCGGTAACCCTGAAAAGAAATTACGGAATAGTGACGCACGTTTGATCTGGTCAGAAGGAGTGGCGCCCAGGATTCGTACGTATATATCGGTCTTGAACTTTAGAGGCTCATCGTGTTTTCCACATCGAACTTTCCATGACACTGTCAGGACAACCCGATGTCCAGCGGGTGTAATTCGGTTCAGTAACAAGGAGTCGTGGAGGGAGCTATCCCAGGCGCCCTGGACAATTATGCTGCTCGTCCCATCTGTGCTCGGTGATAATATCTGATCGGGCATAAGTTTGATGGGGATCTCTGAAGACGAGACCAGATCGGCAGTTCGTCCCTTTGTATCCATAAGCCGAATTCTTCCAATGGCCAGGGAGGTGATGTCTTGCCACTCGAGCTGGTTTCCAGAGTCATGACTCAATGTGAGTATTATTCGACGCTGCTGACCCTGTCGTAAAGAAAACACACTCCCCTGATCATGCATTATCATTACAGGCTTATATTCTCCTTCAGGAGCCATTTCACAGAGCTGAATCCAGGACAGAACATCATGCCTTGTTTCATTCACACGGTTTGTCCTTTCTCTTGAAGGCTTATGAATGAGAGAGTGGCTGGGCGATTGTAAAGTCTCTGATCCCACCACCACTACTGATGCTGCTGTTGTTGATGCTGTTGCTTTAGGCCGTCGTCTAACCGAGGCTATTGCTTGGGTTATTTTATCGGGCTGAATTTCTCCAAAAACTTCAAATGTGATACAATTGTTCATGATAGCATCCAGCATCTCTGTTGTTACAGTCATCGAGAGTGTCTGGCTATACCCTAGTTCAACAGGGGATGATCCAAAATTTCTGATGGGCTCGGTAGCAAAAATTGTGTCTGACGATGAGTTTCGTGTACTGGTACCGAATGCAGATAGTCTAAACTGAGCATGCACCCTTGTGAATTCTTCTTCATTGAGGCCCGAGAGAACCAACATTCTAACTTCAAAGACTAGTTGTTGACCAACGTTCAATAATTTCTTGTTGGCCTGATGATCTTTTGTTGTTTTTCCATTTTTTATAAGTGAATTATTTGCTGCTGCTGCTGTTGACTTTCCTCTTAAAACTGATCTTGCAATAGGAGCAATCAGAACCTTGAGTTGGCAAATAGACTTGCCGGTGTTTCTGCAAAACACGTTCAAGACACTCTCTATTGGTACTTGAAATGCAAGGTTCCGGAGAGGGGTTCTTGCCAGTCCTAGCAAGGAGTACCGCGAGTGTGTAGCATCATAAAACGCTTCTTCTACAATCAGATGTTTGGGTATACGGTCGGTTGTGTAGAGAACACCTTGCATGTATCTCATGCGCATTCTGAACTTTTCGACTGACCAGATGTAGCAGGCCTTGTTTTTCTGGTCTGTTACATGTACTGCAATGCACGGCTTGTTTTCTGCCAGTAGTTCGGCATCAACATATGAGGAGCTTGACTCCCAGAATGACTGTGAAGACACACTGGTGTTATCGTGAATAACTATGAATCGATAATTGGCACCTTCGTCTTGGCGAAATGCCATCTCATTTGCATGTTGCAAAACAGGTGTATTACGAGATATGACCTGTGTCATGTGTGCATATCTGTGGCTTTTCCACTGTTCGATAACCTTGCGTGCCAGGGTGGCTTCGGCCTCGGTGTAATCTGAAGGCTGCTCGAGTGACTCTACTGAGGATGTTCTCGACAGGAGGTTCATCGAAAGGGATTGTATCTGACTTTCATACTCTTGTCGTTGAAGCTCCAACTGTTGCTGCATTTCTTCTTTAGCCTGTTGAAAAAGTTCATTTCTATCCATCGTCAATTCTGGGCCAAACTTGGATGGGAAATAGGATTCGTCTACACTACTGTCCTCTTGGAAGGTTGAAGCTGCAGACAATGTGCTCAGTCGATATGATGAACCTGACGTACGTCTTGAGACACTATCTGTGTCCATGGATACTCCTCCATCTGAGGATGAATACGAAGACTCTCTCAGACGTCGTAGCCTGACCTTGGACACATCGTCAAACAATCGTTCCAGATCCTCATCTGGCATGTGTACGATTGTTGAATTTTCACCAGTATTGTATGAGCACAGGGCTGCCTCTCTGCGGGCAAAGTTCCAGTCCACGATGTCTGAGAATTGTGGAACACTTTCGCGGTCTGACATTATTGAAACAGTGGGTGATTCTGGTCTGCTGATGGCTAGATTGTTGTGTCCATTGAGTGAGCTTGTTCTTCGAAGGAGAGTGTCACGCTCTTTCCGGGCTTCTTCGGGGTGGTTGAATCTGAAGATATGGTAATCTCCTAATATGATACGATAGCCGCTTTTTAATCTCTTTGGTTGAAGAATCCGCATTCCGTTGACCATAGTTAGTGAATCTTTCCCAGGATGCAGAGTGACAATATTGGCCTCATTTTCAAAGAAGCAGTGCTCTTCTAAAATGTTTGTTCCGCTGAGACGAATGTAAGCTTCTTTTGGTGCCTCTGGAAACGGACCGGATGGAGTACTTTCGGAAGTTTCTGTGGTTGGAGGAATATCTTCTAGAGTAGTACTAGCGGTAGTGGTAGTGGTAGTGGTAGTAGCAGTAGTAGTAGGTCCGTCTTCTTCGGAATTGTGTGCTCTACCTACACGGGTAATTCCAGGTCTTACTTGATACATAAGACATTCAGACATGAGTGGATCTTCGTTGAGATTGACAAGATGGGGTATCTTTTTTGGCGTGTAGACTCCGAGGCTGTTCTTTTCGACATAGATGCCAAGTTCTTCTAGAGATTTTTCTCTTTCCATGTGGATCAGCTCTGTTTTGTAGACCTTTTGGTCCCATGTCTCGTTGAGTTCATCAAGGAGTTTCTCTGTGATCTGGACCTGCTCTGCCATTTCCTGTTTGGTTAGGTATTTTGGAGTGCCTGTTCCATCACTAAAGACGATTGTCTCTGGTTTTGGTGGTGCCACCGCTACAGCTGTTGCAGTTGCCAACGCTGCTTCTGATGATTTTGATGTTTTTGTTGTTGTTGCTACTGTTGACGTTGTGGCTGACATCGGTTCCTCTACAGTCTTTGCCAATGCCTTCTTCTGATTCTTTGCGTGTTGTTCAGGATGATGTGATGCCGTAATTTTTTCGACTTCTTCAGGGGCATACACCATCAAGGTCTGCTTCAGAGCTTGTAATTCGTCTTTGAGCTCACGGATCATCTTTGCGTTGGGATCTTCATTCACGACTGCTTTGGTCTTGATCTTCTTTGCTTGGTCCGCATAACGTAAAGTACTAAGGGTTTCATCAAAGTCAGCCGGAGAAATAGCCGCAATCATGGCCGTCTTTGAGTTTCCGCCCAAAGAATCCTTGAGTAACCATGTCAAGATCTACACCAATTATATATGTATAAATAAAATATGTTTTATTTTATTTTATTAGGTTGGGTTGGATTGGATTGGGTTGGTTAGCTGTCAGTCAAGTGAACTGAGTATAATTTGTATACACATATACATTTATATAAAAGGTATATGATTAAAATGAAATTAGATAAAGAAAGCTTACAGAATCACGAAAGGGCACAAAGGCTTCCTTGGACTTTTTTCCATTCTTTTTGTTTTCTTGTTGTATCGACTGCTCTGCAAGACCAGCAATAACCTTACCAAGCGTGGTGAGTGATTTATTGATGTTTGAGCCTTCTTTGAGACGGGTTCCCGTAGCACCCGTGCTATTGGCGCGCTCACTTCCAGCTAAATCCACCAAACTATAAATCATATTAGGTTTTTTTTTTCTTTTTTTTTCTTCCTTCTCTTTAGGGTGTCCCTAAAATACCCATTCATATATATATATATACATTGGTTTTGGTTGTTGGCTGTTAGATTTTACCTGATTCTGGCTACTTTCTCGGTCGGAAGATCGGTTGGTTTATCGCGCCGTCTTTGGGTTAGGAAAATGTTAAATACTGCATGGGATCTTGATGATGTTTCATTCATGTTTGTTGCTGCAACTGTACGCGCCTGAAAAAAAAGATATTATATTTATTCATAAAGAATATACATGTATGTAAGTGTGTGTGTAAAGTATTCTTTATTTTGGTTCCTTAAAAGAAATTGCAAAGTGCAAGTATGTATATGTATATGTATGTATGTGTGTTTGTGTGTGTGTGTGTGAACTGTTTTACCTTGTTTCCTTCGTCCATTAGATGGTCAATGTCTGCAAATGAGTTTACGGCTAGTCGTGAAAGATCTTCAACATAAGGGCCTGTACTGGGATGCTCTCTGACTTTGAGATTGCCCTTGTTACGAGGGTTTAAAAGATCGCGTACTTTTTCATTATAGATTTCAATGTAGGACACCTCTACTTGGAATTCCAGGGAAGAAGTTGTCTTTTCCACTATGCGATCAAACAGCTCCGAACAAGTGCGAGGAATGATACCCTTGTCTTCTCCATAGCCCATCTATAATAATATTATTATTTAATATTCAATAAGATAGATATTAAAACCATTAAATACAACAAGGATTTGTATATATATATATCTTTTACCATTGAATACGATTTTCCTGAACCGGTCTGTCCATCTTTACATTTATGTATACAGATTGTGTGTGTGTGTGTTTTATTGTTTTTTTTTCACATAGATGTGTACATAGGCAATTCGAAATGAAATTATAAGTTATTTGCCGCTTTAAATACTAAAGATGTTCAAAACGCTTCTTTTTCTTTTATCTTTTTTTTTGGTGCTAGAAATGAAACAGCTTACTCACAAGCAACGATACAGCAATTGTATCCAAGAAATGCATGGTCTAGTAGTTCGCAACCTAATTCGTCGTATACGACCTGTTGATCTGCATAATTTGATGCAGTCTTATCGGCGGACCAGTATGATCTGTCGAATGTGAAGGCTTTTGTGTCTTCGCTTGATTTTGTCTGCTGAGAAGGAGGTTTGGTAAGGATCGTCTGGTTTCCTTCCATGCGAACCAGACTAATCGCACCCCGAGCAATTTCTATTGGTATTTGTTTAAACAAAGCAATAATATGTTAAGCATGATATATAAGTTATATAAACATTCATATATTCATATATTCATATATAATTTGTGTGTATAAATAAGTTTATTGTAAGTAATATAATATTATTTTTCTCAGGTAACAACTAAGCCAGATGAGATGAGGTTAAGTATGAAAGTAAAAGCCGATAAAAAAAAAGAAGTAGTGAAAGAAGGAATGAAGAAAGGTACGGTTTGTAATGTAATTTATTTAAGATTGGTTCATTACCTCTGGCATTCAATGGTCTACATCGGACCACTACTTTAATATTTCCTCCTCCTCCTTTCATGATTGTTCGATTGAAATGCGAGCTGTAATCTAGTAGATCGCCTCTATGCAAAACAGTCTCGTTTGCTCAAAGTGTCTAAGTAGATTTGTTTGTAAGAGAGAATGAGTAGGCGCAGTTGATGAATAATAAGTTCAAGACCAAAATGATAATAAAATCCAAAACCAAGATGCACAGACATACATTATAGACTGAGTCGTACTACACTTGGCAATTCTTCTTCTTCTTATTACTATTCTTTTATTTATTTTATTTTATTTTATTTTTATTTTATTTTCTATTGTCTCCTCTTATTATATATATAAGTATATATGAAAGAGATTATATATATATATATGTACAAAATAGTCAGGTTTCTTGACAGCCTTAACTGAAAGAAAGTATAAGAAAAGAGATAGAGAATAAGAAATGGGAGGGATAGAGGAGAGGAGTAAAAGAAGATGTAAAGAGAGAAAGAGCTAAAATAATAATAATTAAGAGTTGAGCTTAGGGTTAAAATGCTGCCCTGTGAATCCAATAAAAGTCTATAACCGCCCTAGGCTTTTTTTTTTATTTTATTTTAAAGAATAAAAAAAAATTGTACCAACAAATTATAAATCGACGGCCAAAGCCAACCGGGGGGCTCCGTTGTAATCTCTAGTACGACCTCCAGAATTGGCCCTGTATAGAAACGCGCTCTTGACTCGCGTTGATTGCATTTTTTTTTTGTCTTTTGATTCTTTTATTCTTTTTTAATATCCTAATATGGAACCCTCATTAAAGTTAGTTTCCAGACAAGTGGAAAAGATGGCTGAGCTAGAGAGATGCTAAAACAACGTTTTGTTATATACAAGTTTATTACAAGAGAAGGAAATGTTTAAAGAATAAAAAATCCCTGAACACAAACACATACAGTTAATAGCCACAATTATATAGCCACAGTTATATATCCACAATTACAGTTACAATTATAGTTACCATTACCATTACCATTACAGTTATAGTTACAGTTACAGCTAACAGGTATGGTTGTTATTCATGTATTCATTCTATCTATTCTATACTATACTATGTTATTTTATGCCATGTCATGCTATTATATGATATGATATGATATACGGTACTGTATTATACTGTATTATATAGCATTATAATATCATACAATATGAAACTATAATGCTATTTAATATCATTATCGGGCTATTCGTTTTGAAGGACCATAAATACTTGAGTCTGGTTTCCGTTTCCCTGCTTTTTTTAAAAAAAATAATAATAATCAAACATTAGTATACACATTCATTATTATTAACAGTTGATTTGGTTTGCTGATCAATCAACCCAGTTTACCTGACAGAATCGGTACTCTCACACGACTGGGTTCTTTCGGTCCGTCTCCCGTCTTGTCTTCCGGTGTGTCCTTTTTGTTTTCTGGTGTGGGTTCAGGAGGCGGACCTACCGAATTCCTTGTCTGTTGGGCAGTAGGCGCCGCTTCAAGTCTTTGCGACATTGACTCCCTCTCCTTGCGATTGGGTGAATAAGTTGTACACAAGCCAAAAAAAAAATATGAAAAAGAAAGAAGAAGTGACTTACTGTGTTTGCTGGTATGTCGGTTTGACAATCAAAATGACCAAGACGACGTTTTTCGGTTTCAATTTTGGCACCTGCTGACTCTACCAGTGATACAAGTGATGGGAGTTCTTGCCTCACCCGCTGGTGGCCTGACTCACCGCCCGCCCGCATAATGGCTACATTATCATTGATCTGGCACCAAACGTCGCGTGTTACATTATCATATACGTTTATATACATTATTAATATTAGTATTTTTTCATAGTTTTCATAATATTATTCATACAAATAATAAATATATATATATATATTACCTCTTTGACTATATCTTGTGTTTGTAGCAGCTGTTCTTTGGCTCCCTGTAATTGTTGAAGTCGTTTTACATCTTGGTTCAGTGAATTCTGGGCATCAGACTCTATAGTTTTATCTAAACCCTGGAAATGTAAAAACGGTGGTCAAGGTCAAATATATATATATATACATATACATATAGCTTTGTGCAAGTGTGAGCGCCAAATAGCTCCAGAATTATGTTTTTTAAAAAAAAGGATATCATTTGATAAGCTGTCTTGAAAGTCTTGCATTTGCTTCAAAATTTGCTTTTGAAATAAACTAGTCTTGTCGATTGTATCTTGGTGGAAAGATCTCATTCTAGTCTGCATTTGTTCTGTCACTGTTTTTTTACTGAGGATATAGCTGTGCTCACTGCCGAGGTGGTTTTTTATAAAATCTAAATCAATCTTCTTGACCTAGACAATTATATATAGATGTACATGCACAAGTTTGTTAATATCTTTTTTCTTTCTTTCTTTCTTTTGTGAATTAATAATTAATTGACTAATTAATTAATTAAGTAATGAACATACAAACAAAAAACAAAATCAAATAGAAATACGTACCAATCCAATAATACCGTTCAAATCGTTATCAAACCCATCAAAGAATGTATTGATATCCTTTGCTGCCAGACTGCTTTTGAGCTCAACTTCTTCTTCTAGTTTCATTCGAATTTGGCTCATTTTGTCTGCAAATTCACGTTGCATGTCCACACTTTGTTTCAAAAGAGCCTCCATCATCGACGTATTGTTTTGTAAAGATTCTAACAAAGCCACGCTGGTCTCTATATTGGTAGATTCCTAATGTTGGACAACATTGTTAATATATATATATATATATATTTCAATATCACACAGAAATTTCATTTTTGCAAACACAAGAGATACACAAACTGGACGTTTCTTTTTTTCTTTTTTTCTTTTTTTCTTTTTGTTTTTGTTTTTTTTTTTTACCTGCGAGTGCTTTCTGGAAAATTCATTAATTTTGACTTTCAATTTTTGGTCGATATTTCCAAGCGAGATCTACACAGTTTCGTTTAGTTGAGGTTAATTTAATTTTGTCTGATATAAGCTATACTATAATATGCCAGGCCAGGTTAGGCCAGTTTAACCTAATCTACTCTACTCTATTTTACTCTGCTTTGTTATTCCTTTGGCCTATTATGGTCTATGATAGCCCGGCCTGGCTTAGTAGAGTACAATATAATCAAATCGAATTGAATTGAATTGAATTGAATTGAATTGAATTGAATTGAATTGAATCGAATCGAATCGAATCCAGCCCAGTTCAGTTCAGTCCAGTCCAGTCCAGTCCAGTTTAGTCCAGTTTAGTCTAATCTAGTCTGGCCTAGCCTAATCAATCTAGCCGGGCTTGTTCGTTGGTATCTAACACAATTGTATTCTACTCACAAGTATATGTTTGAGTTCGGATTCTTTTCCCATAAGCAGTTCTGTCTTGGCCTTAAGATCGTCTGATTTTGCTTTTAGCGACTCTCTAAACTCTTCAACCTGTTTACTTAATCTATCGATATCCAATCGTCTCGTTTCGTTCTCTGTAATCATCAAATCATAACTCTGTTGAGACAACCGAACGCCCTTTCCATCTCTTGTGGCCTAATAAGAATTTTCTAGGCATTAGTAAAGAAAGCAATATACATATACATATCCATATATATGTATGTATGTATAATTGTGTGTCTATACCTGTAAATCTGCCTTTAACCTTTCTATGGTTGTCTCATACTCATGCAAAAGCAATCTTGGACTCATTTGTTCATTGGCCTGAGGTCTGTTTTGGATATTCTTTGCTCTGCTTGCATAATCCAGTGTGCTTACAATCTCATCATGATTAACTTTGGCCATCGAGACAGTCGCGATAATACATGTCTTTGTTCTTCCTCCAAGGGAATCTTTGAGTAAGAGTGTCAATTTGCTATCTCTACAAATATTTATTAGTACATGGCCAAACAAATTATAAAGGTATATATTGTATTTACCTATAAGGCACATGGCCAGCATGCTCTACAAGAAGATTGATCACTCGGCCAAGAGTAAGCAAGCTTTGGTTAATCATTCCTGCTTCACGAGCCCGTCCATTCTCAGCTCCAGATCGACTGATGTTCTCTGAGCCAGCAAGGTCCACCAGGTTAAGCTTTCCAACTTTTAAGACCTCATCACCTCCGGGCAAGGTTTCTTTGATCCGAACTGTCAATGTGAAAACAGAATGAGATCGGCTGCAAAGATAAGTACATGCATACCATAGACATATATACATATACATATTTTTTATATAAATTAATCAATTTTATACAATAATTTATTATTCACAAAATAATACAAAGTAAGCTATTATTTTATTTTATTTTATTTTACCTTGATTTGTCATTACACTTGGTTGTTCCAATGCTTCTGTACATGCTTCCCTTCTGCAGAATGTGCAATCCTTGAGAGGCATTTGTAATCAAGGATTCTTCCATTCCACGAACTCGTACACCGGCTCCACCTGACGGATCAAAAATACGTAAAGATTTGGTTTCATCACTTGGGTTCAAAAGGTCTCTGATTTCTTCGTTGTAGAGTTCTATCAGAGATACTCGGACAGAATACTCTGCTCCTTGTGCATCCAGGGTTTCAAACAGTTTGTAGATTGTACGTGGTATAATTCCAGCTTCCGGACCATGTTTTCCAGCATGATCAGACAAATCTCCTTCCATGGTATATCTATACATATTCATGTGTTTGTCTGTTTAAATTCTACGATATATCTTATCCTTATTTACGTTTTTCCGGTTCCTGTTTGTCCATAAGCAAGAATTGTGCAATTGTAACTAGGTTGATAATTATTATTATTATTATTATTATTATTATTATTATTATTATTTTTGAAAAAGAAAATAAGAGAAATTACGCACATGAATAAATTAGTTGTCAAGGTGAATAAAGAAGAATAAGAAGATCAATGCATTTCTTTTTGGGTAATTTAATTAATTGAATAAAATATACATATGTATATATCTTGGTGTTCTTATTAATTTAGTTACTACTATTGTATTCTTCTCACCCTCTCAAAACTTCATCGAGTATAGGTTGTGCAACTTCATTGTAAACGTGTTCTTGGGTTGATTGATCATCAAACACATGATCAAATGAATAAACCTTTTTGCTCGACTTTAGGCGCACATTACGTTTTCGCGATTCCACAACTTCGACTTCGACAGGAGAATTGAGTGCTCTCTCATGCTCATTGAGACCTCTAGAGTTTGATGAATTAATAAAGAACTGGTGCGATCGTGAAGGAATTGATCAAAGCGGATCTATGATGACTTGCCGGCATCGCAAGACAACTTGGATATTTGTCCCTTTTTCTTCAATACTCTTTCTGTTTCTTCCAGTCAGTTCAGAAGCTCTTGATTGCCTGGACATGAAGTACTGTATATTAAAAAAAAAGGAAGGAAGGAATAAAATAAATTAAAAAAAATTATATATAAAAATATAAAGAGAGATAGAAAAGAAGCGGCGTTTTTTTTTTTGGTTTTTTTTTTTCTTTTATTTAATATATATAAAAAATTATATATATAAAAAAAATTATTAAAATTAGAGGTAGAGTTAAAGGGTTGAGGTTAAAAGATAAGGTAAAGTATGCAAATATGCAAGTATGCAAGTGAATAAGTGAGTAAGAAATACTTTTAGAAAAAAATAAAATAAAAGAAGTGCCTGATTTGTTCAATGCACAATTTAGTGACAAGGAGACGTCACACTGCTAACTAACATGGAAGTGGAGGCTTTTTGTTCCACAGCTACACTCCGTCCATTGAGCTTTTCTTTTTTACTCAAAAAGTAAAATAGGGTCCAAACAGGAAAGAACAATTGGGTTTAACAAAGCTAGAATTTCAATTGATTTTAAAGAAAAAGGCTGTTGATATTAATACTGGTATTAATTTCTTTCTTATTTGAAGGGAGGGATGTCCTCTTCATTTTGATTTATTAAAGCTTGTATTTTAACATTGCCTTTGTTCTCTTGATTTTTTTTTTTTTTTTACGAAAAAAAGTGCAAATAAGACATGAACAAGATATTGGATCTGCTTGTCTTTTTCTGCTTGTTTGTTTGTTTGTCTGTTTGTTTGTCTGCCTGCCTGTTTGTCTGTTCGCTTGTCTCTTTCATGCTATGTCATATAATCCGTAGGGATTTACCTTATGGTTGTACGTCTTTATCTTGGTTCATAAACTGGTCCAACATCGGCTGGATTGAATGATCAGATTCCTTGGTACAAGCATCTACTTTGGCACAAACATCTACCCTGGTTTGACTCACTAAGTCATATATATACACATATACATATACATATATATACAAGTGTGGGTGTGTGTATGTGTATGTGTATGTGTTCATATGTTCATACGTTCATATGTGTTATATGTGTGTTGTCATGAGCATAAAAATCAACGACAAACAAGAGTAGAAAGCAGAAAGCAAAAAGTGGAAAGCAGCAGCAAAAATAAAATAAAATAAAATAAAATAAATTCCCTTCTCATTTAAAAAATTCAAATTACTCACATATCTTCAATAGACGGCCTTTGACCAGCTTTTCTTCTTCTGCTTTCTGTCTGGCTTTTTCTTGCCTCTTACTCTTTTTGGTATCCGGCTCCACTGATGTGTCTTCTACGGCTTTCACTAGAACCCAAAAAAAAAACATGTAAAAAAAAACTACTCCACAAAACGCAAATTTGGTTTGGCAGAAACTTACTCTTGTGAAGCTTTGTCTGTCTCTTTTGGATCGGTTTCTTCTTGTAGCTAGGTCTCTATACTCATCATATTGAGTATATATTTCTCTTTAAAGAAAGGGTTTGGTTTGTTTGACCTTATACATTATATATATATATATATTGCTTTTGATCTGTTTTATGTACCTCGTCTATGGTATCAATATTGGCTTGTGTGTCATCTTCGTCTTCATCCAATTCCTTTACTGTCTTTGGAATAATCGGCTGTTTTGGCATTCCAAAGGTTCCTTCTTCTATTTCTTTCAAGATTCGATCGCGTTGAGATTGATCTTGAAAAAATGGACTTTTTTCTTTGACGTCGGATGACCTATGTTGCACTACACAGGGATCTTGTGGGCCAAGCATCATGACCATAAAGTCTTTTACAGATTGAGGCAAGTCAGCATCAGAAGGTGCTGGTTTGATTTTGTGTCTGGTATGTGGCTTCTTGACTTCTACAGATCTATTGCTGTTTGGATTTGGTTCCATAAACTTTGTGGTTTTCTTTATAGATTCTTCTTTTTCTTCTTTTTTTTTTTCTTCTTCTTCTTCTGCAGTTAGCGCTGCTGTGGGGCGTCTTCGAAAGAGGTTATATACCCTCTCGAGGTTACGTTTCTGTTCCTCAAATTGTTCTTCAGAGAGTTCTTCGGGTTGCTCCACTTCTATCTTTTTGATCGGCTTCGTTTTCATCATCGGCTTTATCTTTTTGTTTTTCTGGCCCGGCGATTCATTTTCGTTTTCATCGTCCTGTGAGTTTGCGGCATACTTTCCTCTGGTTCGTTTTGTTGCCGACAGAGTTTGGTTTGTTTCCTCGGTACGAGTTGAACTAGACTGGTCTGGGTGAAGCAGTTTCCGTTGCCTTTTGAGCTCAATGTATTTTTGGTAAACCTCATCTACAGTAAAAACCAATTGGAATATGTGTATATATACATACATACATACATACGTGTAAGATTATTTATTTTATTTTATTTTTTGGTGGTTTATGTATTTTGGATCGCTTACCGATCGGTTGACCAATAATGTCAGCATCATCGGCACCTCGACCATGTTGACGCCTAAATCCGGCTCTCCAATCTATAATGTAGTTTCTCAATCTATCAATTGCTAATTCGCGTTTGTAGGCTGCCTTTTCATCGATTGAGTGCATTGTTGTTGGTTGTAGGTGACTTTTGTTTGTAAAGAACATAAAAAAAAATAGATCAATATAAATATTTAATATAATATTTTTTTTTAAACAAAACAAAAAAAAATTAGTACTGTCCGTGTGTCTATTTGTCTTAATTTGGATCAAATTAACAGTATCAATTTGGTTGGTCAGAGAACAAACGAATGTTCAATACAAAAGTTAATATGTATAAATTAGTTTTTTTTTTCCAATGGTTAAAAAAAAGGTATTATAAATTCGCATTTCTGTATCTATATATATATGTGTGTGTGTGTGTGTTTTTATTAATTATACTTCTTTAAAGTAAAGCCTATTAAGTTTTGAAGATACAAAGGAAGAAGTAAAAGTAGAAGAATGGTAAAGAAAAATGACAATTGCTGAGTATCTTTTATTGCTTGCTCAGTAAAAGTGAGCAACAGATGATGGCGAATTTCATATTCAAGAATTCTAAAGACAAGAATTTGATACACATTTGTAATCTTTTCATCTTACTAACACACACATACACGCATACATTCTTTTTTTGATATTATTTATTGTGATGAAGGAAATTGTATGAATCTAACTAGAATTACAAGATTGCTAAGATATCTTTGGTAATAAGGCGTCTAATATTGAGCACAGCAACTCTGTCTATCAATTGTGTTAGTGTGTGTTTGCTTGGTGTTTATTCTTTATTCCTATAGTGGAATTTTAATTAAGCACTAATTGTTCTCTCTTTTTACATACACTGTAAGAAAAAATACGCCAGGTTCTTAAGAAGACCTGGCAACTGGCACGTAGAATAGTTTTAAGAGGCAATGTAACTAATTACGATACTATTAAGAGGAGAGACGTTCAAGCTATATAGTCTCCACGTCCGGGCTTTTAGCTAGCACAAATTATAATCCTTTATGGAGGTGTAGCAACAAGGGGCAGTAAGTTACTTCAGGAGGATACGTTCTCGAGACAATCGATGTGCCCTCCAATAGTTAGGGTAAGTCAATTATTAGTCAAGCTTTATTTCGACTATTATTAGGCTCACATCATCTAGACTATCAAAGATATGAATATTCAAAAACAAAAGTGTTAATATAGTGCAGATAGCATTAAATACAAAGTTTTGTATTATTTCATGTTCATTCGATATCAAAGGTATGTTATTTTAAAGTACTTGGACGCTTACTGAGGATATTTTTCAACTGTAATTTCGGCAGAATTCTATTTTTCAATGAATTTGAATAGTAACTTTTTAATAAGGGTATGATCCCCAGATGTACATGCAAAACATTGTAACACTAATGACCAAATAATAAATGTCTATTGGCCAAGAGACAGTTGTAAGCTTTACAACTTTTGAGCGAAATATGTAAGGGTGGTTTCTTAAATCCTGTCATTTCTTACAGTGCTAGTCAAGAATATTTTATATACTTTTCTTTTTCCCTGCATATTCACTCGCTAAACTATCTCATCTCTTTATCTCTTTATTTTTTCTGCCTCTATTTAGATAACTTGCTTGAATTTGTAATTTTCAATATATTAAGAGGATATTGATACACATTCTTTAAACGACAAACAACAAGATTTCTTTTTGGCATATCCATATATATATATGAAAGAACAGGGCTGTTGAGCATTAGTATCTTAAATTTTAGATAACCATGCTTATAATAAACTATAAGAGGACTCAAAATAATATTGATAATATTGATTATAATAAAGGGGTATAATAAGGAGAAGAAGGAGAAGTGAATAGTAGTTTCTGCAAACTTGGTACATTACCAAACTTTTTGCACCAAGTGAATCTCGTGCTTAGTAATATTGTTACTATAAGAAAGAAAGTAAAATAAATAAAATCCTGGTTTGTGGACCAAACCTCCTCTCCATCTGCCTGTCTGCCTATCTGCCTGTCTGCCTATCTGCCTGTCTGCCTGCCCTTTCTTTTTTCTTTTTTTTTTGGTTATTGCACTATTTACATAATAAGCACGTTTGACAATTTGGTTTGAATAATTAAAAAAAAAAATAGAATAGAATAGAATAGCAAGGTAATAAATAACATGGAACAAATTCCGGATCTTCTGCCACTATCATCATCATCCAACATCACCACACCATCTTGCTCTTCCTCTGGCTATCTTGTTCTTACTTTAATTTATTCATTGCTTAATTCAAACCAATACTAGAAAAAGGAAAATGATATATCCATTTAACTTTCTTCTTTTTTATTCTTCACAGGCTTATATCTCGATTCAGTTCAATTGCATTACAGTGCAGATTACATACAGTATATTGCCCAAGACAGAATATTCGAATTACTTATTTTTCTTTTGAAGAACTAAAGATTCTGTTAAATACTAAAAATGAAGAAAAAAGAAATCATTTTACCCATTTCTCGGAATTTATTTATGTGTGTACTTGTTCGATTGTCTATATTCTATTTAGTCTGTTCTTTCGATATTCAATTGTATACAGACAATTAAGTGTTAAAGGTTGTAATCGGTAATTTGCTTTATATAAAGATAAACAAGAGCAGAAAAATAAGAAGGATATAAAAAGGAGGTATATTTGTTCAAACGAACTTATACAATGTAAATGTTATGTATGGTGTATAAAGAAAAAGAAAGATGTGTATGGTGTATAAAGTGATGCGTATAATTGATTGAGGTTAATGTTGAGGTTCAAGAAGTAAAAAGAAAAAAAAAGGTTGGATAAGTTGTAAAGAAGATATATATAGAAAGATGTGAATGTTCTATTTTTCATTATCGATACTCTCTCTAGAGGCTTTTATGAGAGGAGCAAGTGAAGGTAGAGGATCTGCTTTCAAGAGAAATGGATGTTGAAGCAGCTGCCCTGAGGAAGGTCGCAGTTCTGGGTCGACGCGCAGGCACTTTGCTAAAAAGTCCCGGAAGATCTCACTCAATGTGTCTGGACTCTGCAATTGAGGTGTTCCATTGGTTGCGATCAAGTAAAGGGCTCGAAGGGGATTTTCGTTCAGATAGGGCGGTTCTCCTTCGACCATCTCGATTGCCATCACACCTAATGACCAGATATCCACCTTGTGGTCGTATTCTTTACGATTCACTACCTCGGGTGCCATCTAAGTGATATATACATATTCACATCAATAAAATCTTACAAATGCATTCTCGTATTCTTACTACTGTTCTCTATTGCTCTCTTCCCCTTTGATATATCTCTCTTTCTCTTACTCACCCAATAAGGTGTTCCAACCATGGTTGTTCGTTTGGCTTCATTATCGTGAAGCTGTGCACAGAATCCAAAATCGGCTATGAATAAATAAGATTAGATAAGATACCTGAATAGACTGTTATCGTTCCTCTTTGTCAGTTTCTCTTATTATACTCATTGCTTATATACATATATACATGTGGCATAAAATATAGTTTTTTTTTCTTTCTCCCTCTGTCCCCTCATTCCCCCCCCCCCCCCCCCCCCCTTCTCTCTCTCTCTCTTTCAAAAAAGAAACAAAAAGGACAAAAGTAAGCAAGACTTACTAAGTTTGATATTTCCTTCAAGACTGAGGAGAACATTATCACTCTTGATGTCTCTATGGATAACGCCGTGTGAGTGAAGGTGGTGTAGACCTTGTAGTACCTCGCGACACACGGCTGCGATCTGGCCTTCCATCATCATATTGCACGTAACGACGTCTGTCAGAGATCCACCCTCCATGTAGTCCATTATCACCCAGAGATCTCCCTTCCAGAGATAAGAATCAATAAAGTTGACAATATTGGGGTGTCTTGCCTCCTTCATCACAATAATCTCATTGATAATAAGCTCCTTTTTGGCTTGTTTGGCCAGGTTCATTTGTTTGATGGCTACGGGAATCGGATCACCTACACGGTAAGCAGTGTAGACACCGCCAGATGCTCTATAAACACACAAATAATGAGAAATAGAAGAAGAAAAAGGTTTTGCTATACGAATTTCTCTTTCTTTTCTTGTTCCTTTTTTTTTTAAAAAAAAAAAAAAAAAAAAAAAAAAAACACCCACACATAACATCCTTTCTCTCTTGCTCTTCCTCTTGCTCTTGCTCTTCTTCTTCTTCTTCTTTTTTCTTACTCAAAATATTAAGACTTACCCCTGTCCAATCTTGACCATATTGCTGTAGAGAGCAGAAGGATCAACACAAGCACATATTTCCATGAGTCTGTCAATGACCTCAGTGTCCTTTGCATTGTGCCGCTCACTTGGTCTGCGTTGAGCAGCCGGGGGTGTACTTGGATCTGGAGAATGAAGTACTTCTGAAATTGGGTCTTCGGATTGAACAACTTCCTTAACTTGCTCGGAGCGAGAATCGTACACTGTATACAAAAATAATAATTAAAAAAAAGAGAGAGAGAGAGAGAGAAAGAGAGAGAGAAAATTGAATAAAATGTTGTGAGTTAGATCTTATATTTCTATAAGAGCAACAACCAGAACACTTGAACTTACCATGTTTATCAGTTGCTATAGAGGCCTATTTTAATTATTATTATTATTATTATTATTATTATTATTTAGGAAAGTTAATTTAATAAAATATAAATAAAAATAAAAATAAAAATAAAAAAACTTACTGCCTTTGTATGGCTAGGTTTCTTTCCATTCTGTGACAGTTTGAGCTTAGAGAGGTGTTTCAAGGGGTTGCTGCTGGTAGTTTTTGCACTGTTGGAATATTTGAGACTCCCATTCTGTGAATTGGATTGTTTTGGGGTCGATGATGCCTTTGGGATCTTATGCCACACATCCTCGCTTTGAGACCGAGTGCCCTGATAAAACTCAATGGCATCAATGACTGCCTACAAAAGTAAAGAAGTAAAGAAGAGTATTAGAAAATTAGATTGTGTATAGATTTAGATGTATACACATACAAATGTGTATAGTTGATTATCATTATTATTTAAAGAAGTATATATTTTAAAGAACAAAAGCAAAGAATAAAATAAAAGAGTACTAATATTATTATTATTATCTTTTATGATGATGATGATAATAATGATAATGAGGATGTTGTTGATGTTGTTGTTGTTGTAGGTAGTATTTACTTGTGGATTCTTTTCTTGTTCCATACGAGTTATTCCACTCTGCTGTAAAAGAGTCTGCCATTCGATGGGTAGCCCGGTAAATTCTCCGGAAGAGGCATCATATCCAACATGAGTTACATGTTTGGTATTGTAGGGTGTTCCAATTGCCATGGTCTTGTTTGCAGTGTGAGACGATAGGAGATCTTGTTATATATATATATCATTTTTTTTATTCATTTATTCATTTATTCATTCATTTATTCATTCGTTCGTTTATTCATTTATGTGCGTGTGCGTGTAGGAATGAATATTTGATATAATTGTATATATAAATATATGTTTATATTGGTTTATTAAACAAAAAGACAAAAAAGCATGAAAACGCATATATACCTATATACCTATATAACCACACACACACACACACACACACACACATACGCTCATAAAAAGAGAAACAAAGAGAGAAAAAACGCAAAAAAAAACTCTCGAAACTCAAAACCGAAAAACCGAAAAACGCAAAAAAAAAAAAAAGAAAGACATATAAGCTTACCGTTTAAACCATCGACCATTTTAGTCATAACTCCTTTAAAGGTTGTCCTGTCTCGAGGCTTTCCAAGGATAGTATCGTGGGTTGAGCTTCGACGAGAAGAAGAGCGGGGTTGAGAATCGGCAGAATCGGATTGCATAACGAGTGTGACGGACGATGGGCGGACAGGTTGGTTACTCAACCCTTCTGAGGAAGTAGAAGCAGTCATAAAGAAGAATAAGAATAAGAGAAAAAAGGGGGAACTGATAATAAGAATAAGAGTAGAAAAAATATATAGAGATAATGGATAATAGATAATAGATAATATTAAGAATAATATATATAATATTTATATATACATGTAAAATAGTAATAGTAATAGTAGTAGAGGAAGAGGAAAAGGAAAGAAGAAGAAGAGGAAGAAGAGGAAGAAGAGGAAGAAGAGGAAGAAGAGGAAACCAAAACCAAACCAAAACCAAAACCAAAAGAAAGGAAAGGAAAAGAAAAGGAAATAGAAATTAGGGTCTTTCTTTCTTTCTTTCTTTCTTTTTTTTTTTTTTTTTTTTTGGTCTGTGTATGTAGGTAGTTTTTATGCGCTTACTTTTATTTTACTTTATTTTTTATATGGTATTTTAGGAGTCGCTCACAGGACTTGGACTTGACCTTTCTGGTTTTAGCACAACTTGTTCACATCATCATAAGCAGCACTAGCAGTACTAGCAGTACCAGCGGCACCAGCAGCACCAGTAGCACCAGTAGCATCAATTGACTCTGTCCAGAAAAACATTTTACGATATGCTCACGTGATTAGATCATAATTTATAGCATATATGTATATATATAAAGCAAAAAAGAAAAAAGCAAGGGTATCTGTGCTTTCAAGAGAGTAAGGGGAAGGGGTAAAGGGGAGCAATAGACAGACAGATTGACGGTCAGACAGATAGCTAGATAGAGAAAGGGATGAGCGGACGGATGGGTAGAGGAAGGGAGGAAGAACGAGAGAACGAGTAAGGAAGCAAGTCACAAAATGAAAGAGAGAAAGTGTGTGTGTGTGTGTGTGTTTGTTAAGGAGGGAGAAGGAAGGATGGGTAGAAGGATAGAAGGCGGGCGGGGGGGAATCATACGATTTACCACCGAGTAACCTTTCAGTCAGATGATTTTTAACCTACTGGGTAGAATGTTCAACCGCCAGTGATTTATAAATCAATCAAAATTTACCAATTCTTATATAAATCATATATCTATCTATCTACCTACCTATCTACCCATAATTTATTTAATTATTTATTTGATTCTCTCTTTCTTTCTTTCTTTCTTTCTTCTTGCTTTAACTACTGCTAAAAGTATTAAATTCTATTCTTCTCTATGCCTCGCCACATTCTCTTTGCCTACGACCACTCGGCTATTGCCAACCATGCTATCGAGTGGGCTGTCCACCACAATCTTCTCTTGCCCAATGATAATATCACCGTAGCCACTGTAGTCAACGAAGATATTGTTGCTATCGAAGGATCCTTTGGTCTCGAGGCTGCTGCCGTGGGTCCTGCAAACTGGATCGCTGATGACTTTAACCAGCGCGTCACCCAACTTGAAGAACACGCCAACAAAGCACTCGAGCAAGTAGTCGAGTGGTTCAGAACAAAGGGTGTAAGTAAATGAAAATAAATAAATAAAGCTATAGAGAGAGAGAGAAGAATAAAAACCCTCGAACAAGGTTACCTGATCTGATCTGAATTGACTTGACTTGACTTGATCTGATCTTAATTTTCTCTCTCTTTACTTCTATCTATCTATGATCTTATTTTATTGTGATCTTCAGTACAAGGCCACTCCAAAATTGCTGATTGGTGAACCCGGTGAAGCTCTCCAAGGTTTTGCTGAGGCCAGTAAGGTTGATATGGTGGTTGTTGGTAGCAGAGGTCTTGGATTCTTAAAGAGGTGAGACTTTTTCTATCTATTAAAATTCAAATTCAAATTCAAATTCAAGTGGGGATTTTGGTATATTGATTGATTAATCTATGATTGTGTAGACAACTTCTTGGATCTGTGTCCGAGTATTTGACGCGCCATCTCAAGTGTTCGGTTCTGGTGATCAAGGAAAAGCAGGAAAAAAGTGCCTAAAAAGAAGAAAGACAGATGCCTATAAGAGAATCCGTTGTTTTACACACACTTTCTCTCTATTTATTCTCTTTTACCCATATATTTCCTTACTATTTCAGCTGTATACCCTTTCATTAACACTAGTCTCAAAATAATTCAAAGCTAAATCTTGTTTTATTTTTATTTATTTTATTTAAAATACATATATAAAAATATCTATCTTGTAATACATTTATGACCAATTATATCGTGTGACCAAGACCTGCAGCAAATCCAGCAGCAAATGCCTGTAGTCTACTATCAATAGCCAGATTTCCCTTGTGTGAATTCTCCAGAGCTAATGAAATGAAATGAAATATATATATTTAATAATAATAAAAAATGGATGATGATGACGACGACGACAATGATTGTTATCTTTATTATTTAATATTATTATTCCAGTTTAATTTACTTTACCTGTCAAGTGTCCTTGTAGATCTTTTAATGGAAGCGAGATTGTTTGGAGGCTCCATTCGTCTTCTTCTAGTGACTGAACAACAGGATTCTGTGATGATGGTTTGGTTTGGTTTGATTGCTCGAGATCAATAATTGTAGACACAACATGACAGCGGGAATTCGTTAACCCAGGTTCGTAGCACATGCTTTGACTGTATAGATTCATATTCGATTGATCTACTTGATAACCGGTTTCTTCCATCAATTCTCGTTGTGCTGCCTCCAATGGACTTTCATTTGGATCAATAAGTCCTAATAAGCACAATATATATATATAAACCTTTTATATTCTTTTGTTTTCTTTTATCTACATATATATAATACTCAACACACCTGAAGGAAACTCGACACAGTAACATTCAATTGCAGGTCTACATAAATGTATGTATATATACATATAAAGAAATATAGCTTAGAAACATACACTTATTGTACGTACTAAATGTGTTCTATAGTGTACTATGATACACTGAGTACAATGAGTGCATTGTGTACCTGTATTGAATCACAAGTAATAATTCGGGTTCAGGTGTTTTGAGAATGCAGTGAATGTCAACAGCTATAATTGTCAATTATTAGATTTTATATATATAAAAAGGTCTTTTTGTAAAGGGGGAGGGCTCAATGAGAGTCGTACCATCTACACCATTAGGATCCTTCTTTTTTCGAACACATCTTTCCCATGTACGCAAGATGCCATTCTTGTCTTTGTAGTTTAGTAATTCAAGTTTGAGCCAATTGCCCTGTCCTAATACTTCGACAGGAGTGGTTTCTACAGGTACAAGTGGAAGCATAAAAGATACCTTTTTTATTTGTTTATATATTTTGAAAAGATAAAAAAAATAAGATATAATACAGGTATAGAGATAAATGAATAATAGAAATGTTTTTTTTTGGGCTTTATTTGTATGCAAATACGTGTGTGTGTAAAAGGTAAAAGGGTCAGGTTAAAAAAAAAAAGAAAAAAAAAAGATAGGCATATATTAGGGGAGTTCAACAGTCTTATAGACTTTTTTTTTCTTTAAAAAAAAATTAAAATTTAAATTGAAATTAAAAAATTAAAAAAAAAAGAAAACTTGATTTAAATTATTGTCCAATAAGCAGCGGTGTTTTTGATATTTGATGCTAAATTAAAAGAAAAGAAAAGAAATAAGGGGAGTTCAACACTTTAAAGTCTCTAAACTTAAGCTCTGAGTTTACATTCCAAAGATAATTGGCCAATATTAACTTATAGAGATTTTTTCTTTGAAATTTTATTTTTTTAAAAAAAAAAAAACTGTTGAATCCCCCCCTCCCCTCTTTTCCTATCGTCAATTAAAATTATAGTTTTTCAACTGTAATTCTGTAATTCTGTAACTCTGTAATTCTTTAATTCTTTAATTCTCTTTTATTTTTTATTTTTATTTTTGGGTGGATGGTGCAAGGCATCCAAGAATGGAAGTTAGAGCAAGTATAAAAGTAAAACTTTACCCGGCTCTAGTAAATAGGTTTTATTGAGATTATTAAATCATGTAATAATGTGGTTTATCTTGCGTGTTGTCGTAAGATTGAAATGAAATGAAATGAATTGGATTGGATTGGATTGGATTAAATTGAACCGTAATTAAACAGGGTGCGATTACATTATACACATGTGTATATATTTGTGTCAATTTTGTACTTATTTAATTTGTAATCTTGTCTTGCCTTGCCTTGCCTTGCCTTGCCTTGCCTTGCCTTTTTATTTTGATTATGAATACCAATCAATTTTTTTTTTAAATTTTTTTTTCTCTCCCACACACCCACACACTTCAAACACGCTATAAGAACTAAGATACAAATCCCCTTATTTTCTTCCTACTATTAATATTATCAAGTTTATATCTTTATTGTTTGTTTCAAGTTGGCTTGATGATATTTATTTATCTAGCATTTCCTTTTTCTGGTTTTCTTAAATATACCGATATAAACGGTTTAACCAAGTAACTGACTAAGCCGAGGTTTGTTACCTGTCTTACGAACAATATTTCTCAGAATGTTTGTATTGGCTATTTGAATGAACACACAGACACACAGACACAGAGGCTTTTTTGTGTGTGTGTGTGTTGTCAAGTTCCGAAGGTTACAACAACAGAAAAGAAAAATGGTAGGAGACACAGAAACACAAATACTGTATATAATATATATATATATATATGTATTTATGTATGTATGTAAAAGATAGCTTCATTATCAGACAAGTTAATAAGATTGTAATATATGTATTTGTATATGTTTATATAAGTATATATGGATATACAAAGAAAGAAATAAGGAAATAAAGACATAAAGAAAGATAGCTGTTCGGTCTTTTGCCAGGTTTATCGGTGTGTACATGGTAGGAGGAACAAAAGGGCTGAGATGATCTTTAGAATACAAAGATATCAAAAGAAGCAATTGGTTTTGTGGTACCCTTCATATTAAAATTGTTCCTGTGGATTTATCCAACGAAACAAAGAATTGCAGACATTAGATACAACCCCAAAAGTATTTCATAACCTTAACAGCCTTAACACCAATTGATGTGCGTTATGGCTAATATGTACACAAAAGGTAATCCTCCCACTATAGCTATGTATCTATGTATCTATGTATGCACAATATACACAATTATATAAATAATAAAGTATAAATCAAATACAGATACAAAGAAACAGAAGAAAGGATATATAATTTATAAGCACTCGGCTCTTTTTTGATGCTGGCCTGCTCTTGTTGGTCAGTAAGAGAAAAGAGGAAGTTGATAATAGGCCTTTATTGCCTGATTAAATATAACAAAATAAAATAAAATAAAAATCAGCCCAGTGTCTAAAGAGTGTGTACTTCTTGTAAGGCAAAAAAAAATTATCAATTTATCCTCTCAACCGGTGACAAAATACTTCTGGAATGATTTTATATATTTTTTGCCGATAACAAACCATATACGATAATGTGCTTTCTAATGTGCATACATACATTTTATGTTAAACCTAGTTTGGTTCTATATAAAGAGGAGAGGTTTCTTTTTAAGCTTAATTTTCTTTCTTTCTTTCACTCTTTTTACTAATCGGCGTTTGCATTAAAGCGCCCACTCTTGCACACATTCGATAGTCAAGAAGATCGTCTATTGATTAAAGAAGTATATAAACCAACTCTTTCGGTGTGTGTGTGTAATATTTTTGTATTATTAATAATAAATTTAATATTAATATACCAAAAAAAAAGCATCAGATTAACCTACGCACGGGTTCAATTGCTAAAAGATGACTATTATTTATATAGTGAATGGTCAACTATTGATGTCATACAAGGTACAATCATCACTCATCATTCATCAATGTATATTATATTGTATTGTATCATATTGAAATTATTAAAAGAAAAAGAAAAATATTAGAATCTTGTCAGGGTTCTGATTTCCCTTGTTTTAACCTTGACAACCGGTTCACTACCCCCCCCCTTTTCTTATTTTTATTTTTATTTCTATATTGAATATTTAGTCTCTTTCCTGCTTTTAACAAGCAAACAAACAAACAAACAAACAGACAAAAGAGCTCTTTCTTTTGAATCTTTTTTTTTGAATCTTTTTTCCTTTTCCTTTTCTTTTTCCATATATTTTTTTTTGAGTTCTTACTCAGGACGCATTTTAGTTCTCCGGCTAAATAGATATTTTGACCTGTTTATGTTGTGCGTATTTTTTTTATATATAAAATATAAAATAGGAATGCGGGGAAAGATAGAATCTTAAATAAATAAAAATTTTCCTTCTATCTCTTGCTTATTGTGTGTACCTATACATAATCCGCGGAAAACATTTGGTTGTCCTAGAAATAAGCGGCATTATGAATTGATGTGATATGATTTCTTTTCTTTTTGGGGGTAAGATATCAAGTCAACCCACCAAAGCTTAAAAAATAAATAAAAATTAATATCATAAGAAAGAGTTGGACCCCATGGCTTGAGGAATTGATGAACACACAATCAATTATATAATCTGATAGAAATATAGAGCCAGACAAACCTAACCAGTGAATATAAGCGTGTGGGTCTGTGTGAGTTTTGTTCGTTTTGCATTTAATGATACACGATCCCAACCTTGACAGGATGATGTTTTTCGAATAAAATATAAATCATAAGATTATCAGTCAATCATACTGGTCAGTCTTACTGGTCAGTCAGTCAGTCTTACTGGTCAGTCAGCAAGTCATTTATTTATTTTTGGGAAGAAATCAGATAGAAAGAAATGATATATTAGCCGTCTGATGATTTGAAATTACTTGGAGACCCAATGAAGTGAATAAATATCTAGATCAAAATCAAAATCAAAATTAAAATCAAAACCAAGAAAAGACGATCGATACACAGATCCGACTATATTCCTTTTCTATATCAGTATGTTATGCTATGTTATGTTATTATTATTATTATTACTATTTTGCCCAATTGGTTTGGCGTTATTTAGCCTGCAGTACATCGTCACCATACAAAAGAAGACGAAAAAAAAAAAGTATATATATATAAATAAATAAGATGTATAATAAAGAGGTTTTCTTATTTTATTGGATTTTATGTTTAAAAGGAAAGCTACACAAAAAGAAATAAGGAAAGATACCAAGACAAGAAGTACAATCTTGGAAAGCGTTTCAAGACCAACCCATTAAACAAATAACAAGGGCTTGTAACCACCTATTTTATATATATATATAAATAAATAAATAAATAAATAAATATAAAATCATGAGCCTATTTATTTAATCTATATATAAAAAAAATTAATTTTATTTTATTTAAATATTTAAATTTTTTTTTCTGTTTATTTATTGCTATTTATTTATTTTTTGTTTCATTTCATTTCATTCTCTTTCTTCTTTACCCTCTTCCTGGCTCTTTGACTTTGGGGTCTTTAATATAATACAATATAATATAATATACATATAAACAACAACACTAATATCAAAATGGAAAACCCTTACGCGTGTCACAGTGCTTCACTTGGTGGTGTTCGCTACACTCCTCCTTCACCTTCAGGCCTCTTTGATGTATCCTTCAAAGACATACCAAAACCAAAACCCACAAAGACATCATCTTTTAAAAAGCCAGCACCATCATCCTTACCATCATCACCATCATCATCCACACCTAAACCAAGACCAAGCCAAAATTCAACCCAAAACCCAAAACCAACCAACACAAAGTCGGCCCGCAACCCTCATTTGACACGCCTGTCCCACCCGAGCAGCAGCGTCACGCGCTCCCAGACTCTTCGGTCCCCAACCGATCCTGGCCTGCTGCGTCTAAACAACAAGACAGACCTCACCAGGAAAAAGAAGTCATCCCAAAAGGAACCCCCGGTTGCCTGGACAACCGCGTCCACCCTAGAACCCTCAGAACAGTCGCCATGGACACGTGCAGATGTCATTCATGCCATAAAACAGCACCATCTACAACAAATCAAAGCACTCGACTCACTCATCACCATCCCTCACACCAAAACCATTGACGACAATAAAAAACCATGCTTGGTATTACCAACTCTAGAACAGGCTTTTGGCGAACTCCAGGTCACCAGCGCCCACCTCATCGAACAACAACTGATGGTCATCACTCAAACCCTTCAGAGAGACAGCCAAACAATCGCTGCCGCAAACATTGAATTGAAAAACCAGGTCAGCCAACTGCAGCACAGCCACGTGGCCTTAAAAGACCAGGCTGCTCATCTCCAGGCTGCCCTCACTCAGGCACAGCTTGAAACCCAGCGCACCAGGTCCTCATTACGCGCAGCAATCGATGCACAAACAAAAGCCGAAGACGACCACGAACGGTTACGCATGGCCCACGCCAAGTCCGAATGGGACCTTTTAGACACACGCAAAACCTTGTCTCAATACAAAGCCTGCTTTGGCGCTCTTGTTCCTCAGAAGGGTAACACAGGCGGACCACTACAATACCAACAACAGTCAAAAGGTGACCAGAAATCATTGTTGGACGAAGCACGACAGTCCAACGCAGAACTCAAAGCCCGGATTGTGACACTCGAGGAGAAACAAATTGAACTCGAACAAGAGTGCATGGCCCTGATGGATGACATGTTTGATCTCGAACGAGACCACGGGGTACTGCCAGCATCACAATCATCAAGAACTGTTGATGATAGCCGTCAACAGAACCAGCTCGAGCGTTACAGACTCCAGGCCGAAACTCACCACAAGCGATACCTTGCGCTTGAAGAATCCACAAAGGCCAAGATCGATGCCTTACAGACCGAGCTAGCCGAAACAGAGGCTCTTTTGGAATCCCGGATCTTAGTTGAGGCCGAGTTGGAAACATCCTTGGCAATCGAGCGCCGGAGGGCTGACCAACTGGCCGAAAAGAAACACTTGAGCGAATGGCTGCCCCTCTCTCCGGTATCCCTCTCCTTCTCCCAGAGCACAGAATCTCTTCATGAATCAGCAGTACTGTATTGTGAGATCTGTGAGGTCGAAGGCCATGATGTATTAAGTTGCACTGCTCACCGTTCAGACTATGACATTCTTGAACAACTGGTAAGCATCTAAAGCTTTACAACTATTTCTCATTATTAATTTATATATATATATATATATAATCATTAGTATTGTGAAAACTGTGATTTATATAACATTCACTCTACTCATGACTGTCCTAACCACGACGAGATGTTCTAATGCACTTTCCTACTCACGCACTCATCTCTACTCTCTTACCTATTCACAAACACGCACACTTAATTACTATTACTCCTACTCTTACTATTACTTCTTTTACTTCTTTTACTTTTTATATGTCTTTTTTTTGAAAACAAAAGATGTATATTTATACATACAAAAAAAACCAAAAAAAAAGAAGAACAAGAGGAAATAATATACATATACCTACATACATACACATACATACACACCCACACACACACACATGTAAGTCTCTTTATCAACCTCAATCTATCTCTATATATCTCATACATATACATATATACATATATATATGTATGTATGTGCGTATGGATGTATGTGTGTATATGTATATATACATATACCTACTGCAGCCTGCTGTTATAAACACTAGCTTGTTTTCATTTCATTTCATTTCATTTTGCTTTTATTTATCTATTTATTGATTATTACTATTACTATTACTATTACTATTACTATTACTATTACTATTATTTACTTTTGCTTCTTCTCCTTTCTCTTCCTCTTTATCCCTCCTCTTCTTCTTTTCTTCATTTCTGCTCATTACATATACGTTTGACATTGTGTGGTACAATGCCAGAAAGAATAAATAAATATTCCTTGTATCCTATACAAAAAAAAAGAAGAAAGAAGAATCTGTTCAAGTAGTGCAAAAATTAAAAATAAAAAAATAAAAAAGCTAAAATAAAATCGTACGAATTGAATTACTCTAGTTTCTTTTTTTGTTTATTTTCTTTTCTTTGTGGAGTAATAATTGTTACAGTTTCTGCAATACAAGGAGTCATGTACACACTATAGAGCCTATAATTATAATATACATTTTGGTATTGAACTGTATAAGGATAGATATTAAAGTATAGCCAAGCCAAGTGGAAGTATTTGTGTAATTTCAACTTGGGATCGGGTGTATAGAAAGAAAGACAAAAAAATATTTGTGTGTGCTTGTGTGTGTATCTGGTAATAATAATATCTTGTTTTTGTGTGGGGTTGATCTACAACCTCAGTCCCTGTCACTATAGCAACAGCAATAGAAAAAGAAAAAAAAAAGAAGAACTGAAATCTAAAAGGAAAGGCTTTATAGATTGTGCTGTGTTACACTCGGATGTATTGCCAACTCTTCTTGCTTGCTTGCTTGCTTTTATTTATTTATATATTTTACATGTCAGAATCGATGGCTACACGGGAAATTACAATGCCAACCTCATTATTATTATTATTGTTGTTGTTGTTGTTGTTACTAATGTTATTGTTATTGTTTTTTTCTTTAAAAAAAGAAAGAAAAGACAATTTTGGTCGTTGACAAGGTTGCGCAGGTTAAAAGACTACGCATTCCCGGAAGGGGGTTGTAAAGAGAAAGAGAAAAAAGAGTTTCCAGAATAACCAAAAGTATGGTTCTTTGGCTTGAAATATAGTAGCTTTTTCTTTCAATTATTCAACAAGGAATACAAGGACACAAGAACGGAAAGAATTTACGATTCAAATGCGTAACCAGAGTTTATCAATATTTGTCTTGCAAACTACGATAACAAAGATAACAATGTCCTGTCACTAATTTTTTTTTCTTAGTTATTTATTTTGGCAGAAGCCTAAAGCCTAAAGCATAAAGCATAAAAGAAAGAAAAATAAAATACTTCTTTTTTTTATATTAACCATTAAATAAGCTTCTTTTTCTTAAAAACAATAGTAATAGTAATAATAGACATTCAGTTATTCTTGCTCAAAATCCTTACGTCTGTCTACAGCTAGTATTATTTTGTTGATTATTTCTTAAATATTCTTTTAAAAAAAATCTAATTGATACAGAATACACTTGCTAAGGAAACATCATAATAAAAATCATGATTTATACTTTTATATAAGCTCTTTCCGGAAATTATTTGCACAAAACAAAAAGTGGTGCAAAAATTGAATGCACCAAATGCACCAATAATATTTTTTTTTGCTTGATCGATCTAGATTTATAGCTGTTTTTCTATTTTTAATAAACAATTTCTTCATTTCGACGATAAGTTCTGCATTACAAAGATTCATAGTGCTATGATTTTGCTTCCCTTCACTATTATCGCTATATCGAACTTTGACTGCAATTACATTTTTGAAGCCCAAGGTGATATTTTATCCATACTACTATATGTCAAAGCAAGAAGACCTTTTCTCTGCAGGGTTTCAAATATTATTATTATTATTATTATTATTATTATTATTATTATTATTATTATTATTATTATTATTATTATTATTAATATTTTTGGATTTGAAAATAAAATAAATATTACGATTGTCTAAATTAACAAGGTATTCTTCTTTCTTTTCGGTCAAAAGATAAGTATAGAAGTATATATAGAGCTATGTCCAAATAAAGAAATAACATAAAATATCGATATTGTGAATGTGAGTGAGAGTGCGTAGAATTAAAAAAAAAATCCTGGTTTTTTTTTTAGTCTTTAAAAAGAGATTGTCTCGGTCTCAAGTAGAGCAGCACTGTACCTTGGCCTCTTCCCTAGCCAGCAAGCCAGTCAACCAACCGATAAATAAATAAATAAATAAATAAATAGATAGGTGGATAGGTGGATAGGTAGGTAGGTAGATAGGTAGATAAATAGAAATGAATAAATAAATAAATAAATAAATAAATAAATGTAGATAGATGGATAGATAGATAAATCGATTGACCGATTGACCGATTGACCGATTGACGGACGAGACCGGTATACAGATAGACAGTCTGAAAGTCTAATGGATAGACCCATTTTAGCTTGAGGAAGAAAGTGGAATGGCTCGGGTGGGGTGGGTTGTGGGTGTGAGAAGCTCAAAACTACAGAGCAATTCTTCGTTTATGGTCATGATTGCTCCAAAATTGTCGAATTCTCCGCAGTAATTGGGTGCCGAGAACACTGTGACGAGAGTAAGCTCGTTAAAGAACTCATAGCCATCCTCTACTACCATGTGAGCACGACAGACAAGGTCAAGGTCATGCTTGGCCAGGAATTCGTTCACGATCTTCTTTCCAAAACAATACGAAACTCCCCGGTCGCTGTCTTCCCATTCCACTGCTGTCTCTGACGGATCTGACCAGAGAAGGTCGTTCAAGAGCCCATACTCAGGTACATCTGTAGGCCGCACTATGTTCCGGATATCGTCCATCGAATTGAGCGAAGGTGACAAGCCGCCGTGCACACAAAATATCTTGCCTGCTACCAGAGCAGCAATCGGTAGAGTATTAAACACATCTACAAATGTCTTCCAGATCCTAATCGATGTTCGTCTCTTGCATTCGTCGTAAAATCCATACACTATGCACATTATTGAACACCACCAATAGAATAATACATGTCAACATAATTAGACTCTTCTTCTTCTTTACTACTATTATTATTATTAAAATCAAATTTATACATGTACAAAAAATACACATGACAATACAATACAATGTAAAAAGGAAAATAGAGCAAAATAAGGCAGAGCAGCACAGAATTATTATTTTATTTTATTTTATCTTATTTTTACTTTTACTTTACCTCGGGTCACATTTGCGCACTCGTGGTTGCCTCGTAGTAAGAAGAAGTTTTCGGGAAACTTGATTTTATAGCAAAAGAGTAGAAGGATGGTCTCCAGACTCTGTTTGCCCCGATCCACATAGTCACCCAGGAACAGGTAATTTGAATCTGGCGGGTAACCTCCCTAACGTCAATCAATAGAATACAAAGTCATACACATTAGTATTACTAATATATTATAATAAATTACATTAATTATATAGCTAGCTATCTATGTGATATAATTCCACTCACCATATCAAATAGTCTAATCAAGTCATGGAATTGACCGTGAATATCTCCCAGGATTTTTACAGGCGAATGAAGTTCAATAAGAGTCTATAAAAACATATATATATATATATATATATATATGTATATGTATACATACATACACACACAATCACAATCACAATCACATACAAAAGAAGAAGAAGAAGAAAACAGCAAGACTATATTTATACATTTTTATACATTTTATACCGTTGAAAAAAAAAAATTAAAAAAAGGAAGGTATGGAAACTTACGGGCTGGCGTACAAAAGTTTCTTGTGCTGCACGACAAATGGCGACAATCTCCGAGTTCTTAAAACATATAGACCTTGGAATCTTTTCACTTCTTCCAACTGCCAATAGTCTATCAATACATTCATCAATGTCCAGGTTTTTACCAACAGAGCGCATTGAGGTTGCTGTCATTTGGTTGAGGTCTAGTGTAGAAGTCACAGTGCTTTCATTTGCTGCAATGCTGGCTGCGATTTCCTCATTGCTGCTGTTACTAATATTGTTATTGGAATTATTATTACTGTTGTTGTTGTTGTTGTTGGTGGTGGTGGTGGTGGTGGTGTTGGTGTTGGTGTTGGAATTACTGTTAGCATTGCTACTGCTTTTGTTGTTGGCATTGTTATTGGCATTATTGTTTGTGGTTGTTGCATTATTATTTGGAGACATTGCACCCGATTGACTTTGGTTTTGGCTTTTTTGGTGGTTGATAAGAATTGAATTGATAGAAGTGGCTGTTCCATATGTGTATTCATTGTCGAGTACATCTGACCTAATGACTGTAGGTATGTCTTTATGCTTTTTCGAAATAACGTTGCCCATGAGAATTATATAGTATGAGAATGAGAAAAGGTTATTATAAAAATAAGCAAAAAAGAAAAAAAAAGTATAAAAATATTAATAATTAAGAACTAATAAGAAGAACAAAAAAAAAGAAACTCAAGCTATTGTGCATTTCTTCTTTTCTTTTTCTTTTTTTTATTCAAAATTTCACTCTGTCGATCTCACGTGATGTGTCTCGGTGGTTTTTTTTTTTCCTTTTTTTTCCTTTTTTTTTCCTTTTTTTCCCTTCTTTATATATTTATGTGTGTGTATATTGCCATGACAACACTTTTCCACACATGAGCTTATGTGTAGAGGTCTAAGCACAATATACTATCAGATTGTTTTTCAAACACAGTTCATTCGAAAATATGCTCTCAAACGGCAGCAAGACTAAAATAAATAAGCCGGTTGGAAACCTGAAGATTTATTTCTTTTTACTTAAAGCTATAATTGGATCAAATAAAGATATACATATATTGTCATTTTTTATTTTTATCATACACAAATGAACATACGAAAGAAGAAGTGTCTCCATGACAATAAATGCATATATATATTTTTGCAAATAAATGTAGCACAGAACACGTGACATGCCGTTAATGATTGTTGTTCTTGGGTTACACACGGGTAAAAAGTGCGTCATGGGCAGGGGGTTTGATTTTGCCTGGCTCTTGGAATTCCAGGCTTATAAGAATAAAATATATAGAAGAGCTTCTTTAACAACAAGCGAAGTTATTAAAAGTTTCTCTCTCTCTTTTTTTTTTCTTTTTTTTCTTGTTTTGGAATTCTCTCTGACAACTTGATTTGTTACGTATTAAACATTATTGTCCAAAAAAAAAAGTTGATATATTTTATTGGGTTTTTATTGTACTTTTGAATTGAAATTTAAGGGATTTTGTGACTGGAGATTATGTGCGCTTAAAGCTGTGCATAACCAATGCACCCTATTGGTTTTAAATTTAGACTTAGTTTTATTTATTTATTTATGAATACTCAGCTCAATATTGGGAGAATACAGGCACAAAAATCTTTAATATTGTGGTATTTATATTTATATATATATATTTGGAAGTGTAAGCGTATGGACACAAAGTATTTTTTGCAGGAAGAAGACAAAAAGAGTAAGAATAAGAGGGAGATCAAGGTCAAGATCAAGGTCAAAGTTAAATAGATAATATAGTTATATAAAATAAAAGGAAAGGGTAAATTGGAGGATATATGTAAGTGTATGTGTAGAGATATAAAGATAATATATATATGTATATATAAAGAAAGAAAGAAAGAAAGAAAGTTTAGATTGATGGTCTGTATGATTTTTGTCGCAACTGAGCTACATCCCTCCTCAATGCTTCATTTTTTCGTTGCAATTCTGCATTCTGCTGCATTGATTCAGAAAGCTGGCGTTCTAGTGTAGCCTGTCAAATATTAAATACAGAATATATAAATAAATAAATAAATATCTTATCTTATTCATTACTTTATTTAGTTGTCTATTTCTTTGTCTATGCTTCATAACTTACCAAATTTGCTTCCAACGCAGGATCTGGATGATTTGTAGTAGTTGTACTTATGGTTGTGGTTGTGGTACTCGTGCTTGACCCTGGATAAGATTTTTTTGAACTTGTTATCGGCTTGGGTTGAAGTATACTCATAATCCCCTGCAGCAAAACCCTCTGGGCCTCATTGTTCTTGACAAGATTCTGAATTTGCGAATGAAGAAGTGTGTTTTGTTGTTCGGCCGAGCTTGTCGAGTTTGCCGATTGGGTCCACTGTGAACGGCCAAACATAGGCGAGCCTTCACTGTTGCCACCGTCACTGTAATCATCAAGTGATTGGTCCTGTCGGATATCAACCGAAAGGCGTGGTCCAGGATCAGACAAGACCTGTCCACCAGCACCAACGCTAGCAGCACCAGCACTAGCAGCACTAGTACCGGCACCAGAGCCAGTACCGGCAGAAATACTACCACCGCTAAGCTCAAATCGGCCAATTTTGCGTGATTCTAGCCCTGCGGGTACACTACCACCAACACCAACACCACTACCATTATAATTATAATTATAGTTATTGATATTGTTATCTGTGTCCACAGAATATCGACCACCACGTGCAGATGACCCTTCACGGACCAAAGGCATGCCTAGTGATGAAATCGAAGTGTCTCTTGAAAGAGGGATCGACTGATACCCATATCCCCCTGGTGAGCTGGGTGTATTGGTATTCATTCCATTTAGTGAGGGAGAAGGGTTGTTGGAGTATATCTCGAATCTTGAACGACGCTCTAATTTGTGTTTTGTGTTTTTGTGTGTGTGTGTTTGTTTGTTTTTTTACATGTGTACATGCATAAGCAAAACTTGTGATAACCTTGTACTCCAATTTATATATATATATATATAAATACCTATACTTGTCTCATGAGCAGAAGATTTTGAAAGGGATCTTTCGATCTGTGGCTCTTCAAGAAATGTGACACCTTGGTAAGGTTCGCCTGCACTATGCTGCCTTGAGTGGGATGGTGTGAAATTAAACCTACTCTTTGGTTTCTTATATATTCTGAAAAATCAGATACAGTATATATATATATATATAAAGGTGTGTGCGTGTGTGTGTGTGCCAGTAGAATTATATTATATTGAATTAAATCAAAACTTACTTGTAAGTTATCTTTGTTTTGGGTATCGATCAGAGCACTATCATACGGGATATCATGCTTAACAGGCATCGGGTTGATTTCGATTTCCCGAGCTGGCTCTGCCGCCATCACAAAACGTGACTTTTTTGGCAGACTGTTCGAACTCACGGAATATGAGGAGGGTGAGGAGGGTGGGTCAGCAAATGCAACAGTAGGAGAAGTAGGGACAGTAGTAGTAGAAAAAGAGGAAGACGCAGTAGTGGAAGAAGAAGAAGAAGCAGCAGCAGCAGCAGCAGCAGCAGAAGAAGAAGAATTAGTGGAAGCAATAGAAGTAGCGACTTGGTGGTGAGGTGATGAAAATGGTTGAGATGGATTTCTCACAACCACTTTACCAAACGATATGTGTTTCTTTCCAGACTGGATTTCAGCTGGCTTGTCTTTAGACCCGACCGAGCTATCTTCATCTTCGGGTGGGTAACCACTTCCGCCATTACCATAGGATGAAGAGTCATCTTCTGCAATATCGTTCTCAAAGTTCCATTCGTCAATGTTGGTTATACTGATATCCCTTTGAGGAATAGTCTTGTGGGGTCTCTGAGCCAAGGTAGGCACCTCTGCTAGGACTGCTTTTACTAAATATTCCTTCTTTTTGTTGTGTTTAAAGAAGGCGTGTTGAAGTAATTTCTCAGCAGACGGACTAAAATAATTATAATCAATACATACGATGAAATATGTTTCAGAAAATTAAACACAAACACAGAATAAACCCACGCACACAAAAATATACAAAGCATTACAGTGTATATATAAAAAGAAGGTAATTTCAATAGATCAATATGAGGTAGATAAAATAAGAAAATTTCCTACCGCTTAGTGGGATCTTTGTTCAAACAAAGTGAAACCATTTCTTGAAAGGTTCTTGAATATTTGTTAATTCTTGTTTCCCTTGTTAGGGTCGGGGGATCTTTTGACAATGTCATCATAAGGACCTGTTAAAGGAATCATGACAGTCATCATAATAACACTAACATTAACACTAGCGATAACAGTCTATACATCTAGTGGTTTGAACTAACCTTGAGAGGGGCTAGCTTTGCAAATGGTGCATGTCCTGTAGCAAGCTCAATAGCCGTAATTCCAAAACTCCAGATGTCTGCCTTGTAGTCATAGGCAGCCTGTTCCATGACTTCTGGGGCCATCCAACAAGGCTTGTTATTATTTATTTATTTTGTATTTATTTATTGATTGATTGATTGATTGATTGATTGATTGATTGATTGATTGATTGATTGATCGATCGATTGATTATTATTTGGGTTTCATATTTCGTATGTAACAAAATGAAAAAAGAAATCTTACCGTGCCAACAAACGTCTTTCGTATACCTCTCTCACCAGATTCCATCAAAGAACTTGATACCCCAAAATCAGCCAGCAGAACCGTGCCATCTTCGTCCATTAGCAAATTACCCGCCTTCACATCACGATGGATATCTCCGCTCTTGTGTAAGTAGCATAAGGCTTCCAATACCTGCTTTAGTATGACTATAATAGTTTGTTCTTCAAATCCTTCTGGGAAACCAAATTTCATGATATCCAAACAAGAACCTAGTATTATATGTATACACTATTGGTTAGTGCGTGTTCTGTGTTTCGTGTGTTTCGTGTGTTTCGTGTGTGTGTGTGTGTTTTTGTGTTTGTAATTTGAAAATTACTTACCTCCTGCAAGATATGGGGTGACTATATAGAGTTTAGATCCGTGAACAAATGATCCCAGCACTCTTAATAGATTTGGATGCTTTGAAAGAGCCATAAGAGAAGTCTCGCGCTTTAATAATGATAATGATAATAGCAATAATGATAAGATAAATTATGAATGATACAAGTACAAAATTTACATCAACCCACAGCCTTTAAATTCTTTCTATAGATACATATACTTATACATATATCTTACCCGAAGAGCGTCAATCTGATTGCGCTCAAATAAATCAAGATCAATAATCTTAACTGCTACTCGCTTATTTAAGGGGATATGGATTGCACTATAAACAATAGCCGAAGATCCGTATCCTTGCATAATCCGGATTGAGTAAGTGCTTGTTTGAAACAACAGAAAACGTGTTCTCACCAATAACACTCTGGAGTTCAAAGTTTTCCATGCTGTAGACACTTAGACTCTCACTAGAAACTGGCGATGGAGGTGCGATTGAGTCATGTGGTTGTTGAGTGGTCATGATCTTGAGTCCGCTGAGAATATCAGGACCAGTAAGAGATCGTCTTGCGACATGACCTTGTGCTAAGACTGGTGATGTGGCGATTAGGATTGGTTTGGGTGATGAGGGATGGCGGTTGGGATTCAGGAGAGTTGTCGACTCGGGTTGAGGGTACAAAAGGTGGTCGGGAGTGTCGGTGTTTGTCATGGTTTTTTATTTGATTTTTTTTAAGAAGAAAGAGTTTATAGCCCTGGAAGGAAAGGATCTTTAAAAAAAAAGTAAAAAGTAAGATAAAATAAAATAAAATAAAATAAAAAATTAAAAAAAAAAGAACATCAGAACAAAGCTTAGTTGAATTAGAGTCAATCGCATGACGTGAGAAATTGTGAGATGGTTTCCAAGGTGATGAAATACAGTGTATTTCATTCTTTCTCCGTTGTGGATTGTTACAAGTCCATTTACCATGCTGTTTGTCTATGCTTAAAACAGAACCTTCTCTCCCATAACAAGCAAAATACTTTAAACCCCGGTGCATCGTTTGAACCTTAAGTGTTGATTTTTTTTTAATTTTAACTTGACTTTTATTTATATTAATTATTAACTTCAAGTTTAATTGTTGTTACCTTGAATTGCACGACGTTCTTACTATAGTGCTAAATTTTGTATAATTTATGAGAATGTCAAGGAGATCAATCTTTAGGCTAATAAGTACAACAAGAGCAAGAATAAGAACAGCATACTAAAACATACACCCACACAAACAAACAAACAAACAAACAAACAAACAAATAAATAAAATTTAGCCCGGGTCTAATATTAAACATGTGAAGCTGTTGGAAACTGGTTGCCCGATGACAACTTTAGCCAAACGTGTTATTTTAGAGACTTGTCCGAGATCCTTGATATCATTGATAACTCGACTGATCTGGAGCAAAGAAGTTTTTGGGTATGAAATGATTTGGCAAAATTATTTCATATATTCTTCAATTCACTACTACTATTACTATTATTATTGTTATTATTATTATATGTTATAGGTTCCCAGTTAATGGGATTCCATAGTTATGACATTTATCACACGTATTATTTGTTCCTCATCTAGGGTTCTCCGCAAAGACAGACAGACGCATATATTATACATATATACAAGCATTTATGCAAGCACGCGCGCACGTACACACGCATGTACGCACGCGCACACTTATGTATACATGTATATGCACATGTATCTATAACTGACTTTTGATTTTTATTTGCGTATTTCAAAAAGAAGATTATGTGTTAAAAAGTGTATTTAATGGACAGTGTTTAGATATATATATACTTTCTTTGGTGGAATAGCTATATGTATGCAGTGTTATTAAACCATTGTCACACAGATCAAGATTAGATACGAACACACGCACACAGGAATAGAGAATATTGGACTGGAATGTAATGTAATGTAATGTAATGTAATGCGATGGGTTCCAACATACTAATATGCTTTCAATTACTATTATAATTCACTATTTAAATAAATAATAATAGTATATATATATATATCAAAAGAAGGTCAAACTTGCACCCAGGGAATCAAACCTTGTAGATCGAAACACTTGTATTCTAAAACATTCTGATTGATAGCGGAGGTAGTTAGTGAGCACTTCTTTGTGATTGGTCTAAAAAAAATATTAAAGAGACAGAAAAGAAACTCGAGATGAACAAAAATAGAAAAAAAAACCAGCCGTATGAATATTTGCGGACAAGAACATACCGCACTTGAGAGGTTCTCTGATTTTTATTGTATAAAAATAACTACAGCTAACTAACTGCAGCTACAGCTATAGCTACAAGTATACCAACTATAACCGTAGCCGTAGCCGTAACCGTAACCGTAACCGTAACCGTAACCGTAACCGTAATTGTAATCGTAATCGTAATCGTAACCGTAACCATAACCATAACCATAATTATAACAATTAAACAATTAGATAATTAGATAATTAGATAATTAATAATAATAATGCAATAATAAATGTGCTTCTTGTTTCGTTCTCTCTTACATTTAGTCGAAATAAACTGACCATATCTATCTATTTATCTATATCTTTTGCTTAAATTCTTTGGCTATAAAATTTGTAAAGACAACACTAGTATATATATGTGTGTGTGTGTATTTGTATTCATATAAAAAGTCTCTTAATTAAAAACCAAAATTGCCTATTTCTTTATATGTCTATATTATTAATACTGCTATTATTTTGCTGGTATCTACTTAAATAACTAGTAATATAAAATAGGCGTCATTATTAACAACATTTCAATTAACAACATTACCGTCATTAACAAAGAACCCAAATAAAACAACTCCATTCTTATAGAGAATTTATTTGGTTCTTTATTTGTAATTATACTAATAATTTTCTTTTATATAAGTGAGTGTGGGTGTGAGTGTGGGGAACTTTCTCTTTTTTTTTCTTTTTTTTTTGGTTGTTGATTAACTATAGCTTTCTTGGTAATTGAACCTTGCAGAGTCATCAGTCACGCGCATCATCTTACCCTTCCAAGGTCCGTTTATTTTATTTATTTTTATTGTCGCTCTAAAGATCAGTCGTTTTCATCTCCACTCTTTACAGATTACACATCGGCCTCTTCAACACCCGCGCAGTCTTTCCTTCTTTATCTGTCTTTCTTTCTCTTTCTATCTCCTTCTCTCTCTTTTTTTTATATTTTTTTTTCTTTTTTTTTCTTTTTCATTATTTCTATCGCTTACTCGCGGATTCCTCCCAATTTACCCTCATCATGCCCTTGTCACGACGACGCTCTCTAGACAGCAACCAACCCCCGACCGGGAACAATACTCGACAACGTACAGATCCTGGCCACACACATCAGCCTCAATCTCATCTCTCGAGACCGAGCAGTCCGACCAGAACAGATCCACTACATCAAACACCCAGAGTACATTACTACAATTTAAAACACCAAGAACTCGATTTGCTCTCATTTCCAAGAGGCAGAACAAGTGAAGATGATGCCGTCAATCGTTCGGCCTATCCACCTCCACCTTCAGCCCAAGCGAGTGGCATGCGAAGGAGCGAGTCAGGAGACCAACGACGGCCAGTTCTTCTCACTAGTGGTAAAGCATCCTTTAACACTCGACAAAAATACTTATACCTTTAATTCTTTTATTTTACTTTATTTTACTTTACTTTATTTTTAAAATTATATTAGATCCGGGGCTGCTCAGTGTACAACAACCCAGAAGCAAAAAGAGAAACATCTTTCGATTCGGCAAAAAAAAGAGTAAGTGGCTCGTGTTTGACAGCCCAAAGTTTTGAAACCATTACTTCAATTTATTTATATATATATATTTATTTATTTTATTTATATATTTTATATATTTTTGATAGGCCGCACAGATTTGAATGGATTGTTGTCAGGTACAGCAAGCTCCATTAACATGGGTTGTGGAAACAGCTCTTCTGCTTCTATTGTCTCCAATTCTTCTGCAGCTACGTCAAGTGGTCGCAAGAGGTCTAAAGATTATGAAAAGAACTATCCACTTCATCCTCTCGACATACCTTCTGGTGACGACATGTCTCGGGGCGGTAGTGGTGGATCCCGCGGCACGCCTTACATTAATTCAGAACGCAAGGTATCCTCTGGATCAGGCTCCGGTTCCGGATCAAGTCGTAGATACACAGATCGCAAGAGATCTGACGGAAGTGTCTCATTTGCACTCGACCGGGGAGATAATTCGCGAGATCTAAAGGTAAAAACGCCAATCCCAAGCTTCCTTAATAACATCTTTATTAGCACATGGAACGTAAGTTTTGTTTTTTGTCGTAAAGAAGAGAGAGTGAGAAAAAATATATAAAAAAAAGGAAAGAGAGGGAGAAAGAAAGTACAGAGGCCCAACGAGCCTGACTGCAAGTTGTAATAGTCGATCAGAACTTCACAAGCATGGATGGTATCGTTAATCCAGGATACCAAATACATCCTTTAGCACCTCACCCTCTACAGGTAGTAAGTATCCATTAAAGCATACGCCACGATACTGACATACTATAGACTTCTGACTCGGGAATGTCGAACGAGCTGTGGATTGCTCCTGACAGCTGGGCTGTACAGCAGCCAGAACAGAGCGATGGTACTATGTACTCTTCAATAGCATCAGGCGAAGACGATGGTCCAGTGTGTGATAAATATTCAATTGGTGTACAAGATGAATGGGAAGAACGTAGCAAAAATGCAAGTATTATACTTTAAATTTGGCAGAAGAATCGATTACATACATACATTGACGATGGAGACAGTACTTATATTGGATCTACTAACTTTTTACTTTAATTTTTTTATTATAAAGGCTTGTATCCGAGTCTTTCGACCGGACAAAACGTTTGCAACTCTTCAAGTACCATTAAACACAACTACAGCAGAATTCATGCATCGATTAGCTGGAAAATTCTTTCTTCAGGATTTGTCAAAGTACAGTCTGGTGCTTAGACAACATACTCGTGGTGTGTATTTTTCTTTATGTTTATTTTTTGCACCTCAACTCAAATAATATTTCTGCTCTTGCTTCTTCTTTCTACAATGCTATTGTAAAACAAATATATGTATATATCGGATCAATCAATGAATCAATCTATCTTTTGTAGAACGTGCACTTCAGCCTAACGAAAAGCCGCTCATGATACAAAAGAGACTTTTGGAACAAATGGGATACACGGAACAAGACAAACTGGAAGACGTCGGTCGAGAAGACAACTCATATCTCCTTCGCTACACATTCGGCTCGAATTTGATCCACACCATTGAAGAAGAAGGTCCACCAGAAAGATATCGGGAGGTGAACTTTGAAGGGCGCAATATATCTACCATCCCAATATTTCTTTACAAGTACTCGTCACGAATATCATCTCTTGATCTATCAAAAAATCTGCAGATCGAAATACCACTGGACTTTGCCGAGTCATGTCACAATATCAAGAAATTAATACTCGCCAACAATGAACATGGCACAATTCCAGCATCCGTTCGAACCATGCACACCCTTGAACACCTCAATGTGTCTGGAAACCAATTGCGCGATCTGAACCACATCCGGCTTGAAGAACTCCAGAGACTCACCACCTTCAAAGCAATCAACAACCAATTCTCTTCTCTTCCCAAAGCATTCTCAATCCTAAACCACCTTACAATTCTTTTTATTTCAAACAACTGCCTTAGCGAATTTCCAGACGTCATTTGCGAAATCACCAGTCTGGCCTATCTTGACATCAGTTTCAACAAAATGGCATCTTTACCAGACAATATCGGAGATCTCGTAAATCTCGTTGGCCTATTCGCGATTGGTAATCATTTTGAAGGAAGTCTACCGGCAAGCTTTGCAAAAATGGAAAAATTGGTAGAGATCGATATCCGACAGAATCGGATCACAGAGCTTGATATCCTCTACCTGCTACCCAAACTGGAGGTCCTCCTGGTAGATTACAATGCCGTCAGCGTCGTTAGCTCTCAATTCACAAACCTTAAAAAACTCAGCATGTTTAAAAACCACCTCACTCAATTCAACCTCGGTTTCTGTCGACGCTTGAAAGATGGCAATATACCAATCGAAAGCATCCCTGATCAAGAATCGTTTGGAATAACCACCATGTTGACCGAATTGAACCTTTCTTGCTGCAAACTTTCCTCTCTCCCTTCCGATCTGTTCTTCGGCATGCCCTGTCTGGAAACCATATCTCTTGACAGCAATACTCTCAATACTCTTCCGGCCAGTATCGGATCTTTGCAGAAACTCATCAAATTGTCTGTGCAGAACAATGTTCTCGACAGTCTTCCGGCCGAGATTTCTAAGCTCAGTCTGCTCAGGATATTAGATGCCCAAAAGAACAACCTCAAGGTGCTGCCAAATGAAATCTGGATGTGTGCCTCACTCCAGATCCTCAACTGCTCCTCAAACCTGCTCGAGTCCTTCCCTGAGCCTTATACCACGCCTAGTATTGCACTTCGTCTTCCTTCGGCCGAATCCTACGTAAACCCAACAGCAAATAACACAGCCATAGATACCTACACTGGTCATGGAAGTTCAACGCCTGTACCACCAGGCGAGTACCCTTCTCACGCATATCCTCATCTCGATGACGACTCTTCCGTCAGCTCACCCAATTCCGCCCTCAACGCTCCACCTGATTTCAATCCCCCATCCTTCTTTGCCAGCCCTCGCAACCACCCACCACCACTTTCTCTGTCTCTGAGACATCTTTTCTTGGGAGACAACAGACTAACCGATGATGTCTGGTCCCCACTTTCCCTCTTCCTTGAGCTCAGGACTCTCAACTTGTCCTTTAACTACCTTTATGACATTCCACCTGAAGGTCTCTGCCATCAGCACTTGTACGAATTATACCTTTCCGGAAACTATCTTGCTTCTTTACCTGCAGACGATATTGAGAAGCTGACCTTTTTGCGTGTCTTGGCACTCAACGGTAACAAACTTCAGACCCTTCCGGCTGAAATTGGCAAACTGAGAAAACTGCTTGTCTTGGATGTTGGTAACAATGTGCTAAAATATAACATTTCCAACTGGCCATATGATTGGAACTGGTAAGTTTTATTATTCTTCTATAAAAAAAACCAAAACCACACACACAGAAATATATATATTAACCTTTCTTTTATATATGTTTGTAGGAACTGGAACTTGAGCCTAAAATACCTTAATTTATCTGGAAATAAGCGTCTAGAAATCAAAAAGAATGTTCCTGATCAACACAGTCCAAAGGAGAAGAACATGTCCGATTTTAGCGCATTAAAACGGTTGTGTGTGCTCGGCCTTATGGACATCACCATACTTGGCGTGTCTGTTCCGGACGACTACCAAGAAAGACGTGTGCGCACTTCTCTGTCCGAGGTGAACAACATGGGATACGGTATCGCAGATTGGCTGGCTCCTAACAACCACATTTCCACCTGGGATCTTGTCATGCCACGGTTCAGAAAAAATGACGATGAATGTCTGTTTGGCCTTTTCGATGGTCGCAAGACCATAAGTAATGGTTGCAAACTTACCCACTTTCTCTATGACTCTTTCAAAAAGCACTTTATACAAGAACAGGCAAAGACTCGCAATGATGACACCATCATTTCGGCTCTCAGACGTACGTTCTTGTCACTGGAAAAGGAACTAGGTTCCTTTACCACAGACACAAGTGTTGGTGCTTCGGCTGTTGTGTGCTACATCGCACGCACCAAGCTCTACGTGGCCAATGTTGGTGACTGTCTTGCAATCATCTCCCGAAACAACGGACAGGCATACGAAATCACCCAAAAGCACATCCCGCTCAACCCAAGCGAGACCTCTCGAATTAGCGCTGCCGGAGGATTTGTGTCCAAGACTGGTCTCTTGAACAACAAGATTCATGTTTCCCGAAGCTTTGGATACTTTGATATGATTCCGGCTGTGAATGCAAATCCGTATGTGTCAACAATCGAGTTGACAGAGTACGATGAGTTTGTTATCATGGCCTCTCGTGGTCTGTGGGATCGTATGTCTTACCAGACAGCAGTCGATATCGCACGAACCGAAAAGGATGACCTGATGGCGGCTGCCCAGAAATTAAGAGATTTTGCTCTTTCGTATGGAGCGTCCGACGACCTTATGGTAATGATCATCGGTGTTGGAGACTTGTTTGACAAGCGAGATAAACGTCTACGAAATATGCGAGGAAACGGATCAGGTCGAGGTGGATCCGGACAGGATGGCTCTGGAATGGATGATGGTTCTTCTATGATGGTTGGAAAGAATAAGCGACGTGGAAAGGAAGAGTTCCTTGGAGACTCGGTAGGTTATTTCTTTATATATAAAATAAATGATGATAATGACAATGACAATAATAAAGAGAGAGAGAGAAAGAAAGAAAGAGATGGATAGGTCCGTGAGAGTTAATTATAATGCTTTACTCACTTTTAATGGCATATTAGACGCTTGCTCGTTTGGAGAAAGAAGTATTACCTCCAGTAAATCAATTGGCCTTGGTGTTTACGGATATCAAGAGCTCTACTTTGTTGTGGGAGACCCAACCAGAAGACATGCGGTCTGCTATCAAGATACACGATGCTGTAATGCGTCGCACGCTGCGAACCGTGGGTGGCTATGAAGTCAAGACCGAAGGAGATGCATTTATGGTCTGCTTCCAGAACATTACCTCTGCTCTTCTGTGGTGTTTTACTGTTCAAATCCAACTACTTGAGGCTGACTGGCCAACCGGTATTCTGGAGACTGAAGAGGGATTAGAGGTTGTAGAAAAAGGAGTCGTACTTTATCGTGGATTATCGGTACGAATGGGTATCCATTGGGGTACTCCTGTGTTTGAGCGTAACCCGATCACAAATCGAATGGACTACTTTGGCCCGGTGGTCAACAAGGCAAGTCGTATATGCAATGCTGCAGATGGAGGTCAGATTTGCGTGTCTTCTGATGTCCTGGCTGCTCTGCGCAACATTCCTGGTGTATTCAATGAAGATAAGAGATCAGCCAGTGAAGACGTTACATCTACTTTCCCAACCCGCCCGCCTTCAGTACCGACCGATTCTTCTGCGTCGATTTCGTCTGTTGGTGGATTTTCGGTAAACAAGGATATACTTCAGCTGAAGCGTCTTGGGTTCCATGTGATGGAACTTGGTGAACGGCGTCTCAAGGGTCTTGAGACTCCTGAGATGCTGAGCTTTGTGTATCCTAAACAGCTTTCAGGACGTATGGAAGTGAACAAGAGCGAGGCTCTGGTTGAGCCATCCTTATCTCTTGCCAACAAGACGCCATCGAATGACCTTGGCGACAATTCTTTCGAGGATCAAGGAGAAGTGTCAAACACAGAAGGCTCTGGTGAGCAAGGAAGGTCAAGATCGACACTTTCTCTTTCGCGACCCAGTATAAAACCATTAGGATCTGGTCGAGGACATTCAAATCGAACAATTGATCCTGCATTTGTGTGTGCTTTAAGCAACTTGGCTGTACGTCTGGAACGTCTTACGTCGGGTAGGGTTATCCCAACCAGTGCTAAATCAGGAGGAAGCAGTATTGAGCTACCTAATGGCTCGGTTGAGGTGAAGAATCCTATAAGCCCTGATCAATCTCTTGTCTTTAATGTGCTCGATAACCACATTAAAGAAGACGCCGGTGATGAAGAGCTACTTATACTGATGGAAAACTTCATAACGCGTATAGAGGTATGTTAGATAGATATTCATACTATGCCTATGCCTATGCCTGTACTTATTGTGTTTAAATGTCTTTTTCTTATTCTTATTATCTATCTAGAATGCTGTCTCAACACTCTATCTTCAAAAAGTTGGTCGATTTGCTCAAGTGCTGGAGAAACTTGGGGAGGCGATTGATATGGACCCGTCATACATTATGAAAGCCCTCCAGATGTATGCTCAAGTTGGTGGATTGAATACCAGACCATCATAACAATCATATAGATGTTTTAGCCACTCATCTAAACAAAAAAAGTACTCTCTTTTCTTCTTCTTGGTTCTTTATTTATTTATTATTCTATTCTTCTTTTAATTTCATAGTCATCAAGATGTGTGGTAAAGAAATACCACTGTTTTGATCTTACTCTTACTCTTTTCTTTTCTTTTCTTTTATTTCTATCTTCCTTTGTGGGTTGGTGGTACTCTGGACTCTTGCTTGTTCTATTATATTCCATTTTGTTTTTATTGTTTTTTTTTATACTGAGATGAATCTTTTGCTTCCCTTATTCGACATACTTTTCTTTTTTTTAGCTGTATTTTTTTTCCTCTTTTTAATATTTTGTATTTTATTTTATTTTTTAGTATTATTGTGAAGAATAAAGTATTGGAGTATAGCGACTATACATAAATATCTACATCTTCGGCTGCGTATTAGTGATACTTTAATTGGTCAGAGTGTGGGGATTGGAGAATCAGATAGATATAAGAGACCCACGATTTTGCACGGGGTATGGCAACTTATATTTCAAGATCATTTGTCCAAAAACAAATTGATATTCAACCTTATTTGGATTTTGTGAGTATTCGAATTACCCGTTCCAAATGATGATAATGATAATCTAGTAATTAAACATATAAAGACAAAAAGGAAATACACTATAGTTTTTTGTTCAAAAAAAAACAAATCAAAGTGATTTACTTATAGTCTTGGTAATAATATCTGGTTGGTTTATACGCACAATCAATATATAAATATCATTCATATTTTGTATACAAGATTTATTACCTAAAAGCGAATCATACCAAGGTACAAGAGTTCTTGGCTCCAAGATACTATCAAAGTTTAATGATCAATATATTAAGCTCAATATATATACATTTTATTATCAGTTGAGTTTATTATTTATTCTTTTAAGATTTGGTCTTGGTTGAAGAAAATTCAATTCAATTCGATTTAATTCAATTCAATTCAATTCAATAGGTTTAGCAAATTTTATTTTATTTTATACTTTATCTGGCGGGTTGTAAATACAAACTTCATTGTCGTAAAAATAAAATAATAATGGCCCGTTATTGAATGTATCACCTATCAAGTCAAATTACAACTTGTAAGAAATATAGGGAGCAATTATGGTGGTAAATGCACTTGTACAGAATTCTCTACCAATATTCTGGGTTGTCTTTTCTTGTCCGCAAATTTTATCGTCTATATATTCATTTCGTCCCCTCATCATCTACTTACCAGTTGATACCTTTTCTTTTGGGTTGTATTGACTTGACTTTAAAGTGACCATTGTGCATTATCTACGTATGATGTACCTCTCACATTACACAAATATAGCTTACAAAGTCATGACTATACAACTTTAAATGTACACAATTTCTTTTCATTTTCATTTTCATTTTCATTTTCTTTTTTTTTCTTTTTTTTTTGGGCTGAATAGTCACAAATAAGTTCACATTCATTTTTCTTTGTGGTGTAACTGTGCTCCATGTACTACAGCCACAAAGGAACAAAACTCATGAGAATAACCGTGTGATTTTATCCGCAGTATACGGAATAGTTACTTGACCTAAGAATATACTAGCTTCCCTGAACGTATATTAAAAAAACGTACGACATGTCTCTGCTTGATAAACCATCAAATCCCTCGTACAAGCTGTAAAGAGCAAGTCTTTAAGCAGCCTTGAGCAGAATTGCATTCATCAATATCATGAAAATTTACCGTGGTTAGTCACACAGGGTAAACAGGCGGGCTTCATATTAGTTTTCGTATAGTTTATTGGTACCTCTTCAACCCAGGGCAGCCCAGTCTCAGCTTAAACCCACAAACCTTTGCTCTTTTCTACCTTTTTTTTTTGTTTTGTTTTTTAATTATTTTAATTATTTTAATTATTTTAATTATTTTAATTTTCCTTTCCGCAACTTTGTTTCTTCATTACTCCCAACTCTCTTCTTTCTCTCTCTATCTCTCTCTATTTATACATATCTCTTGTTGCTTTTCTTTTGGCCTTGTATCATAACTATACTGTTTCTTTAAGATCTTCCTTTAAACTATAAATCCAGAGAGAACATTATGTCTCAAGAAACCGAAAATATTAGTCAGACAACTGAAAACACTATCCAAGTGCCAACTACAGGCCCTGTAGAGGCCGAAGAACAAAAAGGCAGCTGGAAACGCATCAATTTTCAAGAAGAACAAGATACACCTACATCCATATCCACACCCAAAACTACAACCATACCCACAAACACAGCTACAAGCGCAGAATCTGATACTGATACTGATACTGATACTGATACATCTATACATACACCCAAGCAATTGGCACCTCGTCAAGAAAAGCACCAGGGCGAGGATGATGAAGAACAAGACGATGACGAAGAAGAAGAAGAAGATATGTTTGTCGACAGCTTGAGTCACGACAGACCTGAGGAGCTATCTTCTGTTATCAATACCCTTCGTGAGATGGTAGATGAAACACCAGAGCTAAGGAAAGATGAAAACGAATCTATCAAGATAGCAGAGATTGCGGCCATTTCTCAGGCTGAGGCTAAAATTGGTTCCCAACATGATCTGGTGGTCATTGCCGAAGATACCATACTGGAAGAAGAAGAAGAAGAGGCAGAAAAAGATGCAGAACATCATGACACTATTGTTCCTATTGCAAGTGTGCAGGTCACACCGGAAAATAACAGACTGTCATGTGAAGACGATTCAAGATCTGATTCAGACAAAACTCTGGAGGTATCAAACAGTGAGCCAGGATCACCAATAACTGAGGATAATAGCACAGACAAGTTGAACATAGTCCTTCCTACCGAAGGATTCAATCGGGCTCTCGATGTTCCCGCTGACAAGAACATGGCCGACTTTGTAACACCACCAACACCTGGCGCCGCCCCTAAATCTGACCCTTCACACTATGACGATGAAAACGATTGTAGCCAAATCTCCAACACAAATGTGTTTCCAATTGGACACATCGATATGAAAAATGTAAAGGCAAACTACATGGGGCCAAGACATCAGGAGAAGTATGGTGAGTAAAAAATTCAGGCATAGACAAGGCAGACACATGATGTTGGCAGGCTTATTGGTTTACATGATTGTATCTTAGATATTGAGATGTTGCACGGAGTGAATGCTTTCTTCAATAACAAGTTTTCAAAGGCAAAAGGGATTTTTGAGAAGCGCGCAAGCAAGTAAGCTCTCAAGTCAATTAGTCAATTGATTACTTGACTATGCTTATGATGGTAAAATAAATTAGATGCGGTATTAAACGTATTATATAGAGATCCACTCTATGCTTTGGGATTGGGTGCAATGGCATTTGTCAAAGGTACAGTGTGAAACAAAAAAAATGAAATGAAATGAAACTCTAAAATGCAGTTTATTTTTACTAATACATAATCTATCAAAAAAAAATAGCTATCACTGTGAGTCCAAACAATGACAAGCAAAAGATGTTCTTCTTTATTATTTTTCTAATATTATGGTAGTCTTCTGACTCATCAGATACAGATGTGGCTATCCAGTCATTGACAGAAACATATGCATTTGCCAGTGCACAGATTGATGATGCATGTGCTAATAAGCCCTTGATCGATACTGTATCACACTACTTTACAAATCTGATGGGATCTAATCCCACCCACCTTCCAACAAACACAAAGCCATTGAAACAAGACAAATACAAAGACCCTCCTATCTTCATCTCCAACGGTGCATTGCGTGCTCATGTGATTAGAGCAGAGTGCTGCTTGCTTATAGGACTTATTCATATGACAAAGGAATCTGTCGTAGGATACCTTAAGATGGGGCTTAATCTCCGAAGAGGTAAACAGGGAAAAAAAACTGAAGTAAATCTGATTACTCAAAGTTTACACACACATATATATATATATATATGTATATGTATATGTATTTGATATTCAGCTTACAGTAGTTACAGCTTAGTATGGCAAGAATACAAGCGTATGGGTCAACATTTCAACAGATACATGGATCAAGACACAATCTCAGCCATTCAATATGGGTAAGCTTATAGGGTACACTTCTTTTACATGTATATATATAAAAACACTATACTCAATAAATTCCAACTCTTCTTCTTTTCTATAGTATTGGGTCTGTTCATCTTCTGCTCTCATCCTTACCTCCAAAAATTCTGAAGATTGTGGCCGCTTTCGGGTGGCAAGCTGATAAACATTTAGGATTCGCCCTTCTTAAGCTGTGCTTGGAAGGAAGACGAATCAGATCACCTTTAGCTTCGCTCACGTAAGTATTTTATTATTATTATTTTTTAAAAAAAAAGTTTTAGTATATTCTTCATTTTGTATCTCTATCTCACTGTGCATAAAATATTACTTAATATTTTTTTCAGTCTTTTATCCTACTATGTTAGCCTCACTTCATGTGCTCCTCAGATCCTTGCCCGCGATTTAATCCAACCTGCAGTAGAATGTCTCTTGGATGCTCAGAAAACATATCCAAACTCCTCTTTCTTCCTCTATTTTGCCGGATGTGTATCTCGTCTGGCTAAAAATATCCCACTTTCCACACAGTCCTTTATGTATACCTTCAAGGTTAGCCAGGGAGGGTGGGCAGAGGTAACCATGGGACACATGGCCACGTACGAAATCGCGTTCAACAGCGCCATGAGTCTTGATTGGGCAAGTGCAGCTGTCAGAATTCTCGAGCTTCAAAGCAAGCACACCAACTCTCCGGTATTCCTCAAGTTCTTCTATGGCGCCTGTATGGAAATGCTAGGAAACCGAACCGAGGCAATACTCTCCTTTGCTGCCGCCCCTCACGAGACTGACAAGAAAAAGAGATCACAGGTTGATCAATATATCTCCCGGAGAGTAGAGTTCTTTGAACAAAGTGGCTATCAAGATATAGACCTGTGTCTGCCTGGACTGGAGATTTTATTCTTGTGGAATTCCTTTGCTAATATGACACCCGCTTGCCTTGAATCCTGTTTGGAGCAGGTAGACACTACTCTGGAGCTTGTATATGAACGTGAAAAGCAAGAATACGAGCTCCGTGTCTTTGAGGTTGCACCCAATACTCCTCCTCCGGATTACTATGAACAGCGCGCATCGCTCTTGGTTATGAAGGCTTCCATTTTAAATGCCCTTGAAAGACATCGGGAAGCAATCGTTCACTTGAATTGGGTGCTAGACCACAAAGAAAGGATAAAACCAGTCTCTTGGATTGTTCCGTTTGCCTACTGGTAAGTAACGTTAGAATATTGTATACATACGGTTATTACTGTTACTGTTACAGTTACAGTTATTTATTTTTTTATATATAAAATATATATACACATATAAATATTACTTGTTACTTATAAATTATCCTTCTTTCTGCTTCTTCTTTTTCTTAGGGAATCGGGTGTTACCTGCTGGGGTGTTCAGGATTATAAACGCGCCAGAGCAATGTGGGAGACCTCCCAATCGTTTTCCAACTATGATCTTGAGTTTAGGTTATCAATTGTAAGTATGGATGGAAATTCCTGCTGAGATAATTTTCTAATCAGATTTTCTCCAAAACAGCGATTGAATTTGGTTATTACCCATGCCATTGATTTGGGTGTTCCCGAAACCATTGCCCCAAAGCCCGAGAAAGGGCGCAGTACCCAAGGACGCAAACGCATGTCTATTGTCCACAAATTGACAGGATCCGTATCTTCCAAATAGGAGAAGATGTATTTCTTTCTTTCTTTCTTTCTTTCTTTCTTTCTTTAATATAATACACTGTATTCTACTATATTCAGCGCTATATTTTACTTTTATTCTAACTTTATTCTATTCTATAGTATAATATAATATACTAAAATATATATATATATATATAATACTTATTTATTCATTTATTTATTTATTTATTTATTCATTTATTTATTACCATCTTGATGTAAAACAATTGGGCTGTATTTAACTTTTAATAAACCATATCGATTCTGGTCGTCTAAATCTTGTCAAAATGTATGAAAGTTGAAAAGGAAGGGAAGGGAAGGGAAGGACAATAATAGAGTAGTAGGCTTGTTTTGTGGAAATATTATGTGCGTTTTTGTTTTTGGAAAAGCAACACACATAGGATAATTTTACTTTTGGTAATTGGTTTGATACCAACCCACCTCATTTTAGAATGCTCTGATAGGGGTACTGCCTGGCATTGTCAAGCGTACAACCATTTCACCAGCTGGGCTTACTTGTATCTGTTGAAGACTGTCTTGAATAGTATCCATGGTTTGGTACAACCAATCAACCTGAGTTTCAGTCATGCCTTCGTTTGGTTTGGCGGCTGCCAGAATATCGACGGGTGAGATGTGGTCAGACATGTAGATTTCTTTTTTTGGACCGCCCATTCGTGTAGAAGAGACCGGTTGGCTATCCATTTGATCGAGTAGGGCTCTATATTTGTCTATTCTCTCTTGTACATCTCGACTCTGTAAAGGATCAGCCTGCGAGCTCGATATGTCAATCAGATGTCTGCATGTCATGACAGATTGGACAACAATTAGTTAATTAGTTAATTAGTTAGCTAGTTAATTAGTGTATATGTATTAAAGTATATCGTATGGGCTGTAAGATACTTGCTGTGTTGTTCGTTCAATGACCTCATTCCAGAAATCTTGTTCCTTTTTTGCGTCGATTGTTTCCGTGGATTGATAGTTCATGCGACTAAGACATTCGAAATTTAGTCTTCTGGGCTGTCAGTCCAATCTCTCTTTTTCTCTCTCTTACTTGTCGTTTGTTGCTTCATGATTAAGCAGTGGTGCATTGACATCTTCCTATAGAATTAAAGATATATTTAATAATAATAATAGTTTATGTAAGACACAATTGAATTGATAATTCATAAAGTACCTCGTCACGCTCTTCTTTGCTTCCACAACAGCCCATAATGAAAGTAAGATAAAGCCTTGAGAAAACAGGAGAAAGTACCGTAATGGGAACAAATCAATTCAAAGTGCCGCAAGGCTGGTCTTTAGCAAACAATCATGTGGTCCCAATATCTGTCTAAAATAAAAATAAAAAATATAAAAAAAATTGAAAAATAAAATTGGGGGTTTCACGTCTTGGGTTTTGATATTTATTTCATAAAAAAAAAGAGAGAGAAATGCTTAAATCTATATTAAACATTATTCCTATCAACTTTTTCTATATATGTTATTATTTGATTTTTACCAGCAAACCAAAAATGAAAGAAAAGCAGAAGAAAAAAAAATATCGTACTCATCAGATACCGTTGTAGTCTTAATTACATTTCCAACCATCACGGATGAATATGGTTTGGGAATTTTTATCATCAATTGAGATTTTAACGATACGATCGCATCTTGATACCGCAGTCTATGGCTGACAGCTACTTCGAGTTTATGTTAAGCTATGAGCTTCAAAACTTTTAAGTTACACAATATGGTCTTTTATAGTCCGTATACTGCCTTTAGTAAAATTGTGATACATAATTTCCATTTATAGATAAAATCCGATATACTAAGTCTTTATTATCACACTCTATTATATCACACATCAAAAATTGCCCTAATTATTCTTTTTTCTTGTTTAAACTGAGACTACTATTTTTTCGAAAATTGGTGTGGACAGACTACAAAGTTCAAAATTAGTTCAAGTGCATATTATATAAAACCAAGTGCTCATAGTTATCATCTCTTCCATCATGTAATGTGGTATTTCAGGTACGAAACAATAGAAAAATAATAAATTTGATAATAGAGACGTATAGAAATACTTTGAGACTGTATATAAGTTTTTCTTTTATTCATAGATAAAAAGTGTCCCTTTTTATAAGAAAACACAATCTGCTCTTGTCATTATATCTTAGTTTCTTAAGGCTTTCTTCCTTTACTATATTTGGTTATTAGAGTGTATTTACTGCTTAACTAGTTTCGGTGTTACAATTATGACATCAAGTCATAAATCGTACTTCTTTAGCTCTTAGCTATTCTTTTCTCTTTTACACTAGAGCTTTAGGACTTCCTACTAAATTAGCTCCATATCGCTCTGACACAGTTTACCCGGCAGTATGATATAATTATCTTAACTATCTTTAAGATATTATCTACAGTACTAACTGTAATAATTATTGGCCTGATTACTTAATCGTTTATATATATTTTATACTGACAAGATGATAGCTACTACGCTATCCCAATATGAATATGTTCTTATATGTGATAAATCCAACATACGAGTGTCTGGATCACCACATGTAAGAAAAAAAGCATTGCAGGTTTTCTAGGCCTTGCACCCTACGGTATACTTATTCCTCCAAAAGTATGCTCTTCTTCTTGACTTAAGTTTCAATGAAAGAAGACTGGCCAGTCAGAGTTGATTGAACTTTTTTTTTAGAGCTTTTAGTCCATCCCAACTAAATGTATTCTCTCTATATTGCTCAAATAACAGTTAAATTTTATTTAAAAGATTATAGATAATCTTTAAAGTATTCAGCACATATATGAACAATACATTTTTTTTTTAAAAAAAAAGAATTATAAAATAAAAGGGTCTCAATTGGTAATGTACAAGCTATTATTAAAGATGTAGCATAATGTAATTACATAAAACTCCTTTCTGTTTGGTTGCTATCATGTAAGGGCCGACTTTATACTGCCTATAAAATTTCATTTGCCTAAGATACATATACACACATATATATTTATTTATTTATATTTATCGTTTAACAAAAAGAGACATATTTATTGGAATTATAAACAAAAGAAAATACTCCAAAACTATTTGTAGTTTTTTCTTTTTTTTTGGAGAGTTATTTTTTTTAAAGAATTACAAGTATAGATTGATCTTTTAGTAATGTATAGACAATATAGAGGGAATATATCTCTTTTTTTTTCCTTTGCTTTTAATTTTGGAAGGGGTTGGGTATTTTTACAGTGTGGTATATATACAAATTATTGAAATCGAAATCAAAATCGAAATCGATTTAACATGAGCGATAGGCAGTTGGTGTAATGTGGATTGTGACTGAAGGATGATCAAAGATAAGTGAATCCAGGGCCATGGATTTTTCAGATACTGGGCAAGATTTAGAAAAGTTCTCGTCATCAGAAAGGGCAGAAATATAGGAGGCATTGGAAATTGTCGATGAAGATGAAATCAAAGAAGGTGCGACTGTGTTTTGAACTTTGTTACAGCTGAAAGCTTTCTTGACTGAAGCGAGACCTTTGATGCATTGGCTCATTGATGATGTGAATGTGGAGGCACGGCTTGTGGTGTTGTTGGTTGAGGATTGGCGGCGCTGGCACTTTGAGATGATACGCTTTTGGATAGAGAGAATCTGCATTGTAGGGTGTGAAGTACGGAGTATGGAGTGCGGAGTGCAAATGTAGAAGAGGAAGAAGGCTCGGTAGAAGAGATGAGGTTAAAAGTATGTAATAAAAAGAAAAGAAGTGCAAAAATGTCAAGTCTTTATATACTATTTCAAAAGGCCTGTGCTCTTGGGGTATGAGTGAAGGATTCCATGCTTCTTCTTCACTTAATTGCCATTTTTAGGATACATACAAGGGGTCATCGTATCTGATATTTGGCATCTATCGGAAAATACAGCCAAAAATCCTGATCCACAAAACCACAGCTAAAAATCAAAATCCATTATCCATGATCCATAGATTTATTTTTTCCCTATTGAAGGTCGATACTTGACTGTCTTCTATATCAGTTGATTCACGTCATCTTATTTATTCTCTAGCAGAGTCTTGATTGATCCCAAAGTCTGGTAACCTCCATGAGATCATTAAATTGGTTTCTAAAGTGGTGTAAAATAAATCATTTATCTATTTATTTTAGCCACACTTTTTGTTGTTTTATTTAACTTTGCATTTGTAGTCTTATGAATATATATATATTATTTGATTTTATATATGTGGTAAATAATATTCTATAAAAACCAAGTATATATAAATTTCAATTGAATAATGAAGCTGTAATTAGTCTGATATATTGATTTGTATCCAGTTTTCTGTTTTCCTTTACCTTTACCTTTTCCCTTGTTACCAATGCTATTTTCATTATCACCTACAGCAATAACTCCAATTAGTATGTATAAAAAATTAGTTAACAAATAAAACGCCCATATATCTATATCTGTGTATAATACCACTGAGCTTAGTTTTACATACCCTTAATGCTAATAATATTCAAATACTTTGATTTATCTAATATATATATATATATATAAGCAGTTATTGGGTCTTTGAATTAAAGACGTTTTCAAACCGCTGGTTATTAGACACTTTCTTTATACCATGTGGTTGAATAGTGCGTATTCTATTTGGCCCATTTCTAAATTCCCTTCTTTTACCAAGAAAGAAAAGAAAAGACTAAAAAGACTACAGTAGTCAAATACCCGATGGTATATTTTGAATGTCTAATTACTATTACTATTATTATTATTTGACATTATTATCCGTTTGGTTCTTGGTTCTTGGTTCTTGGTTCTTGTTTCTTGTTTCTTTTTTACTTTTAGTTATTTATAATATTCTAGAGAAACTTTAATACGCCAATTGAAAACAAAAATATAATCACCAAAAAAAAGGGTTTTACAATGCCAATAACGACATCAAAAACCTTTATTAATAATTAATTGATTTTTTTTAAAGAAGTAGATATTTGTATAAGAGCAAACTATTATATGTATGTCTAACAAACATAGTCCTTTAATTAATATCTCAACTCACATAAATAATCCCAAATAAATTGATTAAAAGATAAAAGACTAAAGATGAAATTAAATGAAATATTATTTGAAAATACCCAACAGTACAAGTACAATTAAACAATCTAATTATGAATATATATATATATATATATATATGAATGGAATTTGTTTTCTTGTGTTGTCTAACATATACAGGCCTATAAATCAAATCAAATATTCAATTAACACTTTGTATGTGTGTTTATATGTGGGCATGGTCTTCATTCAAGTATCTCTATATATTTTTTTCTTATACAATATCACAAACATTGTTCGTTAAACTCTCCATACCTTTATTTCAATTTCACCTCAAAGTAACCAACAAATCGGTGTCTTATTGAATTGTTGTTTATACGACTTATCATTGATGTGAAAACAGTACTAAAAGGATTTTATTTTTTTTCTTGTCTTTTTTTTCACTTCTTCTTTCACTTTATTATACTTTATTTTCTTTAAAGATAAAGAAAAGAAGAAGAAGAAAAGATTAATCATGAAAGTGATAATTCTCGGTCTTACATTTACGGTAGCATCCGCATTTGCGCAATATCATGCGACGTATATGCCAACACACATCATTAGATTCAAGGAATCAGTAAACGGAACAGACAGTACGTTTTCAAGTAAAACATTTTAAATAATAATAAAAAAAAGATAACCCGAAAGGAACTGCATACACATAAAGATATTCCCTTTGGGAGTGTATTAACGGACTAATTGATTATTATTTCTCTCTTTTCTTTCTTTATTTGGTAGTGGCAAATTCTTTTGTTTTATCTCAACATCGATCCTTCACAATCCAGAAACACAAACAGCAAGTAAGAAGAGCTTTGGCTAAACGTAATTCGCGAAAGACCATCAAAATGCGCGAGACCAATAGTCTAAGCAAAAAGGAAGAGTCAAGAATGGATAAAGCCTTTGAAGAAAAAGATACAGACAGATCCAAACCCGAATCCAAAGGCGAAGATGAAAATGAGAATGAAGATGAAGGCGAGAATAATAAAGATAATAATGACAAAGGAGAGGAAGACAATGACAACGACAGCGCCAACGATGATGAAGACGAAGACGAAGACGAAGACGAAGATGAAGATGAAGATGATGAGGACAAATACGAGAATGAGGATGAAGATAATAAGGACAGCACAAGTTATGGTAACAAAGCCAAGGTAGATGACGGAGGCTTTGTCTATGCTGCTAGTATGGGGCTTCGGCTCTTATTGGAGCCTGTCAGTGTTGATCCAGGATTCACGGTCATGACAGGCGTGTTCCACGACAAGAGTTTCCTTGATTACCTGGGAGACCAAGGGAATGTTGACTACATCGAACCCAACAATATCTACAAGTCTAACATCCGATTGCCAGATGAACATGTATGGGAATCTCTAATGATATAGAACAATACTCCCGCTTCTTTTCTTTTACCAGATATTCGATAATTTTACCAACATTAATATTGCTATTCATGTTAATGTTGATTTTGATTTTGATGATCCCATTCTTATTATCATTGATAATTCATTTGTCATCTACACACATTTTATTAATTTTTTATTTTATTTTATTTTATTCAGTTTGGAAAGAGATCCGACATAAGAACCTCGCCCTCGCCGGATTGGGGATTGTCTCGTATTAGCCAACGTCTTTCGGGGACATTTGACAGCTATACTTATGAAGCGACGGCTGGGTAAAATAATAATAATAATAATAATACTAATAATATTAATAACGGACGAGTGAACGAACGATTGAAAAACAAAACAAAACAAAACCAAAAAGAGCTATTTGTTCACTCTTATTATTCTTTATTATTATTCTTAAAGGGTATAGATAATTACAATAATCGTATTCTAATCTAAATGTGTTTGTGCATTATAGATCTGGAATAACTGTATATGTATTGGATACTGGTGTCAATACTGAGCACTCTGATTTTGATAATCGTGCTTCATTATCAATTAATCTGGTTCACAATGAACCCGAGACAGATATGGGTGGTCACGGTGAGTGATTTATTCTTTTATATATATATATACATATATCAATATTATAAACAAAAAAGTTAAAGCACAATGGGTGATATCAATGAAAAATCAAATTAAATAAAATCAAATAGGTACTCATGTTGCTGGAAAGATTGCCGGAAAGACCTATGGTGTTGCAAAGAGTGCAAGGATTCGATCGGTAAAGATCCTGGGCCAATCAGGCGACGGTACAACCGCAAGTCTAGTCAAAGGAATTTCTCATGTTATAGAGACGGCCGAGCCCGGCAAGAGTGTGATCAATTTGTCGCTCAGTGGGCCAAAGTCAAGGATGATTGACGAGGTTTTGAGCAAGGCAGCTCGGGATTACAATATACCTATCTTTGTATCAGCCGGTAATGCCGGAACAGATGCTTGCTACTTCTCGCCTTCGTCTAACCAGGACGTGTTTGTGGTCGGGGCCACGAATATCAACGACGAGGTCCCACTCTTTTCAAATGTCGGTCAATGCGTTCATCTCTATGCGCCAGGATCGAATATCAAAAGCACCTGGATAGGAAGCTCGACTGCTATTCAGTCTCTTGATGGAACAAGGTATCCACACACACACACACACACATATATATATATATATATATATATATATATATAACTTAGATACTGAATATATGTATATTAATACTCTTTTCTCTTTTCTGTGCATGTGTTTGCATAGTATGGCCTGTCCTCATGTAACTGGTATTGCTGCTTCTTTGTTGTCCACAAAGAATTACAGAAATGTACATGAGCTTTATGATGAAATCCGATCAATTGCCACCAAGGATCTTCTAAAGTTCAAAACCGTGGTACACATAAGTCAGAGCCACAATTTACTTGCTTACGCCCCGTATTATTTATAAGAATGAATGTTTTAAACAGGACATACAATAATATCAACAAGATTAACATTTTTTTAAAGAAAAAGAATAAATTGTATTGTATTATATTATATTATATTATATTATACTCGATTATATCATATCATTTTTTTTTTACCTTTAAAAATAATCTTTCTTATTGGTGTTGTTTGTAAGCCTAGTTAACAGAAGAAAATAATAATAGTAGTAGTAGAAGCTTAGATGTTGGGGGGGGGGGTTGGTCATCTTTCTATTTTTCTATTTCTTTAAATCCACGGCATTTTAATTGCTCTCATTCTTAACCACAAAATTGTCATTGAAAAACAAAAAACCAAAAAAAAAACCCCAAAAGAAGATAAAGCAGAAAAAAATAAAAAAAAATAACGCATGTAATACACGCACAGTGAATAATTTATTCTATTAGAGTTAAATTGAGCGATATTATTTATCACTTGAATAAAAAGATACATATATACAAAAAGTGGGTAATATTTCTACTGGGATTCAAAGCATGATTAACCACAATATCCAAAATAAGAAGAAACGAAAGAAGCGGCCAAACTAGCAACCAAGTAACCAAGTAACCAAGTAACCAATTAACCAAGTAACTAGGTAACCAGGTAACCAGGTAACCAAAAAAAAAAGAAACACTTGTATTTGAGTTTAACCCTTAATTTTTTATTTGATTTTATTTTTTGGTTTTTGATTTTTGATTTTATTTTTTGAAACAAAGCAATAGTTTTTACCTAATAGATCAATTAATTTTTAAGGAATGCAACCTCATTCTTTATTCATAATCACTGGCGCCAATCGCGGGTTTGGACGTGCAATTGTCACTGCAGTAGCAGATGCAGCCAAACACAAGACTACTGTGATCTTGGTTGGGCGTAATGCCAATGAACTTGAGAATGTTGTACAATCAGTCAAGGACAATGTCAACATTGACACTCTTCTTGTGTCTGATATTTCTCTTGAAACTGCCTCAGAGGCTCATGATACTATCTTTGTAAAAATAAAGCACTTGATTGAGGTAATAAAAATAATTTTTGTCAGTTAATTAGTTGGTTGGTTTGTATTTAGATATCACATTTAGTACGGTAAAAAAAATTGTTTTTAAATAATAATAATATCATATATATATATATATGTATATATGTATGTATGTATGTATTTATTATACGCGATAAAGACTATCCAGTCAGGATATCCTGTCTTGACTAGAGCCGTGTTGGTCAACAATGCAGGAACTACGGGCGATCTGTCTAAAAAAATTGGGGAATACACCGCAGCCGAAATCCAGAATTATGTGAATGTGAATATTGCGTCCTATGTCACATTGGTGTGAGTTCTTGTGATCGATCGATTGATTGGGTATCTGTTTTAATACGATATTATATACCATTAAATAGATCAGGTTTTGTCAATCTATTGAAAGAAAAGCCATTTGATCCTGACCAGCCAACACCTTTTCCACCTGCCCTGACGATTGTTAATATTTCATCATTATTGGCAGTCAAGGCTTTTCCTCATTGGGGGCTCTATGCTACCGGAAAAGCAGCACGCGACATGCTTCTGAGTGTCCTGGCAGAAGAAGAAGTAAGCAAACTAAAGAAAGAGATGTTCATACTACAATTTATTATTATTATTATTAATGTTATTGGTGTTGGTATTTCTATTGTAGAGTTCTATTAGAACTCTGTCTTATGCACCAGGTCCACTTGACAATGAAATGCAGGCTAGTGTACGTGCGACAATTGGTAATGAAGAGCAAAAGCAGGTCTACACAGACATGGCCAACAAGGTAAGTAAGAAAATAATAATAATAATATTTTGATATCTTGATACTATGCATGATTTTCTCATTTTTCTACATTTCTTTTTCTAACTCTTAATTATTATTTATTTTCTCAGGGTACACTGGTCAAAATGAAGGATTCGGCTCGCAAGTTGATCAGACTAGTTGACAAGGCTGATTATCGGTCAGGAGCGCATATTGACTTTTATGATAAGGAATAATAATAATAATAATAATAATAATAATAATAATTAATTCTTCTTCTTCTTCTTCTTCTTGTTGATTTTCTGTAAATTGAAAATAAAACTTCCTTGGCTGTAATGAAAATATATATATTTATAAAGTAAAAAATGCGTTTTTCAGTCTAAAAAGAAAGGAGTAAAAGTAGAAATAGAAGTGTGAGGGTAAGTAGGAGTAAAGTAGAGTAGAGTAGAGTAGAGTAAAGTGGAGTGGGGTAGAATTGGGAGTGAATACTTTATTATCTCTATGACTAAAATATTTATTGACCTCCTGTGCATAATGTTTTGCTTCTTTCTTTATATAAATAAATATACAAACACAAACACAAACACAAACACAAACATATATATATATATATAACAATAGAGCAAAGTAAGATCAATACTATATATTTATATTATACTTTAAAAACAAAATTTAAAATTTAAAATTTTAAAAAAAGGGGGGATTGAATAATCATAATAATAATAATAATAATAATAATAATAATAACATTTTATAAATAAATAAATAAAAAAAAACACAGGGCAATATTCGATTGAGAAAAAAAAAAGGTAGTGGGGGGCATTTATGGCTTCTTATTGTCTGATGCCTTTTTGTTTTTGCTGTTTTGGATGTTTGCGAGTAAGACTATAGTTTCAGGTGAAGTGAGCTCGCGGCTGTTGACGACGATCCACACCGATGAAGATGAGATCAGGACCCTTGGTGTGGTGCTCTCACTGGCAGGTGGTCTTATGGTATCTTTTGTGGTCGTGACAGGTCTCTATATCTACTGGCGCTGCTGTGGTGGTCGACCTTATCGCAAACCTGCCGCAGTTTCGCTTACTTCTTTTCTTCCGCCCAGTCCACCACCTCCTTCCCTGTCTTCAATCCAGACCCCGACTACCAATTCATGGACGCACGACCCACCACCATTATTACCACCTGCAGCAATATCAGCAACAGCAGGAGCGGCAGGAGCAGTCCATCTGGATATGCCGATTCCTTCAGCCCCTCCAGCCAAAGAATTCAATATAACAACAACAGAAACAACAGGTTCACATCAACACCAACACCAACATTCACATTCACATTCACATTCACATTCACATTCAGACTCACACGCATATCCCTGTCCTTGTTCAACATCAATTATTGACCCATGGATTCAAGATCTCCCACCAGTCTACACTCCACCCACACATATGAAATAATAATCACTAACACACATACGAAAGAAAAAACAAAGAAGAAGTAATATATAATCAAAGACGAAATCCATCATAAGAAAGAGACATAAAGAAACAGAGGCAGAAACTGAAGATGGAGATGGAGATAAAGATTGAGATCGAGTGAGAATAGGAAGAAGATAGTTGTTGGCTTTAATATTCTTGTTAATATATGTATACATGTGTATGTATGCATGTATGTATGTATGTATGTACGTATGTATGTATAGATTCGTGTACACAAGTATAGATGTATAGATGTATAGATGTGTGTATATAAGAAGTCAGATATGCTGTGAGACAGGTGTGACAGCCTTGGTGCCTCCAAACTTGAACATCCGTTCGAGCGAAGACCGGAGTGAATAGTGTGATCCAGATGATCTTGGTTTCATTGTGCGTTTGTATGTATCCTATATAAACAAACATAGTAATAAGAAGAAGAGTCTCTTATTTTTTTGTATCGATTCCAAACTTACAAGATAGGCAATCTGAGGTTTGTTAAAGGCACCGCGTCTCTTGGTTCGAATGAATTCAATGGCATCTAATGGCTTGACGCCCATTTCTATCAATGCAATGGCCACCAGGACGGGTGCTCGTCCTAGTCCAGCCACACAATGGACGGCGATGGTCTGTTGGTCCTCTTGGTCTCTTGCTTGTTCTACAAGAGCGAGCCATTCACGCACTACTTGTGGTGGTGGCTATATAAAAAAAAATTATAAATAAAAAAATAATTTCTTAAAAGAAAAGAAAAAAAAAGAAAAAAACTTACAACTCCTCCATCTTTGAATGGTAGATCTATCACTTGGATGTCGTGCTCCTGTAGTCTACTTATACTGTAGGTAGGTTGACAGCACCTAACGACTGTGGCGACACTGAGCTGGACAAACTCGTCTATATAGTACCCGAGCGTACTCTCAGTGGGGCAGTCGAGGATGAGGAAACGTATAGGAGAGTTTGGTGAGTCGATGAGGGAGAGCATGCGTCCCAGTGGCGAGCTGTTGTTGTGGCCAGTGCGTTTGTCGTTGTGAATCATGGCGAAAGGCGAAAAGGAAATATTATAAGATAGCAAGATCAAGAGCAAGAGCAAGAGCAAGAGCAAGAGCAAGAGCAAGAGCAAGAGCAAGAGCAAGGGCAAGAGTGAGGTAAAGATGTAGTGAAGAGGAGTTATGGAAAGACCATGTCACGAATTCCAGAAATAACAAAGGAGATTTGATCGGGCTGAAGACCAGAAGAGCGTTTCATAAGTTGACCAACAAGAAATAAAAGAAAGAAAGAAAGAGAATGAAATCCCAAACGAACAAAAAAGAAAGATAAACTCCACGCTTTATATAATGCCTATCCAATCCATTGAACCAACCATCTTACTGACTCCCCCCAAAGCTGGAGTTGCCTATCTTTTCTTTTCATGTGACGTTACATCATTTGTTACAGTATTTTCGGTTACATTTGGGAAGATTATAAATTTTTTTAGACCAATAGAAAAGTTTTTGAGAATTATATTTTATTTCTTGGAAGTCTTCAAAAAAAAAAAAAATTGAGAAAAAACAGAGAGCTTTTTAGAAATTAAGTTTTTCGACGATTTCCTTTCTTTTAGATTAGACATCTTTAAATAAAAATGGACTACATTAAGAACTCCCATTTTTCCAATCAGAGTTCTGGTTTATTTTTTCTTTTAGCCAATTAAACCTCTGTATTCTAGTCCAACTGGTCTAACTGGTCCATTTTTTCTTTTTTAGCCAATTAAACCTCTGTATTCTAGTTCAACTGGTCCAACTGGTCCAACTGGTCTATTTTTTCTTTTTTAGCCTAAATGACATCTACAATCACAAGAGAACAGGCATTGTGCCTTCTATTTTGTAAGGAATACAATGAAGACAATATAAAAATGATCCTAGAGAAGGTAGCCCTTTATGAGGATCTAGAAATTTGCCATGCTGGCGACCCTTTACAGCCAATGCTACTGTTGTAAATGAGTATTGACTACTGCTGTAATTGAGAATAAGTCTGAAGGAAATAATATAAGGCCTCAGCTATTCCAGTCAAAGGTGTCTACCGATTACTTTATTATTTAACACACAGGTTTAGCATGCATGATAGTGATTATATTTCATATGATGATATCACCATAATATGGGATACATCAGTGGATTATTATAAGCATAATTATAACTCATAAACACATTTACTTTCGATGTTAATACTTCATTGGGACTACACACATTTATATAATTAATCATACATTAATTATCCCAAGATCACGTTGCTCTGATTAAGGCTCAGATAGGATCGATTACCTGATCCCAGTCATATAATTTTCCCAATCCAAAACAATATAAATAGCAGTAGTAGTTCAGTGTAGGAACCTGGTCAAACTTTGATACAAAATCCTTTCTCAATAAACAAAACCTACACAAGTTCTCACGAATCTTCGTTCCTAATCTCAAATCTTCAATTCTTCCTCTTAAAAACTTCTTCAACTTCAACCACCACAACAGCTACTTCCTCATGTTAGGATCCATTCGAATCCTTTTGGTTTTAGGAAATATCGCTCTGAAGCTGATACAGTCACAAGAAGTTCAGGAAAAGACAAATGTTAACTTTAGTAACTTTGAATGACGTTTAATGTTATTTAGCCAATTTCAATTATTAATACTGTTAAAATAGTGCACGATGCTCAGATTGTTCAGTTTCTGAATCAAGTGTATGTCCCAACTGAGCCATGGAACGAATCACTTTACATAAAAAAGAAAGTCTCATCCAGGGATATTTTTTCTTTGATTATGTTATATACAACAAAATTTGATGAGAAATCGTTGTTATCTTTTATAAAGTGGTGCAACACCAAGAAAGTTTTATACATGAACCAAGAACAGGAACGAAAAGTATTGAAGGATCAAAACGGTTCAAAGGTTCGATATCGAGTCTTATGGACATTAAAAGATGAATATTTGAATGGTATTACTTTATCAATCACGGAGCATCTGCCAAAGTACCAGGCATATATCAAGAACCTCAAGAAAAATAACTTCACAGTCATTGGATACGCCAGAAAGTCTCCAGGCCAGGAACATCAGGAAGTGAGAGTGGGTTTGGTTCAAAAAATGGTCAACAAATTGTATGACACGTTGCTTGTGGATAAAGTATTTGTCACTACGTCATCGCGAGCAAATGATACCATTACATCCCGCGACACGAATGGAAAAAATGCCCAATTGACGCTTTTGAACCAAGTGCATGGAAACACGCAAGGTAATAAACGCAAGACACTTAATTCTAATCAAATCACTCACAGTATCATATAGATCTATTGGAATATATTTGCACATCAAAAAACGACTGTCTAGTAGCAATTGATTTCGCCGGTCTGTCAACCAATACCAGTGATTTATATGATTTCATTGTGTAAGTCTTCTTATACGAAAAAAGTAATCACTTCTCGCTAAAAATGATTTTTTAGAGCTCATGGTTCCATCAAGAAGATCATCATTGACCTTTCTTCGTCTACTGGGTTTATGAAGTATTATAACCGAGACGATATTATTGATAATCCTAGCATTTTAAAGGATTTTGATTGCAGAAAACCTTGTTATAAACGATCGTAAATATATATTAATTCTTTTCCTTCTAATAAAGTAGTCTTACTTTCCCAAGTCTTCACTTTCGTCTAACTTTATGTCCATGACAAAAATCCCTTGGATCTTGTTGAAAAGGTTCCAGTACGCCCTAACATGTTAATAGATGATATTAGTTTTTATTATATTTAACCTTTATTTATTACTTATTAAATATGATATGTTTTATATCTTGAAAGTAATAAATAATGATTTATTTACTAACTTGGTATAACACTTTTTAGACATACAATTGCTTATGTTTTAATATTATTAAAATATAAACATATACACCTGGAAAAGTTACTTCTTATTGTTTTATTATTTTTCAGTGATTTAAACATAACTAGATTCACAGGCCAAATTGCTTGTTTCAAAAATAAATATCATAGATACATAATATATAAAAGTCCTGGAAAATATGGTCCAGATAAGTTAAATACAGACACTGTTTGAATTGGATGACCTATTGTTTACAAATGAACAGGTATACATTCGAAATCGATGAGGTTGTGAGTAGATTGTTTGAAGAGGAATCAGCCTAGGTTCCAGTGGATCTTTTTCATAGCAAATTTCCAGAACTTCAAAAGAGTTTAATTTCTCTAGGAGTCTCCTCGCATTGATGTCGTTATACTCTTCGCAATACAACATGCAGATTGCCTGCTCTTTGGTAACTGTAGTAGCCATCTTTAATAAAAAGAAAAAAAGGTATGGGTCTCACACAACTTAATGCTGTAAGAAAAAAATGGCCAAAATGAAAATTCTTCATTGACTGCGAGTAAAAAAGGACTAGATAAACTAGAATACAGAGATATGATTGGCTGAAAAAGAAAAAATGGACCAGTTGGACCAGTTGGACTAGAATACAGAGGTTTAATTGGCTAAAAGAAAAAATAAACCAGAACTCTGATTGGAAAAATGGGAGTTCTTAATGTAGTCCATTTTTATTTAAAGATGTCTAATCTAAAAGAAAGGAAATCGTCGAAAAACTTAATTTCTAAAAAGCTCTCTGTTTTTTCTAAATTTTTTTTTTGAAGACTTCCAAGAAATAAAATATAATTCTCAAAAACTTTTCTATTGGTCTAAAAAAAATTATAATCTTCTCAAATGTAACCGAAAATACTGTATAACTCATCATTACATCCTTTTCCTCCTATTATTTTCATGGCTCTTTTATGTATTTATATATACACACATTTTAACATGGTAAACTTTGATCAATCGATTCATAATTAATCATAGTGCGATTCTTTCCATTAGGATCACTGTTACTATTACCATCGATTAATTGATTCATTATAAGCAAATAAGCAAATAAATATTCAAAAAAAATGTGTGTTGTTGAATGGCAAGTATTGTTTCTTTATTTTATTGAGATTTTTTTTTTATTTTATAAAAAAATAAATAATATTTGAGGCAGAGCGATTTCCGGTTTTTTGGTCTTCCTATTCTGGATTTTTTTTTTGTAATGTCTAAAAATGTCCAAAAGGCCGTCCAGATAATTCCACCAATAGACACTGCTTATTCACATGTGGACTTCCAAAAAGAGCGAATTAAATGTGGCAAAGAATAAAAAGAGAAAAGTATATGGTCAGTGTGCTGAACCAAATAAAAAAAAAAATTATGCTTTCTCTCTCTCTTAATATTATCTTTTTGATTTATTTTGTATAAAGGATAAAATAATGTAAGTCAAGCGTCATTTCTTACAAGCTGCATACAAGCCAAGTCGAATCAAATCAAATCAAATTATCTAAAGGTTAACGTATAAGAATATGACTTGGATTGTAAAAATAATGAGTAAAAAGAAGAAAAAAAAAAAGGGCTTTTTGTCATATTTCTATTGACATTCTTACATAATTTGAAACCGCTACGAGAATTGGCATGATTTAAACCCCTTTTTTTTCTATAATTATTTCAATAAAATCAAAGGCCGAGTAAAAGAAGACATAAAATACATACAACATATATAGCATATACAATATTGAAACCTTGTAGCATAATAAGATTCAAAAATAGGGAGTTCATTTGTTTTGCTTTGTTCATAAAAACAAAACAGTAATCCTACGGGATCAATATTTTCTGGTGGGACACGACATTTCTATTTAACCGTAATTAATTCTGACCACCTCTCCGGGACCCGGTGACTTTAATCTTTCGGGGCAAAATGGATTGTTCTAAAAAAACTAGAGGTAAAGCTGTTTACCCTTTCCTCCAAAGGTATTAGGTCATACCATGCCGTCCCAGAAAAAGATCATAGCAGAATGGGCACAGCTTGTGGTACAGGAGAATCAAAATGTCGTGTCCCACTAGAAAATATAGGTCCTGTAGGATTACTGTTTTGTTTTTTGAAACATTGAACAAATATCAAAATATGACCCAAGAAAAAAAAAACAGAGAGAGTAATTATGAGTGATGCAACGTTTATTTTTTCTATTTTATCCTGTTAGCCTGTCCTGCCAGTCTGTCCGTAAGGCTATTCTTCTTTTCCTCCTCCTGTCTTTTATTTTGTATTGACCAACCAAAAGCAAAAGACATAATATTTTTTCTTTTAATTATTATTATTATTATTATTTCAGTTGGTAGCCAGCCTTATCAATTGTCACACAGCATCTTTATGAAATCAACTTTATATATAGTGTATTTGTCTATGGTGTTCAATATAATAAGGTCAGGTCCTTCTTTTTTAATATATGTATGTATGTATGTTTGTCCTTTTTTATTAAGAAAGTTATCGATCAAAATAATCACGGGGGGTGTTTATATAAAAACATCCAAAAAGTAACTTTTATTTATTTATTTTATTCCTATTTAGAGCTAACAATACTCTTACTCTTACTGCTGCTGCTGCTGCTGCTGCTGCTGCTGTTGTTGTTGTTGTTGTTACTGTTGTTTTATAGTGAGATCCATGCAAATCCTGTCATTTGTTTATCGAGACTTTCGATCCAAATCATACACTATATGACTCACACAAAGGTCAATACAGTACTACTATCATAATCATCATCATTGTCTCAAATACCCAAAACTTTCTCCCCCCAATTTTTTATTTTATTTTATTACTGGTATTATTATTGAATTTACCTCAAATATCATTATTGCCTATTGCCTCTTGATCTTGCCTCTTGACCTTGATCCTGATCCCGATCTTGATCTTGATCAGTCCCAGTTCAGTTTAATTCAGTTTAATTCAGTCCAGTTCTGTCTTGACTTGAGCTGACCTCTGAGAAGCAAGAAGTAGTATATAGCTTTATAAAGTGCATATATATATATATGTATGTATGTATGTATGTATGTATGTAGGCTTATTAATCAAATATTCACAACAAAGGTTAACTGCTGTGAATCTTAAAAATAAATAGCTCTTGTTTTATATATTCTTTTAAGAAAAATCACGGTCTACAATCCCTATCACATCAGCACCCTTTAATTGTAAAAAAAAGGTGTCTATGTATGTGAATATATATATACACTCTTTATCCAAAAATAAATATAAAAACCTAATTTACAAACCCTTAATTGTCACAGATATATAGACCAAGTCAGGTATAATTTGTTATATGCTCCAAAGACATTGGTTGATTCCGTAAATATAAACCTTCTCTCCACATTTACATTATGCTTGTCATATTCATTTTAGCCAAAAATAACAAGAAAGTTCTCTATGAAACTCTTTAATATTATTAATGTAAAGATCAGTTTATTCTGTTTCTGACATCATTCTCTAGTCTGTGCTGATAATTATTTAAGTATCTAATTTATGGATTACACCAACAGTCTACTTGAAGAAAGTTCATCAAGAATACAATCTACTGTTATAAGCCAACTCCAATCATCAACAATTGCCTCACAGTCGAATCATACAAAACAATACGTAGCAAATAAATTATACAGAAAATACTACAAATGAGCTTACCTGTCTTTCTTTGTCTAATTGGAGGCGTTGTACTTCCTTAATTTTCTTCTTATTCTTCTTTTTCAACTGACAATACAAAATCAATTTTTTTTTGCATACAATAACAAGATCCGAAAGATCCGGTTTTTGTGCACACGCCCAACAACAATAATCAGGGAGCAGATACTATCCTATTTTCACCAAAATAACATACAAAGATTTACAATACAATTTAGTAAAGTACAATGTTCTGTAGACTATATATCCACTCTACAGATTGCTAAATACTATCTTTTGCTCTAGCTTTTGCTTCTTCTTTTTGGGCACTTTTTAGCGGGGGCTTCAAATGAGATAGAATAAGAGTAAAAAGAAGGAAAACATGTCTAGTGACATTTCCCTCGGTTTCTTTCTTTCCTGTGCTATTCTCAGGCCAAACAGGGTTCACAATCCCTTCTTTTCTGTGTCCGATACTCAAGGCCTTTGACCAGCTAGTGTACTTCACTACTGTCCGCCCAATTCCGTACACACTTAAGAAAGACATTGTCTACGAAACCTGGAGCGAATAGGAAAATAGGATATATCCAATTTTTCACAGCATCTTACCCCACCTATTCCTCTTTCCCTTTTTCTCTTTCGTTTCTTCTTTTTACTACGCCACATTGTATTACAAGCTTTAGGGAACACAGGATTGCCCTGAGCCAAAAAGCAAGAAGATTAAAGAAAGACGGAATAATTATCTACTAGAAATTGACAGCATGTAACATACACAGTACCCATATACAGCCCCGTCCAATGTAAATATCTCTATATAAAAATAAACAAATAGACAAATTACTCCTCTACAGTATCACTGTCATCTTAAATCCCGATCACACCCCCAATTTCCCTCTTCCACTCTTCTTTACTGCACGACACTCATACAACCAAAATCAAAAAGGCAATTATCTTTGCTATATATATATATCTATCTATTGGAGTCGACAAACGTCTTGTGTTCAGAAACATTCAATTCAAATTTTTTCTTTCTTAACGTTATTGAATTTTAAAAAAAAACAAAACAAAGACTTGATTTCTTTTGTCGTTGTTGGTTATAGGTGATGAATTATGAACAGAACAGTCTAGTGCTTTCAATAAGCAATATATTGTTGATCAAATCTAACAAAAAATAAAACAATATAAAATGAATCAGTTTCGCATTTTTAGAAACCAAATTTACTTGCGCTTACTTTTACCTCAAACCAAGTGCAATTATTATTTCTTATTCATTTGGCCAATAGCATAGTTATTTTTGACATTTTATAAATCTATAAAGAGAAAGTCCAAGAAGTATGTCTTTGAGCAATATCTTTAAGCCTTTTCTTTTTTTTGGCCTTTTATTCATTTTGTACATGCTTTTAATTACCGGTAAACTTATATTTGGTGATTGCCTTTGTATAATCATAGTATATATTTAAATGTATATCAAATACCAAATATTTTTATTTTTATTTTTCTTCCCTTGTTTTTTTTTAGGTATGTAATATCGATAGTGATAGTTAAATAAAATTTGCAATTTATTAATTTAAACAAATCTTTGTTCTTGAGCAGTGTGGCATGGTATGGTATATCGTGGTATGATATAGTGTGGCGTGGCGTGGCGTGGTGGGGTGGGGTATAGTGTTTTAATTTCATTTCAGTTCTTTTTTTTTGGTTACCATAGAAAACGACTTGGAACTAACTGAGGAGGCATGACTACTGTGTCCCGGAATCCTGTGAGTAGAGATCTTACATATTCAAATGCATTCTCCCACTCTCGTGACATTTGTACAGAGTCTGGCAAGATATACACCCTACATTCAAACCACACATCCTCATCCTCCTCCTTTTCCTTCTCGCCCTCTGCTTCTTGAGAAAGTGCAGCCAGCTTGGAGAATTGAAGTGCTAATCCATGGGCACCCACATCAACCTGTCCATCATCGTCATCAACCGGCGGTCTGAATCCATACAGAAAACATGCCAATGGTATTGTTTCTAGCGGAGGGCGCGTCTATAGTTGTAACAATAATAATTGTAATAATAGGTTAATCTTGTCAATCACTCTTTCAACAATATTCTGAATTTTGTTTTGCCTTACCTCTTTGGTTTCAAAATCATATAGTCTCAGATCGGTGCTATACAAAACCGCCCAATAACGATTCCATTTCTTATTGTATTTTGTATTTTGTATTTTGATTATATACATATGATAAAGAAGACGAAATATATAAAAAAAAAGGTTTATATTATAGTCAATTATCTCTCTGTCTCTTTCTACTATTCCCCAATAAAATAAAATAAAAAACTTACAGCTGATCTTTGGCCACGAGCATAAAGTGTCATGTAACCGGAAAATACAGGTCGATTAGTCAAAAGAGTCTGAGCCTGGTGGCTGACATACGTGCCAAACACAACCAAGACTTGGTATGTGGCGGCACCTGATCCAGAAGTCTCTCCATCTCCAATCGTGTATCGACGCAACTTCTTGTCACTATATTCTAATGTGGCATCAAATCTGTGCTGTCCTACACACTCTTCTGGTGCACGATGACTGATACGATGGAGCATTGTTCTTGGTTGAGCGTAGACCTTGAGCGTGATTGATGACGGTTCATCAATATCACTTTTGTACCCACAAAATCAAGTAGATATATATGTATATAATTGTGAGCAAAATATAATATTTACTTACTTACTTAGTTGCATACATACATACATACATACATACAATACAATACAATATAATATAATATAATATAATATAATATAATATAATGTATGTATGTATGTATATGTTGTATAAATAAATAAATAAGAACATCGTTACCATAGAAAAGTTTCTTCAAGTTCTGTCTGAATTGTGTTCTTGCCACATTTCTCACTCGATCCAAAACTGCCCACAAATATTGATCGATCGTATTCAACAGAGCATCTAAAGTGGCTGGCTAAAAAAACAAAGAAACAAAGAAACAAAGAAACAGATGAACAAATTGATTGATTATAAATGTTAAATAAGGATGGTTTATCAAAAATTGAAAGCTCACTAAATAAATATCAAAGCTTCTTTATATAGTTATACATGGGTGTATAATTCAATTGAGATAATTACGTTTGGCATGGTTCTTGGCAATAACCTGAAGCACTATAGATTCAAATCAATTTTTTTTCTTTTTTTTTTAAATATATTTTATATAAAACAATAACAACCAAGTCCAATTGATAATAGCATAATAACTCTTTTTTTTTCTACCTTGAAGATAAAACATGGCCTTTGCTTGTTTTCCATCTGCATATTGTATTTCGCTTGGTCTAACAGTAAAATCAGAAATGAATCATAAAAGAGGATATATTATGTAATCAGTTAATTGATTTATGGACTACAATTGACTTACCTTGTGTATTCCTTGTGTGGTTTGCGAAGGACTATCGGGTATAGAGAGTGGGCAGAGAGCTGGGGAATTCCTACGCCTTCTGCCGGAGAGGAGTCTTTGATCCACTGTAACTTGTCCTCCGGCAGTTGATCCAATGTTTCATATGGTCCATTATAGTACATCAACGGTTCCGAAGGCAGTCTACTGTTATTCTTATTCTTATTTTTACTTTTGTTCGTACTCGTATTCATATTCATATTCGTACTCGTATTCATATTCGTGTTCGTATTCGTATTCGCGTTTATATTTTTAGTCTGTATTTTATCCTGATTATTTGGCTTTTTTTCGGTATTTCTTGATCCAAGTTTTGATTTTGTGCGTTCTGGCATAGGTGATTCCTCTGTTGATATGCCAACTTGTGCGGCGGATCCCAGGTGCGTAAAAGATCGTCCAAAGAATGTCTTGATTGAGGTCGCCGAAGGTAGCGAGAAGTCTCTAAAGGAAGGAGAGGGCCTGATGTGGCCCAGGAACCCAGGCCGTGTCCGATGTTGAGATACATAGGGACTTTGCATAATAGGGTTGGTACGAATTGAATTGAACATGACTATAGACTATCCGCTTATTTGATTATCGGTAGATTTTTTCTTTATTTTTTTGAGAAGAAAAAAGGTAGATTGATAATGATATTAATAATATAGTATATTGTTATATATTACAATGTACTATATTATATTATAATAAGCTCTTGGAGAAAGAGAGACAATTAGAAAGTGACAAAGAAGAAGAAGAAGAAGAATATGATGATAAAGAGAGAAGCTGTTTATTTTCTGTATTGAAATTTGTTCTTAATCTTTAGATTTCCTAGTGTACGAACAGGCCAGGAACGCATTCAAATCACAATAGAATATTCCCTCTCTTTCTTTCTTTTTTTATATATATGATATATACTGCATTTTTATACATTATCTTTAATTACAAATCTCAAGATGTATTTGGATCATCAAAAGACTTATTTAATCAGATTCTTGAATATTGAATACATTGTTCAAGATGTACATACACCAATATATATATATAAATATACGTGTATGTGTATGTATGTCTATCTGTATGACTACTGCTGTAATAGAACGATTTTACACTCGCAGTAACATTCCAACCTGTGCACACTCTCATTTCTTATTTTTACTATTTGAGCTCACATCCCTAACCTATCCACACCCAACAATAAAATAAAATAAAAAAATTCCAGCAGGTGTACGGCATTTATCTTTTCGATTTTCGATTTTCTTCCGTCTTGGATTTCCTTTTGTGGATATGAAAAACATTGATCCAAAAAAAGACGATATTAAAAAGCGCAGCTCCCACAAAACTCACTAAATAACGCAAAAAGTAAAACATTATTCGGTATTATTGGTCAATTAAGTGTACGTCACAACTATCACGTGATCTAATAGATTTTTCTTATCCATTTTCAAATATTGGTTTACTCTATTTGCTTACCTTTTTTTTTTTCCCTTGATTGTACAAGTGTATATATGTAGTATGTGTAGCATTTTACAAACTTTGTCTTATTTTCTCTTTATTTCTTTCTTTCTATCAAAACCCCAACAATATTCTATTAAACATACATACTCACAATCTTATTTAAGATATATGTAGCTCATACAGCTTAATTAAACAAAAAAATAAAATAAAATAAAGAGCTTATTACTATTCAATTTTGCGAAAATAAAATAAAAATTTAAAAATTTAAATAAAAAATAAAAAAATTTAAAAAATAAAAAAATTTAAAAAAAAAAAAATTAGTTGCGCTCAATATTTTTTGGACGATAAAAAAAATACCCCTCCCTTTGGTTGACTTGCTCTCCTAATGGACATTATCATGCAGGAGCCAAGTCTTGCCCGTGTCTACACCTACGCAAACGTAAATCAGCCCAAAGATTACTATGAATATGATGCACTCCAAGTCAATTGGGGGTATGTACAATGAGAACCTGAAGTAAAAATAATAAAATAAAATAAAATAAAAAGAGTAAGAAGAGGAAGAAAGAAGAAAGAAGGAAGAAGAAAGACAGAGATATATAGATACATAGATATGTAGATAGAGAGGCTTATCAATAAAGCTGTATTTCTCTTTTCTTTTTTTCTCTCTCTCCCTCTTGCTCTTTATCTTTTGCATACAATTATATACATACATACATACATACATACATACATACATATGTTTGCATACATACATATATACATATATACATATATACATACATAAAAAAATATAAATGTATTTGCATTCTTTAATATAATCAGAAAACTCATAATTGAACCAGATTCCAAGACAACTACGAGATTAGCCGCAAGGTCGGTCGTGGAAAATACTCGGAAGTGTTTGAAGGCTTAAATGTCACCAATGGCCAACAATGCGTCATCAAAGTTCTTAAGCCTGTCAAGAAGAAGAAGATCAAGCGTGAAATCAAGATTCTTCAGAACTTAAACGGAGGACCAAACATCATTGGACTTTTGGACATTGTTAGAGATCCTCAGGTGAGCGAGATTTAGTTTTTATTTTATTCTATTATTTATACCGATACCAATACCAATATATAAAAGAAATATTGAAACCATGTTTGTTAACAATTGAAATGCTTATCAGTCTAGAACACCATCCTTGGTTTTCGAGTATGTGAACAATACAGAATTTAAGATTCTTTACCCTCGCTTCACTGATTATGATGTTCGCTACTACATGTACGAACTCTTGAAGGTTTGTTGTGGAAATAGTTAATTAGTGTACAGGTGTGCGTGTGCGTGTATGTGTTTGTGTTTGTGTACGTGTGGGTGTGGGTGATGGGTGTGTAAGCGTATTTTATTTTATTTTCATGTTATTAGTAATTAAACTCATATTTTTTCGTTTTTATTTTCATTTTTCATTTTTTATTTTGGTGTATGTGTGTATATAGGCTATTGACTATTGTCATTCCAAGGGCATCATGCATCGTGATGTCAAACCTCACAATGTGATGATTGATCATGAGAAGCGTCAGGTAAGATGAGTTACATATTATTTTGTACAAATAATTGCAATATACATATATTAATACCTTTTATACACTACAGTTGCGTTTGATTGATTGGGGTTTGGCCGATTTCTATCTTCCTGGCGCAGAGTACAATGTTCGTGTCGCATCCAGGTGTTTCAAGGGACCCGAGCTTCTCGTCGATTTCCGCTTGTACGATTATAGCTTAGATATGTGGAGTTATGGTTGTATGTTGGCAGGCATGGTACGTATATTATACTTTTACCTTTTTTGTTCATTTGGAAAGTTAATTTTTTCTTTAAAAATAATAATAATAATAATAATAATAATAATATGTGCGTGTGTATATGTATGTAGGTCTTCCGTAAAGAACCTTTCTTTAATGGCCATGACAACTATGATCAATTGGTCAAGATTGCCCGCGTCTTGGGTACTGACAGCCTGTTCACTTACCTTAAAAAATACAACATTAAACTTGACCACCAGTTTGATGATATTCTTGGAAAGTAAGTTGGTCTCTAAAAAGCTAATAAGATAAAGAAGATAAATAAATGAAGTGGATCAAATTAAAATTTGCTTACATTTATTATTGTTATTTTCCAACAAAACAAAAAAGGTACCCAACAAAACCATGGAGCAAGTTCGTTGGACCTGCCAACAAGCGTTATATCTCGGATGAACTTTTTGATCTCCTTGATAATTTGCTTCGTTACGACCATCAGGATCGCCTTACAGCACAAGAAGCTATGGACCATCCTTATTTCCGTAAGTATTGAACCAAATATACATGCATATATGTAACGTTTCTGTAAACTCAAAACTCAAATATTACAATCTTTTTAGGCCCCATTCGTGAACAAGAAAGCGACAAGACAAAGTAGTCATCCTGTAGTGCGTCCCTCTCCCACTTCTTTTTTTTTAAAAGAAAGAAAGAAAGCCAGGCCAAACAAAGCCAAACAAAACAAAACAAAGCAAAACAATATCAATTTTTACATTCCATGACCTTTCCTTTTTGTTGGCTATTTGTACATGGTCTTGTCTACAAACACTCTTTTTCTTTTCCCATAAAAATAGATGAGAAAAGCACTACAAGTCAAGTCAATAGATATATACATACATACATAAGCCAAGGTCCAGAACCAGAAGAATTTGAATTCATTATAATACTTACTATTTGATCAAATAGCTTTACCTTGTCTTTGCCAAAAAATAAGATTTAAAGGATACTATATATATATATATATATATTTCACTTCTTTATAAACAGGACACCCTATATATATATATGTGTGTGTGTGTATCAGAAAATAATGATAAATCCCCAGGATCGAATTTCTTCTCCAAAAATAAACTATGCGATATATGGATATTGCTCAAAATTCAATTACTTTGTAGTAATTTTGTTGGCCTTTATGAATCATCAACAAATGGCTTCAATGATTGTGTGTCCAATTAACATGTTCGTTTCTTTATTTCAATCGAGGGGGGGGGGTTAATTAACTGATTGATTGATAGTGTTTTTAAAGAACAATGGTATATTCTAATATCTTATTCTTTGTTAGAAAATAAATATATTAAATAAAATAAAATAAAACTTAATTGCCTTTTTTTTATGTCTGTCAAAAGTTTGTACATATCTCTCTCTCTATATATATATATATAAAATTACAATCTTCGTTTATTTGTAAGAAAGAAAATGTATATGGATTATAGTTGTATCTTTTGTCTATATTAATGGGTTCATGTACAGAAGTGGAGATTTCTAGGAATGAGTATCATGACGATGAAGGCGAAGAAGAGGGCGAAGAAGAGGGCGAAGAGGAAGAGGAAGATAAAGAAAAGGAAAAAGGTATTTTAGAAAGAAGAATAGCAGCTACATGGGATCCAACCACCAAAAGGCACTGAAGTAAGAACCGAGGTGCAAAAATCTTCCAGGTCATCAAATGGCGCCTGAGAATTAACACAAACAATGCGGAAAAGCAGGTTGGGATAGCCTGCATGAGTGGCATAAAAAAAAGGGATGCCTTGTTGGCTTCACTATTATTTTGTGCTAACACGACCATCCAACCCAACCAGGACGCAATGTGGCCTGCCAGGGTTGACATGGTCACCAGTACCATCCCGCCGTAGTAGTTCATATCGTCAAATCCAATAAAAGCCGCCTTCCATGGTAATGAAGTAGAGGTGGCCTGGTGTGCGGTAACAAAAAAGAGGTGTTGTCCGAGAACATGAAGCAGGTAGAATCTTGTAGTAACGCTAGAAGCTTGGCCACCAACTACCCATCCCACCACAAAAGGAAACGCCAAAAGTACAATACATCCCAGGGGTCGCTGGAGCATCCCTAGACTCACACTCCACAAACAGAATGTAGTCCAGCACACTTTCTTGATATCGGTTGCCTGATTTGGTCCACAAGCACGCATCTTAAATGAAGCAAACGATCCAATAGTTCCGAATAAGCTTATAAAGTAGACCATTCGAGGCATGTAGACATCAAGCGCCCTTTTAAAAAAAGCAGCGTAAAGTGTTACAGGAGAGCGGTCGATGTGATGTTCTAATGCAGCCATTGTTTCGGGGGAGTTTTGATAGATGTCAAAATATTGTCGAAACAAGACAAAGCAAAGTGATCCAATGTACGCTCTCAACAGGACCTTGGGAAATGCATTCGTGCTAATGAGTGCATGTCGCTGGTAAAATCTGTTGAGACAAACCACCAGGCAAGCGCTTGTAATGATCCAGATCGCTGTGACCGCTCCATCACTTTGTCCGAGTCCGTCAAATTTTAGATATCCATTGTGGATGTATGAGCAATGAGGGAATTGTTCTTCACGGCATTGACCAAATATTCCGGTCAACCGAACGAATATCATGACTACAAGCGGACCAATAGACGTATCCAAAAACTTCCTCTTGGTCAAATTCGAGTATGATATACTAGAGAGATCAATCAACAGCCATCCGATGCAAAGTGTTGTGGCCACAAAACGAGTACCACGATCTTCCCAGATAACAAAGCTGTTGGATCCCAAGGTCAGGGCTTGTAGAACAGCCAAAAGACCCAATCCTGCCCAGGGTCGGCACACACCTAAAGATGCACGAGGACGAGTCGAAAAGACGGCGGAAAGGACGGCGAACGCAACAATGACTTGTATCCAGCTCGAAAGATCCATCTTCTCAAACCAGCCATGTGTTCGAAACAAGTTTTGTAATAAAGTGAATTTCAGACCGACGAGAGAAATACCACTCACAAAGGATACCGAACAAACCCAAATTGCAGTCTTAATCATAATACTCGGAGAGGGCACTAACCAAATTATACCGACCAGAGTAGAAAACAAGAGGACAATACCGACAGCCATGCAGCCAACATCAAACTGTGCCCATATTGCCTCACAGTATTTGATAGTCTCGACCAAAAATGCGTCATAGGCTAAGATTGAATCTTCCAATATAGTCATCAAAAGCTCCTTTGCGTCCAAGTCAGAGGATGATAGGAGGTGGGCAATGGAAATGATATGTTGATCTGCTTGATAGAAGTTTTCAACAATAGGCTGTAATTTCTGAAGGGAAAACCCAGGGTGGTTGGTGTATTTCCCATAGGTGTCAAGATAGTCGTATACCTGAAGTGCATTTATGCGAAATTGCTGGACCATATGTAGCAAGGTATCGAATTTGTCTGAATTGATGTGCGGGTGGATAATGTCCGGAATAATAGCACCTAGATTTCCAAAAGGAATCGGAATACCCAGTAGATAAGAAAGAGTTGGAACGAGATTGATTTGAGAGACAATTGGATGTTGAGAGGGGTCGTAGCCAAGACGTTCCTTTATCCGATTGAGATCATAGCCAAACAAGTTTGAGCGTGTGTGATGGATTCTGTCAAAAAACTGCCGAAAATATTCTTGTCCATCGACTCCACTCAAGGTGAGGTTACGTCCCGAGTAAAGAAACAGGGCGCTCATCAGTTCTTCTACACTCTCTCCACCATGATCACCTTCGACTGACATTCCGTGATCACCCATAACCACCAACAGAGTATCTTGATCCACCTGCTTCACTAGTCTCTCAAGTACAGTATTCATTTCTTTTAATTTTCGTGCCATGTTGGGATGAGAAGGTCCATAGGTGTGACCACAATGATCCACGCCCAAGAAGTGTGCGATTGCAACCTCCCAAGACACACCTTGCTCCATCAATGGCCAGAGATGGGATAAGATACGGTTGTCAACGGTATCAAGATCAAACATCTTGAAACTGTCACTTGCAAATGTTCGGTTTTCCCGGTCAAATGTTTCAGGGAACAAATTGACCCATGTGTCGTCCCCCATAAAGTATATTTCCTTGTATTTTTGGCTTACATGGCGTAGGACATGGTCTTCTCCAACTGCTGATGAAGCAAAGTTTGTGCCGGCATCGATAAATGTCGGTAATGAGCCCGTCATGAGTCCCTTGACACGTTGCATTGTGGTCGTGGGTGGATCGGCTCTGAATTGGAACAAAAGAGATGCCGATGGCTGGGTTTCCTGGAGATGATGAATGATTGGAACCTGATTGAGGTAGTGTTGGTCGGGACTAGTTTGTGGTAACGGTGTGACAAAGTCGAAACGAAGAGCATCGATCAAGATAATAATGAGTCGTTCGAAAGGTTGTCTGGTTGATATGTTTATGTTAGATAGTGGTGATGGATGACCAGGGTTTTGGAGAGGAAATCTTTCCCAGGCATCGTAATGACGACCTTTGAGGTCAAGAGTTTGTCGTGTCAAAAGGAATCCTTTAAGAAAGATGATTATGGCAAATAGTTGGAGTAACGTCAGTCCAACAAGACTTAGGCCCACAGTGGGACTAATGGAGCCTGAGAGACGCATAATGACAATAATATTAATATATATATATATATTTATATGTATATATTATATATTATATGTGTCCTGTCTTGTTTATCTCAATTGATATATGTATATCCTTTTTCTCTTCTCCTTTTGCCTCTCTTTGAATTCTTTGAATTTTGTTTAATTAAATGCAATGCAAATAAGTAAATAAATAGATAAATATATAAATAATTAAATTAATGAATGAATGAATTAATATATGAATGGTTTCCAAAGCTAGAGAGATTAATATATAAAGTCCAATAATTACATGAGTTTGAATTGAGTTGGTAAACCTATACTAAGACAGTCACCTAGAGAAAGATAAAACCAGACTTGCCTGGTGTGGATGAATATAAAATATCGCACAAAGGCTCAGTGGTGGGGGCTATCATGGTTATGAGTATGGTTTTCTTAGAGATAATAATAGTCAAATATATGTATATATGTAATGTATTTATATATATATATGTGTGTATGTATGTATGTATGTATGTATGTATGTATACGTAAGGCGTTAAAGTAGAAATACTTATTGTACATGTTAGTGAATTTAAATATGCATATAATAAGGAGAGGAATCTTAAACAGCAAAGTTGAAGGAACAAGGATAAGAAAGAAAGAAAGAGAGATAGCAAGAAATCCATCAAATAAGAATAATAATAATAATAATAATAATAATAATAGTAGTAGTAGTAGTAGTAGTAGTAGTAGTAGTAGTAGTAGTAATAATAGTAATTGTAATAGTAATAGTAGTAATAGTAATAGTAATAGTAATAGTAATAGTAATAAGAAAGTAAATACAAATTTGTGGACTTTTTTTTTGTTACAGCTCATGTCATCCCATTCCTCGCTTCTTGTTCTTCCTGCCGGGATGAGGAGCACCTTCAACGACGCGTCTGACCAAAGCACAGCATCCATCAGGGGACACTACAGTTTCTGTGGAATGGTTAGTAAAGCGTTCTGTTTATAATTGTTGTTAATATCACAATGAAAGCTTACTTTGTACCATGTTTGCCATACAATAGCCACCTAGATTGGCCTGCCAAAAATGAAAGTCGATGATGGAGGCACCTGTCTGATAGAGATTCTCGAGATCTCTTTGGTGCTTCAATGTGAGGGGATGGAATTCTTGGTCTTTAAGGACACCCCACTCTGGGTGCGATGGTTTAGATGTGTCAAGGACTGGTTCAGGGACTGAAGCTGGAACTGGAACTGGAACTGGAACTGAAGCTACAGCAGGCTGCTGGACAAATGATGAACTTGGGGTGGCAGCGGGTTGGGGATGAATTGTCTGGGCTGGCTGGACAAAGGAATGGAAGGTGTTTGGGATGACCGAGATAGGAGGATAGACCATGTCTTGAGTTGGTTGACTACCAGTCCAGTCCATCAAGATAAGACCATCTTCAAGGACCGGCATTGTGTCTTGATAGTCTTGAACATATGGACGGGCCTGATAGCGTCTGTCTGGATCGTTGGGTGAGTCGTAAGTCATGATGTCAAACAGAATAGCTTGGCTGGGCAGTTGGTTGGTCTGGTAGTATGCATAAGAAAGAAAGCTTCAGCCTTCGCAATCTGCTGCTGCTGGACACACCAAAGAAAAAGAGAGAAAAAAAAAGGAAAAGAAAAGAAGACTAAAAAGAAGATATAAGAAAGAGAAGAAAGAAAGAGAGAAAGAGGGGTGGGAGGTGGAAGACTTATTTATCTTTGAAGATATGTATAGTGAGGTTTGTAAGATAAAAAGGGGACTTGTACTCTCAAGACTTTCGTTTGCGTATGTTATGTAGTCGTAAAAAAACAAGGGGAGTTATTGGGAAACTTTATGCGTCCAGGGCTCAACAATGGGAAAATGGCTATCCTCCATGCTTATGCTCACGAATGCGATTGGATCTAATATTCTTTATTTTATTCTATTCTATTTTACATATCTATATATTTACTCATCCTTAATACGACATTAGGAATCTACACAAATTTCCAGTTATTGGTTATTTGATCATCATAATTCACCATGAATCAGCAAGTTGGACCGTGGGTTCGTAACGATAGTTACAAATTCTGCTAAACTCAGTGTACAAGAACAAAAACAGAAAAGGATCTTGAACCAATGCGTCAGAAGCGTGGTTGTTAGCCTTCGTCATTGAGTAACACTCTGTCTTCATTTTGGTCTCCCTGATACAACTAATCCAACAAGAATCGATATCTTTCACACACCCACAAAAAAAAAGAAGTAAAATAAAAATAAAAATAAAGAAAAAGATTCGATACAGACTCCGGGTAACAATAAAGGAGTACTCTAGAACAGTTTAATTCCAAACAAGAACTTCCAAATGATCTGTCTACTGCCACTACTTGATGAAAACCAGTTGCCAGCTCCTTGTTTATTCAAAAAAGATCTATACAAACTCACCTGAAAGGTACCAGTTGTTTAGACAAGAAACGTACCAGACTAATCTGACTATAATCTTGTCTTTTGTAGCCATCATATACTCGCACTACCACAAACACAATCCACAATACAAATCCAATCACAAATACCCAACGTGTGCTTGTTGGTCTTGAAATACCGCCCACAGTCTCCTGTCGGTCGCGTACACTGACAAGTCTATTATCATCACGCAACCTCCGCCGTCTCCGTGCAGAACTATTGAAGCGACCGGATGATACCACGACCACAGGCTCAGTTTCTTCCTGAGATGTCTGGGCAGATTGGTGGGATTCAACAATCGGATGAAGCTTGTCAGATCGTTTACTTTTAGTGCTCATGCAGGCATCTTTGACAGCAGTTGGTAAATGTCGCCGTTGACGAGATGGTCGCATCCCGACCTCAATTCCAGTGTCCATTGTATTATGTTTAAATTAATAAATGAATAAATAAACGGATGAATAATTGAATGAATGTGTATCTGTTGGATTTTTTTTCTTAAAAAAAAGGGTGTTTTGAATGTGCCGTTGTGTATATTGCGTGCATTTGGCGGAGAATCTGACGTTGGTATTATAAGTCGTTATTTACACCAGAAATTTGTGGCCAAAATGAAAATTAACCCTTTGTTTGTGAAGAACCCAGTATAGGTTGCTCATGTAGTGATAGCTCGATCTACCATATTTGGAAGACGTTCGAGTCCAAAAAATAATAATAGAAGGGTAAAATATTTCTGATATTCATATATGGTATTTCATTTTGATTGCTATCAGCACTGTCCATGAAAATATTGCATTTTATTGCATTGTCTCTTTTATTTAGCTATTCTATAGTCTAGTATATTTTTACTCAAAGAGAAATAATGTATATACATGTATAAGCTATAGTCGGCTAAGAACCTTTGTTAGAGCCTATAAAGTGCATGTTTCTTCTTCTTAATAATGAAAGTAAAGTAAAGTAAAGTAAAGTAAAGAGAATTATATCTCTTGAGTATAGCACTTATTAAATTTATATATATTCGTATATCTGTAAAAATTTTTAAGTTGATCGTTCAAAGTATTTGGGCCGCTCAAGCCAACACTATGTGAATACCTAGTAAATGTGTAATATGTATAAATTTATGTACAAAGTTCTTTATTATTTTGGTTTGCTTTATCTTTATTTATGTAGAAGAATGCCAAGAAAGCAAAGAAGCAAGTCGATCTTCATCAGCCCTTTCTCACGGTCGAACAGTTTAGTACTAGGATCTGGGAGTACAAGGAATCTTCACCCTGTTAGCCAACTTTCTTCCTTTTATACTTATTTATTGATTATCTCTGTAATTATATTTCATCTGTTCCTATTAAAACCGTGATAAGTAGCCGTTAAGCCAAATTCAGACATCTGATTATCCTGAATCAATAACTTATTCTTTAAGAAACCAAGATCTTATTAGTACATCTTTGTGTATATATATATATATATATATACAGCGGTTAAAATTTGATTGAAATGTTTGCAAAAAAAAGGAGAAGTACATTGAGTTTCTTGTGAATCTTGATCACAAATAAAAATTATAAAAGCAATATATTTATTAGATTTTATTCTTCTTATCAAGGCAGATCCTTTGACTAGCTTGTAGACTAGTAAAGTAAATTGGAGAGTATTATATAGTTGTATCCCAAAATGTATTTAAGCAGGCTATAGTTCCCGAGTCTATATAGATTGCATTTATTACAAAGATAGATGTGTTATCTAGATACTATGTAAATATAGCACTATTTCTCGGAATGATACTCATAATCAAACCTCACAAACTATCATTAAGAAGGAATAAGAGACCAAGATAATTGGACATCAAGGTCTTTCACGATATTCACCAAACTAGTATCTATAGTCGATATAAAAAAAAACATAAATATGCTTCTTTGTACATAAAAGGAGAAATCACTCAAAAAGGTTGACAGGATACTGTTAAGAATGTCAAAGGGTAGTAGGCTGAGAATTTCTGTTTTATTATTGTTAGAAAACTGTTAGAATATTCTATAAGTGGTCTTGTTTTTGTGGTTTTTTTTTGTTGCATTCACTTGTTTTGAATTTTAATAAAAAAACAGAATAAATACAAATATGATGGAATTGTAAAGATAGCAACCGAATAATAAAAGGGTTAATGTATTTCAATTAATCAGATAATATATGTAAAGGCAATGATAACAATAATAAGGATGGGTTTTAATAAGACGCTATCAACAGGGGAATAACCATATCCAAAGAGGCACAAGTTGGTTCTTTTAACATCCAAAACTTTCCTTAACAATTTTATATATAAAAAGGGGAAAGGGGAGCGGGGAGTTCAATTCAACCCCCCTCACCGTGTACAGATGAAGGTTATAGAATAATATATACATATATAAAACTATACAATTGTATATGTTTCATTGGATTATTGGTATATTGGTATATTGGTTATTAATACCAAAAGAGATCCAAGCCGTTGAGTGGAAGGCACCAAAAATGGGAAGGAAAGGCTTGTTCTGACTTCCTTTTTTGTTGGGAACAAATGGCTGTAAGCTACCAGCTCATAACTACTTATATATGTACGTGTAGCAATAATAATTCTTATAATCCATGTCCAGGCACTTTTTTCTTCTTCTATAACAAAGAAAGAAGATACCGAAAACAATATATAAAGGCACCATTAGTTTCCAGTATTGAATTGTATCTGTCGACAGTGGTCCTGTTGACATTTGTGGGCGTAGATATTACAACCCACAAAAAAAGAAAAGGAGATGTAGTAAGTAAAGTGTCTTTAATTCAAATATTAGTATCTCATATCATATCATATCATGTAATGTCATGTCATATAATATAGTATAATATAATGTTGCTTATTTTGCTTTTATTGTTATCGATAAAAACTCATTGTAGACTTACAAAGCAAAAGAGGGTTAGTAAAGAACAGTGACTTAAAGGTACAGACTTGGGGAGTAGTTTTCAAAATATACTTTAAAATAACAGCTATCAAAGCCAATGTGTATTATATATATATATATATATATTGTTCAATCTTAGTATTTAGTAAGAACAGCTTCAATAACATCCTTTAAACCTTCCTACTGTATACCTAACAAATAACCCTGTTATCACTATGCTCTTTCCACCTCGATCGGTCTATCTATCTGTATATATTTTCCCCTTGATTTTATTTCTATATGTACTTTCAACAATCTGAGAACCAAATCAAATAACCAAAAAAAAAAAGAGAGAAAAGGTTTGAAAACACAATGGTGTATTTTATATTTTATATTTTATTTGTTAGTAGACACACTTAATTCTCTAGATCAAAAAGAAGCTTGACATTACTGAGGCTTACTTATTTTAACAACTGCAATAATTCTACAAATGACCTTGATATTTAGTAACAAAAGTCCATGAACACCAGTACACTGCCTTATCATCAGTGCATGTATTCTATTTAAACCATTAAGCGTCTATCAAAGCAAACAGAGATCATTTAATATATCTTTAAAAAAAAGAATGAATTCAAATTCATTACATATTCATATACCCAATTTCTTGAAATTATTGAGACGCATGGCGTAATCATTTTCTAAGCGGAAAAAAAAAGTTCAAAAAAATATTAATTAGTTAGTTAGTTTTCACCCGTTAGTAATTGTATTGTCAATATAGATCATACATAATACAATGCAATATTATTTTTGGTATAATTAAAAGGTAGCAAAATACAATTGTGATGCACGGTCGATTATTCTTACATATTTTCTATATATAAATGACCTAACAGTGACAGCTTTGGATATGCCTTAATTTAACTATTTCAAGGCGTACCTTGAACAAACTGATTAAAGCATTGACCAATTCCTATCATAGTACATGACACAAAGGTGCTAATATATACAGAGATTCTGTAAGAATTTCCAAATCGCAACTTGATTCGGAGGTCTCGATGGCAAAAGACGCCAAGCACCGGAATATTAAAGGCAGCCATTTCTATAAGAACAACCGCAAATTTCGGAAAATCGAAACAAAACAAGAGATACTTGTATTTATTGCTTAAGGGTGTCAATATCTTTTTTTAGGAGAGGTTTGGATAAGCAAAAGCTCATTATATAATTCATGAGAACTAGTGAAAGTAATAAAAGACCAACCAAATTTGTTTTTGTCTTTAAATAAATAAATAGTATCCGGGTAAACAAGAAGCCACTGGGATTCCCAAATATTGTTGGCTTTATTGAAATATGTTTATTCAAAATTTACAAAACCACAATCATGGAATAGATATCATGAGCCCTTTGGTCACAAATCTGATTATTGTTCAAATGGTCCGGTTGGGTAAGACACATACAGATTAATTTGATATACAAAGTTACATTTTGACACCTCCTTTTTTTCTTTTTCTTTTAACTGCCTAAACCAGATAGTAGCTGCTTGACTATTCAGAAGAGAAAAAAGAAAATCAAGAATAAGGTCACTACTGCCCAGTGTAGTACATTAGTGAGATAAAACAATAATAATATGATACTAAAGCACGAAAAGTGATGATGCATCAGGTATAATGGTCATTAGTGTCCTCTAGCTGATGAATCACAATCTTACAGTAACATTAAACTTTCGCAAGCTCTTGTTTGCTTTGGAAACAGAAAGAAAGAAAGAAAGAAAGCAAAAAAAAATTGAGAAGGCAAGACAACCAGCAGGGGTAGTGTTAATTGCAAGAAAACCGGGTCCAAATTTGAAAAGTGCTATATTGAAACTTTCTGGCCCAGTTATTGCTGGGTTATATAATGCACATTTTGGAGTAAAGCTAATGAGATGAAAGGAAAAAAAGAGAAAGAAAGAAAGTTGGTTTTAAAGAAGTTACCAACATAACATTGTCCGTATCATTCTGTGACCTTTTCTCCCGAACCACATTTAATTGAAGTATTGTATAGATGCCAGATCACATAGGCTATGATAGTTAAATAACTCTCTTTGCTGCATATTTTATTCAAATAGATACCTTTATTTATTTATTTTCTTGTAAAGAAAATAATAATGAATTGTTCCAGTATTTTCTGGATATAGTGTACTGCAGACTATATAAATCCGACTTCGAAGCCTGTAGCCAATGCGAGTCTATTGTAAATACAATAATTCCTCCTTTGGTTTAAGAGTTTATGAATATGCGTGCAGAAACTAATAAAGCGTTTTTCCCATACAAATACATTGACTTTTATAAATTTTTGATATAGTAATAATATTAATAAAATTAATACCTCATAATTGGCGCTTAAACGGCTTCTTTTCTTTCTTTTTTATTGATTTATTATCTAGTGTTTTAATTCAAAAAGGAGACGATTTAGAAGAATAAACCAGACGTTTCCCAAAAAATAATAATAAAAAATAGATGAGACGAGTGAAAACAAAATATTAGACAATCCAATTATTTTGTGTGAGTGTGTACATTGTAATTAATTAGATTTCTTAAAGGTACATATGTATTTTTAGTATTGTAGAATCGGGCTTGTGTTTACTAAATGAATATAAGATTTTGGGGGGGTTTTTTTTTGTAACATCTCAAAGAGACATTATTTATAGTTGAATCACATTTTGCTCTAAAGCCTTTCTTTTGTACATTTCTATAGGTAACAGGGTGTAACTATTATTTTTTTTCTCTATGATTGTGGTAGCTAAAAGTTCAATCACTGTGGTCGGATGAAGGCTGCAATACGTTCCGCGACTCATAAAACTTGTAGCCAACGTATATACTTTCGTGTCACATACATTTGCTTTATTGAAACATATTTTTTCTTCTTCAGGAACAGAAAGATAACCCTGTGTTTCTTTTAGAGAATTTCATTGATGAGATCTTTTTGGTTAAATACTTGTTTGTCTGGTGTTGATCATTTAGACCTGATATTTTTTATATATTTTCTTTGGACAGGAGCTAGCCACTCGTACATAGATCATCGTAAGTAGGATTGCCTTTGTTAGCGTAGTATATTCTCATCGCTGGGTCAGTGTTAACCTTTTCTATTAAAGAAATTTGGCAAATTTATCTTTGTTGGCTGTTAATGCTTAGAATTCTTCAAAAGATTCGATTATTTAGAATACAAGTATCGATCTGTTACATATTATGGTATATAGCCTCTTTGTTTAATGGAAGGCTATCGATTGATTTGTCCTAAAACTGCTTATTTATCAATGGTCGTCTGCAGTACACTTACATACGACTTCAGGTGTTACTGTTGTAATAGATCGAGCCTTTGGTAACCTAATTATTCGCTGAGTGCAAGTTAAAAATATTACGGATCATATTTATTTCAGTATACAGAAACAGTGTTTTGGTCATATCTTTAATGTTTCTTAACAGTTTCCCTGCTTGACATTGTTTTTTTTTAAAAATAATAATAATAATATAGTTTGAATGATTAGGAAGAGTTCTTGTAACTTTTTGAAAAACCAAAAAGCTACCTGATGAGCATACTTTATATTGGTTGGTTTAAACGAACAATATTGAAAGTCTGATCTCGATAGCGGAGAATTAAATACTTGCAAGCACTTGATTATATATATATATATACTTTTATATTGGATTCTATTCAAACCCAATACTAGAAAGTTAAAGAAGAGTATAGGTGCACTAAACCAGCTGCTCAATTACCTTGTACTCAAAACAGGTAAATAGGTTACGATTTGCTAAAAATAAAATACAATTGTATTGTATTATCTAATTATTTTTTTTGGTCAACTTGTTTCATTTATGTTTGCAACCGTCTTGCTTTTTGGTCTTTGGTTTTTTTTTTTTGAAGTGTCTAATTTTAGATTAATTGTAGATGAGCAAGATGTGCTCTTGTATTACCACTCTTTATATATATCTATATATAATACATATATGAATCTATCAAATTTACGTCACAAAAATCCGTTTTTATGACATCACGCAATAAATGGGCACAAAGTGTGAGGCGCACCAAATATGGTTGCAATATTTTATTTTTTTTTATTTTTTAAAAAAAAGGCTATAATTTCTCGAGATCATTTTTAAGAAATCTGTGCTCTCTTCTTTGTTTTTCACAATGGTAAATGCACCAACTAAATAATTATTATATTTACCAAAGAAAAACAGCTGTTGGTGCTTTATTGTACTATTTTTTTTATTTTTTTATTATTTTTTTTGCTGTTATTCTTGATTTATATATATATTTTAAAAGACGTGTGTAGAGTGTATTTTATTAACAAAAAAAAACATTTTGAAATAATAGGCAGACCAACTTTCCGAAGAGCAGATTGCCGAATACCGCGAGGCATTCCAATTATTTGATAAAGATGGTGATGGTACCATTAGTGCCAAGGAACTCGGTGTTGTCCTTCGTTCTTTCGGAATGAACCCCAGTGACCAAGAGTTGCAGGATATGGTAAGAAGTTTTTATTTTTTATTTTGTTTTCCTATCTGCACACAAAGGGCGACAAATCAACAAATATATATATATACATATATATTTTGGAGTCTAACGAAAGTTCTTTTATTTATATTCATTTAAAATAATATTACTAATAATAAAGGTTAACGACGTCGATGCCGATGGAAATGGTACCATTGACTTTCAAGAGTTCTTGGGTTTGGTCAAGAACCTCAAGACTGATAATGACGCCGATGACCTCAAGGAGGCATTCAAGTAAGCAACTATTGCATTGATATTGATATACGCAAATAATAATAAAACTGTTACTTAAATCTTATTAATCTAACATATAATTAATTATTTAGGGTGTTTGATGCTGATGGCAATGGTTTGATTGATCGCGAGGAGTTGCGCAGAGTCATGGCTTCTCTCAACGAGGCTTTGTCCGAGGAAGAACTTGATGCTATGATCAGAGAAGCTGATGAGAACGGTGATGGACAGATTAGCTTTGAGGAGTTCAAGTCCATGATGGGTGGCAAGTAAAAAGAGAAAAAAAAAAGAAAGAAAAGAAAAGAAAAGAAAAGAGAAAATATAATATAATATAATATAATATAATATAATATAATATAATATAATATAATATAATATAATATAATATAATATAATATAATATATAATATATAATATATATGAAGATAATAAAGTATATCTACACAATTAAACAACATGCTTGAAAGGGGAGGGATTGAGAGGGAGATAGAAGGGGTTAATAAAAAAGGCTCAGGTCTTTATGAGAAATACAGGTAGATATGCATCTGTGTATATCAGATCAATAAATATCTTTATCTGATAAGATGCTTTGATGTACAGTTTAGGCTGTCTTTTTTTATTTTTTTATTTGATTTTTATATATAAAAATAACTGTTATTCAATAATTTTTGTTATTCTTTGGTTAATTACATCCTAGAAGGTGGGGGGATGTCAAGCATTAACCAAAGCCTTGTCCAAGTCAAAGCACATCTAAGCACGTACAAGGGGACCCTTTACCCCTTACATCTGTCTTTGGTGGGTTTAGGCTTTGACCTGTACCTCGAATTTAGCAAGCTCAGACCCAAGAGTCAGGCGTCTCACCAATTATTACACCCCTCCTCCTCCTCCTTTTACCCTAGTTTCCCTTTAACCTTCCCTTTTCACTCTACATATTAAACTACAGCATCACTTGGCTAACAGTGCTATGACTTGTATTTATTGCATTTATTGTTACTGATTTGTTAAAGCATCTACCAAGAAAGAAAGAAAAGAAAAAAAGTCCCCGCATATCCCCCTTTTTTTTGGGTACCGGGCTCAGCAGCTCTTTAAAATAATCATTTTATTGGATCGTTTCAATAATTGATTTTGTGCACAATGGATTCTTGGTACGTAGGCCATTTACGGAGGTCAAATACACTTTTCAACAAAGTCATGTTATGTCCCCTGTTCAAAGCTTAAATAGGGTCATTTTGAAAAGTAAAAGTTGCTGTTTTGAGTTTGATGTCGTGCAAATATATATACATACATATACATATAAAGATCTTGTCCAAATATCAAATTTCTTTACAAAAATTGACAAGGATATGCTCTTGATAAGCAAGGAGTTGAGCCGATGGATATTGTTGTTAGCAAACGAGCTGTTCACTGCCAAAAAAAAAACACGAGTTCTCGTACTTAATTCCTAATGGACAACTCTTCAGAAAACCTTTTTTTTTTTGATTTTGTAATGTACCTAACAAAAAAGTAGGGAAGATGTTACTATGAAGATACTCGAAGCTTTTTTGAAAAAAAAAAAAAAGATTCATTTGAAATTGGATTGATGAGAATTATTTCTGTTATAAGTGAAGTAGCCGAAAGATTAATGTAAAGACTTGTAGACTTTAACGTTTGTAGACATAATACTTATAATTTCATGAAAATTCAATTCAATTTATCAAGCAAACAGCCGCAATTATATCCTATAGAATGAAATAGCGAGTAAAGAGGAGTACCGGGGATATATTGTAATCAAAATGGATGCAGTACTCAATAGATAGGATGAAAGATACCAAGCATATGATCAGAAAAAGTTGTAGAAGAGAGGGGTTGGATCGATAGATACGATGGCTATATATCGGCTCAGCGATAATTCTCTCAAAATATACACATATGTATGTTATACTGTATATATAAAACAGAAATTTTAGTCCATGTTGATATATTCTTACCGTCTTATTGTGCTTATGCTCAAGCGGGTGGTCAGGGTGAGTTGTCTGTACACACAAAATCTATCGACCTTATGGAATAATCTGTATCTAGACCAAACAAACGCCTGTCCTTCTTTCTTTTCTTCGGTTATGAATTTTGGCTTTTGAATATTAATATACAAAATTTAGCCTGAACTTCTTTGAACACGTCACATCTCTTTATACTTCCAGTACCCCATTCTACTTAAGTTGTATTAAAAAAAATTAATTTAATTTTATTTTATTTGTTTTAAAAAAAAATGAGTAACACCACTAGACCAAAAGTATTGACTATCGCAGGAAGCGACAGTGGGGGGTAAGATACATACACACACACATAGAAGCATACTGCACATATGTATCCCGGACGCTCTATCCTCACAATGTAAAACATCCTTTACACTTCAAGTGGGGCTGGAATTCAGGCCGACATCAAGACCCTTACTTCATTAGGTGTTTATGCATCCTCTGTCCTGACCTCGGTGACATCACAAAATACCCTCGGTGTAAATGGAATTCACGACTTGCCGGTCGACTTTGTCAAAAAACAGCTTGAAACTGTCCTAAGCGACATTGGTGCTGATGTCGTAAAGACTGGCATGCTGTCATCGTCTGACATAATCAAAGTCGTTGTGTCAGTCCTCCAAGACTACCCAAAAGCCGGTAGCAAACTCATAGTAGACCCTGTAATGGTTTCGACCAGTGGATCACGTTTGTTGGCCAAAGATGCGGTCCAGACATTTGTTGACCTTTTATTACCCGTAACCTTTATCTTGACCCCAAATGTACCTGAGGCGGAAGTTATCCTTGGCAAGGCCGAGGGATCAATTAAAACACATGAGGATATGTGCGAAGCCGCAAGACAAATTGGATCCAAAGGAACAAAGCATGTGCTGGTGAAGGGCGGCCATTTGCCTTTTGATCGGGATGGTTGTCGTGTGGTAGTTGATGTCCTCTACACAACCGAGACCGGCGAAATCTATGAAATCGTAAACCCTTATATTACTACCAAGAACACACACGGTACTGGATGTACTCTTTCTGCTGCTATTGCAGGTGAATTGGCAAAAGGTCTTGATGGTAAGTACTATGGGTGAATAGAAACACAAAAGATAAATAAACAAATCTAATGCAGCCGTATTATAGTCCTGCCTGCTGTTATAAATGCCACTACTTATATTCAGCACGCTATCGAAGACACATTGGAAGATATTGGCCAGGGATCTGGTCCAGTCAACCACTTTCATGGGATCCGTAGCATGCCTTACGCTGGGTATGTGTATATGTGTATGAGCACAACCGTTTGTTTGTTTGTTTCTTGGTTAGAATTGCTGAGAGTGGATCGCTAATTTATTTCCTTGGTTCTAGAAAGAGTTTTGTAAAGGCCCTGAGAGATTCGCTTCCAAAGGGAATGTGGAGCGAATTTATCGATCACCCATTCGTCCGTGGTATTGCAGATGGCACTCTTCCAAAGGAATCTTTTATTCACTACATTAAGCAAGATTACATGTATCTGCAACATTACGCTCGCAGTGCTGCCTTGGCTGCCTACAAATGTAAGGGGTGATACTGTAATTGGACAAATGATACTCATCTTAAGCGAACAGCACCAAATATTGACATGTGTGCACGTAATGCAAAGATTGTTTTGCATGTTCACGGTGAAATGCAATTACATCTCAAGGTAAAGCAATGTTTCTTTTTCCCGTTGTTGTTAAATGGGCTTGTTGGATTATCTTGCACTTCATATAATTATTTTTTGCTTAAAACCAAACAATCAAACAATCAAACAATCAAACAAACATACTCTGTACTTATTTTCAATTAGTACTGTACCGACTGGGGAATTAGTGAAGAGGAAGTGCTGTCCACTCCTGAGAGCGTGTGTAATGTAGCCTACACTCGGTATGTTCTGGACAAGGGTGCAACTGGCGATCAATTAGATTTGCAAGTGGCTATGGCACCATGTCTTTTAGGTTATGGTGACATTGGTATGAAGCTGTTCAATTGTCCAAAGACCAAGAGAGGTAATGTATAATATATAAAATGCATCTTTGTATGTATTTATGTAAGCCATTGAAGAGTTACTGATCATATATGTATATATTTTTTTATTTATTTATTACTTTGTTTTAATAATAATAATAATTAATAACAAATTAGAGGGAAACCCTTACTGGACCTGGATTTCCACTTATGCCGACAAGCCTTACCAGGAGGCTGTGACACTTGGAAACGGTAAGGAATCAAAAACAAAAGTTTAAATAATCCCATCAACTAAATGCCCCATAACTTCATTAGAGCTTCTTGAAGAATTAGCTCTTCACAGTGTCTCGACTTCGGTTTCTCGTTTCAAAGAGGTTTGCGAGACTTTCAAGCAGGCTACTCAACTAGAGATTAAGTTTTGGGAAATGAGTCTCCACTGCTTATAATTCATTTTACTATTATTTTTCCTCTTCATTCATTTTTAGACAAATTTCATAATATGCCACCTTTTGTTTTTTTTTTAAAAAAAAGAAATAACTCTATGTTTATTGCTTTGGATGTAAAGAATGAAGCAAAGGAGATGATTGACAAATATGATTTGTATGATAATGTCGATGATGGGGATGAGAGAGAATTTTTTAAGACGAGGGATGAAATCAATGCTTTTTCCCTTTCTTTTTTGGTTTAAAAAGAGAAAGAAAGAAAAGATAAAGATAAAGAAAAGGGATATTTAAGGAGTGGTTTGAGAAGGATGGGGCGTAGACTTTGCAAGAGGTTCAAAGTCTCTACTTGACCGTGATTCATGGACGGCTGTGAATGGTAAATTTTTTGAGGGATCATCATCCGTGAGATCTTTAGCTGATAAAAGAGCCTCCTGACTGTCTGTTTCGTGTACTTGTAATAGGCCAAAAGAAGAGCCACGACGGCCATTATCATCCTCTCCTTCTTCTGATAACAGGTTCTCTGCATCTTCTTCGTCTCGAGATAATCGAATAGGCTTTTTGTCCGATTTGTGCTTTACAATGGTATCGACAATCCAGAATTGCATTATGTTCATCACCAAAGGGAATCTAATAGATTGGGAAATTTAGGGTGTTAGTCTTTGTACCAAGATGTGTATTTCCACCTTATTTTCTCTTTATATAAAAATAAAATAAAGAAGCTTACATTAACATCACAAAGACCACCTGTAGCTTATAATTTCCTAATGTCCACTGTAATACCCATCTTCCAAAGTCTGATATCCAAGGACAAAGGTGAAAGAGTAGTACGACGACGAATTTCATCAACACCAGACTTAAAATATACAGCACCAGCTGTTTTCCCCATTGTTTAAGCTGATTCGACATGGGCGGGTTTCCATACACACCACTCTCAAATCCGGTCCAACTAAAGTACGAGGTGATGTGTTTAAATCCTGACAGGATGAGCCAAAGAATAACAACCCCCAAAGTCGTGTCTACCAAGATATTCAAAAAATACCTATACAGTGGTAATAATGAATACCACATAACGCACAGCCACACAGCCACACAGACTTTTCTTTTTTTCCTATTGTTCTCCAATTAAGGTCCCTTATTATCCAACCTTACCACACACATGGGTTTGACTGTTCTCCATCTGGGTTAGCGCCAAATATATAAGCAGCTACTACATTCAGTGAATGGATGACGATTCCACCGACAAGTTGCTTGCTAACGTCAAATGCCCTAAAATTTTCTGCATTGTCAGAATGAAAGAGATTGACAGAAACAGAGCTAAAATAAAACGAACATAGAAAAGAAATAAGTATTTACCAAATGCGTACTGGCCGTTGTGGCTTTTCTCTTTGGCGTTTCAAGACAAGCGTTGAAAATGCAGCTGTGGCTAGACATAATTGAATAAAGATGGCGAATCCATCCATCAGCTTGCATCCCGCCTGGGATTCATCACCATCCTCAGCTGGCAGATCTCTGTACACCAGCATGCCGAAAGTAATATATATATATATATGTAAAAAAAAAATAGATAAAATAAAGGGAGGAGAAGAAGCTATCCCCAGCGAGTTTAGGCTTAGCTTAGCACGAGTCTTTTATTAACTTCCAGTGACGTAGAAAGCCGGATCACAGTGTCAACGCCCAACCTAGACTCCACTGTTCCCACTTGCCTCATTTTTTTTCCCTTTTTCTTTTCTTGAGCATTCTAAAATTGGAATTTCGGTAGTTGAATTTACTTGACCTTTTTTTAGTATTTCGTGGACAAATAAAAAAAAACTGTTCGTCATGTCAGATCCCTATGATGCCATTCAATTCGGACAAGTACAAAAGTACATTAGGAACAAAGAGCTCAAACTCAAGCAACAAGAAGACAAAGTGTGAGTTAGAAGGAGAAGAATTGTAAAGGAAACAAGAGTGACCTTTTATATTTTCTTTAACAGTGTCTTGCAGGCAAGCCAGGAACGTCCGCAGTTGTTTAAAGGGATATCCATTTATGTCAATGGATATGCACCTCAAAGTGAACTAAGAAGGCACATATTAGAACATGGCGGAGACTACCAACAGCACTGTAAGTTGACATTAGATATTAATATTAATGCATGTTTTTGTGTGTGTGTGTGTGTTTTTTTTTGTGGATAATGTGGGCTCATATTCTTTATGTCTATTTTAGTAAAAAAATCGTCAGTAACACACATATTAGCCACTACTTTGACTAATGCAAAAATAGAATCATTGAGGTGAGAACCTAGATAGATGGATATATACGAGATCAAAGGTCAAAAAAAAAAAGGATTACCATAGTTTAGGTCAAGGCAATTAAATAGCTAGACCTGTGGTATTATCATAGGAATTATAAAGTGGTTGATCCAAGCTGGGTCACGGATTCTATTGCCGCCGGGCGACTATTACCGTGGACACATTATCGTCTTGGATTCTCAAAAGGTCCAGAAGATCAAAGCACAATGGAACAGAATGAACCTGTAAAAGAAACTGAGCAAGGGGAAAAAAGAAAGCGTGAAGAAGAAGAAAGAGAAACTGTTATAGAGAGTGTATCGCCAGTACAGATAAATACAATCATATCACAGAAAGACAAAAATAACAAATCTTTGGATGAAGACCATGATACGCATCCTGATATTATCAAGAATTATTATAAAAACTCTCGATTACATCACCTCTCGGCGTGGAAGGAAGAGCTGAAAGATAAGGTGCGCCGATGGAACCTGGAGAATGCAGGCTTTAAAGGTCGAAATAAAAAGGGAAAACGTCCAGAAAACCATCGTGTAGTCATGTAAGATCAAATGCAAAGTTAGGTCTTTATCATTAGGTCTCCTAAAGAGAATTTATGTCGGTTATATTATTGTTTTTAGGCATATTGATTTTGACGCATTCTTTGCGTCTGTGAGTCTCTTGGATAGACCCCATCTTAAAGATCGACCGGTAAGAGATACTTTGAATATTAAACTATTGTGTTGCATAGAATAATAAGATTGCTTCTTTTTTTCTCTTATAGGTGGCTGTGGCTCATTCCAAAGGAGCCAAAGATGATTCGTCTAGCGAGATTGGTAACTACTCCAGTAGACAATACCCAACTCCAGAATCTAACTGTTAACGGCTTCTTCACTAATATTATAATAGCTTCCTGTAATTATATTGCAAGACAGTTTGGCATTCACAATGGAATGATGTAAGTTTATTTTACTTTTATTTATTTTTGTTCAAAACAGACAAGCTCTTTAATAGATATACATGAAATATTTATGGATCCCTGTATTGCACAGGATGAGTACGGCCAAGATAAAGTGTCCAGAGCTTCAATCAGTACCGTAAGTACCTTTTTTTTGTTTTATTATTATTTTGGTATAAATATCAACTATTTTTTTTTATCATATCCACCAATACTTTTGTCTCTATCTCTCTTTCTCTCTTTCAAGGTATGAATTTGAAAAATACAAAGCCGTGTCAGATACATTCTATCAAGTAAGTTGGGCCATACGATTCATATAAGTATTAATATGTGGCTCTGCCGAGAAACAGATTATTTTTGAGTATGCAGATGAAATACAAGCAGTTAGTGTGGATGAAGCTTTATTAGAGGTTGCCTCTCACGTTACACAACCGGGCACGGGCCAAGAAATGGACTTGGCTACACAGATCAGGGATAAGATTCGGAGCAAGACTGGGTGTAATACGAGTGTTGGAGTAGGACCTAACATTCTTATTGCAAGGTATTATGGATGCTTACACAGTCATTGCATATAAAGTGGTCTGTTTATCCGTTCCTTTCTTTCTTTTCTTTTAGATTGGCTAACAGACGTGCTAAACCAAATGGACAATATATCTGTGGTCTTGATCAAATTCAGGATCTATTGAGCTCAATCGAAGTAACTGATCTTCCTGGAGTAAGAAAAACAACTTATCCACTTCCTCGCTACTTAAAAGTACTGAATAAGAAAAAGTTAATAATATGGTATATGGCTTTTTTTCTTTTAGGTGGGTCGAGCAATGAAAAGTAAATTATATGAGATGGTAAGTATTATACTCGATAAACAAGATTCTCCAATTAATCATAAGTTCATATGGCTAGGGTGTCCGGATAGTAAAAGATCTTGCCCTAGTTCCATTAAGTAACCTACAAGCAAACTTTGGTACAAAAATTGGGCAGACTCTCCACAATTTCTCAAAAGGAATTGACGATCGGCTCCTTTCTACGCATCCTACACGCCAGTCCGTGAGTGCCGAAGTTAATGTAAGAAATTAAGGCTTAAACTCGAAGCTTAAAAACACTTTATTGAAATAAGGACTAATTATGATTCCTTTTTATGTATACATATAGTGGGGTATTCGATTTGAAAACGAAGAAAAGGCAAAAGTAAATCATTGAAAACAAATAGCACCCCAAATTCAGCTTTTAGTGCAAACCAAAAAAAAAAAGAGATTATCTTTATCAATAATATCTGTAGACTTTTATCGATGACCTTGCAAAAGAGGTTAGCGAACGTCTCGACTCTCAACAAATGAAAGGAAGGTCAATTACACTCAAAGTGAGTTTTTTTTTTAAAAAAAGAAAAGGTGTAGTAAAGCCAACTATATACATTTGATTAACTACCCCAATCTAAAACGTTTTTTTTGTAGATTATGCGTCGTAAGTTAGGCTCAGGTGCACCTCTTAAGTATCTTGGATATGGTGATTGTGACACTTTCTCGAGATCAACTGTTCTACCGCGGGCTACTGATGATAATCAAGTTATTGCAAAAAATGCATGGAATTTGTACAAACAGCTCAATTTCACTCCGAGTGATGTGCGAGGTCTGTGAATAATTTTTGCCCAATATTGATATGTATATATACAAATGCTAATAAGAATCTTACTTGAACATAGGTGTAGGAATCCAAATACAAAAGCTTGAAGCCGCTTCAGTTTCGGGCAAGTTTTTTTGTTTTTTTTTGTTTTGTTTTGTTTTGTTTTTTTTAAAAAAAAATGGGATGAAGCCTATGTTTGGTTGATAAAACGAATATTCTTACAATTATGGCTTGTGTTTTATGATCGTTTAGATAAAACACAGTTCTTTGGTGCTGTGCCATTAAATACAGAACCTGTTGCTTCAAGGAGTCTAGGCAAGACAAAAAATGACGAGAATACGACAGTTTATGAAAAAGAAAAGTCATCTATGGTAACAAGAAAAAAAATGTTATTATAGTTATAATACATATTCTAATTTTTGCTGTAGATGGTAGACAGGGATGTGTTTATACAACTTCCGGAATCCACGAGACTTGAGATTTCTGATGCTTACAAAGTGGTGTTTATGGAGAAAGAAGGCACAAGCTCGGCCGTCAATACCCCAACATGGTCTGAGAACCGGCCCGAGTGCATTGGTGGGTCATCAACAGCGGCGATGGGGCATTCAGAAACATCTGAGCTGTATGTATCACCGGTGCCAGACAACGATATACTAGACCAGCCTTCGTTTTCTGACCTACCTCCATGGTCACAACTTGATCCTACGATGTTATTGGCTCTTTCGACTGAGATGCAACAACAGATCCTCAAACAGTATGGTCAGATACACGAACATCACGACAAGAAGCTCAAGATAAATCATCGAGATTTTGAAACTGAAAATAAATTTCAAAAAGAATCAAGAAACAGGACTACGGCAGGCGGCACAACCAAAAATACATTAACCCAAATGTTTTCGCGTAATTATTATGAAGACGAAGATGCACCGCTAGATATGTCAGCCGTAAACGAGTTGCCTGCAGGTATAAAAGGAGCATAGCTATAATAGTAATAATAATAATAATAATTTAACAGTAAAAATAGGCAAAAAATAATAATCTTGTTTTATATTATATTCGGCTAATATAAATACATTGTATTATGTGAGACAGATATAAGAGAGGAAATATTAGAAAATGAAAGGAGAAAAAAGAACCGTCAAAAGAACACCAGCAGATCAGATGTCAAGGTAAATTGACAGGAAGATGAAGTATGGAACAATACAAGAGACTCACATGGAGATACAATGGGCATATGTACGTTTATCTGTGTGTGTGTGTGTGTGTGTGTGTGGGCATGTCAAAAAAAACGTATATAGAAGAAGCATACACCAGCTGATGTTGAGACACGACCTAGTTTTTGTGAGCCTAAATTGATGGGGTTGACAGATATTCGGGACATTCGTGTGCTTTTAAAAACATGGGAGAGAACGCCTGAGAATATCAGACTATTGACGGAATTTGTGATGAAGCTTGCTCACAACAAGGATTTGGATAAGGCTCGGTTGGTTGTTTTGTCCCTTGATCAGGTGTCCAATGTAGCTGCCCAAGGAACCGATCCACAGTCATGGCGTGCTGAAGTGGAGGAATTAAGACTAGCCTTGAAAGAGCACGTATTCAATCACTACCGCTGTAATTTACGGTTCTAAAACAAACCAAGAGACTATTGGAAAACAAAAACAAAAACAAAACAACCTTGTGTTCTACCCACTAGTCTTATTTTATTTTATTTTATTTTTATTTTTATTTTTATTATGAAATACTCTTGTAAATATTCACAGACAAAACAAAAGGAGTAATAGCTATGTCTGGGAAAAAATGTGTTTATGTGTGTATGTACTTTAATAAAAAAAGGCTAAGATGAAATAACAGAATGATGAGGGCTGGTATATCTAGAGGTAGCTACGGAATTTGTGAGCGGTGCCAGAACAGGAGTGTCTTTAGGTGACATTGAACGATGCTCAAGAATGGAATCTCTTTTAGGTTGCTCTTCTTGCTGATAGTTGGTTGTGCAGCAGTCTGTAGCTTCATTGGACTTAAAAAAAGAGGAATCATTGTAGAGGCTGGATAGTGGGATTGATCCTAGGGTAGAAATTGAGCTTGGTGATTCCTTGGTTTCTATATCATAGCGATGGACTCCTAGTTGAAGAGGAACAATCACGCCAGTCTGAGACGAGCTTTCGTTTTCGTGGTTGATGTTGTTTGCATTGTAGGAGATTTCAGGTGTGTGCATAGGAAAATGGGAATATGAAGGTGTTTGAGTAGATCCATAATCGGATGCATCCATAATATTGGCTTGCGTGCCCATATTCCACATATCACGCTCCATCCAATTTGCAGGAATAGGCGTCATAGTAGACGGATGCGAGAGAGTAGAGTAGATATTGATATTTGATCGTCGAAGGGCTGATTCACCCGAATTATCATCATCACAGTCCATACTTCCCAATGAAGAAGTAAAGATCGAAAGACCTGGAAGGGCCTGGGAATGATATGGCGGAATAGCTTCTGGGGTGTTTTGATATTGTATACCGTGCATTGCTACAGAAGAATAATTCCCAATGGGTCTCTGTTGAAAAATTGGTTGCGAAGGTTGTTTAAACACATTTTGTGATGAATAAAAAGCACCAGCAGAAGAAGTTTCGACTGTAAGATCCTTGCGGTACATATTAGAAGGAACACGATGGTGAAGAAACACTTGCTGGCTGGTTTGGTTCAATGGGTACGCTGGTGGAAGTGAAGTGGAAGAAGGGGCTGTGTCGATCCATGTTCCAGGCGAAGTATTGGAACCATAGCTATGATCAGGCTCGACCTCTTCCAGGAGCTTTGAATGACGCTGTTGAGAGCGTGTCATGATCCCTGACTGAAGAGAAGTTGTTGTAGCTTTTTTGGGCATAGATCCTTTCTTTCCTCGTTTCTTTTTGTTGCCGGTTGCTGTAGGCTGGATACCATTGAAGTTATTGTTGTCATTTTGGGGTGCATAAGAGTGTGATGTACTGGCCGACGACACCGATGAAGACACAACGAATCCTCTCAGAGGATCCTGTAGTCGAGCTTCTTTAACTACAGACGGGCGATTTGACCTACGAGACATACCGATCGGAGCAGGCACCATACTGAGGTGTCTATGGGAAGGTAAAGATGTAACCAACGGAAGGTCTTCACCCAACCTGACTGGTGGGAAAACATCGACAATTCCTTGCTTTTCCAATAAATCTTTGATGTAGCTCGAGAAGATTTTTCCGGGGTTGTTTGCGCTCTCTGGATCGACCGATACCAAATCTGCGCGCATAAGCATTGGTAGATCTGTATTCTTGCTGTTACAATCTACATCATTAGGCAGAATATCGATAGCTAGACCAGGAACGAGCTCAAAGCGAGTTGCAACACCTTTTGCATAAATCGCCAATAGTTCGCGTGTAGTTTCTTGCCCAAGGTTAATCCAATTTCCGTTTCCAATGTACAGCCGGTAGCAACAATTGTCTTCTTGATAAAGGCTCATTATACAATAAATCAATAAATAGAATATTATGGTGCCGATGAATAAGAAGAAGAATAAAAAGAAGAAGAATAAGAGGGTTATTTTTAATTATTATTATTTTAATACTGATATATATAGTGTCCTTTAAGCGAGAATGGTATTTGTCAATGTCAGTGATATGTTGTCGCAAAAAAAAATATAAGAAAAAAAGGGGGACTTGGATCAATATATCATCATTATTGTGAGTTTAATTATATCTTGGAACGAGAGATTAGGTATTCAAACACTAGGCCTATATCTACAGAACAATCTAAAATGCTCAACAAAGCAAATTATGTTGATATTCAAAGGCAACTCAAGACATCTCATTATAAAATGATTCTTTAAAGAAATGAGGAGTCAACAGCTTCCCGCATAGAAATCTCCTTGACAACAGCTATCGTGCACGTGATTATTATATGTGGTCGAAGGGTACCAAAGGGTTTCTTAATAATAATAAAAAATTAACCTTTTGATTATATAGAATGTTTTGAAAGAAAGAAGAAAAAAACTTATTTTACTCAGTGTACAGCTGCAGAAAGAATCGCTTGAGGCAACCTTCTGTAGACGTGGGCTCTAATTACACAACTCGATAAAGATAATGGATTAATAGACCTTGGGATTATGCTAAAAGAAAGGATATATAGGTGTATTATATATACTAGTAGCACAGTGCATTTACACGGTAGCTCATTTATAGGCTCAAGATTTTAGTATATCTAGAAAACATTTACAAGTGTCTTTATTTAGGAAAGTGTCGATTCTTCAGAATACACTTATTAAATTATAAAATACTTTTTGGTATTTAATTTATTTATGTTCAAAATATTGTGTGTGTGTGTGTGTGTGTTTTACTAGATCCTGTAGATCATCGATTTGTATAAATCCAGAATTAGTAAGCGATATGTAGTAATCTATAGGTCATCACAAGAAGACTTCTGAATAGCGTTGTAAAGATAAGTATTAGTACAGGGACTTATTTCCCTGATACAATTTCTTTTTTAGAATTTTATAATCCACGTCTGATTACAGTAAAGTTGCATTTATTAAGTTTTATGAATTATGCAATTTTTGCTGTCAGAACAGGTGTTAGAATAGTAAAGTATGTAGTGTCAATGTCTATTATAGCTATAAGTATGAAACATGCCTTTATTATTATTATTATTTTTTATTTATATGGTTAATTTTACATTAAATTAAAGAACTTAGCTTACTTGCTCATACTCTATATTTCTTGACAACAAATATCAAGTTCAATTCTATATTACTTTATTTTATAGCTTTAATTTATGCACTTTCTTTACTTTTTCAATAAATCAAGTTTAAATTAATAAAAGCAAAGTGCCTAATAAATATCTAATATATCCTTTTAATGCGGTATTAACAAGCATACTTTATTTTATAGCTGTCAATTATGAGACTTTTGAGAGTCTTTATGGAGTATTGAGACCAACTCCAACACTATCTTTAAAAACAGTATGACTGTTTTTCGCACTTTACTAATCATTACTTTATTGGTAAGACATAGCTTTATAAAGAAGAAGTGAAAATGAAATCAAAGAAATAGAAAGGCTTTGACTAGAAGCTTTAAAGATTTTGACAACAATTTTCAATACTTTTTAAATGTAAAGATTTTTTTAAAGATACCGAGAGGGTCTATAACATGTGCCCAAGCAGAGTAGTTTGCTGTCCTCAAGGTAGTTCAGCCAATCATATTCCTATTATAAAATAGGAGGTATAGAGAAAATGTATTTTTTTTTAAAAAGAAGAAAAAGGTGGATAAACAAAAGATTAGAGCATATCCAACTGTTCAAATTATCTTTTTTTTTTTCGGAAATAAATTTTGAGAGCATTTTCAGTTAAAACTTTTAAATCCCTGTCAAATTTAGCAGAGAGATAAAATAAATTACGCTGTTGGGGGTACTACTTTTAACTAACATTTTAAATTTGACATAAAAGTTGAGATAAAAGTGACTGTTGGAGATGCTCTTAAGAACTGCATCTACAATTAAAGGACAAAAGCTCCTGCTATTTAAAATCCCGTCTGTATATTTTGCTGAAAACGATACATGCCAAAAGCTTTACTTTAGAAACTTTATAGCCTTCTTCTTCATTCACCCTAGATAAGTTAAAGTAAATAAGCATATTCGTAAGGTTCATTTCACAACCAATTAAATTACCAATTGAATATTCTATAGTGCGATCAATTGAATGTCTAATGTTAATTCATTAGTTGTGAGAATGATCGAGTTGTGACAAACTTAATTGAAGTCAAATTAAAACGATAGTCAAATAAGAAAAAATTGAAAGAATATTTGATGTATTTGTCTATTATTCTTGATTGTGCTATCCATTAAGAATTGTAAGATAGCAAAACTTAGTATCAATATGTTGACATGATCAAAAATCAGGTGTAATCTTTTCCTGCTTTTATTTTATCCAAGTCAAAAGTATGATACTGATGATACTGATGGCGCTGATGATACGGATAGCACTGGTGATACTGATGACATTGATGATACAAAACATACATACATACATACATACATATATATAAGGAAGTAGTGGAAAGCCGAGGCATTCAATTTAAATAAAGTATAATACGAAAATAAGATTACTTGTGTATAAAACGCTGGTCTCCAGGGCCTCGTTTCTATAATCGGGACCCATAACGGGGAATGGGGTTCTTTATTGGAGAACAAAGGTTCAAGGTGGCGGTCCAAATACCGCAGGATGGCGCGTGGTGAAATGACTTACATAACTAGGTTCCCTGCCACGTTGTAATGATGTTAGTGCATAGAAGCACGTAGTTGATAAATGTGTGCAGAGATTCGGGTATCCATGTCACTTTTAGAATGTGCCTTGTATTTACTTATTGTTTTATTCAATTATGTAGTCTTTATTTAAGTGCTTAAACTATAATTACTAGACTTTACCTCCTTTACTTCTACTATTGGAACAGTCAAGTCATATAATGCCAAGTCAACTCAAGACTCCTTGTTTCTCTAGCTCTCTCTTTTACACACACACACACATTAGCGCACACTAACTTGTAATAATATTATATAAATATATAAATATATTTATTTTGTTTCTCCACTCGGACTGAGAAAGTTGAGAACGTGCAGGATATTTATATGTTTTACCACGTTGAGCAAAGTGCACCGGATTGGCGTAAGTGGGGGGGGGGGAAAGCACAATTGAATATACTTTTTTTTTTGTATAAAAAGGTATTAGGTTCCCTCAGCCTCCTTGCTCTTCTCTTGTTTTCTGTTCATTTACCTCTTACTCTCTCACTCTTTTTACCTTTTTGTCACACTCATCACAATGGTAAGAATGATGAACATTCCACCCAAGAACACAATCCTCATCTCCATAACAGGATACCAGCTACGATGTTATTGTTCTCGGCACTGGATTGACCGAATGTATTCTCTCTGGAATCCTCTCTGCTGAGGGTAAGAACGTGCTTCATATGGACCGCAACGACTATTACGGTGGTGAATCGGCCTCCCTCAACTTGACTCAGGTAAGAAAAAAAAACATATATAATAAACCCCATCAAGTCTTGTGTGACCTTGAATGGCGTGAGAAGCAGAAGTACTAAAAAAAAGCTCTTTTACTTCTTTTTTAGCTCTATCGCAAGTACCGCCCTGGTGTTGAAGTCCCAGCAGACCTCGGTCGCGACCGTGACTACAACATTGACTTGATTCCCAAGTTTATGATGGCAAACGGTGAAATTGTTCGCTTCCTGACCCACACCGATGTTACCCGTTATTTGGAGTTTAAGCAGATTGCTGGTTCCTATGTATCTCACGAAGGCAAAATCTCCAAGGTTCCTGCTACAGAGGGTGAGGCCATCTCCTCCTCATTGATGGGTCTTGTCGAGAAGCGTCGTCTTCAGAAGTTCTTTGAGTTCGTTCAGAACTGGAAGGAGGATGACGACTCTACCCACCAGGGATTGAACCTCGAGAAGGATACAATGGTTACTGTGTACGAGAAGTTCAGCCTCGATCCTGCCTCCCAGGATCTCTTGGGTCATGCCATGGCTCTCCACCTTGACGACGAATATCTTACCAAGCCTGCCCGTGAGACCATTGATAAGATCGTGCTCTATGTTGCCTCTGTTACCCGTTACGGTAAGAGCCCCTACATCTACCCTCTTCACGGTCTTGGTGAGCTTCCCCAGTCATTTGCTCGCTTGAGTGCTATCTATGGTGGTACCTATATGCTTGACCGCGCTGTAGATGAGATTTTGTACGAGAATGGTGTAGCTGTGGGTGTCCGTTCAGGCGAAGAGACTGCTAGAGCAACCCAGATCATCTGTGACCCTTCATATGCTCCCACCAAGGCCCACACCACAGGAAAGGTTGTCCGTGCTATCTGCTTCCTCAAGCACCCCGTCCCAAATACAAGCGATGCTGATTCCGCTCAGATTGTGATCCCCCAGAACCAGTTGGGTCGCAACCATGACGTATATGTTGCCTGTGTATCAAGCAACCATAATGTCTGCCCCAAGGATACCTATCTTGCTATTGTCTCTACTGTTGTTGAGACAGATGAGCCCGAGAAGGAGATTGAAGCCGGTTTGGCACTCCTTGGTCCCATCCATGACAAGTATGTTTTAAAGTGTTTCTTTATTTTATTTTATCTTATTTTATTTTATTTTACTTATAAATCTCTTTCCCAGGTTCGTGTCTGTATTGGACATCCAAGAGCCCATCCAGGATGGTACTGCCGACAAGGTCTTTGTATCTAAATCATATGATGCTACTTCTCACTTTGAGACTGTGTGTGATGATGTTAAGAGCATCTATCGTCGTCTCACTGGCTCTGAGCTCGTATTGAAGCAGAGACCAACCCAAGAACAGGAGCAAGCTGACTCTACTGCTTAATTGAATTCCCCGCCCGCAATATCCTCTTTACCCTAAATCATCCCACTCTATCTCACTTCTTCGCATCCTAATTGCCCCAAGCTTTAACTTTATTTTCCTTTGAACTTACCAACCACCAAGTTTTATTGTGAACACACCTCATGAATAAAAAAAACAATCATAAGCATAAATCCTACAATTTTGGTCTACACTAGTATCTATGAGCATATGTAAATGTGCAAATGTGCACGTTTTATAGCGTGTAGCTTTATATTACCTGAAAAAAAAACACGTCAAATAAATTGTGGTACAGAATAAACTGGGTTCACTTGGCTTAGGCTCAACATTTTCATTGACGGACGCATATGTCATGCCTGTCTTACTGATGCACAAATAGTATATCTCTACAGACACCAAATTCATACAAATTCACCTCCGCGTAGTATGTCGTACATCATTTATACTGTACTTACCTTAGCCACTAATGGTACGCCATTAATTGATGAGCTAAAGTATATTTTAGATGTGCATTATAACGCCAATCAGATTATAAAACGCCTGTTACCATCTTGTTAAAGAAAAGGGAAACAAAAGAGGAACAAATATTTGAAATATTACTCAATAGGGTAGTGTGAATAAGAAACTTTAGTTTTGTCTATGTATATTACTTTATGACAATAAGATCATTGAGTGTGTTTATGTGCTTGGCTTTAAAGAGTTTACTTTGACTAGTCTAGGAAAAAATACTTCCCGAATATAAATAATTCATATGTATAAAACAACCTATAAAAATGTTTTCTACAAAAGATGAGTAAGTATTTACAAAATCTAATTAACGGGAGTCTTTTTTCTGTACCTTAAAAGAGTACGGCTCTAAAGAGCCAATTACACAAATTAGCTTTACAGGTCAGGGTTTTATATATTAAAAGTAGACGGGCATTTTTTTTTTTTTTTTGGTTTTTCAAGAGCTTGTACACTTTGATATCCAGTAAACCCAATGAAAGCTAATGATAGATGATAAATACAAAAGAAATAAAAAGTACCTAACATAACATAATAAATAATAGTCAGCCAAGAATGTAAGAAAGCACGCAAATAACTCTTATTAGGGAAGAACAACTTTTGAGAAAGAATATTAAGACAAAGTAAAATAAAGGTACAGCTAGTGAGAATACGAGACAAATAAATCTATAATAAATAAGGAAAGTACATGAAATAATCGAAAACATGTAGCTAGACGATGACAGCTTCAGAATTAGGAACAGATTTCGGAAGGGATAAGAGACCTAAAGAGGAATCTATTTAGAAACTCGGAAGATTGATTTCTGGATCGAGACTATACATCATTATCAGACAAAAGTTGATCATACTAGGTACAGTTTCAGGAAAACATCAATGGTCTGGGTTGGCGGGAGACGGTGAGGATTCTGGACATAAAAAAGAAAGAAAGAAAAAATGGATTCCCAGGAACAAGTTCTCTTGGAACTTTTGTGGTTCGAAGAGAACGTGTTTGTTCCTTGGTACAGCATTTTGTTGCAAGGTCAAGGAGATATTGACCATAACATTTTTCTTCCGGTAGTTTGCAAGATAATTTATTTTGGTCAATATCACATAGCAAGGCGAGCAAAAACGGTCGCTAACCGTACTACGTACCAGGTGCTTTAAAGGGTCTAGGGAGGCAGTCGAGAGCGTGATCGATGATATAGACCCTTGGAGGGGGATCAGGATCTATCAAGAGACAGAGTTTATAAATGAGAGCTATGTTTGCGGAGTATATCAGCAGGTGTCTTTTGTTCTCCATGGTAGCGCCACATTTACACTCGCCTCATGATGTGGGTGGTAGTCAAGTAGCTCTCCATTTGACCAAACGACAGTGTTTGTGGCGGGTACAGGGCAGGATAGGGCAGTCGTAAGACCAGATCCTAGAAAGGGTTGCACATGTTTCTGGCAATGGTCACTGGTGTATTTACGCCCGCAAGTTTCCTGTCGACTTTTTTTCTTTGGTGTAACAATGCAAAAGCTTCTTGCAATGGGTTCTTTGCCCAGTGTTGATGATTTTTTCAGTAACTTGGGCCTTTTCCAAATTACACAACGATATAGCTTATTTAATGTCATCTTAGCTTTGGTAAGGTTCAGCTGCATGGTAAGAGCTCCGATAAATGAGTTTGAGGGTATTTTTTTTTTAAAGTGATAAAGAAATCTGGCTTAGAGAATACAGATATGGGTAAACATATTGGGTAGAGCAGCTAAAACAGCGGTATGGAATACTCTTATCGTCGCATTTAGCCATCGAATACATGTCCGAAGACGACTCTCCCGAGTTTTATGTAAGGAGATAGTCTTTTTCTGGCCAGTACAGAAAATTACTAGAGCTTACTCAAGACTGGGGTAGGCAAAAGTCAGATACACACTGGTAGTCGCAGGTCGGCCAAAATGTGTATATGTATATGATTTTTGCTGAGACTTGGTAAACATGATTGTACCTTTTAGCTCTTGACTACCAAAATGAAGTATAAGTGAAAAAAACGCGCAAATATAAATAAAAGAGAACATAGAGAAGGACATTGACGGCCTCACATTTGAATACATTATACTTATACCCCAGAAACTTTGGATACGTCTAGGTCATAGCCAAAAATTTTCTCATAGCTTCTGGTATGGAAATAAAGGTATTATCATAAGCGTATAAAGGGTAGTTGATGGGAACTATTAACTTGGGAAGAAAGTTTTAATATACCTCCTCCGTACTAAGAACATGAGATATATTACTAGTGACCTACTAAAGCTTATTCAATAGTGACAAAGAGGTTGCTGTTTGGCAGCCAGGCGCAAACGTGTTATAGGACGAGATACAATTGAACCTTGAGTCTTGAAGATGAAGGGAAGGGAATGCGAGCGTAGTCTAATTAGGTAGAGGCTCTCCAAAGTAAACATGGTAATATATTTTTGTAGGCCTCAATACATTCTTTTAGAGCTTTTATTCGAACTCTGATTAGATTCTAAGTTGTGAATAAATTTGCATAAATTTATACACAAGGTGCTGATGAAGCGTATGATAGATTATATCACACCTTCTATGCTTAGAAGGCTACGAGTTTATATATGGTATTTCATCCTCTAAAGCCCATAAATCGTGCCCCTTCTGTCTAAAAGAGATAGCATATTTTTTATGTTTATGTATGGTATTTAATTTTGTTTGTTATCAGCATCTCTTGTAAAAAAAAACATTTCTTTTTCTTTTTATGGCATATATTATTCTTCAGCCTCTTGTATGTTTTATAGGCTGGCATCTTTCTACTTAAGGTATTAGATGTAATACTATAGTGCCAAGAGCTTTTTTTTTGAAAGCTGGTTATTGTCTGTGTCTTAGCAGGAATAGACCCAAAACAGAGAACAATCATATACTTCTTTTTAAATATAACTTTATCTTTGGAGTATATTATTGTTTATAACACACGCATATTAGTATCTACACAGCACACAGCACACAGCAGACAGTACCTATATCCGTATTCTTGATCTATTACTCAAAATAATTTTTCAAGTTTAATTGATTATCCACTTCGCCGACACCTTTTTTTCTTAGTAAAATGTAGAGTAATATTCTGTGATGATATTTTTATGGTAATGTACTACATCATATGTTACATAGATGATGGCTTTTAATGCTACTACCAGTCTCTGATTTCTAAAATTGTACAAAGAAAAAAATAGACTTTGTACGAGTTGCGCAGCATTTGTGTAATTAGCTCAATATATTGCCATGTGGTCAGATCTATAGGCTTTTATATTGTACCTTTTCTTATTTTCATTTGTTTTAGTATTGAATACTGCTTCTAAATAAAACAAGTTCAATAGTCGAGCATACCTAGGTATTGAACGTATTGTATCCACATCTATAATGAGTATCTTTTTATATGTATCTTTTCAGCATATAAGAATTTCTACGCGAGTGGAACTGTCACACATTCTCTTGTACGAGTCTACGGTACACAAGCACTCCTAAATACCTTTAGATGAGTAAATCACTCTTCCATATAAATCAAGTATAAATAATTGGATCAGATCAGGAAATATGTGAAAATTACAACTTTCTTTCTATCTATTGTATCCTCTTTATAATCATCTAAATCAATAACTGCTATGGATTACGCTTATCAATTTGCTTCGGACGAGGTTTATACACTTGTGAATATGCAGATTGGCTTTGGTTCAGCGACCGCTTTTCTGGGTGCTGTCGCAGTCGTCGCCACGGCCATTCGAGCAAGTCGCTGTGGCCTGTACCATATATATCTCACGAGTGCTCTGGCTGGTCTATTCTATCTTATAAAAGGGGGTATGCAGGCCGGTGTTGGAGGATCTCTACTTTCAATCTTAAACGGTAACTTTGATGAGGGAAGCGTTGTACAGTTGAACTATGCATACGAGTTCTTCCTAGCAGCAACCGTACCTATTTCGTGGATCCCTCTCTTTGCTATCTACCAGAAAATATCATCCTCCCCAGAAACTCAAGGCTTCAAGGGTCTCCTGAATGTTAAGATGCTTTGTATTACCCTTTCATATCTCTGGGCTCTTATTATCATCGTTTCTGATATCGGCGCGCTTGGAACTCTGAGCAATACTAAGGAATACACTTATGGCACGTACGAAAGCCTCTTAACAGCTGCACGCGCCATTCAGTTTGCTGCCTTTGGTACATGGATGTTTCCATTCCTTGCTGCTATTCAGGCGTATATATCATTTGATAAAGTCCGTCACATCTTTGTCTCGCTCGCTACATACCAATTCCTTCTTCTTATTGTGGTCATCGGACGTACTATCTCGGGTACAGCCACTTCTGGATCGGTGAAGGTGTACCTCACATTTCTGTTCCTCTTGATTGATGTCGCGGGTGTTGCTGCGATTTTCGTGGCCGTCAAGTACGGAACTACCTGGATCAAAGATACCATCAGTTCGGAAAATCATCTGTCCAATGTTACCGAAACTGAAATTGAATCACAACCTATGGAGGAAATTAAATAGGTCATCTTCTAAGTAAAGAAGAAGAAGAAACTTTTGGAACCAAGACTTTGCTAAAAATCAGCCTATTAATACTATTTATTACTTTCTATAATCATGTACACCTTTATCATTTAATATTTATAAAACAAATGGCTATATATATGTATGTATATATACACTTACACTACCAGAAAACGAAAACTTGTTTTCACTCATAATAATAATAATAATAATAATAATAAGAAAAATACAGTTTAATTAATATCATTCTTGATCTTGTGGGATCATGTCTGCACAAAATGACTTTTCAGCTATACGCTATACTGAGTGGGTACAATCTCGTGCAAAAAGTGGGCATTATTCTGCTTGTGTAAAGTATTACAACTTATTGTATCATTAAACATTTGCATATTTCTATAATCTTAATTTTGTATGATATTTGTACAGGGAGCAATTCCAATGAAAACCAAGAAACGGCTTTGTTTGTAACCCTCTAGAATATTAAAGCATGCTTTTCTCATAAGAAAATTCCAGCAGTTCTTGATAATTGGCATTTCAATGTGGCGATACTTTAATAACCACCTAATAATAGACAATATATATATTTCTTTTTTTTTTAAAAAAAAAACTGTTGAATAAAATACTCTTGGGTATAATATTATTGGGTAGGGTAACCTTAATTATATTATCCTTGATCAAAGCTCTCATTAGTAAGTTAAACTTATACAAACTCCTTATGTTTTATTTTTTTAAAAAAAAAAACTTTATCTTTACATGAATTTAACTATCATTAATTAGTCATAGCTTTCAATCTTTTTCAGATTGTACGAATTGTAAAGATTCCCGAATTTATTTATTTTTAAAAAAAAATCCTACTTTTGGTCCAGAAATTCGGGTTATGAAGGAATCAAAATATAGTACAAAGCCTGAAAACGGTTTTTTTCTTGGTGGTGCCCAAGTGGCAATAGAAAGTCACTTAAAGGGATTAAGGTTTTTAATCGGGGTACAGTACACTCTTTCCGGAAATTATTGGTACAAGAATAAAAATTAATTTGGTGCAAAAATAAAAATAAAATTGGTGCAATTTTCTATCCATTTCTCTGCTTAATTCACCTTTTTTGGTGCGTTTGGTGCATTTGGTGTATCCATTTTTATTTTTGCACCAAACTGATTTTTATTCTTGTACCAATAATTTCCGGAAAAAGTGTATATGGCTTCTCAGACTTTTATGGATTTAAATTACCAATATTTTCGTCGATTCTTTTTTTTTCTTGTTGGTTCACTGGTAGTTATCGACAAAAATATTATCCCTACTCTTAAAAACCAGAGAATCAGAAAAACAGAAAAACAAAAAAACAAAAAAAAAACAGAAAGTGTAAATTGGATAAAAGTGTCCTAGCTAGGATCGAGTATAAGTAAAATAGGCCTCTTCTTCTTCTTTTTACATTTATTGCCACCTATTTTAAGCTGATTTACTATTTATTACCCTTTACATAGTAAATTAGTGCTGAGGGTATTGTTCGTGGTATGGTACCAATGAAAAGGCAAATTCGTACTGCACACAGATTTTTATGTGACTTGTACCATCTGGGGGTCATAATAGAATAGAAGCTCCATGCAGACAAATATACACTTAATCTAATTTGTAACAAAGTAAAGGTTATCGTAACCCCTTTCTTTTATATAGGATGATAGAAAAACAAAAAAAAAGTCGTTTAATAGGATTCCCTCAAAGTCCCTGAAAATACTCTAATTTTACTCGGAGACATATATTTTGATGTTGGCTTTAAATTTCTTCCATCTTAACCACCCCTCAATTGCTTCGAGAGTCCTCTTTTTCAATTTAGAACAATGATGACAATGACAATTACCGAGAGTGAACTAGAAACTCTACATGAAATATTTTACGAAGCTTATTAGCATAATTCTAGTTTTGACCTTGATTAATACAATGATTCATAACTCGAGATCTCTTACTTGACCCAATTGAGATAACATGATTCACTTGATAACCTATATGAAGAAGCTAATTCCAGTGAGGAAGACTTCACCCAAATAACAGTTGCTTTAATAACAGGTTGGAATGTAGAATGTGATGATATAACTTTCAAGGTGTTGTTCACATTGATCATTGCATGCTTGTCATAAAATTGTGCGTCAAAGGGCGATAGTGATCGCAAGAAAATATTCCAAGAAACTCCGTGAAAAAATCTGCATTCATCCTGGTGTTCTTCGCTTTGCCGAAACATTCGCTGCGGAAAACTTCTCTCACAAGTTTAGAGAAGTAAATTATATCAAGGAGAAGTTTGTAACAATCAAGAAGAATCTTTAGAAAGTTGTCTCTGACATAAGAAGAAGTGGATCTGGTGGTCCCCCTGCCCCCTTCAATAGAGGTTCCAATCCTTCGATGACATGAAGCAAATGACACTGTTGAATCCCAGCGTCTGCCCACAAATTATCATCAGCTCTTCGAGTATCAGAGATCAATTGACTTCCGATCTTGTGATCTCTATCCACCAAGACTATGGTATCATTTATACCAATACTTACCTTCATACCCCTTCGTTCGCCCAAGTAATCACGGGTGGAGACTATGACCTTTTCTCCTCTTTCATGGCGGATCCAAAGCCAGCTCATGTGCCTGAAAACCACCATGACTTTAACTATCAACAATCCTCCTACAAACCTGCATCCTGGCTTGCTTCTCAGTCAGTATTGACACCAGCACCACTAACAGTTCATCATCGTTTAATAGAAGGATTGCTTTACAAGTGTTCTAGTCTGCAGTCTTGAGAAATTCCAAAAGACACAACGAATTTTTTTTTGGCCATGCATTTACCTCTTTGGATCCACGATTGGAAGAAGTGAAAGGAAGATTTGTCCATTCGGTGGAATACCAGCGTATCCATGCGGACACATTTTAAGAGGCACATCGCTTGGACAGAATTTCACGAGAGGATATGGCAAGAGAAGAAATAGAATTTAGAGAATTTAGAGATAGATTCTTTGACTATTTCAAGAACTGTCTAAATTCAGTTAACCAATACTATTATTCTTATTCCTCTTCTGAAAACAATAAATCTAATGAATAAACTTGGTTTTCTTTTCCTCTTCCCTTTACCTTCTTCTTTCTTCACTATATATTTACTATTACTAACTTATCTTACCTTTCTCTTTTTCCTTTATCAATGTTATTCTAAATCCAAAAATTTAATGAACGAAAAAAAAGAAAAGTTAAATTATGAAAAGATTTTTTTAAAAGAACATTAGAGGGAGTTTTTTACTTCATCACGTCTAATCCTTCCCTCTATAGCAGCCGCAGCTTCATCCCGGGTGCGTCCCATATCAGTATATAGACCCGCAGTATCATAATAATACGTCTCGAAGCTACCACCCTTAACATTATCAGATCGGATGAACCAATCCAGCATACTTCTATCACGCCGCTGACCGGTTCCACCCTCTCTCAACAACTCTTCCATATATTCTTCACTGTCGTCAGAGTCAATACACATATTGTGCAGAATGCAACAGGTAGCAATGAATTTTGCCATAGAGCTTGGTTCCGTGAGATGTATATCCTTAAACATGAATTTGGTTCTCAAGATAACCAAGCTGAAAGCGTCTTCAATCTTCAATCGCGCTGCTGATAGTATTTTGTTAAATTTTTTCTCTTTTTCTGACATATTTCTGAATTTGCGGTAAGGTATGAGACAGTGCTTTAAGATAGGAAAACCAGAATCTTTTCCAAATATATGTATGATTAATTCGTTATATCAGCGAATATTAATTTAATATAAATTACCTCCAATAATGTATGATTTTGGATCATAAAACAAATCCCTAGGGTTGTTCACCATGTCGTAATATAAGGTACTTGTATAGAAGAGGTAGCAATCTTTTTGTCTTACTAGATACAAAACACTTTAGTAAATGTAGTTCTATAGATACTAGCATATAATACTTACCAGTCATTTGAGCTTTTATGTTCGTGAATCTCCTTTTATCATCACATACAGCAATGAGAGACATAGCTCTATTTCTCTGGCGATCAAACCAGGAGATATCATATGATGGTGGCGCTTTAATAGCAATTCGTTTTCCAGCAATTGCACCTATGCATTTATTCAGGTTCTGGTGTCCTGGCTGGTCTGAAGCAGCTGCAAATCCTCCCATTATTCTTCGGCTCTCTCAAGGTGTTTTAGGCCATCTTATTGCGGTATTCATGAAGGATCGGAGCATGCCATCCAAGAATTTTTCTGTAAACCGGTCGAATGAGCTTTGACTGATATTTAGAGCCTCTGACGCGATTGTGGATCCAAAGTTCGTATTACTGAGGCGCCAAAGCACAACAGCAACCTGCATCCACACAGGGTAGATAAACCCGTCCATAGCTTCTGAGCCATCAAACTCAGGGTCGTTTTGAAAAGTATTCACAATTATGTTGAATGTATTTCTACTAACTCTATAATGTGCCCGAAAGCTATTGGGACCAGTTCCGTCATCCAAGTTGGGGTTGCTATAGGTCCACTCATAGTTTTGGTCTCCATCAAAGATGTCACGCATCCGTTTTTCTTCTTGGAAATAAGCTGGGGACCTCAAGAAGCAGGCGTGCTGGAGCTCATCCACAATCCGGATATTCTGAGCTAGTGTTTTTACGTTATAAGCCCGAGCGAGATGTGCGTGCAATGTCATTGCTTGTTCCCTCATCTCTGCCACACGAGAGATCTCAAGTTCTGAATAGTTGTATTTTATCAAGGTCAAAATCAGAGTTATGTTGAGAAGTATCATAGAATGATTTATGTATAACTGTCATCTCACCCTCGGAATTTGTCTCATTGTCATCGCCACTGTCATCACTTATGTCATCGCTGCTATCGTCGTGAATGTTAGTGTCATTGTAGATGTTTGTGCTGTTATTCATTCTAAAGTGTACAAAAATGAAAGAATAAAAAATATAGATATCGAAATACAGCTACTATATTGGTTATAAACGTTTATTACTAAAAGTCTATTCAATAAAAGCAATATTTTATAAGGACAAATTTAAATTTTTCTGTACGAATAAGTACTGTGATTCCTGTCATTTTAAAAGATGAATTTTACTATATATATATGTTTTTGCTCGTTGTATCAATTTATTACTTTTGTGTCAATTGAATTGTTAGTTTAATGGTTAAATTTGAACAGATACTCGAACAATTGATACTGCTTAATTGAAATGCAACCTTAAAACGATCCTTAAACCCCCTGCAAAAAAAAGGGTTTTCTAATATCCACAGAGGTTTCTATTATTTTATAAATTTATTACTTTTATCAAATTCAAAAGATTTATCTGTAAAATAATTGTTTTTTTTATTGCTTTGGGCACTGAAGCTTTACTGAACTTCCTTTTCTTCTAAAGAATGCCAGCCATTTCATCCAGCATTCTTCTTTGTGAATTTTATTATAAATTCTGATTATAATCAGAAGACACTAAATGGAAAATGACATTTGTATTTCTCTGGTAGCATACCTACGCTGCTGAGCATGGGTTATGGCCTGCCATTCTTTGATATCAAACATTATTTTTTTTTTGATTTGTACTTGGCTCCTAAATTTTTATCCTTGAAAATCTTTCTTTATGATTTATAAGAAATAGAAAACAAGTATGGTAGTAAGGGTTATGCGATACACAAATAAAAGAAGAAGAAGAATAAAAGAAGAAAGCCTAAATTACATATTGTGCACAATAAATGAAAAATCAGAATAAAGAACAAGTAGAGTGAGAGTAGATAGATTGTAAAAGAGAAAAGAGAAATAAATAATTAGTGAGTTAAACTTGTAGCAAAGAACCCTCCTTGAAGTGTTCCATTATTAGGTGCAGCTACTATGTTCAATAGCTCTGTTATCAGACCATAAACCTCAACATTAAAAAAGGGAATGACCACAGCACCATGGTTAAAACGCAAATTCAATTTGGGGCCCTTTGCAATGAAAATAGCCCGCATGTCTGGTGCAAGGTTGTCATAGCCATGATGTCCCAATGTTAAGAATGTTTTCTGAGCGTTAGGAGCGACTTCATCGTGCAGAACAAACGTGTACCCAACATCTGGAATAGCTACAATCGGAGTTATACGATCTGTATTGCTGTAATGATAACGAGACGGGACATCCTTCCGTAAAAAAACTTTAAAGTGAGGGTCTGGGGAATTCTCTGTGTAGTTGTGAAGTTCACGATAGATTTTGTTCACCATTCTGTCAAAAGATGCATTTGCATTTGGGCGAATATCGAGAAGAGGCATTGCTTCACGTTCACGTAAAGAGGCGAGAGATTCGGGTGATAGTATGTCGTCGTAGTAAATAAGCTTTGATGGACCTGTGGATGACATACCATGATCACTCACCTACACATACATCATTTTCATTTTAAATTTCTCTTTTTCCATTAAAAGTAATAAGATCAACCCACTTACAACGATAACGTGCACATGTCTACCCAAATTACGCTCAGTCAATTCTTCTATCAAGTGCCCAATAGCATTGTCTACATCGATAATAGCATCATTTATCTAATGCATACAAAAAAATTAGCCGGAATATGAGAATAAATCTCTCCAAAAAAGAAACTTACTTCTTCACTATCTGGTCCCTTTTCATGGCCAACTATATCAACTTGAGGAACATATACAGCCATAAACTGAGGTCTTTCATTTTGAGCTAAATCGAGCCACCCAAGAACGGTGTCAATCTTCTCAAGAGGAGTGACTGTACTGTTGAAACCAACCACAAAGTTAGGTCTGACATGATTTACAGAGGCTGTCGATCCAGGCCACATATCCACTGCTGTGCGAAGCCCTTGTAAGGCTGAGGTTACCCAAAGCTTAAATTCGATAGTAATAGGAACAACAAATCAATGTCTTTTGTTTAAGCCTCATGTAATGCATAATTAATTGGGGGTGTGGATCTATCGTAAGGATCTTACCGGTTCTCCACCCCACCATTCAGACTGTTTGGTGATCTCATTATTGTTATAAATAAACTCTTTATCCAATGCTGGATCGTAAAATGTGTTTCCAACAATTCCATGTGCTTCTGGATAAAGACCTGTTACTAATGTCCAGTGATTGGGGAATGTGCTTGGCTAAACCATGTGGATATACATAAACAAATTAGAAAATAAATAAACAAACTTGGTTTAATACAAGAAATCATTAGATATAGACTAAAGTCTTACCGGGAAAGAAGGGTGCATGTATTCAGCACGAATTCCTTTGGAAGCTATAGGCAAAACGGGGTTATTTAAATACCAGTTTGCACAACCCCAAGTTGACTAAAGCCTCTTTAATTACCTAGTTCGTCTAAATTTGGTGTGATATTTCGATGGAGATACTCGCTCCGGAAGCCATCAAGAGATATCAAAATAACTGTTGGACCAAAGAAATCTGTTCCATTAAAATACATGTGTTCCGCAGGGCGATTGTGATGCTCGGAGCCATGGCCATATTTTGCGACAAGAATCTTAAATAAGACAAACAGGAGGCCTACGGTTACTGCAAGAAGGGTATATCGCAATAACGGAAGATCCTAAAATCGCCATAAATTTTGTACACAATATATGTAATTATTAGAGAAATGTAAATAATTGATAAAGACTGTTCCATTCTCGTGATGATGAGATAGTTTACCCATAATGTTGGATTGATTTGATTGCCATTTTCGTCTTCTCCAGAGTCAAGCCAGGCATCGTCCTCTCCATCGGATTCATCCTTATCAATTAAGTGCTCTTCTTCCTCTTCTTCTCCTCGATGTTCCTGAGTTGTATCTTCGTCTTGACTTGGATGGGCAATTTCGTCAGCATTAGTCAAGGTGTAAGCAGTTAATGGAATATTTTCGCTTGTTGATCTGCTCATTTCTTTATTTTATTTTCGTTTGTCATAGACAATGGTAAGATTGATTGTACAGTAAGGAGAAAGAAAGTGTTATTGAATCTGGAATGAATATTGGAGCAAGGAGGCAATTAGTCCACTCAAAAAGTTCACAACTTCCTTTTTAGTTTAATTCAAGCTCAAAGCCTGTATTGCTTACAAAATTATATAGGCTCGGAACCGTTCTTCTTTTTCTTTTCTTCCATTTTATTTCATTTCATTTTTGGTTGCCGCCAAAGCTAACCATGAATATAGACCAAGTATGTCTTACTCACATTCCTACCGCTTGATATTATGTTTAAAGCGTTTATTATTATTATTATCAATATCAATAATGTGAAATAAAAACAAAAAAAGGAATCATCCTATTCATTTATTATTGCCATAATGATCTTCAGTGGAATTAAATATCATTGAAAGTAAGATATCTAATAGTCTAAAGACAAGCCACGGACATGTGCTTGTGATTGCAATAGATAAACGGACCAAAGAATGGAAAATGGAGATAGGACCATGACTGTATTGGGATGCTTTCGAGCGTGCGGAACGTGTGGAACGTGCCTGGTTTATAGAATCGCTTTCTTCTGTGCTATTTTCGGTAGTCTGTAAAGTATCTGGCTCATAAGGATTCACTGCTAAATCGACTACAGGTAATCGCAGTTCATGTGCAGGGCTTGGTACTTCGCATATAGGCAATGTCCGACAAGCCGGACAATTTGGAACATGGCATAAGCCAAGGCAGCGGAAAGGATATGCTTGTCTCCAATATTGGAGTTGGTTACTTCGACATGTCAAATTCCAGCCAATACCAAGAGTGACGACTGGATAGTTTGGGGGACGACAGGTCAATATACTATTTGGATCAGGTCCACGCCAAAGAAAAGACAGGTATTTCAATAATCCTAAGTACAAAAGGTATAAGATGTTTATTTTTATTTATTTTTTAAAAGAAAGTATCCTATTTTTGAAGTATTCTTTTTTTTAATAAAGTCAAAAGCTAATTCCTGCTTCTTACTGAGAGACAGCAGGTCGTTAGGGTGTTTTGTTCGTTCCGAGAGGTGAGCAAGAGTTTCCATAATTTTCAGCAACAACAGCAAAAAAAAAAAGTTGGAATAGTATTAAAGATCAAACTGTAACCAGGAAGATGTAGTTCCACGGGATTCACCAAAGCAGGGGAAGGGAGAGGAAACATCTCCTTTTTATGGCTTATGTGATGAAGAAGACTTTGGCACCTTTTGTACAAAGCATTAAAGTGTAATTCAGACCTTGGTCATTATTGTCTTTTTGGTTATTTCTGCTCTTTTCCTAAAGCGTGGAACAAAAGATGTAAATTTAGGAATCTCACTCACTCACACTTGAAAAAAATATATATAAAAAGTCTCATTTCACCTTTATCAATAAAGAACCTCATTCGTTTTAAGCCCATATGCTACATATAATTAATCTAGATATTTATCCATAATCACATCTTTAACCCCCCCTCCCCCCTTGTTTTTGTTTCTATTTTCCTTTTACTCATTGTGCTTTTATATATATTTAAAAGGGTTTATTGTGTGATATATGCTGTAAACTAAGTATGAGGTTATTTTGTTGACGTTAATAATGATATTATTATGTGGGTTTTAGTCTTTCCATCTAACAGGGATTTTAAAAAACCGACCAACAGAGGCAGGGTCCTCGTTTTCATCGGCAGGCTGCTCTCGACTTGGCAAGGTACCACCACGAAGATTTGTTTGTAAAGAAGGATGAATGAATCGAGGGGCTTTTAAGGATGCATCACGCTCTTTTCGCATACTGACATATTTATCAAAGGAGACGTGTGTATTGATCATCTTATTGAATCGCTTGTGGGCATCAAGGGTAGTCATGACATCGTAGTCTCTGCCAGACTCGGATGGCGGGTAATCATGTCCAACATAAATCCGGGTGTCATCTATCCAGTGGTCGTATATCTTGTGGATACTCTTGTACATGTCCTCCACGCTTCCTCCGGGAAAGTCGCATCGTGCCGTACCAATATCTGGCATAAATAAAGTATCTCCCACAAATCCAGCGTCACCTATCCTGTATGAAACACAAGCAGGAGTATGGCCAGGGGTAAATAATGCGTCACATTGGATGTTTCCGCCCAACGTCCAGGTGTCTCCTTCATCTATCAAACGGTCGAATTGCTCTCCGTTGGCCCGGAAATCGTTCTTGGGGAAATTGTACTTTTTGCTAAACACGTCTTGCACCTTTGTAACATTTTTTCCTATCCAGAACTCAGGTTTACTATCCAGGTGCATCTTAAGATAGTTTGCTGCCGATAGATGGTCTGCATGTACATGTGTATCGATAATTTTGGTTATATTGAGTTTGTGCTTCCTAACAAACTCGATAATCTGTTTAGCTGTACTTGGGTGAACACATGAGCTAAATGGATCATAATCCAGTACAGGATCGATGATGTAAGCCTCTCTGGTTTCTGTTCAAATTTTGTGATTAGAAGAAAAGGAGAGAGAGAGAGAAGAACATGGCTTTTGGGCAGCTTGTGCATGATATTTACCGATATCTGTTACTACATACTGTGCAGTTTCTGTCTCTTTTTCAAAGATAGTGTGAACCCATGGCGAATGGTTTTTAGCATATGGCTGATGAGGAATTGTGTCTGCAGCTTTCCAGCCTCCTTCAAGATTGTAGACATTTTTGAAACCAAGTTCGACCGCGATATCACCTACTGAGCGGCTTCGACGACCGGACATACAATGGAAGACGGTCTAGGCAAAACATTATTGAGATGACTTGTATTTAGAAAGAGAGAAGGAAAATTATCTAAAGGTGAATCGTATATTACCTTTTTATTCTTGTCAAGATCAGATAAGACAGCGTTAAAGAGCTCAGGATGTTCTTTTGCGACACTGAATGGAATATTCAAGGCGCCAGGAATCTTTCCTACACTTTCTATTTCGTGCCTCTCGCGTACATCTACAAGACATAGCTGTTTTCTAAAGGGGTCTGTTTCTTGCTGGTGTATGAGCCATTCTCTAAGTTCTGGTCCTTCCACTGGCTTGACTGTAGTGCTGGAAGGAGTCGTACTGGAAAATCCACGCTGAAAATATGATGTGGAGAGCCGTAAAAGACATTTGTTTGTAGGTTTTGAAAGGTTACGTAGCTGTAGAGATAGCATAGCTTATATATAAAAGAACAAGTATGACCTGTAGTTTTTTTCTCCCCCCCCCTCCATGATTAGGGTTTATAAAATTGAACTTCCCGATATAGACCGAGGGATGTGGGGATTGTGACTTCTGTTTCGTCATCCTGCGCAATGCAATCAATCCAGCCTGTATTTTCTTTTCTTTTGTAGAACGCGGACATTGGAAAAGATATGTGGTTTGATGTGAAACTGAGTGGTGTGACAGTTAAAGAGCTTTATTTGCGCCAATGGGTGTGGATTTGACGTTGTATCGATAGTGAAGTAAGTAGTTGAATGATAATAATAATAATAAAAATATGTAGGTTTATGCTACACGACATTCAAAATATCGAATCAATTGCATGATAAAATACAAAGCTTATTTTAATATGTGTGGGAAACTAGTCGCTGATAACATTAGTCGTTTCATAATCGAGTTCCCAAAATACAGTTTATTTGAATTCTATAGCGTATTCTTTTTATTTTCTACCGCTCGTAAGGATAAATGATTAGCGAGTTTTGTTCGTCGATCTTTTAAGTTATCAACCTGTATAGCTTACAGTGAATATTATGCTATTTATGCTTGTTAAAGCCACTAGCATACCTTTATTATTTAGTAATAATATAATATATAGAGCTATATTCGATCACACTGAGAAACTCATGCCATTCATGTTTTTTCTTCTTCTTCTTAGCTGGTCGGTATATAGGCAAGTACTCTATAGCGGTTACACAATTTGATCCATGGAAATAATGATTTCTGCTTACGCAACGATGAGTGGATAGGTTTAAATCTTCTTTAAACTGCTTGCTACTACAAACTTGTACTCAAGATAATAGTGTTATGGTTGATCAAATCATCAAATCCATCTTCAACCGCTTCTTTGAATATATTCGATGCTCCAGGAGAGTCCCTTTTAGTGGCTCACAAGATTTTCTGTTCATTTATATTAAAAATGATGGCAATACACAACAACAGCCTACTATGCTGTATTCTATATATCAATATTTTCTTTCCAGTGAATAGGAAGACATTTTCAGACTCAAGAAAGTCGTAACATGACGCCATATTATGTGCGATTCTATTAGCCAATCAGATACATATATTAGTTATATTGCATTCATTCGTACAACCCACCTTCAAAAACCTATTTGTACCCTGGTACACATATCTTAAATAAAGAACCAACTCAAATCCGAAATACACACGGTAGGAAATGGCAGGATTTATAACTCCAGGCACGTATATTTTATTTAGCCAATGGCATATCGGTGTTTAGCCTATTAGTTTTACTTTTTGGTAAATACGATTTATGGGATTCTAGATTATTCTACATTTTAGGTAATACATATTCGTAAAATGGTTAGGCTATGGTATTTTTCTTTAGGTATTTCTAACAGCCTTCACATTGGTCCAACAAATACATGATATTTTATATAGTAAAATAATTTTTATGACTTTATCACTGATAACAATAGTAAAAGAGCAATAAAGGTATGTAAAGAATAAAGGCCAATTGCTTTATATTCATTTATAAGTAGCTAAAGCTTAACTAAAACATAGATCTGTATAAAGCTACTAGGCGCAAAGTGGTTAAAATTCTATAAAGTCTTAAAGTCCTGTTAACAAGAGATTTCTTTTTCAAACTATAATTGAAATATTCTAGGCTTGATAGACCTTCGACAATGTTAGAACAATCTGCTAGATTTTCTTAAAATCGGCAAGTAGTTTCAAAAACTCGCATTTTTTTCTTTCTATAGTGCCCTCTTTTGTTGCTTTTGTTTCTTAAGCTTTTCCCTATCTATCTGCATTTTTTACTACCCACTTCCGAAGTCTGAATAAGCTTTTTCTTCACACATCTGCGAATCTTTGCATATACAAAACAACCGTTCACGTTCGCAGTAAGAACCATATTTTTACACAACCTTATATCTACGAATTGATTCCAGAACCTAGAACTGAACAATTGTATTTCAAGAATTGAATTAATGCTGCCTTTTATTTATTTTTTAGAATATGATAATGGCTTATCTAGAGCAGAGTTTATCCATATAATTATGTAAATACCGGGCGTTTACGAGAGATATCATTAGACACCAACTGAAGTTATATCTCAATCACTCTGGCCTTGTTCCACACACGATTTCCGAACGCAGAACAGTGTTGTTGTTATTGCTGTTTGCTACAAAAGGGTTAAGAGGTAGGCTTTATATCTCAATAATGGAATCGAGAATTGCTTGCATGTGACAATCAACAATCTGTTTGGTGCTAAAGTAAATATATGTGGGCACCAGAACCAAGTGACCCGAGAGGAAAGACCAAAAGCTGATATCAGTCAGACCACATACGCCCTTATCATCCAGCTTAGCTTTCTAATTTAAAACAAACCTATCCTATCCTAGAAAGATAACCTTAATAGCAGAACATGTACTCACATTGAGAGAACCCTCTGCCTTCATACAATTTACGTTGAATACCAACCGGAATATGCCTTTCCAAATCATTTCATCTACTTTGACGCAAGTGCTAAGCCAGAAAATTACTTGCGGCTTACTTCTGATTATCACTATTATATTAACGCAGAGGAGACAAATCTTTCTAGTTAATGCAACTTTGTCACTCTCTTGGACCCCTTCGCGGATCACAAAAGATAAAAAAGAAAGATAATATCTGGGAGCTTGTCGTTAATAGGAACAAACCAGAGCTCGAGCATTATTACTACTGCTACTACTACTACTACTTCAAAAAAATTGTCGGGTTTAAAGGAAACACATAGCCTAATGGTTTTTGAGTATATATTCTCAAGCAGAGCTTCAAGCCAAGCTGTGACTATAAGTAGTCGTAGGGTGCATCTTTTTTAAAATGGACAATTTTTGAAGAGGAAATTTTTTGGATTGCCACCCGATTCCATAAATGGTAATTTAGAGTCGTTTATGTAACATGATACAGAATATTCGTATCAAAATCGCCATTTGTGACATAAATTTAGACGCAACCATAAAAGCAAATGGCCAAAAATACAGTATCGAAATAGCCATGAACGCAAATTATGATATAGCACTGGGCGATGGTTATATTATTATCATTAGTTTAAAATAATAAAAAACAATTGAAATATTGATATAATGTAAGATACACATGCAGTATTATGAAGGTTTAGTGAAACACAGCATCTTGTTTCACAGTAGATGTGTTAATATGGAGCAAAATATTTAATAAATATTCTTAATTTGGGCTCATGGCTATTTAGATAGTGTATTCTATATCAAAGACACATGAGGGAAATTTTATTATTCAAAGATTTTTATAAAGTAAATATAAGTTAAATTAAATATAGTATAAGATGGTCAAGTTCATGCTACTTCAGTCCAGTCCAGTCGATTCCAGTCAAGTCCAGTTGATTTTTTTGTACAGTTGATTTCTTTTGATCTTTTTTTTTTGTCCGTTTTTTTTTCTCTTTTTTTGTCCAGTCAATATAAGCTAAGAGTGATAGGAGGAGGAGGAGGATTTTGGTATTGCAAAATAATAAGGGGGATAATTTGGACTTTTTGTTTTTTTTTCTTGTTTTTTTGATTCTTTTTTGATTCTTTTTTTTTGTTTTTTTTGTCCAGTCAATTTCACAGAATAGTAATAATGAAATGGTTTTGATATTGAAAAGAATAAAAAGATAATTTGGACTTTTTGATTTTGATTTTTTTTTTGATTTTTTTTTTTTTAATTTTTTTTTGTCCGAACACAGCACACATAGTAAAGGGGATAATTTGGACTTTTTGATTTTGATTTTTTTTGATTCTTTTTTTTTTTTTTGGTTTTTTTTGTCCAGTCAATTTCATGGAATAGTAATAAAAGGATGGGTTTTGATATTGAAAAAAAATAAGAGAAGGGGGTTTTGGTATTGCTCTTTTTGCTCTTTTGTTTTTTTGAGCTTCTTTTTTTGAGCATTTTTTTGTTTTTTGTTTTTGTTCAAAGACTTCATTTGCTTTGTATGTATATATGTAAAAAAGGATTTCATACCTTGTCCTAATCCAAAGTCTTGTTCCAGTTCGCAGCTTTGCTTCAATCCAGGTCCAGGTTCCAATGCAGAGTTCTTTCGGTTTGTTCATCTTTTTTTTGTTTTGTTTTTTGTTCTTTTTTTTTTTTTGTTCTTTTTTTTTTTTGTTCTTTTTTGTTTTTTTTTTGTTTTTTTTTTTTGTTTTTTTTTGTTTTTTTTTTGTTTTTTTTTTTGTTTTTTTTTGTTTTTTTTTTAGAGAGAGAGGAGGGCTTAGTATATGCCTGTGTAATTTTTGGACAGGACTTAGTATAGGCCTCAGGGTCGGATTTCTTTTGATCCTTTTGGAGTGGAGGACTTAATGTGCCTGATCATTTCTGATAGGTTTTGGTCTACGCCTCGGTTTTTGGATTTGATCCTTTTGGATTGGAGGACTTAGTATATGCCTCGAGTTCGGATTTCTTTTGATCCTTTTGGAGAGGAGGACTTAGTATATGCCCGTTTTTTTTACAGGACTTAGTATAGGCCTCGGATTTGGTTTTTGGTTTTTCTTTTGGAACTTGCTTTTGGAATTTTGCATTGGACCCCTTCTTGGAAATCGACTTGGCCTTGAGACTTGGAGGTACAACCCAGACTTTGGACTTGTATATAAATGCGCCTCTACTTTTGTATGTATATATATATGTATATAAGTGTGTATATGTATATGTATATGTATATGTATGTGTGTATGTGTGTATGTGTGTATGTGTATGTGTATGTTTGTATGTCAATGACTATGTGTGTGTGTGTGTATAAGAAAGAAATAAAAAGAAATAAAAAGAAATAGAAATTGTGCGTGTTTGTGTGTGTGTATTTTTCTACTTTTCTAATTGTGTACTTCTCTACGTGTTTGTATGTATCTGTGTGCTAGGACTAGTACTATACCAGTACTTGGACAGTGTTTGGACATTTGGACTTTGACTTTGACTTGGACAAAACTTGGAATTGGACTTGGACATAAAAGCAAACCGTGGCTTGACCATTTCAGGGATTCTGCTAGTCTATAAGTTTCCACTTGAGATAGAGAGATAATTGTGAATATATTTTTTTTTGCTTCTTTTTTGTATCTTTTTCTTTTTGTATTCTTCTTGCTTGACTTGGTTCTTGCTGCTGTCATTCTTGCACAGGATTCAGGCTCGGGACTGCAAAATGTTCTTCGATGACCGGGCGGATTGGACCTTGACCACCAGCAGGAGGTATACGAGACCACCAACAGTAAACAACCAAACTTCCAGCAGAAACAATGTGCCAACTTGCAGCGATGGGGTCAACCACAAAAGGATTTGACCACCAAATGGCAGAGGAGCTACCAGATCTTGGCTTACCACACCAAGAACCCTAAATATATACAGGCATACAATGCAATGTACAATATTTCGAGGAGAGAAAAGGTACGACTAGCGTGCCGAGCAGCTTTACCTTTTTGGTAAAGTCTAACGCTCACAAACTCTCTCTGGTATCCTCTAAAGGGTTGTAATATTGTGAGCCCTGTCACAGGGCGACCTTGAGAAGAAAAAGAAGAGAAAAATATCATATAATTAGTACCGAGACATATTGTGTATAAATAGTACTTATCTTCTGGATAGACGGACCAATGGTTGGTATTGTCTCTGACAAAGAAGTCTAGAGACAGAAAAAACCCTTGAAAAATTGCCTTATCGCTTGCTTTGTGGTTCACATTGTTTCTGCCTTGAGCCCTATTGTTTACTACTGCCGGCCTCTAATTGTTCCTGCTGGTGTTCTCGGTCCATAATATAAATCCGGTCATCTCAAATACCTTTTTGCAGTCCTGAGCCAATAGTCTTGAATGATGACGAGGAATTTATTCTTGTTGTAACCATATCCTAGTCGAGACTCTTCATGTGCTTTTGGGCCAACCCAGCGAGATGGCGAGACTCTGGGTTAGCATACTTGATTTTAACCTTTTGTACTTGAAGGCTTGATTCCATTTTTTCCATGTTGCTTTGTGCTGTTTGTTTTGATTTCCATGTTCAGCTTTGCTTTTCTGATTTTGTTTCGAGAGTTTTGTTTTGATACTGGACTGAATTCTCTGCGAGTTTCCATAAATACGGCTTGTAAGCACTTGTCTCGACCTGAGTTGGATAGGTTCATCGAAAGTAACCTTGCTTCTCCTTCACAACTGAAAGTTTGCGTAAATGCCCTTCGACTCGGGTCTTGTTTTCTTGAGTATACGCATTTCCAGCTGCTAACTGTAACCTGCTGTTTTTTTGGTGACAATTTCTAGCTCACCCTGCTTGGTCTGGTTCATTTACCAGACCATATTAATCAGAGTCCTCCTCAAATGAGGGTGGCTAGGACTCTAACCACAGGTTTTGCGTGATGCTTGAAATCATCGGCGAATTCCACGCTATCTCTTCAGTGACATTTTTTTGTATAGTCAGATTATCTTGATTCAACTGACAAAGTCACTGATACCCAATTAATCAGTCATTGAAACATATCCTTTTGTGCAGATGAACTTTGGTCTTGCCATCTCAAAATAGCTGCGGGTGTCTGGACATGCATGTGTATGCATCATTTGAGTCCAGACACAAGGACTGGTAGAAATCATAATGACTGATATACCATCATGTCTGTGAGGGAAAACCTCGCCAATCTTGCGTGAGAACTAGGTGTTCTTGGCTCGTTTTCCCGAAACCTCTTGGGACTGTCTACCCCCCAGCAATAGATTTTCCACAATCTACAGTATAGTCAACTCAAAGTCCAAAAGGACCTATTCGAGCTTACCAGTGAATCTTCAGGTATTCACCAGAAAAAAAAGAAGGGGGGACTGACGATAGCCTTCCAAGGACCCCAAGAAAGAATCCGGCAAGGAAGCAAAACCCATTCGGCCAGACATGACTACATAATGAACACCGTGCCCCACAGTATTCATTCTCCCTGGCTTAAGCACAAAACTCAAGCTACAAAGACCCAGAACCCAGGTACAGAACAGGCCAGCGACCTAGCCAACAACGATCTCCAGAATGATACCAGAATGATACCGGAAATCTAGCCAACCAGACCAGACAAGCCAACAGGACCACCGTGGCCCAAAAACGACCCAGAATCAAGGACTCCGGAAGCCCTACTCGTACAGAAACCACCACTCACAGATCTCGGCCTCGGACCTGTGAGGAAGTCAACAAGAACCCTACGAACAAAAGGTTCCAGCCAACCCTACAGCAGTGCAAGCACCACCCTCGAATGTATACAAACGGCAAATACCAGAGGCAAACAGGATTGAAAACCAGTCTAGTACCACCACAGGTTACACTCATATGTAGACCTCCACAATCTACCTTCTCTTTATACTGTCTATGCCAAGCCAAGACTCAGAACCAAGCTAACAGGCGGAGCATGGTGTCGATCCCAGAGGGAAACGATAATCCAGTCCTTTGAATCTGAAAGCAGTAGGAACCGAACGTAAAAGAGGCTACCCTTACAGCTTAACCAAAAAACCCAACGTGAATCACCACGCCGATAGTCCCAAGGAAAAGTACTGTGAAAGGTCTGGGAATTCCAGTGTCACCATAAAACTTACCAGAAGCTTCAGGATCGACCTTTGGTTCCGACCGCATCGGCTTGGCTCCAGGGCCAACCGACCAACAAGATGTCCGCTTGGTGAAGCGTACAGATCGCATCTTAATGTGCGGACCTTTGAGCCGGTTCATGACTTAAATTACGCTGTGGCGTACTTTGCTTGTTCCTCTTTGCCTACCCGACCCTTCCCTGAGTCAGCGGCACCAACGCAGAAAAGCTTACGAGTCAAAGGGGGTGACTACAGCCATTGTCATTCTTGAGTTATCTGTCTGGGGATTTCCTGGAAGCCATATTCTTGTTTCCACCACCTTTTTACTGCTGGATGCAGTACCAGGCTTTAGGAACCAAGCCAAAGCAAATTTTTGTTTCTTAACCAACATTCGTTCACAATTAGGTCCAAAGTCAACCGATGGAACCCAAAAGCTAAGCACAATTAGGCTTTCTCTTCTTGCTACTGGATGTAGCACGAGGAGTAAGCTTCACTGGCACCGAATCTTTGGCATCTTAGAAACCCTTTGCCTGGAATTCGGCGGCCGACAAACCGTTGTTTGTTGGCGCATCGAATGACTTCGCTGGTTTCTTGCCCTTGACAAGAGAACGTTTGGGTCTCCCGACGCTGGCGGAAGACTCGACCTTGGGGTCCTTTGACTGCTCCATATAAGCGCCGGAAGCCAGCGCTTTCAACGTCACAGCCATTGGAGCCTTGGTCTCGGCTTTGGAATGATCTGGCTGCTTCTCACGAGAGCCAGAGGTCAACTCGGTCTTTGCCGCAACCTTGGATTCCTTGGCCTTGCCCTTGGAATCCTTTGCCTGTTCCTTAGCAGCGCGGGAAGCCAGCACTCTTGGAATTCCAGGCATAGAGACCTTGGGCGCAGCCTTGGTCTCCTCTGGTTGCTGCTCGCGAGAGCCAGAGGCTGTCTCGGTCTTTGCTACAACCTTGATATCCTTAGCCTTCTTTCCGCTCTGACTGGCAGGCTTAACAGTCTTTGAATGGTCCATTGGTCCTAAGACCGCAGGAGCACACTCTCCGACCTTCTTTGCTCCGTCGGCGAGCAGACCAGACACAGACGCAGGAAGTGACTCTCCACCCTTTTTCTGTTCACCTGACTTGTTGGCACTGCGACTCTGAGGCTTCAGCGCAGTAACAGCGATAGGCGCATCCAATCGCATCACGTCGTGCTCCACCTTGTCGTCTACAACCTGTTGCGGGACACAGGCTGGGATCTTGTTCGTATCGCAATCCTTCTTTACAGACTGGGAGACGTACTGTAAATCGTCATCCGTTGGATTGCAGGTGTGGGCCACGAGCTTTTCGCCACAATCAGCATCAGGCGCCACTACCTCGACATCATCATCAATCTCCATGGGACTTTCAACTTCCATGACTTCACTCCAAGCCAGGTCGTCGTCAATCTCCATCGGTGTGGAAAGTCCTGTGGAGAGACATTCCCAAAAAAAGCCATTCACTGACTGCCAAGAAGATAAAGCGAACGCCTCATCTAGACCTTGCACTGTACCAAACTTTGGCTTGGGATCATTCAAGCCAGCATTGTTCAAACCCGATGGGGTCTGAACGGACTCTTGTCCAAAGACAAAAGTCTCCTCAACTGGCTTAGAAACCAAACCGCACTCTGGTTCAGCGACTTCAGTCAATGAGTCGCAATGACCTTTGTTTTCAGAGGCGTTGAGCTCCTCTTCCAACATCGTGTCAAAAAATCTTGCAGGGAGTCTTGGGTTTGCAAAACCCCCTGAGAAAAATTCTTCACAGATGAATCTGAGTCGTACGCTGATCTCAGCTTCATCGCATATGTCTACAAGCTCACTCGACACACCCTCGTCGAGGTCTGCATGGGTTTCCCCACAGGTACCAGCTACGCCGTCAACTGGGGACACCATTGTATCAATGCCACGCTCCAACTTATCCAAGGGAAGGAGGTGTGGGATATATTCCCGAAGCCCTACTCCAAAGAACACGTTCGACTCTCCTACACAAACAACGTCTTCCTCCTCCGAAGAGGACTCATCAACAGACATATGCCCTAGGATACCTCCTTGGCGCTCACTCAACAAGCCACCTGAGGGTTCTCCCGTTGTTCGTGAACCAGTAGACCACAAAGAGCCTACCCAGTTTGACACAAGGCCAAGGATTGTCTGGCGCATCACATTATCGTGAGCTTCGACTCGATTTTCGCCATTCGGTCTCGCGTCAACAAATGGGGTTGCACCCACTCCCGCCATGGAGGGGCGTCTTTTTCTCGCAGGTTTGGCCATGCAAAAGGCAGAGGGCATTGGAGAAGCTTCCCATAACATCACAGGGATGAATATGAGAGCTGGGGCAAGTAGGTATGCGAGCGCGAAGGCTGCGCAGAGAGCGTTATAAACTTTGGAATTCATTGAGATAAATGATGTTTAAACAAAGTGCGAAGGAAAGAAAAACAGGGGAGGTGGGAATAACTGAGGTATATATATGTTTTTTGTTTTTTGATGGTAGTCGCGCTGACATCACACTCTAAGCTACCAATATATTTGTTTATACGCCTTTATCAACTTGACACACATAGGTATGGGTAGATAAGAATTGTCTCCCCCCAAACAACTACCAAGCAACCTATATATTTTCACATGATGATTAATACAGGTACCGCACGCCCTCTGAGGATTACCACACACACAAAAAGAACAACCAACCGGTTCATGTATATTTAACGCTTCTACACTGTGGTAAGTTCTTGTACATTTGTATCAACACCAGGTCCAAGTATCAAGAGGTCTGTACTTTACTATTGTAAAAGGGCTTCATTATATGTTTGATACGTTCTTTTTGAATATGCTATTTTATTCTATTTTATTCTATTCCATTTTACTTTATTTTATTTATATTGTGTTGATTAAACCCCCGAAAAAATAAAATGAAAATTTTCTTCTGCTGGAACAAGAAGTGCACAGACCAGCTTAGAGTAACCTGAAAATTGCCGTTATTGAAGCTTGTACTCTGTCTTTAGAGTTGTTACTACAAACGATCAAAACCAAGTCTTTCTTTACTTCTTTACTTCTTTACTTTGCTTCATTCTCTTTTGATTTACTTTACAAGAAAGTTGGTTTTTGTGATCTAATGACTGTTTCTTATTGGCTGTCCCTTCCGTTGTATAACAGTTACACGATTACAGGTTAATATAAATTATAACCAATAGAAAGAGAAAACATGTACCAAAGTACTAAAAAATCATATTGACTATCGGATGCTTTCCCTCTTCTTTGTTATCTTCAATCCACATATAAATATTAGCAGCTCATGAGAATTTTTTCTTGTTAACAAAATGCCAGACCACTTATAAACCCCAACCGTAGTACTACAGTTTAATATTAGGCCTAGGCAATTTTTTTGTTGTTGGACGGACTGCTGTGTAAAGCGTATCAGCCAATCGTAACATAGTGATGTTATAGGAGATAGAGGAACTAACCTGCAATAAATTCTACTGACTATTTATTGCTAACATGTATAGAGTTTTTGATGACTGGCAGTGGACGCTTTCGTAGCCGAGTAAGCTGACCCTTGTTACTTTATAGTAAATTATCGTTGGAAAGTTTGCACCTTCCATTATTCACCGATGTGATTTGTGAGTGGGGAGAATATAACGGGTGTCATATATCTTACTACCATTTTCACACTTCATTTGTATCAAGTCAGGTTTATATCCTGAAGAAGATCGAGCCATATAATGCAGGTACAAAGAATCAGGTGCTATTATTCTTTTAAAAAATAAATATAAGATAAAATAAAATATCTTTTGTGTATGTGTTTAAAAGAGAGAAATGAGCGGGCGATATATATTGAATACGCAAGTAATATTCCCATTGTATTCATAAATCAATTATTCTTATTGTTATCCTTTTAGCTATTTCGTCTACTTCCTGCTAATTAGTCCTATTTTTTTATATAGTGAGAGTAATATTAATGTTTTCAGAAATATGACTATATCGAGAGCTGATTGCATCAGACATCATATCATTGAACATATTGATCGTGCAGGTATTAGTCTATTGGATCAAAATCACTAAAAACAGAATAATTGATCAAACTCGTATCGCTTGGGTCTGTATAAAATAAACGAATCAAAAAGAACTTGTGTGTGGCAGCTAGAGACAATTAATATCTAATATTCCCAGAGATATTACAAAGCTGTCCTGCACATATATGATAATGTCAGTACCTCAATATATATATTGCTTACAAGAACTATGCAATATTTTCTTCTTCTTCTTCTGAAAAAGAGATCCACAGAAGAGTCTCGTGATCATTCGAGTTAAACGCGTTCACGCTTTTATAATATAAACTTGGGGGGATAAAATAGTACAGTTCAAAATGTTATAATCCAACAGTATTACATTAAATGCATTTCATTAACTGGGTCTATGTGAAAAGAATAAAGCATAAATAATTAATCCAGATAGCTGATACTTATAAAGGACAGCAAGGATCTATCTCAACTATTGTCATATAGCTGTATTAACACCCACCCACATATTACATTAAACGTTCATGGATTTATCTTTTTATCAATATTTAAATACATATAAGATATAAATTATTGCTTTCTTGAATCTTTTTTTTATAGTACCGAAAAGAAATATTTCGCCCATTTTAACATCCACCATGAATGGTAAAGAAGATACCACAACTTCAAATTCACTTCTAAAGATGCACGATACGTATTGAAATATAATACCTGGAAAAATAAAAGTGAAAGACATATATATATATATATTAATAATGTAAAAAAAAGATAAAGCTTTAATAGCTAATTGGTTTAAATTTATTTTTCTTAAATAAGACCGATCGATTTGGCATATTCAAGCAGCATCTTTTACAAGTTTTTGCTGATATTTTATTCCACTCTTCCAGCAAAGCAGCCTTCAGCTCGTTCAGAGAATTTGGCCTGGGGCGTCTTGCTCTGACTCTGTTATCAATGATTCCCAGTATATTCTAGATGGGGCTAGGGTTAAGGCTGTTGGATACCCATTCCAAAACATCAATACCATGTTCTTTCTTGAACTTTCCTGCAGCTTTTGATTTATGAGCCCTGAAATGTTCTTTCTGGAAGTTGTAGCCACCGCTGCTAGGTACAGGAAGAACATGCAAAAATGAAAGAAAGTGGTCTCGAAGAACTTCTACATATCTTGGACCATCCATGTTTTCATCTGCAAAAACAAGTGAACTAAATCCTCCTGACCAGATACACCCCCAGACCATAACCGATCAACCATTTCCTTGCACCTTCGGGGCAAAGTAATCCGTATCAAACCTCTCACAAGTTTGGCCCCAGAGATTTCTGTTTGAATTCTTCTTATATAGCACAAATGTTGACTCGTCACTCCAGATAACAGTTTCCCACTGTCCATTCCAGTCTTGCACAGTTTTGTACCAAGCTCGACGTTTGGCAATGTGTGCCTTGGTAAGAAAAGGTTCTGATACAGGTTTACGGCAAAAAAATACATGATGTGTAAAGCTTCACGCATGGTAACCTTGTTGACATTCTTTCCCGTGTCAGCACTAGCATAATCAACAAGATCATCCAAAGTTGACCACCTGTCTTTTTTGATATTCGAGACAATACGTCTTTTATCTCTAGGTGTGAGAAGCTGTGGTCTTCCAGAAGACTTTTTGTTATAAGTAGTTCCTCTTTCTTTATATCTCTTTAAAAAACATCGAACGGTTGATTTGGGTACATTCAGCTTGGCTGAAATTCTGGCAGCATCATTTCCATCAAGTTGAAGACCAAGGATCTTTCATTTCGTCGAATCTTAAAGCATGTTATAGGGACCATGAGAGATGTTCTTTTATGTATTTGCCATTATGGTAGACTTGTTAATTACTTTTTTAAGATGTTGAGAAATATAAAATATAGGTTATAAAGCAAATGTCCAAATAGCGCGCTATGGTGCGAAACGTTTCTTTCTCAGACTGTATATATATATTGAGGTACTGACATTATCATATATGTGCAGGACAGCTTTGTAATATCTCTGGGAATATTAGATATTAATTGTCTCTAGCTGCCACACACAAGTTCTTTTTGATTCGTTTATTTTATACAGACCCAAGCGATACGAGTTTGATCAATTATTCTGTTTTTAGTGATTTTGATCCAATAGACTAATACCTGCACGATCAATATGTTCAATGATATGATGTCTGATGCAATCAGCTCTCGATATAGTCATATTTCTGAAAACATTAATATTACTCTCACTATATAAAAAAATAGGACTAATTAGCAGGAAGTAGACGAAATAGCTAAAAGGATAACAATAAGAATAATTGATTTATGAATACAATGGGAATATTACTTGCGTATTCAATATATATCGCCCGCTCATTTCTCTCTTTTAAACACATACACAAAAGATATTTTATTTTATCTTATATTTATTTTTTAAAAGAATAATAGCACCTGATTCTTTGTACCTGCATTATATGGCTCGATCTTCTTCAGGATATAAACCTGACTTGATACAAATGAAGTGTGAAAATGGTAGTAAGATATATGACACCCGTTATATTCTCCCCACTCACAAATCACATCGGTGAATAATGGAAGGTGCAAACTTTCCAACGATAATTTACTATAAAGTAACAAGGGTCAGCTTACTCGGCTACGAAAGCGTCCACTGCCAGTCATCAAAAACTCTATACATGTTAGCAATAAATAGTCAGTAGAATTTATTGCAGGTTAGTTCCTCTATCTCCTATAACATCACTATGTTACGATTGGCTGATACGCTTTACACAGCAGTCCGTCCAACAACAAAAAAATTGCCTAGGCCTAATATTAAACTGTAGTACTACGGTTGGGGTTTATAAGTGGTCTGGCATTTTGTTAACAAGAAAAAATTCTCATGAGCTGCTAATATTTATATGTGGATTGAAGATAACAAAGAAGAGGGAAAGCATCCGATAGTCAATATGATTTTTTAGTACTTTGGTACATGTTTTCTCTTTCTATTGGTTATAATTTATATTAACCTGTAATCGTGTAACTGTTATACAACGGAAGGGACAGCCAATAAGAAACAGTCATTAGATCACAAAAACCAACTTTCTTGTAAAGTAAATCAAAAGAGAATGAAGCAAAGTAAAGAAGTAAAGAAGTAAAGAAAGACTTGGTTTTGATCGTTTGTAGTAACAACTCTAAAGACAGAGTACAAGCTTCAATAACGGCAATTTTCAGGTTACTCTAAGCTGGTCTGTGCACTTCTTGTTCCAGCAGAAGAAAATTTTCATTTTATTTTTTCGGGGGTTTAATCAACACAATATAAATAAAATAAAGTAAAATGGAATAGAATAAAATAGAATAAAATAGCATATTCAAAAAGAACGTATCAAACATATAATGAAGCCCTTTTACAATAGTAAAGTACAGACCTCTTGATACTTGGACCTGGTGTTGATACAAATGTACAAGAACTTACCACAGTGTAGAAGCGTTAAATATACATGAACCGGTTGGTTGTTCTTTTTGTGTGTGTGGTAATCCTCAGAGGGCGTGCGGTACCTGTATTAATCATCATGTGAAAATATATAGGTTGCTTGGTAGTTGTTTGGGGGGAGACAATTCTTATCTACCCATACCTATGTGTGTCAAGTTGATAAAGGCGTATAAACAAATATATTGGTAGCTTAGAGTGTGATGTCAGCGCGACTACCATCAAAAAACAAAAAACATATATATACCTCAGTTATTCCCACCTCCCCTGTTTTTCTTTCCTTCGCACTTTGTTTAAACATCATTTATCTCAATGAATTCCAAAGTTTATAACGCTCTCTGCGCAGCCTTCGCGCTCGCATACCTACTTGCCCCAGCTCTCATATTCATCCCTGTGATGTTATGGGAAGCTTCTCCAATGCCCTCTGCCTTTTGCATGGCCAAACCTGCGAGAAAAAGACGCCCCTCCATGGCGGGAGTGGGTGCAACCCCATTTGTTGACGCGAGACCGAATGGCGAAAATCGAGTCGAAGCTCACGATAATGTGATGCGCCAGACAATCCTTGGCCTTGTGTCAAACTGGGTAGGCTCTTTGTGGTCTACTGGTTCACGAACAACGGGAGAACCCTCAGGTGGCTTGTTGAGTGAGCGCCAAGGAGGTATCCTAGGGCATATGTCTGTTGATGAGTCCTCTTCGGAGGAGGAAGACGTTGTTTGTGTAGGAGAGTCGAACGTGTTCTTTGGAGTAGGGCTTCGGGAATATATCCCACACCTCCTTCCCTTGGATAAGTTGGAGCGTGGCATTGATACAATGGTGTCCCCAGTTGACGGCGTAGCTGGTACCTGTGGGGAAACCCATGCAGACCTCGACGAGGGTGTGTCGAGTGAGCTTGTAGACATATGCGATGAAGCTGAGATCAGCGTACGACTCAGATTCATCTGTGAAGAATTTTTCTCAGGGGGTTTTGCAAACCCAAGACTCCCTGCAAGATTTTTTGACACGATGTTGGAAGAGGAGCTCAACGCCTCTGAAAACAAAGGTCATTGCGACTCATTGACTGAAGTCGCTGAACCAGAGTGCGGTTTGGTTTCTAAGCCAGTTGAGGAGACTTTTGTCTTTGGACAAGAGTCCGTTCAGACCCCATCGGGTTTGAACAATGCTGGCTTGAATGATCCCAAGCCAAAGTTTGGTACAGTGCAAGGTCTAGATGAGGCGTTCGCTTTATCTTCTTGGCAGTCAGTGAATGGCTTTTTTTGGGAATGTCTCTCCACAGGACTTTCCACACCGATGGAGATTGACGACGACCTGGCTTGGAGTGAAGTCATGGAAGTTGAAAGTCCCATGGAGATTGATGATGATGTCGAGGTAGTGGCGCCTGATGCTGATTGTGGCGAAAAGCTCGTGGCCCACACCTGCAATCCAACGGATGACGATTTACAGTACGTCTCCCAGTCTGTAAAGAAGGATTGCGATACGAACAAGATCCCAGCCTGTGTCCCGCAACAGGTTGTAGACGACAAGGTGGAGCACGACGTGATGCGATTGGATGCGCCTATCGCTGTTACTGCGCTGAAGCCTCAGAGTCGCAGTGCCAACAAGTCAGGTGAACAGAAAAAGGGTGGAGAGTCACTTCCTGCGTCTGTGTCTGGTCTGCTCGCCGACGGAGCAAAGAAGGTCGGAGAGTGTGCTCCTGCGGTCTTAGGACCAATGGACCATTCAAAGACTGTTAAGCCTGCCAGTCAGAGCGGAAAGAAGGCTAAGGATATCAAGGTTGTAGCAAAGACCGAGACAGCCTCTGGCTCTCGCGAGCAGCAACCAGAGGAGACCAAGGCTGCGCCCAAGGTCTCTATGCCTGGAATTCCAAGAGTGCTGGCTTCCCGCGCTGCTAAGGAACAGGCAAAGGATTCCAAGGGCAAGGCCAAGGAATCCAAGGTTGCGGCAAAGACCGAGTTGACCTCTGGCTCTCGTGAGAAGCAGCCAGATCATTCCAAAGCCGAGACCAAGGCTCCAATGGCTGTGACGTTGAAAGCGCTGGCTTCCGGCGCTTATATGGAGCAGTCAAAGGACCCCAAGGTCGAGTCTTCCGCCAGCGTCGGGAGACCCAAACGTTCTCTTGTCAAGGGCAAGAAACCAGCGAAGTCATTCGATGCGCCAACAAACAACGGTTTGTCGGCCGCCGAATTCCAGGCAAAGGGTTTCTAAGATGCCAAAGATTCGGTGCCAGTGAAGCTTACTCCTCGTGCTACATCCAGTAGCAAGAAGAGAAAGCCTAATTGTGCTTAGCTTTTGGGTTCCATCGGTTGACTTTGGACCTAATTGTGAACGAATGTTGGTTAAGAAACAAAAATTTGCTTTGGCTTGGTTCCTAAAGCCTGGTACTGCATCCAGCAGTAAAAAGGTGGTGGAAACAAGAATATGGCTTCCAGGAAATCCCCAGACAGATAACTCAAGAATGACAATGGCTGTAGTCACCCCCTTTGACTCGTAAGCTTTTCTGCGTTGGTGCCGCTGACTCAGGGAAGGGTCGGGTAGGCAAAGAGGAACAAGCAAAGTACGCCACAGCGTAATTTAAGTCATGAACCGGCTCAAAGGTCCGCACATTAAGATGCGATCTGTACGCTTCACCAAGCGGACATCTTGTTGGTCGGTTGGCCCTGGAGCCAAGCCGATGCGGTCGGAACCAAAGGTCGATCCTGAAGCTTCTGGTAAGTTTTATGGTGACACTGGAATTCCCAGACCTTTCACAGTACTTTTCCTTGGGACTATCGGCGTGGTGATTCACGTTGGGTTTTTTGGTTAAGCTGTAAGGGTAGCCTCTTTTACGTTCGGTTCCTACTGCTTTCAGATTCAAAGGACTGGATTATCGTTTCCCTCTGGGATCGACACCATGCTCCGCCTGTTAGCTTGGTTCTGAGTCTTGGCTTGGCATAGACAGTATAAAGAGAAGGTAGATTGTGGAGGTCTACATATGAGTGTAACCTGTGGTGGTACTAGACTGGTTTTCAATCCTGTTTGCCTCTGGTATTTGCCGTTTGTATACATTCGAGGGTGGTGCTTGCACTGCTGTAGGGTTGGCTGGAACCTTTTGTTCGTAGGGTTCTTGTTGACTTCCTCACAGGTCCGAGGCCGAGATCTGTGAGTGGTGGTTTCTGTACGAGTAGGGCTTCCGGAGTCCTTGATTCTGGGTCGTTTTTGGGCCACGGTGGTCCTGTTGGCTTGTCTGGTCTGGTTGGCTAGATTTCCGGTATCATTCTGGTATCATTCTGGAGATCGTTGTTGGCTAGGTCGCTGGCCTGTTCTGTACCTGGGTTCTGGGTCTTTGTAGCTTGAGTTTTGTGCTTAAGCCAGGGAGAATGAATACTGTGGGGCACGGTGTTCATTATGTAGTCATGTCTGGCCGAATGGGTTTTGCTTCCTTGCCGGATTCTTTCTTGGGGTCCTTGGAAGGCTATCGTCAGTCCCCCCTTCTTTTTTTTCTGGTGAATACCTGAAGATTCACTGGTAAGCTCGAATAGGTCCTTTTGGACTTTGAGTTGACTATACTGTAGATTGTGGAAAATCTATTGCTGGGGGGTAGACAGTCCCAAGAGGTTTCGGGAAAACGAGCCAAGAACACCTAGTTCTCACGCAAGATTGGCGAGGTTTTCCCTCACAGACATGATGGTATATCAGTCATTATGATTTCTACCAGTCCTTGTGTCTGGACTCAAATGATGCATACACATGCATGTCCAGACACCCGCAGCTATTTTGAGATGGCAAGACCAAAGTTCATCTGCACAAAAGGATATGTTTCAATGACTGATTAATTGGGTATCAGTGACTTTGTCAGTTGAATCAAGATAATCTGACTATACAAAAAAATGTCACTGAAGAGATAGCGTGGAATTCGCCGATGATTTCAAGCATCACGCAAAACCTGTGGTTAGAGTCCTAGCCACCCTCATTTGAGGAGGACTCTGATTAATATGGTCTGGTAAATGAACCAGACCAAGCAGGGTGAGCTAGAAATTGTCACCAAAAAAACAGCAGGTTACAGTTAGCAGCTGGAAATGCGTATACTCAAGAAAACAAGACCCGAGTCGAAGGGCATTTACGCAAACTTTCAGTTGTGAAGGAGAAGCAAGGTTACTTTCGATGAACCTATCCAACTCAGGTCGAGACAAGTGCTTACAAGCCGTATTTATGGAAACTCGCAGAGAATTCAGTCCAGTATCAAAACAAAACTCTCGAAACAAAATCAGAAAAGCAAAGCTGAACATGGAAATCAAAACAAACAGCACAAAGCAACATGGAAAAAATGGAATCAAGCCTTCAAGTACAAAAGGTTAAAATCAAGTATGCTAACCCAGAGTCTCGCCATCTCGCTGGGTTGGCCCAAAAGCACATGAAGAGTCTCGACTAGGATATGGTTACAACAAGAATAAATTCCTCGTCATCATTCAAGACTATTGGCTCAGGACTGCAAAAAGGTATTTGAGATGACCGGATTTATATTATGGACCGAGAACACCAGCAGGAACAATTAGAGGCCGGCAGTAGTAAACAACAGGGCTCAAGGCAGAAACAATGTGAACCACAAAGCAAGCGATAAGGCAATTTTTCAAGGGTTTTTTCTGTCTCTAGACTTCTTTGTCAGAGACAATACCAACCATTGGTCCGTCTATCCAGAAGATAAGTACTATTTATACACAATATGTCTCGGTACTAATTATATGATATTTTTCTCTTCTTTTTCTTCTCAAGGTCGCCCTGTGACAGGGCTCACAATATTACAACCCTTTAGAGGATACCAGAGAGAGTTTGTGAGCGTTAGACTTTACCAAAAAGGTAAAGCTGCTCGGCACGCTAGTCGTACCTTTTCTCTCCTCGAAATATTGTACATTGCATTGTATGCCTGTATATATTTAGGGTTCTTGGTGTGGTAAGCCAAGATCTGGTAGCTCCTCTGCCATTTGGTGGTCAAATCCTTTTGTGGTTGACCCCATCGCTGCAAGTTGGCACATTGTTTCTGCTGGAAGTTTGGTTGTTTACTGTTGGTGGTCTCGTATACCTCCTGCTGGTGGTCAAGGTCCAATCCGCCCGGTCATCGAAGAACATTTTGCAGTCCCGAGCCTGAATCCTGTGCAAGAATGACAGCAGCAAGAACCAAGTCAAGCAAGAAGAATACAAAAAGAAAAAGATACAAAAAAGAAGCAAAAAAAAATATATTCACAATTATCTCTCTATCTCAAGTGGAAACTTATAGACTAGCAGAATCCCTGAAATGGTCAAGCCACGGTTTGCTTTTATGTCCAAGTCCAATTCCAAGTTTTGTCCAAGTCAAAGTCAAAGTCCAAATGTCCAAACACTGTCCAAGTACTGGTATAGTACTAGTCCTAGCACACAGATACATACAAACACGTAGAGAAGTACACAATTAGAAAAGTAGAAAAATACACACACACAAACACGCACAATTTCTATTTCTTTTTATTTCTTTTTATTTCTTTCTTATACACACACACACACATAGTCATTGACATACAAACATACACATACACATACACACATACACACATACACACATACATATACATATACATATACATATACACACTTATATACATATATATATACATACAAAAGTAGAGGCGCATTTATATACAAGTCCAAAGTCTGGGTTGTACCTCCAAGTCTCAAGGCCAAGTCGATTTCCAAGAAGGGGTCCAATGCAAAATTCCAAAAGCAAGTTCCAAAAGAAAAACCAAAAACCAAATCCGAGGCCTATACTAAGTCCTGTAAAAAAAACGGGCATATACTAAGTCCTCCTCTCCAAAAGGATCAAAAGAAATCCGAACTCGAGGCATATACTAAGTCCTCCAATCCAAAAGGATCAAATCCAAAAACCGAGGCGTAGACCAAAACCTATCAGAAATGATCAGGCACATTAAGTCCTCCACTCCAAAAGGATCAAAAGAAATCCGACCCTGAGGCCTATACTAAGTCCTGTCCAAAAATTACACAGGCATATACTAAGCCCTCCTCTCTCTCTAAAAAAAAAACAAAAAAAAACAAAAAAAAAAACAAAAAAAAAACAAAAAAAAACAAAAAAAAAAAACAAAAAAAAAACAAAAAAGAACAAAAAAAAAAAAGAACAAAAAAAAAAAAAGAACAAAAAACAAAACAAAAAAAAGATGAACAAACCGAAAGAACTCTGCATTGGAACCTGGACCTGGATTGAAGCAAAGCTGCGAACTGGAACAAGACTTTGGATTAGGACAAGGTATGAAATCCTTTTTTACATATATACATACAAAGCAAATGAAGTCTTTGAACAAAAACAAAAAACAAAAAAATGCTCAAAAAAAGAAGCTCAAAAAAACAAAAGAGCAAAAAGAGCAATACCAAAACCCCCTTCTCTTATTTTTTTTCAATATCAAAACCCATCCTTTTATTACTATTCCATGAAATTGACTGGACAAAAAAAACCAAAAAAAAAAAAAAGAATCAAAAAAAATCAAAATCAAAAAGTCCAAATTATCCCCTTTACTATGTGTGCTGTGTTCGGACAAAAAAAAATTAAAAAAAAAAATCAAAAAAAAAATCAAAATCAAAAAGTCCAAATTATCTTTTTATTCTTTTCAATATCAAAACCATTTCATTATTACTATTCTGTGAAATTGACTGGACAAAAAAAACAAAAAAAAAGAATCAAAAAAGAATCAAAAAAACAAGAAAAAAAAACAAAAAGTCCAAATTATCCCCCTTATTATTTTGCAATACCAAAATCCTCCTCCTCCTCCTATCACTCTTAGCTTATATTGACTGGACAAAAAAAGAGAAAAAAAAAACGGACAAAAAAAAAAGATCAAAAGAAATCAACTGTACAAAAAAATCAACTGGACTTGACTGGAATCGACTGGACTGGACTGAAGTAGCATGAACTTGACCATCTTATACTATATTTAATTTAACTTATATTTACTTTATAAAAATCTTTGAATAATAAATTTTCCCTCATATGTCTTTGATATAGAATACACTATCTAAATAGCCATGAGCCCAAATTAAGAATATTTATTAAATATTTTGCTCCATATTAACACATCTACTGTGAAACAAGATGCTGTGTTTCACTAAACCTTCATAATACTGCATGTGTATCTTACATTATATCAATATTTCAATTGTTTTTTATTATTTTAAACTAATGATAATAATATAACCATCGCCCAGTGCTATATCATAATTTGCATTCATGGCTATTTCGATACTGTAGAACAAGATATTTTCAAAACAATCCAATTTCGTTTTTATATTATCACAAAGCGGCAGGCATCAACTACCAAAGCGATTGTGTATTTGTTGACGAAGCTGGTTCTCATACTCAAATAGCTAGAGGTTGAACAGCAAAAACCTCAAGAGGCTATCCTTTCAGGCTTCCCACTTCCATATTAGTGTCTAACTTTAAAAAGAATGTCCCATCTTCATATTACTGTCCAATTTTCGAAGTGGGTGTCCCACTTCAATTTTGAAATGGCTAAGAGGTTTTTTTATTGACCCAGCTAATTTTCCTTGTCTGTAAAAAGCAAAATACATAGGTTTAGCTGTAAGATGCATATATAAAATCAAAGGTTTCTGCATTGAATACAGGCAAGTTTTTTCTTCCCTTAAAAGATGTCCTGTCTGCACAGCTAGTAGCAAAGTATAATTGAAAACCACAGGCCACAGGTCAGGTAATAAGCACTTTTGTCTTTTTTTCGATTATGCTTCTTTCTGTAAGCTATTCAGTTAAAATATGTATTTGCGTATTTATTCATTAAAATTGTTTTCAAAAAGAAACTAGCCTTTTGGTACACCTCTATCTTTTATATAATTGTATTTCTCTACTTAAAATATGCTTTAAATGATTAGTGTAACATTGCACTTGTTTGGAAGTACAGACAAAAAACCTTTTGCTTTAATTGTGCAAAACAAATACCTGGAGTTGCAGCACTTACTTTTTTTCAAACATTTGTCTTTTTTTTCTGTTTTCTCTTGGTTTATTTTATGAATGAAAAGCACGCAGCTCATAAGACAATCGGTTCAATTGTATTTGACATGTATATATGACGGAATAGCTATTTTTCGATACCTTTTCTTTTATAAAAAAAAGACATACAAACTTATGAAAATATTCAAAGAATTATAGGTAATAAATGAAATTAAAGTAGTACACATGTGAAACTGCTCAAAGAAAATAGGTATTTGAGCACTGACCTTGGGGACAGAAAGAGAAACATGTTTGGTATTTGTATACAGTTATTGTTTTCTTCTTTGTGTGCTGTAAATATTTTGAGGATTAATATAAATCAAACAAATGCATAACATTTAGTGATAAAGCTATTGCTCAATCGTTTTTGGTAGTTATTTAATTAATTGATTCATTAATTAATCGATAGGTCATAATATCATTTAGCTACAATAAGAAGAATAAGAAGAAACTTGATAGGTTCCAATATATATTTTAATTACATGCTTTCCTTTTCTCTATTTCTTTATAGGCAGCTTATCTATTACCAAGGAGAAGTATCTGTTTGAGGATAAAATACATTTTTCTTTGTGTATCCATGTTTGAAAATATATATATATATACTGTGGAGGGGAGTTTGTATTGATGGATTATAGCAGTAATGAAACGAGTATCCAATAAGATAATCATCAAGTAGCTTGTATGGTTTAAGCACATCATCTGATGAAGTTGGGGTAGTTCTTGTATGTTTAAGACATACAACAAGATATTCTTTGATAGGAAAGATTAGGGTAACATACAAGGTTTTAAGGGTACAAGAAAATATTAAATAATCATTGGCTATAATCTTCAAAAGAATCCCGAGGAATATGCTTTGTGGCCCTTGTACAGAATGTGAGGTCCAATGACCTTTCGTTTTCGAGATATTCCTAAAGGGTATTTGGCTTACTACACTTCAGTATTTTGAAAACAGTTGTAATAAAACGATAGATAGACATGTATGATATTATTTGGCTTTTAGATAACTATAGATAACATTAAACAAATGATAAACGATAAATAATAGTAATATTCTACTACTATTACTATCCTTATTAATATTATTATTATTTTCATTTTAGCCTATTCCTACTTTGTGCCACTATATATATATACATATAATATTAATCTCACGAATTTAGCACTGGAGATAATACCTCTTGTTCAACAAAGAAGCAATTTGGCTGACAACTACTCCTATTTGATCCTTGGTCTTATTGATCAGGAAATATTAAACTCCACTGGAGAACATATATAGTGTAGAGATTCGACTAAAGATTAACTTGGAATGATCTAGAGATTATATAGATTTATACAATAATCCAAAGCTATTTAATAACCGATTTTATTTTATATATGTGTGTGTGTGTATTTTATAGTTTGGTCTAGACAAATAAACCCGAAAATGCAGAAAATGAAGGGGAATATGGCGCTACTTTTTTTTTATATTATATAGATTTCTTTAAAGACGATCGTTTGAAGTGTAACAGTGGAAAGTGAATTTTTTTTTGTGTTTTGGGTTGAAACAGATCTGGAGCCCAGCTTTCTTTATTTCCTTCTCTCTTTCTTCTTACCCACTTACCTTTCTTTTAATCAATTCAACAAATATGCGCGATTGGCTTGTGATGCCGGCTCCTAGCTCTTCCTTAACCTATCCTGTAGGAAAGCCAAAGACAGAAAGGGACATTCGACCACATCAACACAAAAGACAACAGCCAGTTCGCCGAGTCACATCCTCGTGGCGAACTGTGCTATCTCTTTTTGGAGATGCCGAGACATTCAAGCAACAACAACGCTCACAGTCGACACCCACTCTCTTGAAGAATGCAGAGAATATTGAACAGGTACATCATTTTGTGATTGAAGAAGAGCCCGAGTCGGTCATGGTGTCGCCTTCATCCGCAAGTTCCTTTTCCGCTGCTGAGTCCGTTGTCTCTACCGCAGCCTGTTCAGAACATAGTCCATTGGGTACACCCGAAATAAAACAAGTTACCGAGACAGAAGATACATTAGAGGTTAACACACCAGTGGAATTGACAGAGGTAATATATATATATATTATGAATTAGGAATTATAAATATACTTTAAAATCCTAGTACTTATCATATTGAATTCGTACTCCTTTTTTTTCAATATAAAAAAAAGTTCCGATGGTCGTTTGCTGGTCAACAAGTCTATGTCACTGGTACTTTTGACAATTGGGGAGGTAAAGTTTTGGCTGGTCTTATCTCTTAGATTCCACCCCCTACCTCTTTTGTATTCTGACTATTGTATATTGGTGGATTGCATTCAACAGTATCACTTCCAATGACAAAGGCACCCGAAGCATCATACTTTGTAGCATCCATTCCATTGGACCGGTCAGTGGATATTGAATTCAAGTTTGTCGTAGATGGCATTTGGTCCTATGCTGCAGATTTGCCTCATTGCACAGACAATCGTAAGCTACCTTTTTCTTATGTCATTTCAATCCCATCCTACTGCGTATTAATCAATACTTTTTGTGAATAGATGGAAACGTTAACAATGTATTTTATGCCAAAGCTAAATAGAAGGATACTTTTGTTATATCCAATACCAGCTACATATATAAATATATATATATATATATATATATATATAATATGTAGCATACAGACACCTACCCACCCACACCCATACACCCACACACCCACACGCACAAAAGCCACATTTAAACCGCCAACCCGTACAAACCTTCTTTTTTCTTCTTCTTTTTCATGGCAAAAAAATTCAAACAACAGCAGCAATACTAACTTCGTAAATAAATTACTCTTCTTTTTCCTATACCTTTATAATTAAGCATTCGTGTATGATTTTATTTAAAGAAGAAAAGTATGAGATTCTGCTATGTTAGAGCATTATACCATTTACCCAATCCAATCCTACAGGGTTCCCAGGTTCGGTCCAAAACGAAAACGAACAAAACGGAATCGGCATGGCTTCCGAAATACGTCCCCCTTTCCTTTTTTGCATCTTTATTTCAAACTCAGAATACTCTGCTTCTTTGTTAAAAACCTAAAAAGAAATGAATCTTGTTCATACCAGTGCATATCAATTCGTTGCTAACCAACCAATATACAAATTATAATAATAACTTCGATTGTGATAGTTATAATGATCCTTATGATTATGTTTCCGTCCACTATTATATAACTAGCCAATTGGCTACAAATCTACTCATACATTTTCATTCTTTAATATAGCCTGCTTCATTATTTATTTATTTATTCAGCCCAATATGTGCATGAGATTCTTCATTTTATTTTATTTTTTATATATGTATACTTAAACCCTCATGTTAAAAATCGATTTACTTTCAACCCCGATCTTATTTCTTTAATTTCTTTATTTTTATATGCAAGACAACCCTATTTTATTTTCAATTTCAATTTCAATTTCAATTTCAATTTTATATATATAATCTCTTTAATAAAGCCTAATCACAATATCTAAGGATCAATGAAGCCAAAATGGTAATGATATCCAAAGCCATACTATAAGTCATCATATTCTTGAAAAAGAAAATATAATTAATGGGGTACACAAAAAAGGTCATAGCTCATATGAGATTTCCAATACAGAAAGCATACTTCCCCCTCCCAATCAACTGTTAGCCATATTATGAGAAGATATGGTACAAAGAAGATGTACTCAGGAAAGAAACATACCTCGAACCCCTAAGAAACTATCCCCACGAGTATTGCTTTACTTGAAATTTTCTACACCAAAAAGAAATTATAATAATAATATACAGATGTTGGCCAACATTACAAGTGACATGAGTAATAACATTAAAGCCAGCCGATCAACATTTCGAAAGAAAAACTTTACTATCTAGATATTCACTCTTGTATTGCTATGATTAAGCTCTTTCATAAAAGCAACAACAACAACAGTAATAAAGAAAAACATAGGGATGCACATTGTTGATGGGCTAATGAGAAGAAGAAGAAAAAGAAAAACTAGGATGCTGAATGAGTATCGTAATTCAGAGTGATGAGCCTAGAATTAGCTTTCTAAAAAAAAGTGAACAGCGACACAGCTGACACACACAACATGAAAAGTATAAAAATGTTCTCTTTCTTTGGTACCAGAAGTACAAGAGCTAGGTGTCTTAGTATTATTATCATTATTTTGAAGGGAATGTGTTTGGACAGGACGTGCTGGACCATTAAGTTATATTGAATGGAAACATGCCGAATGAGAGATATGCTGACACCTTCAGGGACAGATATATCCCTTCTTTGTTTTTTTTTTTAACCTTTTTGATAATAGCACCATCACAACCACTTATATGCTACATAAAGATACCACAAGGTTACATTAGAGCAAACCGGAAACAGAGCGAAGAAAGAAAGAAAGAAAAGGAAGTAAGAGTTTTGCAATTATCTGCAAATAGCCCAGATCTCAATTCGATCGAATATATACAGAGCCTTCTTGACAACAGAAAAGGTTAGAGACAGAAAGTTTTTGCTCTATGAGGATGACACAATTAAAGACTGCTTTGTTAGAGAAGTAAGGAAGTATATCACTTTGTACTTGTGCTAGATATTTTAATTGGTACCTCTAAATTACAGTGGGATGGCAAACTCTTTTATATACATATATAAGAATGCTATCTCAAGAACGTCAAACATGTAACTGTCAAATTTTTTATGCACAACATCTGACAATCTATTGACTTTATACATTTTCTTTAAAAAAAGTAATAATAATCTTTATAATTAAGTTTATGCTTTTTGTTAGCTATAATGTATATATGAAATTGTAACTAGCTTGTTACTAGTGATAAGTCTCTGTGAGATTCGAATGCGTGCTCTTTCAACCGAGGTTGGAAAAACACCTGTCAGGCTAACTAAGAAGTTAACTATAGACCAAGACTGAAGAATAAAATCGAAAGACAAGGGCGAGCTTCACTTTTTTAGGCAACGAAGACCGTATAAAGTTTGGAGACCCCGCCTTTTTCGTTTGGGTTAAACGAGATTTTACCGTTCTAGAGCTGGCATTATCAGGGTGCTTTTGCTTACTATCGCTTAGACAGTGGTAAGCAGAAAACAATATATGGTGTCAAGTACAAGGTTGTACGAGAGAAATGGAGAGGAAGATCGTAATTTACAATAGAGCGTTCATCAATGATATACCCCCATGTAGTAAAAATACTAGAGGCTCCAGTATATAATAGCCAAGATTTTTTTCAAAGAATCTTACAAAATTAACTCTGTTATATATTAGAAAATTTTGAAACAATAACATATAGTATGCTTGAGAGCTTTCTTTTTTTAAGAAAAAAAAAAGATACATCTTAAACTCTTGAGATCAAGTACCCTATTAGAAAATAAAGTGGTGATCCATATGATGATTTTAAAAGGTGTCTTAAAAACATTTCACAACCTGTATTGTTGGCAGTGCGTATGTAGGACTTTACTGCTCCTGATTACACAGAGCTAGATTTGTTTTGTCCTCAGGTTCCTAGGCAAAGAAGAAATCAACAAACGGCTCATCAAAATTTCGTGGGGAAATGCCAAGTAGAATAAATATAAGAACTACTTTTGTTTTTAGTTTATTTGTTTGGCTTAGCTAAAGAAGTTAAAAAGAATTACTACTGTTGGTGTGCGCATTCTGATATTTCCAAAAAAAAAAAAAGAGTAAGTGATAAATTGTATTAAGATGGAATAGCCTGTCAGCATTGTAGGGAAAGTACATTGAGTAAATTGTTGAGTTAGAGAAAAATAGGTAATCCAGCCCGTTTAATTATCGACTTGTATAATCTAGCTTTTCTTGCTGGATTTGCTTAATAAGAGACGTTCATCAGGTATTTTAGCAGTGAGTTTTTTTATATATAAATAACGAGATTGAGCATTATCACAATCCACTCAAGACAATATATCTTAATTGCACTCGTTCTTTCCATATCAATTGTTTGGATTACAAACCAGAGCATTTAACAAAAAGGTACTTTATTGTTTCCAAGTCATTCGGTTGAGTTCAATTAAAGAGAAAAAGAAAAAAGATATTTCTCCAAAGAGTTGAACATGACATTCGCTTGGTTGACTGTATTAGTTGGATAGTGACCTTTTGTCAATATCTCATCTTCACTCGTGAAAATATTTTATTCTAGTATACAGGTTATTCAAGGTTGACTACCAAACTACGCATACCACAACCCTTTTCAGCTATGCAAGCATATTTTCCTAACCTATTATGTCAATAGAATTCTTTGTTCTTTACTCTCTCCTGGTGCTCTCCTTCCAACTCTATCCCATCCTGCCACAGCTTCTACCACTTTCATCACTGGCACCACTGGCACCACTATCATTCGGCTTAGTATTATATGTGGGTCTATTTATTTAGGTGTAGTTTTTGATAATTGTATTGATAGAAAAAAGACACACAAAAAGGAGAAAAAGGGGGGAGGGGGCAGTGGGAGGAAGAGAATTTCAAAGGAGATTTTGCCAAAATGGATGAAATCCTTGATAAGATAATAAAGATCATGGTGATCCATGTATGAAATTGAATTATTGCTTAATGCATAGCATTCAGGATAAAATTAATGCATTATGTCTCTTGTGCTTCTTGTGTTTTATGTTTTACATTTATTAATCTTTTTATGAATAAGATATTTTCTATTTATATTTCTATTGTCATTTTTACTTTTATTCATGTTTAAAATCACATACTTACACATATTATTTATTTATTTATTCCAAGCTAATAACCGATGACATACTCTTTAGCTCTTATATGTGACGGCGACCTTTACAAAAGTCTTTAAGAACGGTCCTTTTAACGGCGCTAATAAGGTAAGGGATACTGAGTAGAGGGAAAAAATAAATAAATACAAAATGGTAGACGGGGCTTATTTCTGTATATATATATATATATATATATACGTGTGTGTGTGTTTGTGCAACATGACGTTTGTTTTAAAAAATGGTGACATTAAAGCAGACTCACCCTTCTGCCCCTTCCTCGGTTGTTAAAGTATTTATTTTCTCTATGCCAAGAGTTGCTGCACCAAAGTGGCTGTCAGGCCTACTTCTGTTGCTGTTGTTCTTAACACAACTACTCTCCGTACATGCTGAGGAAGTTTACCTAGTAAGCACTGCTATTACTACTACTATTACTATTACTTTAACTACTACTGACACTACTACTATTGTCAGACACAACTTGTCCCTTTTTCTTCTTTTTTTTTCCACAACAAAGACAAACTAATAATCTTTATTATTCTTACTAGACAAGTGATGATTTTTACTCGACCACATGCTCTGGCGTCTGGAGTAAAAGTGCAATTCCAGGTGGAAGAACACCATTTATCAAAGGTACAAAAACCTATAATTCACAGTAAATTGTTTAAACACATGACTGACGATTTTATTTGGTTAGTGACAATGGGAGGAAAATCTCATGGAAAGACTGCAATGCTGATTTACGAATGGAAGGATTACAACAACATTGGTTATCTTGATAACAAGAAGCAGGAGGTATGAAAAGAAGAAAAAGACGAAGAAGAAAACCCTCCGAGAATGAGATTGTCGACTCATTCTTCATGCTATAGATGCGTTACATTTGCGACAAGAAGGCAGTGGCTGATAAGCTCTGTACTAATTCAACGTTGAATGAGTTTATTGTTCACGTACCCGCAGCTGAAAAAAACACCACTTCCATTCTGACCACCGTATTCGACATGCAACCCGACAAAAAGGAAGTAGCTTTGTACACAATCGAGAATACTGGCTATTATTGTGTTGTTCTTGTACCTGTTGGTTCCAGTGGTGAAAACTCCACATTCTTTGAGGCTTGGGTTGAGTGGAAATTCCCATATGGTGAACTTCCTGCTGTAGATTATCCAAAGTTACTGGTGAGAAAATATGCCTTTGTTTCTGTGAAGAATTATAGTCTGATAAACTTCAAAACAGAAAACTAATGTTTATATGGGCTTAGTTTTATGGTATATTCTCGTTGGTTTATTTGTGTGTGGGGCTTTTCTGGGGTATCCAATCCTTCCGTTATTGGCAAGATATTTTACCTGTCCAGGTAAATAACAAAATAACAATATTTTTGATGATAACCATGTTATTACTTGCTAACAAAAAAAAACATTACACATATGTGCATATAAAACAGCACTTTTTGTCTGGAGCCATTTTCTTTCTCACAGTCGAGATGGCCTTTAACTTTGGATTCTGGGAGGCTTACAATCAAACCGGAAAGCCATGCAAGTTTATCGTATAATTGCTCCAAGTGTATGGAATTATTTGGACTAATATATCTTTGTATCTCTATATCTTAAATGTTACAGCGTGGGGATTATTGGGACTTGTGGCATTATTGAACGCTGGTAGAACAAGGTAAAATATTTTGATCAAATTAAGAAAAACTCTAGCACGTGAAAAAGAAGTATCTAATGAATTGGCTATAGTATTTCATTCTTCATGTTGTTGATTGTATGCATGGGATACAGCGTCGTCAGGTAATTGCTTTTTCTTATTTCTTTTCAGTAACGAAAATGGCTGGATAAACAAAAAAAAGAAGCTTTTGGAATACTCATCGATTGTGTACCTCAGACCCTCACTTGGATCTACTATGAAGAAGTGTGTTATTCTTGCATGTACCCATTTCTTTTTCGGTGTTATTTACTCGCTTGGCACTATGTTATTATCTCCTGAGACAGCTGGCTTTTTGGTTCTTCTTGTTGTATTTCCACTTGCAATTACCATGACAGCATTCTATGTGTGGACACTTGGATCAATTACCCAGACATTGGCTACACTTGGTAAGTAACAAGACTTAGTAAAGAGGAGGAACAAGAAGATTAAGCGGACAAGTCAAACAGAAATCAGAAGACAGCATGTCAAGGCCCTTATGTACAAGCGTCTTTACCGTCTTCTCGTATTCTCGGTATTGATGGTTATGATCATCTTTATTCTCAACATGTTCAACTTTTCGGATCGTACCCAGGTCGATTGGGCTGCTCGTAACTGGAAGCGTAGATGGTTTATGTTGGACGGATGGCTTAATATCCTGTACTTTATCGTCTTCTTTGTCATCATTGTTCTCTGGAGACCTACGAGCTACAACTCACGTTATGGTCTGGAGCAATTGAGTCAGGATGAAGAAGAAGCAATTGCGCTCGAGAACAGTCTGAGACGGGCCGAAGGAAATGGTACCGAGAGATCTGGTGGAGGACGTAACCGGTCTGGTAGAAGCATGGATGGTGATGATGCCTTGTTTGAACTTGGCGACGACTTTAGCGATGATGAACATGGTCATCACAAAGGACAAGTAGGCGGAAACGCCCCAAGTCATGGAAATTCTCCTGCGTCTGATAATAGACAAGCATCTCAAGGTGTCTCTCGAACAAATACTCCCAAACAGAATGCAAATGAAGAAGAGAGTGCGCTATTGCATGTTAATCAAGATGATGAAGACGACGAACAGTAAGTAAAGAAGATGTATATATTGTGTGTTTCTCATTTAATTTTTTTTGTAATATTAGTTTGGATGACAGTGAACATGCTCATCTTACTGCAAACACCCGTAAACGATCATAGAAAGATCTTGGTTGCTGGTGATTAAAAAAAAAGGATATCATGGTTTTTTGCACCATGTAAAAAAAAATCAAAATGAAAACCATTCTTAATAAAGAAACTACTTGACTTGAAGATGTATTTATATTTATGTATATATTTATGTATATATTTATGTATATGTATATGTATGGTTATAGTGATATAGAAAGTAATAAATGAAATGGCGTAACTTTGGCAGCAAAGGTGGGTTAAGAGGATAAGAATGCCAGTGAAGATTAGTGACAAATATATATATATATTTTTAAAAAAAAAAAGAGGGAGAAGATGTTACTGTTATATATAAAATATAATTATGATTAATTATTAGCGTATATTAAATGTATATTAAAAAGAAAAATAAAATTATGTGGACTTTACTGCCACGGGGGTTCGACTACTACTATTCACGGGTGCTCGGATTCTTCTGGACACCCATTGTTTAGTCCAATAATTGACATCAGTTACAAGCTCCTGGATGGCCTCGACTCTTTTCTCAAGTTCACGGAATCCGACCCCTTGATCTGACTCTTCCCACCGATTTAATGCTGGGTTCATGGCGTCCATTTCGTCTAGAATGGGCTCTCCATTCTGTTGGGGTAGGGCAGTCCAGAGGGTATTCATTTGACTTCGGAGGCGGTGTACAAGGATGCTACAGACTGTGATGTAGAATAGACGGGAGGTCCGTGCTACCTTTACCAGGCTTGTGGTGCTGGTGTCAAATGAGAGAATGAGATCCAAGATTTCTGCAGGCAGTTGCTGAGGAGAACATCGCGATGGTGGTGCTGGTAGTTGTGATTGATGCAGATTTGTGGACGGTGTGACAGATGCACTGACTTGGGGTGGTGTTGGTAACGCTTGTAAGAGTGAAAGCGTTTTACCTACGGTAAGACTCTTTTCTTGACACTTTATCATTCTTCGCTGGAGACGATCGACAGCACTGCGGGCCTGCTGGATGGCCTTGATACCATGCATCTCCCACCGGACACGTTCGCACAATAGTCTCTTGATTAGATGTGTGTGATAGTAGTTTCCCGGCTCTCGCCCGATGTAGATCGTCTGTACATTTAAAGTGTCTCTGGATACTTTCTGAATCGCAGGCCACAGTTCTTCATCCGACATGTTGAGTTTGAGATCTCTGCCGAGAGACATTGCCTGCTCCCCTGCAATAAAAGGATATCTTTGAAATGAAGTAATCTTTTGAATTTTTGCTACTTCTGAAGATGATCCTGGACAGATTATAATAAAATATGCGTCTTTTAAAAGCATAAGTCCAAAGAACTTTTTGAAAATGTTTAAATACATTTATTTGTTAGTCAACCGAGTCTTATGTTTGCTTCTTCATTTTTTTTGTCTGTGTTACCTTTTTACGAAGAGCATCAATTTCAAGGACTTGGTGTGTAAAAGGATCGACATATTTGTAACAGTCCGGGTCCATTCCATATAGATTCAGAACATGGAGTAGCTGAGGGCACACTTTACACTCGGTGCTCTTTAAAGTGATGAGGATAAGATGGTGATCCTTTGCAAGTTGTCGTACATTCACTTTTTTCCCCTACTCATTCCAGCCAAATAATAACAGTTATAAGAGTAATGGTAATGGCGATAGTGATAGTAATAACAATGATAGAAAAATTGATAAGTCTATTGTCCTCGGTGAATGAGCTTTCTTCTTACCTGAATGTCGGTCAACTCATCACATGGAAATGTACGAGGGGTTGTGGTCATTGTTTGGAATTCTTCTTCGAGATTGTCATCCATTTTTTTTTAATATATTAGTATTAAGAAAAGTAGTCTGGAATAAAGGGTGAAGAAAGGTAAGGGTGGGGGAGAAGAGGAATGAAATTATATGACAAGAAATATATATATGTATAAATAAATAAAAATAAAAAATCCAAATTGGGGGTTTTTTAATAAAATAAAAATAAAAATAAAATATGAATAGAGAAGAGAAAAGCAACACGATGGTAAGTATAATATACTAGATATTAATCAATCCCTTCTCCCTTTATTCTATCTATATGTATACCTGTTCCTTCTTTATTCCTTCTAAAGTGGCATAACATATTCTGTAGCTAGCCTATCTTTTATTAATGAATAGAGGGTCTGTGGGTCTAAGTGTCTATCTGTGTATCTCTATTTACTGGTATCTAACTACATATGTATATATGTCTACACAGACATGCACTCAATATACAAATCCAAGCACCTACTTTTGTCCTTTTAGAAATGAATGGCAATTAAGAATAATAGACTCTTGACTTTGTGAAGCATTATTTCATGCAAAGCTGTTTCATGATTGTCAGTATAAAAATAAGTTATTCTTTATACTACAGAATATTGACACTTTAATTTGTCATAGAAGCGAGGGGGTTTTTTTTATTAGATAAAAGAAAAATAAGGTTTGCATATAGAATAGACCCAATACATATAGACTTTTTAAAATGAAATATATAGAAGAAGAGGAAGGCTAACATAAGAAATATACGATAATTCTATGTATAATATAATATTCGGTTGAAAGCATAATTTGTTGTTATATTGTATTGTACTGTATGAGTGTAATGATGTTCTTGATGGTAATATAATATAATATTCTTTTTTTTTTTGCGTTTTTGCGTTTTTGCTTTTTTGCTTTTTTGCTTTTTTGCTTTTTTGCTTTTTTGCTTTTTTTTTCTTTTTGGGAATTATGGCTTATTATTCGAACATTCTGAGAGTTTTCCGAAAGTCTGATTGAGTGTAAAGGGTGATGGGAATAAACGTGAGTTGTGAGGGGGAAGCTGAATTTCTCCAGGCTGTGCTGTGGCCAATGAACAAGGATCGTCCATGAAATCTTGCTTTCTCTTCAGCTGTCTCAACAACAAGGGTGGTAGCTGCATATAGGCAGGTGCTCCGTTGTATTGGAAACAAATAGGTGGCTCAAGATACTGCTTATTGTTCACACAAGGGGCGCATGCTGTTTTTTCCATAAGTCGTTGAACGTTCTGATACCTCTTGTGAGAGTAAGCACGGCTATTTCTCTGTAATTCTGGCCTATTTTTCTTGTGGACCTTAATGTGCCTTCTCAGATTACTGATCACTGAGAATCTTCTACCACATCCTTCACTAAACGGACAGAAAAAAAATGTATATATCTTAATTAATAATTCTAAGAAATGTACATCATATTTCACAGCCATTATAATTGTTAATAATTATATTTTGGTACCTGTCGCATGCAAAAGGTCTTTCGCCTGTATGTGTGTATGAATGAGTCTGGAGGGCACTTGGGCGGTTAAAATACTTTTCGCATACTTTGCATTGGTAAAGAACGGCTATTTTTTGTCTTTGAATCATTTCGGAACATGGGATGTGTACATGACCGTGCTGAGAATTTGTTTCATGTTGCTGGTCGGTGCAATTCATACTGGGGCAATGGCTTGGCATAGTCTTAGTGTAATCTACAGAACAAGGTTGGTAAATGTCTTATATATCCTTCCACATATATGTACATACATAATTATACACACATATACATATATATTTATATATATATATATATATATATATCTATATCTATATCTATATCTATATCTATATATCTATCTATACTGTTTTAGGGAGGGGTGGTTTATTATTATTATTATTTTACTTTATAATATTCTGCAATATAAAAACAAAAATATTAATAATATCAATACGAAAGGAGGGCGTAATTGTTCAATTGGAATTCGATTTTATAGAGAACAAGAGAACAAGAAACCAAGGCTCTTATAAATGACAATCTGTAAACATTGACATCCGAGTGCGATGGTGTACAAGATAATTAATGATTCTGGTAGAAGAGAGGCGGCAATGTGTCTCCCGTTACATTGAAGCACGTACATACACATGCGATTATAGCCTGTCAAATGTATTTAAGAATACATAAAATTCTGGCCCCATGAGAGCGCGTGGAAAGAATAACACAGACACAAGCACAAGTAGAATAATAAGAGCAATCATTGCAAAAAAAGGAATAAAAACGGACACGGACATGAATCCTGTTAGTTACCATTAAATTTCATTGTTTTTATTATTATTATTATTATATATATATATATATTACATACTTCTTCTTCTTCTTCTTTATATATAGTATTATTATTATTGGTACTTTAGCGGGTTCTACAAAGCTAATATGTATTGTACATGATTGATAGCCTCAAGTGTACCTATGCCTGTGTCTGTGCCTGTGTTTGTGCTTGTGTTTATGCTTGTGTGTGCCTGTATGCAGTAAAATTGTCAGGCTAATTAGACCAAAATAATCTTGTTACAACCAGTGGTTTGGAAATAGACCAAGAAGCAGTGGAATAGTAATAGATGCATGTCAAAACCATGCTTTTTTTTTGAGTTTTGTCCGCTTTTGTCCGTTTGATAATTGATAGAATATTATTGTCTGTTTAAAAAAAACCCCACTCTAGACAATGAAATGTAAACTTTAAACTCTACAGTCGTACACGAATCTTCATGCGCCTTTTATATATTTATATTTATATATAAATAATAGAAAAGAAGAATAACGGAAAGCGCGCGCTAAATCTATTTTATATTTCTAGGGATTACAAGAGTATATACTAATATTGATTCTTGTTCTATTATACAATACATGTTCTTGATCTTGAACCCTGTAGATAAACGAAATTCATCATACATTTCTCAATTTAATTCGATTCAATTCAATTGATATTTTTGTTCCGAGTTGTTTCTTTTACACACACACATATATATATATATATATATATATATATATATGTATATGTATGTATATACAAACCCTCTCATACTTCTTTATCGAGACTGTGTGTGTGTGTTAATCCTTCTTTCTCTTAAAGAGAAATTACTAATATTGATATACAGCTTTAAATCTATCTAGTGTGTACAAACTAAATATTGGGCGTAAAATAAATAAATAACTATTATATTGTATTATATACAAAGAGCACACAGACACTCTGATTACCAAGCCATCATACATACGTGTGCTATTATTATCTCGAATATTTAAAATAGAGTCACTAAAAGCATATTGACTTTCTACAAAAGTCTATTAACTAAAATCTTAATGTAGATCCTTGGTAACTTTTGTATAGAAAATGGAAACAGAAAGAGTAAAAGCTATTGGTTTACCAAAGCAATGCATATTTTGTATATATATCCGGTGCCTGGATATGTGTCATAGAAACTAATTGAGTTGTAGATTGCATTATATTCGTTAAAAAAAATGATTTTCATTATGACTTTATAAGCTGTGTGCTACAGTTTTACATGACTTTACTTACATTTTACTTGTAACTACTATTATCATAACCATTGCCATTGCCATTGCCATTGTATTCCTATTCCAGTCAGCACGTTACTTTCTACTCTTGATTTAGTATTGTGATATTCTGTGCTCTAAGGTTCTTGTATCTACAAAATAATAGACTTGCACAAATCGAATTTTAATTTCGATTATACACAAATACTATTATTACTATGGAAATCCCACCCTTTATTTCCAGAAAGACACAATACGATCGATACAACAAATGAGTATAACAATGACTTGTAATGTTCACAAATGATTTTGATCGAGTCGATCTCAAGACCTGACAGAAATTGCATTATATTTCATTATATTGTATCTTATTGTATCTCATTGTATTGTATTATATTTTTATTTTTCTTGTTGATAACAGTAAAATAATAATAATAAGAATATGAGGTAACACATGAGCAAGATCGTCAACCCTATCAAAATCCTCAATCTTAAATATAGCACACTATATTGATTTGCGTCTGATAAGAGGTTTATATAACAACAAGTTTATCTAGCAAATTCTCAATCCTACAAAAACTACATTGATATTTTTACAGTGTATATTATTTGCAGTTGATTTTCTAAAAGTTAAAATGAGTATAATGATAAAGAGAATAAGGTCAGTGGGGTTGAAAGAGTGCAATATATGGTCTCAAAGGTTGTTGTTGCTCTGATTACTTACAATCGAACAAACAGTTGAAACGATAGGAAATACAACAATACGTTGTGCATAGCTTTTCAATCGGGTATTGGAGAACACACCAATACTACAAAACAGTACACGTTTATCTATTTCGTGTGTATATACGTCTGTGTGTGCGTTTATTGCGTGTGCGTACGTGTACTTGTACATGTACGTATGTTTTTAGTGTAGTGTAGATGTTAATATACTGCCCAAAAGTCAGTTTGGAAATCGCATCTGTTAACAAGCACTTATAAGCCCGAAAAAAAAAGCACACACACAAAAACTGTTATATAATATATTTTGTAAAACAGTATCTAGTTCACAGCCAGTATAATCTTTACTGAAGATGAAGAAGTTAAAATGCCCAATATTTAGTATTTTATAGAAAATAGCGATAGAAATAAAAGAGAGAGAAAAGAGCAGTAAAAAGGTGTAAGATACTATTAGACTTAAAAGCAAATAGTCTTTTATTGTTTTTATCGGTAGTAGTAGCAGTAGTAAAATGGCTTTACACTCAATAATCTGTCTGTGCTCATAAGCTTTTTGTGTATCACAGAATTTGCTATTAGATAATAAATTATTCCTACTACAGTTATAATAATTATTCGTCTGTTATTGCCAGATTGTAAATTATTGGATCATGGCAAAAGAGAGAGAGAAAGAGAGAAAATTCAGTAAAAGATTTCTACAAGCTTTTTTTTTCCCGGGTGGGTTTGATGGTTGTTTTAAGGTTGAATTTTAATCAAGCACTACCTTTCCTCCTTTTTTTTCATGTTTCAATTTCAAATTTATTTTTTTACTAGTGTATTTCAAAAGTAAATGTACCTTTTTCATTATCCCACTCTTCCTATCATGCGTGTCTTTTTTTTTATAATATACATATAAGCCACTCCATCCCATAGTACCTTTCACACAGTACAATGATAGTGTTAATAATAAGGATAAGGATAATGACAATGACAATAAAAATAAATTAGATTACTCAAAAGATAAATGCAATCCAATTCAACCCAACCCAACGCTCTATCAAATGGTAGTTCGGTGATATCTCTCATGATAATCAGGCTAGAAAATATAATATATACATATATTTCTCTTGTCAGTCTTTGTTTTACATGGTGACCTCCCCCGAGATATCTTTGCTTAGTCTCACAGTACTTCCAACTTGAATGACAAGGGTGAACCTATCAGGGATCGTGCCATCATGTTGTAATTGGTTAGGGTTGTGTCGGGAATTCAAGACAGCGGTAAGATATCTTATTCCACAAACAATTTCTCAAACTATAACAAAGCCATGTCCTCCAAACAGCTTGAATTAGTATATCCAGAATGTCTTTTGAGGATAAGAATAATATAGATAAATATAAGCTGGCTGGGTGGGAGGGGACTTGCTTAAAACTTTTTCAAGGCATAGATGGGAACACAAAGAACAGTTCTTGAACATACCAAACCTATCGATCGAAAAAATGATGATGATGTTAATTAAATGAATGAATATGTAGGCAGCTAAAATATGCAATATACTAAAAATCCATAATTTTATCCATGAAAGACCAGTTGACAGACGGTATAAGAAAGAGAAGGAAAACAAAAAGATTTCCTTCAGAGTCCCTTTCCCCGGGAAGCCAATCACGGGACCTGCCTCTGAATAGCCTATTTCTTCCTTTCTTTTTTGTTTTCTTAATGTAGTCAAAAAAAAAGTGAAGGGAAAGCTTCTTCAATAACAGTAATGATTTTTACTTTCAAGATATCAGATTGTAAGGATATTTCTGGTGTGTAGGACAATTGTCGAACGATAGAAGAATCTTTCCCCCCGTCACTCATTCACTCACTTGTATACACTTACTTTCATACACACTAATTTTAGGTTTTGATTTTTTGTTTCCATGTGCTTTATAGCCCAGAACCAGTCTAGGGTTACGCTAACAACGCCCTTTCTTTCATATTTATACATTTGGATATGTATAGGTACGTACATAATCATCAACATCGGATGTACCCTGGTTTGTAAAAATAAATAGCATGCAATATTGTAGTGCAGTATAACTATGGCTTTGTATAATAATAAACACTATAATTTATTGTTAATTACGCCCTTCAGCCCATATTTCTTTTCCTTGCTGAATTGGATCTACTTTTGCATATTTGTAAATACAACTAATGTTTCTAGCTAAATTTTGTTACATGAGTATCTCAAAATAGATCAATAAAGAGGTGTACACCTAAATAAATAAAGAAAGAAAGAGCAATCAATTAATGCTTTTTTTTTATATTAACAACAACAATTATTAAATATCTATTCATTCCTTCATTAGATCAATGTTTCATTTTGAAGGTTGTATACAAGGCAATAGAAAGAAGGTAGGAATGAAAGGACGGAAGGGTGTGAAGAATTAAGGCTAGCGATACACAATTTTTTGTCAAAGACTATTGACAGGCTATACACAGATATTTACTGATTTATAGATCTGTACTCTATCGTTCCATTTAAAGTATCTAGAATATATACAAGCAAACGATCTTAATACTAAAATCATTATACAATTTTTTTCATGTCATTTTTCAAGCTTTATCTTGTTACTGATATTGTGTCTTTTTCTTTTTTTTGTAATGTTCCTCTTGATGTGATTGATATACTATCTGTAGGAAGAATCCATATACACACACAAAAGGTGCCTTTGTGTTTTGTTTTTGTGTATAGCGTGTATGTATGTAATAGAAGGAAGAAGATTTTTTTGCAATCTAAAATATGTCCGTCATCGTTTGTTCATCGCCTAGCTAGTCTTTAATCGATGCCTTCATTTTATTCTGGACTTAGTTTCTGTGTATTTTTCTTATAGTGCTATACTAATTTTAAATAAATAAGTGAGAGAGAAAGAAAAAATGGAGCTGCCTGTAACTGTTATATATACATATTTATGAGTAATTATAATTATTATTCTTTTGTATAATTTAATCAAGGTAATAAACTATACGGCTATTTCGGAAAGATTTTCAAAAGGACAAGAGGTCCAGACAACAGTATAAATATATAATACATAAAATCCAAACAACATCATTAACCAAAAATAATTTATATCTACGTAAGAGGGACCATTTTTTTTAAAAAAAAAAAGCGTAGTGTAGATTTGTACTACTTGAAAGTTTGAAGTATATTATATATAAAAATATACATATATTTTTTTGGGTAACACTAATCAAGAAAGAAAAAAGAAATATGTATATGGCTGAATAGAAATTCTCGGAATGAAACAGTTGTGTGCGAGCAAAACGTTGAAGGAATACAGTTAGAGACCTTTGGGTACTCACACTGTAAGAAATGGCAGAGGTGAAAGCACTTTTCAACTTGTTAGATCTTACTTTTTATCATTTAATTTTGTGTCCAATAACTGCACAGGTTATATAGTCTGTTCTGGTGCATTTAGTTTTTGTTATTCATTATGATTGGTGTTAAAAAGGATATACCCAGAAACAGCATCTTCCATTCCCAAAAACAAAAAACAAAAAGGTGAACAGGTACAGATATACGCACATGCATAATATTATTATTTTCTTTAGGTATCTTGTATAGATTCCATTATTCAAAATAAAAAATATAAAATAAAGAATTCATTAGTTAACAAGAATCTAACTCTACTACTACTTTTTTTTTTCTTTCTTTCTACAAGGGGAGTAGATGTACACCCTCCAAAGAAAAAGATAATAATTTACATTTCATTTTGGCGTTTTGGTAATTTGTATTGCTGATCAAATAACCGAGGTAACAATCTAAAGATCTACATTTTAACAAATATGGATCAATAATTTATTTTATATATCTCTCTCCAGCTTTTTTCCTAATAAATATTTTAAGCATCTTTGTTTTATATTTTATATTTGTGTGCATTGTGCCTCAATTTTTTTTTTTATTATATTATTAACAAGGTCCCCTATTGCTAAAAGGCTGATACACGTTTATAATAACAATAACAACAATAATAATAAATGCCACGTTTCTTTATTCTGTCAATGGAAGTAATGGAAGCTACTGCCAAGCCAATATTTTATAAAATAAAATAAAACAAAATATGAAATTAATTTCTATTTTTATGCTTTTCAATTATACAGCAAGAATAACCTAAATACATTAATATTATTGGCTTAAATATACATCAATTTTGAGGTTTATATTTTGTGTGTAGAAAATTACGCGCACACACACACACACACATATATATATATATATACACGGCTAATATTTATACCCTTTTTGAGCGGCAAATATATATATATACACTACATATTTTTTCATTTGAATAATATCATTTGGGGTATTACGGATTACAATGTCACTAAACAATGTACCTCTTTAATATATAAGTAGTTATACCTATAAGCATATGAAATAATATATAAAGTGCTTAATTTTATAAAAGTATTATAGACACAGCTATATATACATACTTGCTTATGAACAGACTTAATAAATTGACAGATAAATAGGTAAAAGATACAAGCACACACATTTGTTCCGAAGAGACGGTCACCATTGTGCATTTAATTTAATTTTTTTCTTTTTGTGAGTCAAAAAAAAAAAAGAACAAAGTACTGGTGCATGACTTGACTCAACCCGCTTCTTTTTCGCTCTTTCTCTCTCTCTTTCTTTCTTTCTTGTAATTTTTTTTTAAAAATAATAATAAAAATAAAGCCACCCATGTCCTCCCCTAAAGACGATAACAAACACTCCAACGAACCCTTGCTGACCAAGTTGGAACATGGCGACCTGGATTCCATCGACACAAAGGCTCGTTATCTTGCATATGGTGCCCGTCTCAGAACTCTCATAGTGGCCTCAAGCCGTTATCTTGCCTACACTTCGGATATCGGTGAAGCATTTCGTCCAGTAGTATCTCCTCTTTTGGTCAAGGCAGCCTATGGTATCAGTTGGGCATATCTTGGTTTGGATGTTGGATATGAGAGTTACAAAGCAATTCAGGCTGGAAAGGTATAAGACTGTGACAAATAGAGAAAGAGAGAAGTTAGTAGGATGATAAGAGGAGAAAATGGATTCTTCTTCTCCTTTGTTTGTTTATCTGCCTTTCCTGTGTGGGTGTATATGAGTTAAAGATTGTATAGCCATTTGTTTCTGGTTGTTGGTTTATACATTTATCTAATTATTGCTATTATCATTCATTCTTTAATTCTATTAGGAAAACTCAATTGTAGCCACAATCGCAGTTAAGCGTGGTATCTTCCAAGGTCTTGCTTCCATGGCATTTCCCATGATGACCATTCACTCGGTTGTTAAATACAGTGCAAAGGCCTTCAAGGATGTCAAGAACCCAAAGCTTCGTGCTTGGGGCCCAACCTCGCTCGGTCTCTGCGTCGTTCCATTCTTACCATACATCTTTGATCATCCAATAGAGATCCTGGTTGACCGTGCATTTGAACCTATCGAGGATTTCGTTACCGGCAACAGTGGCGAAAAGGTTCCCCGGGTTGCTCATGAGACAATCGAGTCTGAAATTGCCGAGGGAAAAGTAAAAGTAAAGGAAGAGTAGATGTAATGTAGAAGGAAGAGAAACCAATTCAAACCAAATATATATATATATATATATAAAATTAATTAATTAATTAAACTAACTGATACTATACTTTACTATTATTCTTACTATTCTTTTATACTACTTTAACTTTCCCTTTTTTTTTAAAAAATAAATAAAAAAATAAATAGAAATTAAATAGAAACTTATAAAGAGAGAGAGATATCATTTAGATTGAGATTTTAGTGGATGGAATTACAAGGGTATTCTGGCTATTATTTATTACTAATTGTTATTTGGTATTATCACTATCACTATCATTGATATTCTTATCATTTAACAAGACCGCTCAACTCCTTCTCCAGCTCAACAACTTCTGTGGGTGGGCTGGCTGGGTGGTTGGGTACAGATGATGGAAGAGTGTCAGAATAGTCAGCAGTAGAAGCAGCAGCAATAGCGGCATTAGCCTTGGCGATAGCTTTGGCATTGGCATTGGCATTGGCATTAGTATCGGCATTAGCAGTAGCAGTACTTGTGCTTGCATCTTTACTAGCACTGGTACTAGTAGTCTCTGGATTATCAGGTGTATCCTCAACAACACCAGCAGCCTTTGCCTGTGCAGCTACTTCTTTACTCTTTTCAAGGGTTTCACGATCATGAGCAGACATACTGTATAGGTTTATATAGATATATGAATGAATGAATCGCCCTTTTTTTTTTCTTCTTCTTCTTTTAATTGTAAATGAAGTATGCATTACCTGTCTTTTCTACGCAAGTTTGCGGCTACTGGTCCAAGCGTTGGGGTGGATCTACCATTCTTGTGATCCTTAAAGGACATTACCTCTCTAATAATCATTGCTAATACGCAGCAATTTAGTATCAACAACAACAATAAATCAAATTTTGCTGAAGAAAACAAAAATCCCGGATTCATATTCACTTGGTTTTGTGTATGTTTGTGTGTTGATTTCTACTTACAGCGCATATCATCCAAAGACTCCAATATTTCAAATGTAAAATCAAAATTGTGCTGGTGAGCTGGCTGTAATGTATATATATATATATAAAAGAGACCAAAAATTATTAGATTTTTTTTTGTAAATGTATATATATTAGCATTTAATTTAATTTAATTTACCTCATCATCTTCATCATGGTATGTACTCAAATAAGGATGTTCCAGGGCTTCTTCAACAGTCATTCTTTTTGCGGGGTCAAATGTCAAGAGTTTATTCAACAAGTCAATAGCAAGTGGATTAGCTACATATAGGTATCACATTAGTATTAGTGTTGACCTGTATTATTTTTACATAATCTGTGAACTATTACTGCTAGAATTATCATTCTTTCTTTATACCTTTGGGGTACAGATTCTGAAACGGAACTTTTGGCATCTTTGGCAAGCTGCGGATGTAGACTTGAGCCTATTGGTTTGTTTTGGTTTTAAAAATCTTAGATACCAACAAACCTAATACTAATACACTCATTGATCCTTTTGTTTCAATATATATATGTCGACTTACTCTATCACTTCCTACACGTTGCAAAGTCTCTTCATCAGGTGTGCCAAGAATACTGAGGATTTGATTCAATTGGTCAACATCTAACCAAATATAACAAAGACAATAAATTCTTTGTTGATGTAGCTTAAGGAATCTATTGAATTAACAGTAAACCAGTAACAACTATCAATAATAACAATAATGATAAGGATATTATACTCACAATCTCTACCCTTGAAAAGAGGTTTTCCTCCCAGCATTTCGGAAAATATACATCCAACTGACCACATATCAACTTATAATTCAAGAACATCATCATATCAATAACAGGAACAAAACAACAACAAAGAGATTCTCGCATATACAAGTTTGTATGTGTCTGTATGCACCTCAGATGCACCTTCTTTTTTTTTTAAAAATAAATAAAAAGATTAATGGCTTACTGGCTTTGGTGTAGTTTTGGAAACTCAGCATGATCTCGGGAGCTCTGTACCAGCGAGTGGCTACATATTCAGTCATAAATCCGGCGGTGGTATCAAGTTCAGGTGAATATCCTCGGGCCAAGCCAAAATCACAAATCTAATATATATATATATATATACATATACATATATGCAAGATTCTAAGCTAAGACTAATTCTTTTTTTTTTCTTTTTTTATTGATTATTACCTTTAATTCACAATCAGCATTAACCAAGAGATTTCCTATATGTTTTACAACAACAACAATAAAAGGGCAATTTAATAAAGGTTTCATTTGAATTTGATTTTTAATATGTCTTGCCTGGTTTCAAATCTCTGTGAAGTACCTGAATATTTTTTAAGAAATATGTGTGTGTGTTTGGATTTGTAGTAAGTAAATATTTATTTATTTAAAATAATAATATTAAAACTTACATTGGCACTGTGAATATATTTTAGTCCTCTGCATAACTGATAGATAAAGTATTGAAAATGTGAATCTGTCAATGGTTGGCCTGATCGAATAATCTGATGAAGGTCTGCTTCCATCAATTCTTGAACAAGATAGCTTATTTATAATTATTAGCAATAGAAAAATAAAAATAAAACGATCTCTTAATCTTATATATCCCAAGCTTACATTTCATTAAAATCATGAATATTGACAATATCCATATCGATTATGGATGTTATCTATATAATTGAACCCATCAAAAAAAAATTAAAATTAAAATTAAAATTAAATTAAATTAAATTAAATTAAATTATTATTTATTTATTGCTTACATTCTCATGGCCATTAAAGTGTTTAAGAAGCTTCACTTCACGCAAGGCCCTTTTTGACAGTATACTCTTTTCAAAAACACGACAGACCTGAAGATAGTAATAATTATATATATATATATATATTTGTAAAAATGAAAGTGAAATTTAATTGTATAATGATAATATAGTTGACAAGTACTTTTTTGATAGCAACTTGTTCGTCTGTTTCTGAATCCTTCGCAGCACTTGATAATTGATTGAGGGGGGGTTTTTTTTGGGGTGTGTTTTGTGTTTTTGGTTATTAATTTTATTTTATTTTATTTTATTTGTTCATTAAGCTATTGTTTTAATAAAAATAGAGAGAGAGAGCCATTTGTTGATATTTTGCTTTTTAATACTACTGTTCAAGTAGTTATATAATCTTTCTCTCTCTCTTGTACCTGTGTCTGTATCTGTATCTGTTCTCTTTATCTTTTTTTTTTTTTTTTTTTTTAAAAAAAAAAAAGGGCTTATATTATTTACCAAACAACACCATAGGAACCTTGGCCCATCTCACGGATAAACTGGTATTTCTTGTCAACAACAAATTGTTGATTCAAAACTGGAAATGACTGGTAGATTGTCATGGTATATCCCCGGGATGACGATTTCGAATAAGATGTTTTAGATGAGTTTAGTTGGAGGAACTGAGCTTTGGTGGGTTCTGAAAATTAATGACGTAAACAGTATAATCTAATTGATTTTATATATATTTATTTATTTATTTGTATATCAATTTATTATTTCCTGTATTAGATTGGGTTTGTGTAATACATATATTTTGTCGTAAAAAAGTAGTTGTAGGGTTACCATGGCAAAAAAAAAAGTATATATTTGTTGCCATGTTACTGTTACTGTTACTGTTGTTGTAATGTAAGATAATGCAATGCATTGTCATATAATAATGCGATTTTTATTTTTATTTTTATTTTTATTTTTATTTTTATTTTGTTGGTGATCTTTACGACCGAGTTTGATAATGCAAAAGAGAGAGAGAGAGGATTTTACAATACTTTTATGTTTTGGGTGTATATATATATATATATATATATATTTATAATTATATACAGATAGATAGATAGATAGACAGACAGACGGACCTCTGCTAATAAAAATAAATAAATAAAAAGTACCTAGCGGATCTACCTACAAAAAAGGTAATGCACGAGGTGAATTGGCTCTTTGGAACTATCCAAAGACAGCATTTTCCAATTCAATGATCTTGTACTCCCCCAATCCTTCTTATACTTTCTTTTCTCCCTCCCTCCCTCTCCCCCCAACCCAACCATTACTACCATTATCACTATCAATAGTGAGTGGGTACTATTGCTACTATTTTGCCTATAATAATCTATCTATATTAGTGTATATATTAATCATTGTTTTCATGAAATTCTATGTATTCAGCTAGTGCACCTGCGCATCTATTTGTCTGTTTCTTTTTATCATCATTTATCCTTATAGATTCCAAAGATGTTTTTTGTATTCTCTAAGCCAGCAACTGTAGGATAAACCTCAGGGTGCTCGTACCCAGACTGTAGATCTATAGTATTTTGTATGCATGATTACTATAGAGATAGATAAGCATAATACAATATACAAAGGATCAAAATGTATGTTTATTAATGTATACACGTGTATTTGAATACCATTTGTTGTTTCTTTATAATTATCATTATCATTTTGCTTAATTAATATATATATGATTTTGATTTTGATTTTGATATTTATTATTGGCGGAGTTAATGGCAAACTATTCAACATATTGAGCATGACAGAATACTGATGAATTTTTTTTTAAAAAAGAAAATGAGTTATATGATTGGCTGTGGAATTGACTATAGATTTAATATGTTATGATTATGTTACATATTAGTTTCTCAATTATTTTTTCTCTATGTTTTGATCTCTTTCTACCTAATTGGCTAACAGTCAATGGATCTTGAGAAGTAGGTAAAGATGCCTTTTTCTTTAAAAAAAAAGATTCTTTATATCTTTCAAGTCTGGTGTAAGGTTTAATTGAGAAAGTATTTATCGGGGAGGAATGTGATATTTATCTTGTTTTAGTTCCTTCATTCCTTTATCCATTTGTTAGAAAGAAGAAGAAAGGATAGCAACAATTCACGCACTCCTTTATTATTATATTCTTTTCTGGTTTGGTCTGACTGTGTTTCCTAGACTTGATTCTGTGTAGCATAACCCCTTCCTCATAATCCGCTCACTCTCCTTGGCTTGCTTCCGAAAATTTTATAACCTTTTTCTTTTCTTTCTATACTGTATTTTTGCTTGTGCTCCTACCTTACCGGATAGGATAATGATTGGGTAGTGATATAGACATCCTTTTATGTATATATATATATATATATATATATATCTACATAATGAAACAATGGCAAGAAAATAAAAATAAAAAACAAGAAAAAGCAAGTGATTTTCGTCAATAATAAAGCTTGCAACTCAGTTTTATTTAATTGATTTCAGAATAAATAAATAAAAATTCAAACATAGTTCTGATGAGATCATGACCAAGAGACAAGCTTGTATGAGTATCAATAAGGCATCAAGGATTACATACTTATAGTTCTGTATTCTGTTAAAATCCAGACGGCGACAAACACTTCTTCTGCTTCTTTATAAAATAAATAAATGAATAATCATATAATGATAGCAATTGAAATTTAATTTTTGTTTTGGACTAAAGTTTATTGTCTATTGTATCATCTGTCCACCCATTCTTTTGGTTTGTTTATTTTATTACAAAAAATAAAATCAAATCAAATCAAAATAGAGAACAGATTTATTTCTTTTTTTGGGATCAACAAATATTATTTCAGAAACAAAAAGTGTATTTATATTTATATTTATATTTCTAAATTTTGATTAAAATTTTCCAAAGAAATATAGGTATAATAAAGAATTGTCTAATTAAAGGTATGTTTTAATTTTTCTTATTCTTGTATATGTAGATGTATTCTTTGGGGGGGGGGGGGGGGGGGGGTGAATGATTAAATGGATTGAGACAAGTGGTCATTGTACAACACTTTATTGTTATTATCTTTGTTGATGTTGCTATAGTTACTGTAGTTGCTATGGTTACTTTATTTATTATTAATTTTGATACTACTGATAGTGATGATGATGATGATGATGATGATAGAAAGTATATATATAGTTGTGAATAAATAGATACATAAAACAAGGTGTATTTTTAAACAATTCTTGTACGATTGCTCTTTTGAGGATTTTTAACTTTCTTGTTATTTATTCATTCATTCTACACAATACATACACAATACAAACACCCAACAGAATAAAAATAAGATACAATAAACCCCTTTCTTGTTTCCCTTGTCTTTTCTTTCTTTCTATTGATTTATTTTATCTTATCTTATTTGTGTCATTTAAATACTAATCATAATACTAATAGCAATTAAAGACATTTATTCATTCTCCTTGTACATTGATCCAATTCTTTACGACCCACGAATTTTATAAACTAATTTCAATTGGTTGATTTTAATTTTTTTTTCTTTTTTTTTTTACATTACCTTTAAGAATATAATATACTATAAATATACATAATTTATATATATGTTTTATATTTATCTGTCTCTATAAAAAAAAAGTATATAAATAAATATTCGGGATGTGTATCACAAAAGAAGAAGAAAAAAAATCTCTGTTTGTCTGTTTTTTCTTTTTCTTTTCTTTTTCTTTTTTTTTGTTCTAGTCTAGCACAAGTCCGCTTTTGATTTTTTTTTTTTGCGATTTTTTGTTTGCCTATAAAATACAATCTTTCCTTGTTCCTTCCGCTCCTTTCCGCCCTGGATCTTCCTTTCTCTCTCTTTCTTCTCTCTCTTTTATTTCTTTTACTTTTACCACAAAGCACACACACATATATATATATTTTAACTAATATAATATAATATAAATATAGATACAATTTAGCTATCAATATTATTTTAATATTCAAACAAAAAAGAAAAGAACTTTCAAATCAAAACCTTCAAAAATCAAAAGAAAATGAGGATCGATTTTCCTTCATCGTTTTCAAAGGTGGCAAAGTACCTCTTCATAGGCTACGTCTTCCTCTCGGTCGTCTACACAGCCAAACACTTTTATTCCTCTCATTCCCAAAGTCCCAGCCAAGACACCAACGGCATCTTCCCTCGTGGTCCAGACGACAAAACTGATTTTACAAACCAACATCCAGTAGTAGTAGCAGCAGGCCAACAACAGGATCTGTTAAATACACCATCACAACAACAACAACAACAATCATCACAACAACAACAAGTATCTGTTCCATGGTCAGGAGGAGTAGGCGATAAAGGTAAGAAAAAAAAACAATTATATTGGTTTCTAGGCTTTCTCTAAAAAAAAAAGAAACTAATCATATTTTCTAGACGTTAGCCAGTCAATGTCCGAACAATTTTTGATGTCAAAGGTGTTTTCTGATGCCATGGGTCCCTCTGATCTCAAGCCTTATTACTTCAAGGCACAAAAAGTGCCCGAACAAGAAGATATTACCATGGCAACACTCGTCACACGCAACCGATTCAAGGTATTAAGTCGCCTAGCAACACACTACAAGGGTAAGTTTATTTTAAATACACTTTTTTTTTTATATATATATATTTTATATATACACGGTGTTTTAAAAAAAAGAAAAAAGAAGAGAGAGAGATAATTATCAAGTGGGTGGGGTAGCAGTAAATTGTTGTAGTTTGGATAACAGCAGCAAGGTGCTATAAATAAATATTTAAATAAAATAAGCAGTAATATCAATAGCACTATAGATAACTATAATAATAATAGTGGTAGTGGTAGAATAATGGATAGTAAAGAAGTAAAAAAAAAAAAAGGAATTGCATCTCCGCCTCTTGATGATGATATTAGTTTTATATATATAAATATATTTGTATTATAAAAAAAAAGCAAAACTTATTATTATTATCCAATTCCTTTTTTTGGTTCACGCACATCTCTTCTTTATTTTTTTTTTATTTTTTTTTGGGGGGGGGGATGAATTGGACAATCAAAAAATTAAATAAAAAATTAAAATAAATCTAGGCCCAATCTCGGCAGCAGTCCATGTTAACGATGACGATACAAAGGAAGAGACGATTGAGGAACTCAGAGCTCTTTACGCGGTTAACCCCGACTTGCGCGACTATGTTGACATCCATCTCATCGTCGACAAATTCGATCGGCAGTTCAACATGTGGCGAAACGTAGCCAAGTTCTTTGCCCGTACAGACTACATCATGATGCTTGATGTTGACTTCCACCTGTGCACAGACTTCCGCAAGTCGATCCGCAACAACCCAGCCATTATGGACAAGCTTCGGGCCGGAAAGACCGCCCTGGTGGTGCCGGCATTTGAGTATCTTGTCCAGGACGACGGTCTGGACTGGCGTACTTTCCCGACCACAAAGGCCCAGCTACTCCAGGAGGTCGAGGAAGACAAAATCGACATGTTCCACAAGTCCTGGTTAAGAGGACACGGGTCTACAAACTACACCCAGTGGTACCAAACTCCTACAGATAGTGCTCTGGCACAACCCTACAAGGTCGTCGATTACAATTTCTCTTATGAGCCCTATATCATCTACAAAAAGGAAGGCTCACCCTGGTGCGATGAACGGTTCATTGGGTATGGTGCAAACAAGGCTGCCTGTCTCTATGAAATCTATCTGTCTGGAATTGATTATTATGTCCTGCCGGCCGATTTCCTGATCCATCAGACCCACGAGTATCCAGAAGAGACCAGAAGAAAAGAGGTAAAGCTATCAATTGTAATATTTCTTTATTTATTTATTAATTGTCTTCTTTCTTTCTTTAGCGTCAATACAATCGTAAACTGTATAGCAACTTTAGAGAAGAACTCTGCCTTCGTTACTCTCGCCTGTTTGTGGCTACTGGTGCATGGGACGAACCTCTGGCAGACAACCTCAAGACAGAATGCCAAAAGATCCGTGGCTTCCGATCAACAATCAAGGGACCCACCGAAGCATAAATACTACTATTCCTATCTATTGTATGTATGTGTATGTGTATGTATATGTATAAGGCAAATTGAGAGAGAAAAAGATACTGGAACATACATACATACATACATACATACATACGTACATACATACATACTTAATGTGCTTGGTCCTCTTCTACTGTCAAGAATCTACACTACAAAAAGGAACCAATATATATTACAACCAATTCTATTCACACAACCCAATACAACACACGCATTACAGCAAATCTTACACCTTGCCTCGCCACACCATACTACACCATACTACAATACACTACACTACACTAAATTGCACTACCATACATTATATTATATTACATTACAAGAAACAGAAGCAGAAGCAGATAAACTAAACGCTATATATAAAATATTCGGTCAACAACAAAAAAAAAATCTTGAGGCAAAAACAAGACAAAGAGGATTACACAACAAGGAATCAAGCAGTAGTCGTCTTTCTATCCCAAGTACGCACTTACCAACCCAACCAGCCCAACCAAATTCAACTCAACTCCACTGAATTTCCTCCCCCCAAAAAAGAAGAAGAAGAAGAAGAAGAAGAAGGCCGGCCATTTTTTTTTTTTATTTTTTTTTTGCATCTTTCAACTTTCATTCCTGTAAAACCAAGAGTAACTTTTTTTTTTTTTTTTATTTATTTATTTTCTTTATTTTTGTTTTCTTCACTTTAATTTTCATTCATTTTCATTTTCATTTTCATTCTTCTTGACCTATATTTTTGCTGTGCTTCTTTTTTGGGTTTTTTTTTATATTAAAAAAAAGAGAGAGAGAAAGAAAAGATCAAGGGAAATGAAGAAAAGATTGTGAAAGAAACAAAAAAAAATTAGAAATAGAAAAAAAAAAAAAACAGAAAGGGCCTTTTGGGTGTAAATATATCAGAGATTTTTATTTTTATTTCCTTTTCCTCCTCCAACCAACCTTTACTACTATTACCTCTTCTTCTTCCTTTATTATTTATTATTATTATATAAAATAAAATAAATATATATACAGTATACAAAATATTTATATTATTACAAGCGTGCTCTTTATTATAGCCTTTTAATTTATTTTTTTTATTATTGGTTTGTTTGTAATTTTGGACACAAAGAGAGATGGTGAATATGTAAAAAAAATAAAATAAAAAGGAAGAAACCAAGAATATTAGAAATAAAATAAAATTGGGTTGTATGGTGTGGTTTGTGTTGTACAATAAAAGTACTACCTCGGGCGGACAACGAGCGAAAACAAGGTTATTTTATTGCGTTCCATCTTATCTGTGTATATATTTATGCTATTCTTAATCAAAACTCTTAAAAATATTTTATTAGAGATAAGACAAATTGCCTTTTAAGTATTTTATCCATTTTCCTTCATTTTTATACATTTTGAATTCAAAGCTTGTATGTATTGAGCCACGCTTTCTTTCATTATTATTATTATTTTGTAGAGCAAGAAATCAAAAAAAAAAAAAACTCTAAAGTCTATTTTATAAATATAGGTCTTTATGCAATTAACAGATCTTGGCAACCTTGGTATAAAAATAAATAATAAAATAAAATAAAAGAAACACAGTCTTGGAATTGTCGGATAAGATGGCCGTGTACCTAATTATATTTTGTATGTAGATTCATATATTTGACTCCAAGATCCCACCTTCTTTTTATACAATCATCTTTTTGGCTTGTATTTAAAAATAAATAAATAATAATAGTAGTAAGGGTTCCAATTTCTCGGAATCGATTTTTTTTTCTTTTCTTTGTAATAAAAAATGGATCGTATAAATTCATCATCTTTTTTTTTTTTTTTGAAATGTTAGAGGGAAGACTCGGTCACATGATAAGTACAAACAGATATAGACCAAAACACAAACCAGACATAACTATCTCTACCCTTATGCTTTGTGGCTTGTGGCTTGTCTTTAAAGCTAACAAGAAGTATATATTTCAAATGTGCTCTGGGGTGTATTTCTTTTTTAATTTTTTTTTTACATAGAATATTAATGCTACTACAGAAAAAGAACCCCCCTATTAATAATTTTGCATTTTGGCTGTAAGTAACACTGAGTAATAATAAAAAAATAAAAACAAGGTTGATTTGGTTGTCCTTAGGAGAAAGAGGGGTAAACAATAATGATATTAATTCAAAAAGTATATAGACACGCATTTTATACAAATAACCATAGTAAAACATTTCAAGAATAATACATACACTAATAAACTCACCAAACCTGACCAACCTGACTAGCTAACTAGTAATATCCACTATTATTATTAGAATAATAATTATAATAAGAAATGACAACTTTGTTTATATATATATATATATATATATATATATATATATATATTCTTCTTTACTTATAGCACAGTATACTGTACTCACAATATCATCTATGCAAAGATCATCATTTGCACGTGAAAGATAAGCTCGGCTTCATAGACATACATACATACATACATGGATACATACATATATTGTTCTTTCTTCTTCTTCTTCTTCTTTATTATTATTATTATTATTTTCTTTCTTTCTTTCTTTCTTTTTATATTCTCTCTCATCATGATGGAACAATTAGTAACCGCAACAGATCCTCATCAGTCCACAAGGATTCCAACCAAAGCAGATATTACAAATGCTGTCCAGTGTTCTGTCACACCCGTAGTTAATGCCACAAAGGCAATCTCATTAGATGCAGGTTGGCAATGGTCTAATGTAAGAATTAACAATACAACTTTTATATATATATATATGAGCTCAATCTAAACCAGCTGAATTTACTTTTACTTGATTTTATTTTTATACAAATATATATATGCATAGATGCTGTATGACAAGGTGCGCGGAATAAGCTCTGATCCAAAGGCTCAATACACAAAACAGCTCGAAAATGCAACACACTATGAAGAATGGGCAGAGGCTGCTACTATGCTCGATGAACTTGAAGGCAAGTCTTTTTTTTTTCTTTTTTGTTACCATGGAAACAACTTTATATAATAATAATATTAATATTAATTATATGTATGTATGTATGTATGTAGGTCTTGAAAAATGGAAACAAGATCCTCGATCACCAGACTATGACTGGGAACTAGTAAAGACACGTCTTGAACAGCTCCGACACATTCGCGAGTCTGGTCAGGGTCAGTCATCCATGATCTTTGCTTTAAGAACGAGTTTGGCTAGAAATCTTGGAGACATTGGAAATTCAACAGTATGTATATATATATATATATATTATTTTTATTATTTACTCAATTAATTAATTGATCAAATCAAATCAAATCAAATCTTATCTTTCATCTTTCATCTTTGTAAGCTCTATTCTCACACCAGAGTCGGTACAAAGCATTTGATCTCTGATTACATTGACGAAGTAGTCGATCAATTCAATTGGTTGTGTGATGAGCCATCCGATGATCCTGAACTGGATCTCAAAGCAAAACACGACTTTTTTATGAATATCCGTCAGAGCTTTGGAAGAACTGCCATACTCTTGAGTGGTGGAGGAACCTTAGGTAAGACTCTATTGTATAATACCAGCCCACACACACACACACACGTATATATATATATATATTACCATTAATTGATTGATAACTAAGCAAAAATAAAAATAATTTTTTTAAATCACATGCGGCTGAATTTCACATTATTTCAGGAACCAACCATATGGGTGTTTTAAAATGTCTCCACAGTGCACGTCTGTTACCCCGCATCATGTCTGGTGCGTCCAGCGGAAGTTTGATGGCTTCCTTTATCTGTACAAGAACCGACGACGAGATTGTAGAATTATTCAAGAATTTCTCTGATGTTGTTTCTTTGGTAAATAATAAATAATAACTATTGAGCATTCTGATCATATTAATCATAATCTTTTTATATATATTAGGACTTGTTTGAAAAAGAAGGGAAACCAGAGACTCCATGGATGAGACTCCATCGTCTGATCACATCTGGCCAGTTGTATGATATCAATATTCTCATTGATGCACTGCGCTCCAATCTTGGAGACTATACTTTCCAAGAAGCGTTCAATCGTACACGCTGGATTCTCAACATCACCGTTAGCTCCTCCACTAATTATGATATGCCCCAGCTATTAAACTATTTGACATCCCCTGATGTGGTAAGTAACCATAGAAACCAAAAAAAAAAATAGTAATAATTATAATCCACAAATAGTTTAATTTTTTTTATATTCCTTTCTTTATTTCTTTCTTTCTTTCTGTAAATAGAAATTTGATTTTGATTTCTTTTTTAATTCAATTGGTTTTGATAGGTTATTTGGTCAGCTGTGTAAGTTTTTTTTTCTTTTTCCATTTAGTGTATTTTGTAGTGTGCGTAGTATGATGATGATTATGATGATTATGATGATGGTTGTTATGGTGATCACATTTTCTTTTATAAAACAAAATCTTATTATCAACTATCTACCTATCTATTTTAATCTTTGCTTTTATATATAAAACAGTGCTGCTTCATGTTCTGTACCCTTCTTCTACACCTCCTCTCCATTGTATGCAAAAGACAAGAGCGGAAAAATTGTTCCATGGAATCCAGTTGGTTAGTTATATAAAAAAAGAAACAGGGAAAATGAGTGGTTTATCTAAACTAGATGTTTGTAATATTCGATAGATCAACTATACATTGATGGATCAGTCGAAAAGTAATATTTCTTTGCTTTGCTTTGATTTGCTTTTGCCCAGCGGAATAATAGCAATATTAACCTTAAAACTGCTCTTACCTATTACTATAGTGATTTACCCATGACACGGTTGTCAGAGCTATTCAATGTCAACCACTTTATCGTTTGTCAAGGTAAAAGAAAAATATTAAAGTAAATAATAATAATAATAATAGTAATAATATTTTTTTTTTCTTCTCTTTTCTTTTCCTATTTTAACATGGATTTTTTTTTCATAGTTAATCCTCACGTTATTCCATTTCTTCAAAAGGACAACAAGCCTCCTTCAAAAGTCAGACAGGCTGCTAACTTTTGTATGCATTTAGCCAAGACGGAAATCCAACATAGATGTACTCAAGTAAGCTCTATTATTATTTTTGTATATACAAATAAAGAAATCTTTTTATTGTACTTAAATTTTCTTTTTTTTTTCTTTTTATTTTTGTATTTGTATTTGGGGTAGCTCACAGAACTTGGAATGATGCCACATGCATTGTACAAAGTTCAAGCCATTATGTCACAAAAGTATTCTGGAGATATTACAATTATTCCCGACATCGGATACTCGGATTACCTCAAGGTCCTGTCAAATCCTACACCTGCCCTAATAGTCGAAGCAATCACTCGAGGAGAGCGTGCAACATGGCCAAGTAAGAAAGAAAGAAAGAAATATATATATATATATCATATGAATGTCATGTAAAAATTGACAAACATCTTTAAACCAAATTCACATTAAATGTTTGGTCTTTATAGAAATGTCTATTATCAAGCACCATCTTCAAATCGAATTGACAATCGATGCTATTCTCTATCGTCTTCGCCTTCGCCGGTTGTCTGAACTTGCGGTAACTACCAAAGAAACTGATCCACAGCGCCAGCCTGTTCGCAGCACCAGCACCAGACCTTTGCTGGAGACCCGGGCATTATCTCAGCTCCAGCTTCAAAAGATCGAGATCGTGCCCTCGGCCACCAGAGAAACGACACATTTAACCGAAATCAGGCGCACCGAATTGCCGGCAATACTTTTAGACAGCCTAGAGGTTTCACAAGAGCAACAGAAACAAGAAGGACAGCAAACGTCTAAACAGAATGCAGAACCAACAGGCACAGGAACTCAACGTAAAGAAAAACAACAGGAAAGAGAAGGAGAAATGAAGGGCCAAGGGCAGAATCAGAATCAAGAAGAAGGAGAAGAAGGGGAGGATCAGGAGAATAGGATAGAAATCATGTCCAAGCAAAAGAGTCGCGAACGAAAGGTTGCCAAGAAAGGACTTTTGATGACCGTACCTGATCAATAGACGACCATATGTGAAAAAAAAAGAAAGAAAGAAAAACTCACCGATACATTGAACTCACTCAATCACTCAAATAAATAAATATATATATATATACACAGATTGTTTGTATACACTACAAAGACATCTATCTATCTGTAGCTCTTCTCTCTTTTCCTCTCTTTCTTTTTGCTTTCTAAACACCAAAGCCTTTCTGCCTTTCATTCCCATTTTCTTTGGTATTTGGGTGTATGTTCAATATAAGAATATACAAGTCTTTGATAGAATAAGATCAGGAATACACTTATCTACATGCCTACTTTTGTAAGAAAATTCTTGTGAATTATTAAATAAATACAATTGAACACACAAACACACATATCAAACACAAGATTAATAAAGTAAAAAAAAAAGAGCTTGTTTGACAGGGAATAACAGTCTCTAGTAATATTATTACTTTCATCTTCACCGTCGCCGTCATCGTCATTGTCGCCGTCGTATTGAACAGTAGTTGTAGAAATAGTCACAGCTTTGGTCACCGTTGGACTTGTATTTGTATTTGTTATTGTTGCTATACTGATGTATCTTATGTTTATATATATACACATACATACATACAAATTACGCGTTTATGTACAGGCAAACAGACCTGGATGGAATCAGAGTGATGGGTTTTACCAAGACATTTGATGCTTTCTTTCTATCTGTTCTTTAAGATTTTCAGTATCCCATGCTTCACGTATCCACAGATAATGTTTCTACAATTCTTAATGGCATTGGCATTGGCATTGGCATTGGCATTGGTATTGGTATTGGTATTGGTATTGATATTGGTATTGGTATTGGTATTGGTATTGGTATTGGTATTGGTATTGGTATTGGTATTGGTATTGGTATTGGTATTGGTATTGGTATTGGTATTGGTATTGGTATTGGTATTGGTATTGGTATTGGTATTGGTATTGGTATTGGTATTGGTATTGGTATTGGTATTGGTATTGGTATTGGTATTGGTATTGGTATTGGTATTGGTATTGGTATTGGTATTGGTATTGGTATTGGTATTGGTATTGGTATTGGTATTGGTATTTTTGTTATTGGTATTGGTATTGGTATTGGTATTGGTATTTTTGTTATTGTTATTACATTTCTTATCACAACTATTACTTTTGCTTATGCTGTTATGTTGCTGCTGTTGTAATATGTATGTGTCTTCCTTTTGCGGGCCGTTATTTAAGAGTAAAGGTTCAGAGTGACGAATTAAAGGGAAATGATGTCGGGATTGTGGCGGGATAATGTTCAATACGTGGCGGAAAACGAGAGGATAAGACGGGAAGATCAGTGCTAATTTTACTAATACTATTTTTACTGCTTCTACTACTACTACTACTACTACTGCTACTGCTACTGCTGCTGCTACTGCTGCTACTGCTATGATTACTATTAGTTTTATTACGGCTATTACTACTACGATGAGGTTGCATGAATGAATCTGATTGGGGCAGCACATTTTTTGGCTCAACCACCATAGTGGGAATATTCCGACGCACTTGGTTTGAGCGCGGATTTTGTTGCTCATATTGTAGACTCGTGTGTGATACGGGCGGCGTTGGTGATGAATAGGCGTAAGGCATGTGCGTAAGATGAGCAGAAGGGGTATTTTCAGCAGCAAAAAACGGCCGTGGCTCTAATCGTCGTAAGTTTGTTGATGCTGCTACTGCGGATATCACTGCTGCCTTTTCTTTAACTATTGCTGCCGCCTTCGCTGCCACTGACGCTGCTTCTTCCGCAGCTGCTTCTGCCACCGCTGCTGCCTCTGCTGTAGCTGTCGATATTGCTGATATATGTGTGCGTGAATTTATAAGACCTGTGTATCCAAAACTATTGCTGTGGATTGCGCGGCTATGATTGTGATTATGATTGTTGTTGTTATTATTGTTATTACTATAATTAATAATATCATTTAACCGAGCTTGCTGTTTGAGTACTGTGTTTTCATGGCTCAATTCCTACATAACAATAGTTGTTAATCATGTAAACCATAATAATCACATGCTTCTGATATTTTCTTGAATCTTTTTTTTTAAAAAATCATTATCATTATTACGAACACCTACATACCTACTGACCTACTTACCTTTATGTAGTATAATGCCGCTTTCAAAATGTGCCCCCTGTTTGGTCTGCGGCCTTGATGTACTGCGTTGGGAACCACCAGTGATATTTCATGAATCGTATTGTTGATTAAGTCTCGACGCCGGCGTTCAATATGATTGTGATTTTCGCGTCGTTTCTGAATCCTCTCAATTGCAGTTTTGCTGTCAAGATCGGTCCTGAATACCAAATATGCAAGATATAAGATAAAATCAAATCAAATTAAATCAAATCAAATAAGATTGGTATTTGATATTTAAGCATCATTCTCTAAAGCTTTTCCATACTGTACTGTATTGCATTGTGCTCCATAATGATATAGTGTTACCTGTTCAAGATATTGACACCATTTACTTGATAAGCACCCTGTTTATTTGCTTCCAAAGTCTTGTTTTTCTTGTCCTTTTTAGAAGAATCAGGGGACGGGAAGTTCATAAACATGCGTGGAGACTGAAGGCCAGGCGGAGACATCAAGCTTTCTGATGAAAATTCACTAGGCTCATTTATACTGAAAGTTCCTTCGTCCATAGAGCTATTGTATTCTTCCTCTTCTTCATACTCTTCTTCTTCCTCTTCTTCTCCTATCGTTTCAACTTTGTCTTCTTTTTTCTCATTTTCTTCATTTTCTTTCTTTTTTTTGACATATTTCTCTTCTTCTTCGTCTTCTTCGTCTTCTTCGTCTTCTCTTTCGTCTTGCTTGACACGATATTTACGTTTGACTACCTTGGGACATGATTGTCCTATTGCTGATCCTTTAGAGGTTGAACGGAGAACTGAGCAATATCGATTGTTTCTTCTTTTCTTTGAAAGATCTTTCTCTGATTCTTGTGCCATTTACGTGTTCTTCTTTATTTAGTTTAAAGAAAAGTAACAAAAACAAGTAAAATAAAAAAAAGTATGGAGAGAAAGAGAGAGGATTATAATTTATAAGCATGCGGTCAACCAATCAGATATTTAAGGAAAAGAGAGAGAGAAAAAAAAATGAGGGGTAAAACTAGACCTGCAGGTCCGATTCATGTTAAATATACATATATACATACATATTGTATATTGCATATTGTATATTGCATATTGTATTACTTTACTACCTGATCACATTCTATTACGTAGATACAAACTACCTTTACAAAAAATAATAAAGGAGATGATACAATTCTTAGAGTTTGTTCTCTCTCCTCTCACAACATTAAGCAATTACACACACACACACACAAAGGGATAGGTAAGGACTTTGGAAAGAGACCAAAGCACTGGGCTAACATAGGAATGTATTGTTTTTGCTTACTGCTTTCTTTCATTTATTATTATTGTTATTAATGTTATTGTTAATGTTGATGTTGATGTTGATGATGTTGTTGGTGTTGGTGTTGGCATCGATTGATATTGAATGTTGAATGTTGAATGCTGACGTTAACTTGTTTATCCAATTGTCTCTGAGAATTCAATATCATAGATACTTGTTGGATCCTTGGCTAATTTCATACGCTGATCTTTGACAACTCTAAATTATTTAAAGAAAATGATATTATTAGTAAATACTATGTATATGAAAAAAAAGACTTGTATATTTTACCTGCTGTCAAGACGCAAATCTCCAGTCTCAATTCCCAATCTAGCTTCGGGAGTCAAGGCTTCAATTACATACTGATTGTCGCAATGAGGGCAAAACTCATCTTCTTCTTCATAATCACTACCATTGACAAAAAAAAACCAACCAACCAACCAAACAAATCAGATTCCGAAAAAAAAAACAAAGCAAATAATCATCATGTAAAGATTATTGGCATTTCTATACATTCTACAAGCATAAACACACACACACACAGAGAGAGAGAAAGATAGAGAAAGAGACACAGGGTCCACCTTACGTCATGTCCTTGCGAAACACCTTTTTACATTTCTTGCATCCAAAAACCATCTCATCGGTCTTTCTAAGAGCGTGATCTGAATGTTCTGCATGGCATTCGGCACAATCGTACCATTTCTTGCAGCATTGTGCTCGAATAGAGACCTATTATTAATATATATATATATATATATATATTTAAAAACAATAAAATAATAAAATGATAGTAAATTAATTAGATGTATATATATAAATCAAATCATCCGATTTAATTCAATTAACTATTTTTCTTTTTATTCTTCTTCTTCCTTTTATATATATGTATGTGTGCTTTTGAGCAGTATTTTACCTGTGCATTGAGAACGTGCTTACACATGATGAGGTATAAAGGTTAAAAGATGATCTGGCAGATGTGTTAGTAAAAGCTTAAAAAGACATGCTGGTTTTATTTTTGTTATCCGACAATGACGTCGAGACGTAATTGGTACATGAGAATGAGGTTCCTTTCCTTTTTTTTAAAAAAAATATGATTCTTTTTTTTTTTTTTTTAAGGTACGGCCTTGGTGACAAAAGAGTCGTATTCTTTTATAGTTATTATTTAACTTTTCATGAGTGCAATAGAATAAGAAAAGATATGTACACTATATTTGTATATGACTGTGTTTTATTTAATATTCTTGACAAACAGGTACAAAACATGTCATGACAGTTTGGTCTATAGCACTTGATCGAACAACGCTGGGATCTGCTTGGTGGTGTATATCATTGTTAATATAAAGATAAAAGGCTAATTGCTCGTTGTCCGTAATGGCTATATATATATAAAGGTGCGCATACATAAAGTTGTTAGTTATATATAAAGGCACTTGAAAATATGCTCACATATACATGTTTGTTTTACTTACAGCAAATCACATTGTCAGGTACGAGCTGATAGCTGTTCATAAAATTGACAAAATCTTCTGTTGTTATACGAACAGTAGCAAATTTACGGACATCTTCTAGCTCATAATCAGCTTTGAAGTGCATTAGAATACATACAGTTATATATCTTTTATCTTGTAAAAATAAATAAAGTTTGATCCCTACGTATTCTCGGATTTTCCAGACGACTGTAGGTTGTCTCACATTCAGCAACATCGTTTGCAACAATAAGCTTCAATTCGCCTGCCATGTTTGCAGAGATATACATATACTTTCCAATCTGCCTAAGTCTATCAGCAACTGGCTTGAGCGAATTCATACTAGGCAAGAAAATGAACACCTATCAGAATACAGATATACATATTAATATATAATAATTAGTCAGTAGATGTGTTTAATGGTTTTAGACTTCTACAGAAACACTGATTATATTTAGATATGTATTACATGAGGTGAATTTACAGCAATCGGATCTCTGATAGCTGGCATTGTCGCCTGGGATACTGCAACCACACTAATGTTCTGAACAAGTCGACAAAGTCTACCTTCTCGGTTCTACAGACCAAATAATAATAATTATAATTATAATGTTTACATTTATGTTTCCACACAATATATGTAAAGTAAGTAGAAAAAAATAAAATAAAATAAAATAAATTAAGCGGAAGAAAAATGGCTTGCCTCTGTTGCCATATCCCACGACATGTAGACCTGATTTTCAGACCGTTTTAAAGATATTTTGACATCGGTCGCATTTTGTGCAATTTTTGTTATAGGCAAGAGAAACTCAAGACGGAGAGTCAAAGGGATTTCGCAACCCTCAAGTCTGCTTTGAATTCGATAGTTTGAAAGAAAAGCTGACTATGATGATAATGACGATGATAAGGATAATAGTAATATAAGCACACACACACACACAAGAAAGAAAAACGAAAGAAGGAAAGAAAGACGGATAGGTAGGTAGGTAGGTAGGTATATATATATACTGTCAATGGTTTGGTTTATTTACCGGCTGCGCTTTACTACATTGGCAAGGTGAGGGAGAGATTCAGAAAACTCAGTCGGATTCACTTACACCCAGGCACGAATGCTGCCTGCACGCTCATCATGACTTATAAAACGAATGGAGTCTGTTGAGAATGACATGACACATATAGGTCCAAACTTATCCAATGTTTGGACGATTCCTGTTGATAATTATCAACATTATATACAAAAAATAAAATAAAATAAAGTAAAAAATTGTTTATTGGAAACCAACATACGATGAAGGCCAACTGGATTGTAAACGGTTGCCTTTAATCGCATATTCTACTATATCGATTGAATGAATGTAATTTGAAGAAAAAAACAAAAAACAAAACACAAAAAACAAAAAGTAGTAAAATAGAAACTGTAATGTAATCAAATACTTCCAAAAAAAGTAATATGCTCTTTTTTTTATTTATTTATTTGGAAAAAAGTCACATTTGCCACAGTGTGATATAAAAGAAATAATATTTACGTAAAAAGGAAATAGAAAATAAAGAAACATAAAGAAACAAAGAGGAGTAAGAGAATAAGAGAAGAAGGAGGGAGAGAGAGAAGAGCAAGACGGCGACTAAAGTTACACCAAGATTCCCAAATTATTCTTCACATTGAAGATTTTCTTGATTGTATAACTGCAGAAACCGTGTGTTCCCTTCTTCCTTCTTCTTCTTATATATATATATCTCTATCGTATTTTTCAACCTTTTCTTGATTTATTAATCTATTTTTTTTTATTTAAGCAACAAAAGGAGACGAAACGCCAACCGAGAGTTATTTAGTTAAATGCCATACCATTCATTTCCATCCCACAATCAAGAGTTCATCGTAGATGAAAAATACACATTCGAGAGAGAGATTGGTCAAGGTGCCTATGGTATTGTTTGGTGAGTTTATCTCATTCCAAACTTGGAGATCTTCTTCAATATCTAAATATGCTTATATACAAATAAATCAATAAAGTTCTGCTGTAAATACATATACTGGTCAAAGGTGTGCAATAAAAAAGGTAAGTATTTGACCTTTAAATATATATGTGTGTGTATAAGCATACTGATTGTTAATAGGTCTGCAAACTGTTTGAAAGACCAATTTTGACCAAGCGAGCTCTGAGAGAACTGAAATTACTTGAACATTTTAATGGACACAAAAATGCAAGTTGCCTTTTTTCTTCTTCTTCTAAACATCTATTATTAAAATAAAATGCAAATAAAATAAATAAATAAAGACTTGATTAACATGTAGATCATCGGGCTCTTTGACGTGGATATCGTTGATCCAAAGAATTTCAATGAACTGTACGTATAATAATAATAATAATAATAACAATAATTTCTTTTAAAATAAGATGATCAGAAAAGAAATCATTGTTAAATTATATTTCATTAGCTATCTTTACCAAGAGCTTATGGAAATTGACTTACATCAAATCATTCGGTCCGGACAAAAGCTGTCTGATGATCATTTCCAGAGCTTTATCTATCAGACCTGCTGTGGACTGAAATATATTCACAGTGCAAATGTAAGGGGAGAGGATGGGGGATTTTTCATTAACAGCATACAAATATAAAAATATATATATTTTATCTTTATATTTTTAGGTTCTCCATAGAGATTTGAAGCCAGGTAAAGTTTATTATAACAGATGCGTGTTAAAGGTGATTCTGGCAATCAATTGGCCTTAATTATCATAATTTATATGCTTTGCTTTGTAGGAAATCTTCTTGTCAATTCAGAATGCGAACTCAAGGTAAACTACTTTATTTTTCTTCATCTGCTTTGTATTTGATTGCTATTACTATTTTTAGATTTAAAAATAAAAATAAAAATAAATCTAATATATAAATATAATTAACTTTTATATTCCTGTATATTTTTACTTTATTTTTTTTGCGGCATTATATATATATACATATTAGATATGTGATTTTGGATTGGCTCGAGGCTATGTTGACTCAACAAAGGCCGGAAGTGCAGGCTTCATGACTGAATATGTAGCAACCCGTTGGTACAGAGCTCCTGAGATTATGTTGAGTTTCCAAAACTATACCAAAGCCAGTAAGAGATTTATATTTTTATATCATTAGTTTGATAAGCAACAATAATATTCACAAGTTGTTGCTATACAAAACAAAACAATTATTATTATTATTTTATTATAAAACTACAGTTGACATTTGGTCAGTTGGGTGTATATTTGCAGAATTATTGGGAGGAGACACTTTATTCAGAGGAAGAGACTGTAAGTTACCATCAAACTATGCGTATTAAATTCTATCTCTTTTTGTTGTAAAATTTTCAGAAAACTATTAAACCAAAATAATAATAATTTATTCTACAAAGATGTTGACCAATTGAACCGAATTCTTTTTGTTCTTGGCACTCCTGATGATGATACCCTGGGTCGAATAGGCAGTGAGCGTGTAAGTACTCCAAACATATGATTTAATTTAATCGAACTGAATTGAGCTGAATTGAACTGAATTGAATCGAATAGGCTCAGATATACATACAAAGCTTGGAAAAAACAGAAAAGATTCCTTTTGCTAAAATGTACCCAAATGCTACACCTTTTGGTAAAGAACATGGCAGTATATTTTATACATATATATATATTTCCAAAATAAAGCTCCAACTCAACCACATATCCAAAAAAATAAAAAATAAAAAAACAGCGTTGGACCTTCTCGAACGTCTATTGACGTTTGATCCAATGAAGAGAATTGAAGCCGAAGAAGCTTTGGAGCATCCTTACCTTGCCGTACACCACGATATCACAGACGAGGTATTATCATTATAACCATTATTTAAAAGTAATTTACAAATATATATATATCTTATTATCTTGTTTTTGATTACTTGGTCCGTAGCCTGTACACCCTCAAACCGTTGACTTTTCTTTTGAATCCTTAAATACCACAGAGGAAATGAGAGGTAAAGAAAATAATGATATTAAGATTCAGTTTTAAGGAAAAAGGTTTCAATTCCATTTATTTATCTTATCTTGTTCAACAGATACAATTATTTATGAGGTCCAGGCATTTAAAGCCAAGAAGAATAACCTTCGACTTGACACCAGAGGGTTGAGGCGCCAGGGAAGTATAACAGCCATTACACCCGATCGAGTCAGATCTGATCGGTCAGAAAAACACTCTAGAGACAATCAATCGGGCTATTCAGACGCAGCCATCCAAAGCCCTTTACCAATCGATCCAAAACTGGAAAGAGATCTCAGTGGAATGAATTTTTGAAGTCTATAGGAGATTTTCACCTAGTTGTGGTCGACCGGCTTTTTTTTTTTTTATATTTTTAGATAAAGCTTTTATTCTAAAAATGGGTAACAAATTCAAGTACTTCCCCCAGCACAAATACAGGGGATACACTAAACCTCGCTCCTTTTAAGCTGATGAGCCCTTTTTTTTGCTTTCTTTTGTCGAAGTATTCAAGTACTTTATTACCTACATTATCTGCATATTGTTTTTTTTTTGTTTTTTTTTATGTACTTCTAATAGAGTAAAGATTATTTTTACAAAACTCTATAATTTTTTTTTGAAGTTGATGGATCGATTTTTACTGCTGTTATTCATGTTTGTAAATAGATAGAAAGATAAAGGTCTACTAAGGAGAGGCATTTTTAGTAAAATGCAAATCTTCTGTGCAAACTAACTTCAGGCGACTGTCTTTTTCAATTTCAAAATCTACTATAGACAGTAAAGAAAATTAGGGCGGTTGACCACAACTTGGTGAACACCTAATGACTTTTGAAGAAATTGTACTTAATAATTTTATAAAGTTAATAATAAGTTCGTCATTGACAAAGAAGTGTCTTGTAGAACAAATTTATTTAAAAAAAATAGAGACAGGTAGATAGACAGCAAGAGAGAGAGAGAGAGAAAGTAAATGTAGGTCCTGAGTTAAAATAATAATAATTAGTCCCAAATAGACTATATCAATAGCCAGTTATGCAGATCATAAAGAGCTGTTTTCATTAGATTGTGACGCAATATTGTCGAATATTTTACTATTTATTGGCCTTCTTATGCGTATCATGTCCTTCTCGTTCTTTCACCAACGTAAAAACTTCTCTCGACAAATTTGGGGCTGTCAAAATATGGCGAAGTTTGTAAAAACTACTTTTCAGACTTGGAGAACAAAACTAATCTTCAGGAAGTTATCCGTGCCAAGTTGGATTTGAAGGATTTAGAAAAAGATAATGAAGAGACAATCACGAAAATTCATATTCTAAAAAGTAAAACGAAATTACAGAAGGACATGGCGAATTTAGCAATAGAATATCAAGAAGCGAAATTTAAAGCAGAAGTAGAAGCAGAAGCAGAAGCAGAAGAGACAAATGGATTGATTTATTAATTCGTTAACAAATAAATAAATAAATAAATAATTAAATAATTAAATAATTATATACATAATGTAATGTAATTTAATGTAATGTAAGTGTACTTTTTTATATTATATATTTATTTTGGTATGTATCCAATAATTGTTCCTGAAATGAGACACCCAAAGCTGACAAGAAAGTAAAAAGCAACAAGCCATCTGTGGACTTTGATGGGTGTCTCATCATTCGAAAAAGATATCATTGCAAAATTAGCAATTCCAGAACACACAATCCACACCAGAATAAGAGATTCAGTTGTGCTGTGGCTGCTGTAGTCTGCCCAGATACAGATCAACAGAGGCACAACTGCTCCTCCGATCAGAGAAAATATCGCCATCAAGTGGCAACTGCGCTCAGTCATTATGTCTTCCGATCCATGCTTAAATTCACATCTCTCCAGAATAAAATGTAAGAAACTACCCTTGTATAACAAATCTCGTCGGCTATCTCCCCAAGTATTGACCAGGCGGTTGTCTTTGTCGGATAAGTACATTCGGTTCACTGCCTTTGGTGTATATACATCATGGTCTTCTACAATCTCTCTCCAGGGTACATCGGAGTCGTAATGAATACTAAACGGCGTGGTTTGCTTGTGCAGAAAGATAAGAGAAACCGTCTGAAGGATTGACATTGCTACATAAATAAAGATGGGAACCTTGGCCCATCTGTCTCCATTGGCATAGATACATATGATGGTGATGTAGACCAGCTGCACAATCGTAACCAATGCTTCGGTGTATGGGACACTGTTGACGTTGTGAGCCGTCTGAAGTTGGTTCATCAAATCGATTGACATATAACGAACCAAACCTACATTTATAGAAGATTGGTATCGCAAATTGACTCCCGGACCATTGACGGATATATTACTGGTCATCTGTTCGACACAGCCCGGGGAACTGGTATACTTTGCAGAGTCAAATCCGAGAAGCAGATTGTTGTTGATGATACAATGCTTCACTTTCCTGGCCTTTTCTGGCCCGAGGGTGTGTAAAAGAGCTGCGAGATAGGGTGCGTTGTCATACTTTTTGAATTGTATGTTTTGGCTGGTCCTCATATAATCCACTAGCCAGTCTCTCAGACGTTCGGTGTTTGACAGCCAATCATCTGGACTGGGTACCTTCTTAATCTTATCTACATATTGGTCTGCTTCTAATCCGTACGTCTCTTTTGAGAGCGATGGAATCGATGAGATCCGAGCAAACGATTGGAGAGACGGAGGCAGGGGAGGTGATGGTGGAGGTAATGGTGGAGGTGAAGGAAAATTGGTGATGTCTTTGTTACGGATTCGGTGCTCATATTTTTTCAGTGGTATCTTAAATTGATCAATTCCAAGGAGTCTATCACCACAGTACCTCGAGTAGATTGCAAAGATAGCCATGTATACACCCGACATTGGAAAAATAAATAGTAAAAGGCGAAAACAATTGGTGTCCATCTTTCCAAACGGCTTTTGAGGTCGAACGGTTAAGGTATGAGCCAGGTAGCCAATCACGATAGTTAATACAATTGAAAATACGGTTATTCCACTAGATGGTATAGTATAGTCTTGCTCTATCGGAGGTGCACGGCATTTCGTTATAAAGTTCAGCAGAAGGATGAGCAAGATGTATAGTCGGCTTTGTAAAAACATAGTGTGTTTTGGGGGGTATATTTGACCAAGTCAGTCGAAGAAAGAAGAGAGTTAATATTGTTTGTGGCAAGTAAAATAAAATTAATAAGGGGGTCCCGGGAAAGATTTGTACCTTTTCTTGTTTCAAAAGTAAATTATTATTATTATTATTATTTTTTAAAAAAAGAAAAGGCTTAAAAAAAAGATTGGGGCTTAAAAGAAGGAAGGAAAGAAAAAGTAAGAACCGAACTTTGTGCACAACAACTTAACAGGAATACATGACTGAGAGGAGTTGTAGATAAGAGCACTTTTGGTAACGGCTTAATTCATATACACATTTACACAGAATAAAAAAACAACTTGCCCTTGGTATTTGTTAATGCAATCGTGGGTCTCTTTACTCTACAGACTATATCGCAATCCAGTTTCTAGAATAAAAGTACAAGTAATAAATTATACTCAATTTTCTTTTCTTTTCTTTTTTTACGTATCTTGAGGCTCATCTTTTTTGTTAAAAAAAAAACTATGTCCTAAGCCCTGGTACCTTGCTTCACAATACACAAGGATAAGGTTCTCTCACAAAAGTCTATATCGATAACTAAATTTTCCTAAAAAGCATAAAGTAAACAAACTGTATCAATGAAAAAGAATGATAGCCATGCAAAACAAAGCATAAAAAAGAAGTAGAATTCAGATATAAAGATCAGTAAAGTACAGTAATGAGATACAAGGCGATTTGAATATTTTCAGAAATGAATACGATAATCCAACAGAAAAAAATACATCTTTTATTCACACAGACACATTTATGTATATACCTTACATGCTATAGTATCTCTCTCTCTTTGGATACTTGTATTAAATAAATGAGTCCCGGTTCTTACCCGGTGAATTAAAATATAAATCAATAAACAAAGGAAAATAAATTAATAAATAAATAGACCATACATTTGTCATTATCATTATTTACTTAATAACCTGTAATTTAAGCTTGCATTAAATCAAGGTACGTGGGAACCTCCCACAGAAGCAGCTCAATCTCAGTCGGCCATGCTTTGTCTATGTAACGTTATTAACCCTCTCCTATTTTAAATTGAAATACGTGCTTGTCCCTCAATTAAATCAAAAGGCACATCTCGTAATATCAACATGGCTGATTTACCGTTTCTACATCAAATTATTGATTCTCTAATAAATATACTTTATCTGAAAAAAAAAACCATATTTTGTGGAAGAAAACTTATAGGCCTAATACTGCGTTGGATCGCCCTTGGAATCTATAGTTATCCGGGATCTTCTTGACACACTTCTAACTAAATGACCTGCATACTTTGTACCCAACCTTTTCCGTTCTTGTCGTAAGGCCAACTTCAAATTACCCAGATTGTGAATAGAGGCTCTTTTCCTATCCACAAGCATATCAAAGGTGCAACAAATGAGTTCAATTGAGTTCAAGCCATAACCCTTGGGCAGGTTACTTTTTTCAAAGCCCTTGTCCTTATAGAGTATCCTTTTTTACCATCAAACATATCTACCTGTATGACAAGTAATTCAATCATCCCAAAGGGTAAAAAAAAAATGCCTCCCCTTCAATCTTCTTAAGGTTTGTGAACCAAAAACATAAAAGAAAATGGCCAAAAGATCGATATATCCCATTCTAATTTTCTGTTGTGGTATCAACAGTATTCAGTAGACCGAATATTCTACTCCCAAAAGGCACCTCTCCTTCCAAGGTCATGACGCCGTCACCACTTTACTGTATATACAGCATGTCTCTCTTTATATCTTTTCTAAACACCCGCTTGGCTGCGTCATTACCTTCCAGACAAAAAAAACCAAGACCTCACAGACCTGATGACATAGTTTTATTAGAACATCTTCCTTCTTAGTTGACCCGTTTATTTTGGCTCAAGTTAGTCTATTTGTTTTTAGACAACTTGGTATCGTGGGCATAAAGGACAGAAATGAACCTGAGAATATTCACATAACAAACTACAGTGGTCTTACTAACTTTGATACACAAGTTAGCTAATACCAATTCGTGGTTATTATTAAAAGTGGTCAATTGGTCACTTTATTTAATCATTTTGAGGTATCTATCAATTCTTTTCTTTTATTTTTATCAACATCATTCTGATGGGCTTCTTTTGTGCTGTGACTGCATTATAAAACCAAGAAAGGATAAAGAATGGAGAAAAAGGTAACTGTGAAATCAATGCATATCATTTACTTGTCCTTGTAAGAAGAAATAAAGAGATAAGAACAGCAACCAGTCATCTTTCTGTTACCTAATAGTACCATTTAGTAAACAATCACATCTTTAAATACGTTTAGCAAGAGATACAATATATTTATATTAATGAAGTACAGCGACAATAAAATGTATCATAATACTATTAATTATAATGTGAAAGCCAAGAAACCATCAGTGGCAAAGAGTCTGCACTTATTTCCCGGGGCTTCATTTAGTATGATTGAATTTGATCCTATCAGAGAATCCAATTAATACTTGAGGTCTTTTGGCCTTTTACACTGAGACCGACCTTATCCCATCCCCTTTTTGATTATTATTATTTTGGGTTATGTAAGTGTGCATAGCATACCTGTTCGTAAGAGAACCTATTCATGTGTGCGTGTGTGCGTGTGTGCGTGTGTGCGTGTGTGCGTGTGCATATTCCAGTAATATAACACCTAATAATCACCCTTTGAACCCAACCAAATAATTTTCTCTAGATTTTTTCTTTGTTATTTGTATTAAATAAAGCAAACAATTCCATTGTATTGAATGGGGATGTAATTTTGAATATTTTATTGGTCAAATTAATAAACAAATTATTTAAAGACTGCGCCATGATTTTTTTTTTGATTTCCAGTATAGAGAGAGAGAACTCCTTTATGACTTGAATACGGGAAGTATTTTCTGATTTACTTTCATATTCATCTCTTGAGCACCGTCACATACCTTTTTATTATTAATTTTTTTTTTATATCTCTATACATTTAGTTTTTTTTTTTGCTTTTTTTCTTTTTTTGGTCATTTATTCCAAAGTTTGCATAAACTAGCATTCTTCTTTATCCCCCAATGTTAGCGCGCATTGTCACTTCCGAATGGGCGCAATGCAATACCCTGGCTGGCTCATTCCGCCATCAAACTATATTGATTTCTCGTACTCGTTCTGTGCTGAGGCAACCTCATTCAACCCGGGGATTCCGGACTTCACGTAACCTGTTCGAGGAAATTAAGGAACCCGGCTCTTTCCCGGTGAGTCAATAGATAAAAAATAAATAAAGTAAAATTTATATACTTATACACGGATTGACATTATTGTTGCTTTATTTTATTTTATTTTATTTTATTTTAATAACCTGTGATTTAATGTTTACTTTAAATCAAGGTACAGGGACTGACTACAGAAGTAGCTCAACTTCAGTCAGCCATGCTTTACCTGGACAACGTATTCCCCCTTCGGTTGAATAAACTTGATATTCGCCAACTACTATTCCGGTCTACTCGCCATTCTCTTGAAGCAAAAGCACATAAATCTATACCCACTGAAGGCATGCCTCATAACTTCAAGATTGCTGATGTAATTCCTAGGTAAGTACGTTACACAACCATAATCTACACTACAAATCTAGTTTGGGGTTAAAACCAAATATATATGTAAAATACAATAGAATAACAGCAATAACATTCGAATAGAAAAAAGGATGGAGGAGCTCTGGTAAAATTCACATTCACAAGCACTCCATCTGAAAAAAAGGAGGCCGGAAAAGAAATCACTTCAAAAGTCTTTAGCTACATTGAGAATCACAGCACTTTGGCTGCCTTCAACTTCCAGCCCATGCGGGCCTTCTATGTCAAAGGTCAACCGTTTTTGGAAGACTTGGTGGCACGCTATCCAACTCAGCGCTTGCGGGTGGAATTTCAAGGAAGCCCGGTGGAGATTGAAAAGCTTTACAAGCAAATGCGAACCTATGGACGCATACATGATATATCCATGTATCCAAACCCAATCACATCAAAAGACCCAGTACGATATGCAATCGTAAACTTTACAAAAGTACGATCGGCTACCAGTGCAAGAAACTGTCTACACGGCCATGTGGTCGAAGGTACACGCCTTAACGTGTTGTATGAACAACAACTGGTACGGCAAAGATATATATATATGCATACATACATACATATACATAATAATAATTCAAATTTATCTCAATCATTAACCTTATATAATAATAATAATAATCACAACATCAACAGAACACCAACGTTGTAAAGGACTGGATTGTTGGTCATCCTCGTATAAGTATTCCCATCATCGCTGCTCTTGTGGCCGCAGTTACATACGCCATTTTTGATCCGATTAGAGTCTTCTTCATCACCTCAAAGGTCACACACAGATTCAACTTGGATGAATATGCTTTCTATCGTTGGTTGCGTAGTGAGACATGGGCACGATTGATGCCAACCGAGCGTGAACCTGCTAATCGCCAGTCCGTCTGGACAGAAGATTCAGAACAGATCGAGAGGCTCAAATCCTGGGTGCAAGAGAAGCCTGGTAAGTAAAAAGAAAAAAAAAAGAACCAGAAAGATATCTTACTCAAATCAACCTATAGAAACGTTTGGAATCGTTTCGGGTCCAAAGGGTAGTGGAAAATCAGCATTAGTGATGACCGCAATGGAAGGTCGACGGTAGGTTAATAGATAAGAGTAAAGGAGGTAGACCAAAAGAAAGAAAGAAACCATACAGACACACAGACACACAGGCACACATATACATTGATTGATATATCAGCTAAAATTACAACCTTTCTTCCTATTTTCTGTTTTGTAAAAACCCTTTTAGTAACAAGATTCTGATCGACTGCGAAGAGTTATCAAATGCACGCAACAAGTCTGAGCTCACCAAGATGCTTGCTAAAGAAGTTGGCTATTTCCCACTCTTCACATGGATGTCCTCCATGAGTGGTCTGATAGAAACACTCGTGACAGCAACCACCGGCCAAAAGGCAGGTCTCTCATCATCTCCTGACTCACAGATCCAAGATATCCTTGAGACCTTGGCTATCTCATTGAGAGAGATTGCGCCGAAACAAAAGTCTGAAAAAGATCGAAAGGAGAATCCTTCGGGAAGCAAGAGTATCTTTGATCGATTGTTGGAATTTATAAACAGTTCTGATGCCAAGGAAAAGATTCACACTCTTGAAGAAAAGGCCAACCTTCATTCCAACAAGGAAAATAGCTACAACAAGGAGGACATTCCTGTTGTTGTCATCGACAACTTTATGTACCGCGAAACCGCAAAGAACGCCAGTCTCTGGGAAGAATTGGCTAACTGGTCGTCTATTCTAATTGAAAACGAAATTGCTCATGTAATATTTATCACTGCAAATCCTGGAGCCAGTAGACTATTGAGCAGGGGTAAGTGATACAAAAGAGAAAGAAGAGAGAAAGAGGGTTTCTTTGGATTGTCACGAAACTTAATATTTATGTATGTATAAATCTCTATGATTGTAGCTTTGCCTGGAAAGAGTTTCTCCACGATCATTCTTGCAGACGCACCTACAGAGATGGCACTCATGTTCGTTACCAAACAGCTTGGTTAGTTTGATTTTTTTATACAAACTACAAAGCATATGACTTAGTAATTTCTTTTCTTTATTGGACTGTAGGCACCGATGAGGTTGATGAGAAACTGTCTGGCATTGTTGATGCACTAGGAGGACGCTTGACTGAATTAGAGCTGTTGACAGCCAAGATTAAGGCCCACATGGAACCAGAAGGTAAAGAAGAGCATGATATAAATGTCAAAAATTTAGTACTAATTACTTGTTCATTTCTTTAAAAAATGATTACATATAGTTGCGTTTAACGAGATTGTTAGTAGAAACATAATCGAGATTCTCAAGTATGGTCTTGGAGACGTAGCACAATCTGCAGACAGCCGTGCAGAATGGACTCCATCTCAGTTCTGGGCCATTGTAAAAGGTTTATCAGACCAAACAAGTGTATGTAAAAAAATATCCTGAAGCTTGACTATCTTGATGCTTACATTACATTTAAATTACATTACAAAATCTGAATTTTTTTTAGCTTAATTATGATGAGCTAAAATGGACCCCTCTCTTCAACGGGGATGAAAATCCGTTGAGAGAAATGGAGCGAGCAGAAATGATTACAATCGTTCACCACGATGGTAGGAGGAATAAGATGACGTCCTTGGCCCATGATTTATTAATTTATATGATGACCGTATTACTTACTTAGGCCGCCCTTACTCTATTCGTCCTGGAAAGCCGGTGTTTTACACGGCGTTCAAGCGATTGACAGCCGATAGTGTGTTCGCCGCGTCTATGGATATTGAATACAACACTCAGCTCAGGAAGATTGCCGAAACAAACATTGCAAAGTACGAAGACAATATCATTTCGTTGTCTAATGTATATTACGGAAGACCTCCTCGAGAAATCAACAACCGTATCCGTGCCTTGTTAGCCAAGGTTGAGAAAACACAAAAATTGATTGAGGAATATGAAACCAACATCAATGAGGCCAAGAAGATTATCTCAAAGGATTGGCAGGACGAATAACAAACAGTACGTTCAAGGGAGGGGGATCGTATATGTCCCGGAAATATAACATAACATAAAATAAAGCAAACAAAAACACAAAACACAAAACACAAAACACAAAAAAATAAAATAAAGTGCCTACAAAACCCTTTACAGTGATAAAAGTATATCGATTCGGGTAACTAACGGCACAATACAGTTGGCTTCACGACCCGAGGAGATAACAAACAAACGAAGACTATTGCTTATTTCGCCCCTCGGGTGTGTTAAGGACGATCTTCCGAAACAATACGTATTAACCTTCTTTCTTTTCTGTCTATTACCTATTCAATTTTCTGTCTCTATCTATCCACCTTATCTCTTCTTCTTCTGTTTTTTTTTTTTAAAAATTTCTATTGTTGCTTATGTCCAAATCTTCATCTACCTTGAAGATCAGCAAATCTTAATCAAAAAAATTACACGCAATGTTGCAGACAGAGAACGAGAGTCTCCCAGATCCATTTAACTCAGGACTAGCAACCCATTGTATAACAAAAGGAATACTGGATAAGCAACACCCGGCCGGTATAATGCCATTCAATGAGAAACTAGATCACCTAGAGGTCATCAATTCCCCACTTCCATGCCCAGTAAACTTACATACAGAGATATGGGAGGAACCGCATGATATAGAACCCCAAGGCTCACTCACGTCAAACTCTTCCGGATCAAGCCAATCAGGAATCAATGACCTCAATACATCACTGGCAGGCTTTAGCTCAGATACACATTCACAAGTAACGTCTCCTTCCAACCGGACCACTCCCCAGACAGTCGAGCAAGTCTACAAGCTATGCGAACGTGCTCGAGCCACTGGCAACCCGCGTGTTCAGCTCGAACTGTGCAACGAATTTATAGATAGCTTTCAACTCAAATGTACCAACGAATCGCTCGAATCATTCTCGTCTGGGTCCTCTTCTTTCGCTCCCGGAGACCCAAAGAAACCAAAAATCAAGAAGAAGGACCGGACGGTTAACGAGGTGATGCTCAAGGAAGCGCTCCGGATCCTCGAACGGCTGGCAACAACGGGCCAGGGTATGGGAAAGTGTGCCGACAGTGAAGCCCAATATATTCTTGCCAACTTTCTGGGCATGGGCGGATTAGGGCTAAAGGTGAACCACGACAGAGCATTTCAACTGTACATCCAGGCTTCCAAGCAATGCCATCCCGAAGCCACCTATCGTGCTGCAGTGTGCTATGAGCTGGGTCTCGGTACGCGAAAGGACACTTCCCGTGCCATTATATTCTACCGCAAGGCTGCCCATCTGTGCCATCCTGCAAGTATGTACAAACTTGGGATGATCATGTTACGAGGCTATTGCAACCAAACCCCTGTCATGCGAGAGGCCGTCTGTTGGCTGCAGCGAGCTGCCAAACACGCCACAGCCCAGGTCCCCCATGCCCTACACACATTAGCAATGATCCAAATCACAGGTGAACTTGGTGAATCGACGAGCATGTTGGCCGACACAGCATATGCAATTGAATTGCTATTAAAGGCTGCTACTTTTGGATATGCGCCCAGTCAAGTCAAGTTAGGCGAGTGCTATGAGACAGGCGAGCTGGTTAAACCGGATGATAGACTATCTATACTATGGTATTCTCGTGCAGCGCAGTTAGGAAGTGCAGAGGGCGCGCTGGGATTGTCTACTTGGTATCTCACTGGATCAGAGACTCAAGGTTTGCTGGATCAATCCGATTTACAAGCACTTCTCTGGGCTAGAAAGGCTACTATTGTTGCGTTGGCTATGGAAAATGATTCAAAGAGGTGGACACTGGCAAAGGCATGCTATACAGTTGGCTTTTATATGGAGCATGGTATTGGGTTAGACGTTCCATCAATAGAGGAGGCAATTGAATGGTATAAGCAATCGGCAGACAATGGCCATTATGATGCAGCAAGACGATTAGATCATATTCGGGCAATGACACACCATACTGATGAAGTTGATGGGAAGCAACGCAGACAATCGCATTGCCATACTATGTAAATAGAGTTATTTACTTATTTTATTTTATCTTATTCTTCATTTTTTTGCAAGGTACAAAAGGTGAAATAACAAAAAAAAAAAAAAAGCACTTGTTTGTTTGTTACGCTTATTTTTTTATTTTATTTTATCTTCTGCTCTATTCTTTTTTCATTCTCTTTTCTTTCATGTAAATAATTTGATTCTTATATAAATTGAAATGTCACCCAAGCAAGTAAATCGACCGCCACCATCGAAAGGTTAAAGCAGCCGAATAAAGGAGGCTCACAAACAGATTGTTTCTCTCTCTGCCGTACAATCCTCAGACAATCGTGAAGATTCTGAATTATCGAGGAAATCTTTCCCAAAAAGGGAAAAACAGATTATGAGAAAACCTCTTTTGGGACGGAGAAGAGGGCTTGTTATAATACTTTATTAAGCTTGTGGTTGAGTTGTGGGTAAAGAGATCAATTACTGTAATTGACCACCTCTTTTCTTCTTCTTTAGAATAAATGTACAAAATAGCCAGAAAGAGAAAAAGAGACAAAATATCATCTTATGTTCTTCTATATGTGTAATGTGTAATGTAATGTGTGTGTGTGTGTTGGTGGGTGGATGTATATGTAACTCGGTGATATTCTAAATAGGATGTTTTTTTCTTTCTTTCGTTCTTTCTTTCTTTCTTTCTTTCTTTTTATTTATTACTATTTCTATTACTATTGTCATCATGATAAGAGCAGTAGCAAATCCAAATTACTCATCAAGAAGTGAGCCTGCTGGAGGATTCAAATCATTCGAAGCATTCTATCCTTTTTATCTGGGAGAGCATTGCAATCGTATTAATCGCAGACTTCATCTGATTGGTACATTGCTCTCTTTATATATATATTTCTTTAGAATCTCAAAAGAAAAAGAAGAAGAGCAATGAATCTAACCAGTAGATCATTTGTATTCTATAGGAACTACAATCTCAATCATCATGTTTATGATTGCACTGTTAAAAAGAAACAAAAATTATTTCTTGGCTGGAATATTACAAGGTATTATAGGAGGATATATTATAAAAAGTTTATAGTTCTTGTTTTTTCCCCTCTTCTTCCCTTCTTCTGTGTAACTGGGGTAGTCATTAAGCCAAAATCAAAAAACACACACACAAATCAATGCTGATATTTAGCATACGCCTGGGCATGGACTGGACATTTTGTATTTGAGAAAAAGTAAGTAAGCAAAGAGCATTATTTTCCGTCACAAAACAAAACAAAACTCATGTCATTTTATTCTTGCACATCCATTAGTAAGCCTGCTACATTTCGTTATCCTATGTGGTCTCTTTGGGGTGATTTTAAGATGTGGTCCGAGATTGGGATGGGCAAACGAACTCTGTAGATGACCATATTGTGGATAAGTAAGGAAGGATGCGAATGAATGCATACAAAGATTGGTGTTGTGAGAAATATTATTATTAATAATCATAGTACGCACAAAAGATAATAGCTTTTGTTGTAGTACACGAGTGTATTTGAAGTATATAATGAATTAGGTATTCTATGTTTGCTATAGATCAAAAGGAAATAAAGTACGAGTCCATTTCTTTTTTCTTTTTCTTTCAAAAGAAAAGGAAAGAATGCATGGTTTGAAGGGGGGTGGTTTATCCTTGCAAAAGACTTTGAGCCTTTTGAAAGAATGCATCAATGTTGTGTGTCATGATGTCTTGATTTTCAAGGTACATATTCAGTCTAGCCAAGAGTTCAACTTGCTCTCTTTGAGACAAGTTATTGATCACCAGTGCCAAGATGGTTCCGACCGATACATTGTACATCTAAATATGTATATAATGTAAACATTGAAGAACCCTTGACTGATCTTATTTACCTTGATAAAGCTGTGATAATACATGTGTGCAAAGAATCCCATCAAGAACTGGCAGTCCATACGATCAGTCAAACCACCATGGCCAGGAATAGTGTCTCCGAAATCCTTGATCTTGAAAGCACGTTTGACAGCACTGGCAAAGAATCCACCAACAGGAGCAATCAAAGAAGCAAAGCAGGCCATCATAATTGTGTGCAGCTGAACCGGAGCAATCCATACCTCATCTACATCTTGGAAGGTCTATAGATGTGTCAGTCAAGGTCAAATGCTTGGATTGGGTTACTAACCGTGATCTTGATCAAGTAGCGAACTATCGATGGAAGATGCCAAGGAGCAGCAGTAAATACTGGGTTCTTTGGCTCACAAGAAACGTTGGACCATGCAGAAGCAGCAAGATCCTAAATAAATAAATAAATAAATAAAAAAACACAAGGGGAAGGGTTGTGTGGATCTTACCTGAACTGGACATGTGAGGTAGTCAAATCTCATCAAGAGGGTAGTCACCTATACATATTTTTTTAGAACAAAAAAAAAGAAAAAGAAAGACAAAATTCTCATAAGCATAAACCCTCTGCTTTTCACATGATGTCTAATTCTTACAAAGAATCCAAGCACAAGAGTACACAAGAGAGCACCCACAAAGCCTTCGACTGTTTTTTTGGGACTGATTTGGATAAGAGGAGTCTTTCCCCAGAAGAATCCACACACATAGGCAAAGATATCATTGATAACCACTAGAGACGCAGGCATGACAAACCTAATGATCATGTTATTAGGCTGTGGATAAACCGACCTGTGTACCACTTACCAAATCAACCCTTCCAAGATGTTATCCACAATAAAATGACTCTGGACGACAATCAAGAACAGAGACATATGAGTCCATCCAAATTGTGCCATCTGTGCCTTGTATTCTCCCTTCTTCAAGTTGGTGACAAAAAAAACGAAACCTGACATAGCATGACATGACATCATCTCAATATCCACACTATTCCGAATCTTTTTATGTATATATTAGAGCTTACCAAGAACATAGAGCATAAAACTGATGAATCGATGGTGAGTAGCAAATGGTAACAAGAACGCGTCAACCATGACGATTTCCTTGAAGTAATAGATGATAGATTCGCCATAAAGGAAATACTCGGTTGTAATTAAAAAGTACCTAAAATTTTACACAAATACATACATGAGCCTGTTGAAATTATATATATATATATTTATCTTAATCTATTAACAATAGAAATCTTAAAATATTAACAATACCAGCTCATCGTCTTGAACCATCTCAGGTTTTTGCTCTTGGCTGGTACATATGCAAGCTGAATGACTTCACGGTAGACAAGAACAGTGATGATCATAACTGCCGCAATTGACCAAATGTAACCAGATGCCAGAGTAAAGAAAAAGGCACTGATCATCAAGAGGGTTGTTGAGGTTCTGATGGCCATGTTGCGCCATTTGGTGGAAGATTTCTCGGCTGCCAAAAGAACTGGTTCCTTTTCAGCATTCTCTCGTGGTTGTACTTTCTTCTTGTCATTGGCAACTACAGAGTTTGTTCTGCTGGGTGCCTCAGGAGATCTTTCAGATCTTTGAGTATTTTTCTTTGTTTTTCCCATTCTTTCCAGTTGAACTTCTATGCGGACAAGTGCATAAAATATATGAATAAAAAAGGCAGGGGGTGGAAGGAAAAGAAAGAGACGCCAAAATAAAATAAAAATTAAAAATTAAATAAAATAAAAAATTAAATAAAAAATTATATAAAATTACCTTTTCAATTGAAATCGTTAAAATTTCTCGTTTGGGTTAGAATGTATACGTGTGTGCGTTTATATTAATATAAAAAAATGACTGATAAAATACATTAATACAAATTCAAGATATTTTAGTGATATTTCAAAAAAAAAAAACAAGAGAACAAGTAACCCATTTTATTTTTACATTTTATTTGCTTGACTTAAGCTGTAAAAATATGTTATTAAAAGTAAAAGCAGAAGAGAATCTCAAAAGGAAGTTGTAATGTAAAGGGAATTGGTTTTTATGCTTTGAAATATAGATTATTATCCAGAGATTATGATAGGTCGGGTTATCGGCAGAAATATAAGCGGGGACCATGCTATGATTGAAAATGAATTAATGAAGGACATATGTTGTCACAGTCAGAACTTGGGTTATGTAGCAATTACGATTATATTAACAAAATAAAAATTAATTAACCAGGTATATCATACATATTTGTAAGAAGCATTACTACCACAACCTTTGTATTCAACCACAGGATTATTAACATAACGGAAAAGAACATTCTCTCTTCAGAAACAGTTAATATTCAATTTTTTTTTACCGATCGATCGATTTATCTATCAAAACTACCATCTCTAATTACTTGACTCATATTATGTTTCAATTGATCTCGTACGAGGAATACAATCGAATCAAGTAAAACAGTATACAAGTCGAACAATTGTAGCAAGCCAATTACCTCTCAATATCATCTTTGATTTAATCAAAAGCTTTTGTGTATTTATTTATAGTTCAAAGCGTACATACATTATATCTAGATCCTTAAAATTCTATCAGACCAGCCAAGAAAATGTTTTGGAGTGACTCTGTTTATCACACAGTAGAGTTTGTAAGCTAATTAATTATCAATTATATACAAGACAATCTTGGCATTTACATATATATAAATTCTTTTGAATTGGCTTTCTTTTTCTTCTTTTCTTAGCTATGATTAATGCCACTTTTTTTTTCTGTTTGTTTGGCTGTGAAATCCCAAGACATAAGCGCAGTATGGCGCCGAGTTTTGTTCAATTGAAAACTGAAAATCATCAGTTGTTTAAATAGATTAATTGGGCATTTGTCGATATAAGTTAAACCTGTTTGACTCAGATTCTCATGAGCTTCCCCAATATCTGGCAACCTAGACTTCATAATCATTTTGTACTAGTGTGAGGGTCCAATGAAACTAATGATATCATTTTTGATACATAAAATACAAAAAAAATGAATTCGAGCTGAGTATGATTTCTTTCGTTTACTGTTGCCATGACAGAAATTCATTAATCTAAAACATGTCTGGTCAGCTAACTTCTTTAAATCGAGAATAATCACCAGATTATACGATATATAAAACCTAACTAGTTTCTCTTTGGCATTCAGGTCTCTTTGCTTTTTATTTAAAAGAAACAAAAAGAAACAAAAGTTATACTTAATGACCGGGGCGATATGAGTAAAATACATGCAGGGAATTGATACTAGATTTTATCACATGATGCATCTACCCTGAAGATCGGTTGGAATCCTCGAGGACAATACGATTTGTACCACATATGATTCTTGCTCAAGCAAGCCCTGGTCTCTTATGTGGAGGTTGAATTTGCTTGGGGTGGGCTCAACTCTTAAAAAGCCACAGTGCATATATTGTAGGTCTTTAACATTATACTTGCTCGACCTTAACCAGAGCCAACAACAGAGAAAAAGAGTCCTATAGCTTGTATCTGTCTTATTTTTCATCCCAAGAGACAATGAAGGGAAGATGACCGAACGAGCGTCCTCCAACCTAGAAGATCAGCGTTTCAAATCCATAGATCAATCTTTCATCCACATCACAAATGATTCTTGCCATTGCAATCCAGCCTTGGATTACTCTCATCTATCTCACAATTGTTCAGCCAATTACTATAGCCAACACTTGATGTCTCTCAATTCATCGACATCTCATTATACCCCCATACTTCTGGATACATTGACACCCCCCTATGAAACAAATAATGCATTAATGCACGGACCACACTGCACAGCAGCCTTGTCAAATAACGACTGTATAGATCTTTTGCCGGGTATTAAACGCAAACGCCAGGACACTATAGGCGACCAATCAGCAAGCTCGTCAATTTATGCTAATGCATACCAACCCAAAGGCCAGAAAACCAGTAATACGGATCAAATAATCAATCAGACCAATGGATTCCAAAATGAGTATCGGTCTCCAATATCCCTTGTGAATTCAGAAACATATTATAGGAATACCCCCTCAGATCTAGTCCACGACAATCGTATATATCCCTCAATCAAACAAGCATGCATATCAGAATCATTCGAAGCCGTCTCTATAAACGAATCAGAAGCAAAACAAGTCGTCTGCATTTTAGGAAACATGCTCTCCATAGTAAAAGTTGATGTGTCAAAGGAGGTAGCAAAGAGGATCAACAATACAGGCAAGTAGTATTCTATTTAAATATCTTCTATCATTTTAATTGCTCAAATGAAGGTACTTCGACAATCATGCTCAACTTGATTTTAAATTATATTTGTTAGAATGGTCATATATGCCAGATTTAGCTCTTGACTATCTATTTCGCTCACTGGAGTCTGAAAGAGTCTGTAAAGACATGTCTGCTCTTCGAGAAACCGTCAACCAACAAACCATAGATATATACTGTCTCATGACTGGCTTCATGACAGTTTATCTAGTTTTCATCGAGCTTCTCTTTCAAGATCTGATCGGTAATGTGAACCGAAGCTCTTTTGTAGAATACTCGAGTCTCTTTGCGGAACAAGACGATATTTTAAAAAAATCTGATGATATATTTCTATGGCACCATTCGTACACTCGGCACCACACCACTATTCTATCCTCTCTGAGGAGCCAAATGCAAGCAGCCGGCATAAAATTCCATTCTCTTCAACTCATCGACACCATATTCTCACAATTCTATACACTTCACTTTCTTGAGACATCAGCACAGAAACACCAAAAGGACCATGGTCAATTTTATACCCCTCAAAGCGTGGTGCAATTTATGTGGATGCGATGCATGTCCAAACAGACTTTACGAGATACACTAAAGACAGGAAGAGTTCCGCGCGTTCTCGATCCATGTATGGGCATAGGTACCTTTCTTTGCGAGTTCCTGACCAGACTTGTGAGCCAAAGCACTACAACACCTCTATTGTGGAACGATCCAACCATGTTGAGAACCATGCTGTCTCAAACAATCCCAGATGCCTTGTGGGGGGTCGAAATCGACCCTTTTGCATGTAACCTAGGAAAACTAAATATAATTCTTCATTTGTTTCCGTTTTATAAGAGGCTAGTTGAGCTGGGGGAGTGTTTAACGCCGCGCATGATAAATCGACTACGAATATTCTGTAATGATACACTCAAATTAACTGTGGAGAGCAAGCCAGTAACCGAATCAGGGACAGAAGCACAACTTTGGGAGAAGGAGCAGCTGGAAAAACTTAGAGATGCGGCATTGTTCAAGTTTGATTATGTTGTAACCAATCCACCATATATGATTCGAAAGACTGGTTTTATTGCCGTGCCGGATCCAGAACTATACGATGACAGCGTCCTTGGCAGAGGAAGCCAGGCGTACATGTACTTTTTGTGGATTTGCCTTCAACGGTGCGAAGAAACAAATGGGCAGATTTGCTTTATCACACCCAGTCAGTGGATGGTTCTAGAGTTTGCGGAAGAGCTTAGGTGAGCATAGAATACTAGGCATATTTATTAGTAATATTATGTTGACAAACCTATCGTTCTGATAAACAGAGCGTGGATTTGGCAGCATTTTGAAATGCTGGAAATATTTCAGTTTGAACCTTACAAGGTCTGGCCAAAGGTTCAAACAGATTCTCTTATATTTAATTTGCGTAAACGTGCCCCTGGTCGTGTACCAGAACAGACTCTATTCCTAAGACACATGTCAAGAAAACACAACCTGGAGAGTATTATTAAATCTTACAACATATTTGATCGATCTCGTCTGGAAGTGCAAGATCCACTTATCAAATACAAGCTGACATCTACGGAACCAGTAGACTTTATACACCAGATTCCGCATGCCTCATTCTCTTTTTTGTCCCCTACGTCTTCTGTTTCTGACCAGCTTATGAATCTAACAAAAAGTTTACCTCGTCTATGCGATGGAGAGATGTGTTTGAATACATCTTCTTCATGCGCCCCTCTTGTTTGGAATCGCGGACCAAACACTAATCCAGTGTATGCACTAGTTGTACGAACTCGATGGGCACTCGGTGTGTTCGGAAAAGAGTGTTGCGATCAATGGCTTCGACCAGTCTTTTACTGGAGTGGTAAATCCTCTAGTGCAAGTCGGCGAAGAAAGACCAGTGGATTCCAAACAGTTAGTAAAGAAGCCACATTTTGGCAAGACCGGGATCCCTTGCGCCTGACAAAAAAAGAGAATTCGCCTGCTGAGGCATATGTACCTCTTTGTCGCTCTGACCCCGATGACACCAGATTATCGTTCTACTCGATGATATTGGTTGATAAAGACGGGGCACTGCAACTTGAAGAAGAATATAAATTGTACGGTAACACTGCAAACTCATCTGCTCTCTACCATTATTTGCTTGACGCCCGCAATGCCCTTCAGACTACGAAAACCGACCGGAATATTGCATATTGCCACTACAGTAAATGTGGAATTGAAACCCCAGTAAAGATTGTTCACCCGATAAACTTTGGGTATTTTACTCGCACACAACCACGACAGCGATTCTTCATCGATACTGACCGACGCTGCGTAACAAACCAGTGCATGTATTTTACCATAAAATCCGAATATCCTTGGCAGTCAGCAGATTTCTTTTGTGGTCTCTTAAATTCTAGCACACTACAGTTTTTTATACGAGATACTTGTTATTACGACCAGCAAGGACGTACACGATTTTTCGGAAAACATATGGCCAAAATTCCGTTTACCCCACCTCGTTCGACTATAGACGTTGAGATTATGGCTATGTTTGTGCGGCATCTAACAACAGCACGTCAATGGATATATGGGATTATTCAACTATCGAATACACTCAATGTTATGGAACAAGTCAGAGGATGTACATGGCATATACCATTAGTTGATCAAGCATTACTGTCTTTGTGTGAACAGAGAACACCCAACTGGCGAATTGACTTGTTTAGAGCACCGTACGATGCGAATGACTGGATAAATATAATAATACAATCAGAATCACACACAAGAAGCGTGGGTATGTATGAGGAGCTGACACGGCTTCTTAAAGTGGCATCCTTGTTTCAATATTGCATTGATCAGCTCGTCTATGACATTTACAGTATACCGGCCGATCTGCAAAAAGGGCTTGAGCAGGAACTTGGGCTCATATTGACTGAAACTTGGAAAAATATTTTATTTGAGGAAACTAGTGTGAAAGACCATTGCCTAACCTGGGGTCTGTGTATGGAAGAAGTCGCAAAAAAGATATTTGACAAAGATTCTTAGTTGAATTTCTCTCTCTCTCTCTCTATCTTCCTCTCTTTCTTCTTCTGTTTCTCTTCTCTTTTATTATTATTTGTGATAGTACCCTTTTGTAAATATTAACATGGTGACATAAAAATTAGCAACATCCTTTGTCTTCCAATTTAGCTAACTAACAAATTCAAGTTTGATTCACCATAGATTCTTATACCAGGCAAATCGTCAACATGGTTTTATGGAAGATAGTCAAACAGATTAAAATAAAGAGGAATAGAACATATCGTAATAATTTCTAGGCCAGATCGAGTTTTACAAGCATGTTTATAGGAAAGGTATGACATATCATTGTGTGTTTTTTTTAAAAAAAAATAGCATATTTAAATAACAACATGATAGATCATTGATAACAAATTCTACATTCTTTCAATTTTCTTTTCCATACAAAAAAAAAGAAAGAAAACAGCTAATTATGTCCAATAGTCTCCACCAACCAAACACAGATAACATTGATAATAGCAAAGTATTAGAGCAAGATATCGCTGCAAATGAAGATAATATTACCTTTCAAGAAAGTGCTAACATTCGAAACCTTGTCGGGTGTATAATCATCGATCCAAAAACAAAATACTTTATGTTAATATCTACCAATAAACAAAAGAAGCCGTGGGTCATTGTAAGTGTCACAGAAGTATTTAATCTTATCTGTGGTACTTGAAGAATAAAATCTTTCTTTTTCCTCAAGCCAAAATCGAGGTGGTATGATGGAGACGATATCAAGGATATAGTTAAAACGACAACTTGGGAAGAAGCTGGTGTGCTGGGGACTGTACGGCGGCGTGTAGGAAAATTTATAGAAAGGAAGAATACTACCGTACAAGCATATCACTTGATGTACGAAATCGAATCTAACGAGGTGTTCGATATTTACCCACAATCAAAAGGACGCGTTAGACGATGGGTGAGAACATAAGAACGTGATATAACGTATAAAGTACTGACTAACGTTGATTAGTTTAATTATCAAGAAGCAGTGATGATTGTGAAAGATAAGCATATCAGGGATGCGTTAAGAATGTCTAGTGTGAGTCCACCTATACTTGCATTTCAAACGTCCAAAAAACTTGAAATCCAGAAAGAAGAAGCCGTGAAGAAGAAGAGGGATAACAAAAGAAAAAAAATGCGAGAAAAGCTTGGTTATAGCGTGAGTGAAGAAATCTCAGTGCCTGGAAGCTCGGGGATCAAGATAAATGAAGATGCATCAACATCAAAGAGTGGATTGAAAAACAGTACAGACAGTGAAGAGAACTATATTGGAACGAGTTCGAGAAACGAATGTTCGCTTAATGATGTGCACACAGTGCCACTTGATGGATTACCTTCAACTTCAAAGACACAAAATACGACTGGTATTTCTGAATCAGGATTTTCAGCTGAGGCACAACCTATTTCTGCCCAAAGTAGTATCTCAAAGAAAAGCCAACAGTCAGAAAAAAGCAACACTTTTACAGAGGGTCAATTGTCCCAATCAACTGGAAAGACAAGTCAGGAAGATACAACAAGTATAAATAGGAGAAGATCATGGGCCAAGTTCATTCCAATGTATAACTCTAAGAATAAAAAGCGTGCCCAACCTGAAGACCTTGCGACGAAGATGGAAGACTTGAATTTAGCAAATCAATAAAGAGTAACGTGTGGATATTATGATATATTCACATAGAATATGTATCCCTTGTGTTTGTTTCTATTCTGACTATTTTACTGAGGGGAATGTAGTTTGACTATATACATTCTTCTAGTAGCTTACAAGCTTCTATACGCATGCCTTTTTTAGAACTTTACTTTTTGTCTATAGACAGACAATATTAATCAAAGGTTTAAAAAGATATAGCTTATCTTGAAACTGCTATATTATATTCATGCTACTTTAAGTATAAATGCTATAATTTAATATAAAGCACAAGTATAAAGCCAAAAAAAAAAAAATACGTGTTTAAATAGAATGCTATATTTTGATAAATAAAAGTACACAGTTTACATTTCTTTGGATGGTTTAAAGTAAAAGATCACAGATCGTTTTGCTTTTATCCAGAATAGGGCACTACTCCATCTTCCAATAAAGGCTGGTATCCTTTGTATTGTATTTGCAGCTTTTGAGTATAGTTCCACCTCGTTTGCCTTTACCACCGGTTGGCTTGTGGGATAAACACTTGGGTGTCATGTCATACAAGTGGTCAACGGCAATGATCTTGTATGTCTTTGCTTTTCCGGAAACAGGAACAAATACCCACACCTGTTTTGTCCAGACTATTGGTGCGTAACGTTTAGAGAGCGTTTCATTGGTTTCGATGGCCTCAATATCCTCGTTGTCGAGAGTTTGGTCTCCAAGTGATCTTTTCATGTTTTTGAGCTCGCATTGCCACATAACACCCGCATCGTCAACTCCTTTAGTCTAGTGTAAGAAAATATCATATTGGCAGAGATATTAAAGGTTAGCCGTCTTTTAAAAAAAAGTCTGCATAAATTAAAAATACTTGTTATGGACTTTACCCAGCGAGCAGACAAGCATTTTTTTGCAGTTCCATGATCATGGCGAATTTCAAAGTATTTGTTGGAATATCGCTTTACAATCCACAAATTGGAGGCAGACTTCTTTCCGGCTACAGGTTCGGGTAGATTTCCTGGCAAGAAGTCGAGGTATTTTCCTGTTTTGATGTTCTTGAAATGAAACTTTCCCTGGGGAACATTCACACCGCTTTTAAAAATCGCATTGCCGTCTTTCTTGCCCGTTTTGCTAACTCCTTGGGCATAAATCGACTGAATATGGAGTAAAAGTGTGAACACCAGTAGAGAAAGAACCCAAAGATATTTCATTCCTATTAGATGTCTCTTTCTTTCTTTCTTTTTTTTTTTTTGGTAAATGAGAACAGAAAATGTTAATTACAATTGTTGTATTTATATGGAAGAAATAATAATTGAATATGGGCAAATTACTTTTTAAGCTCATTAGCTCGGATCTAAGTAACCATTCAAGTAACAACTACTAAATTGCGTGTAACGATGATTTGCTATAATTTTTCTTTACTTGTACCTAATCGATTCTTTCGACTTGCATCTAAGTTTTAAACATAATGTGACTCCGCCGCTCCGATTTTATTTTTTCTGTCATAAGTTTTTTTTAAGTTTTTTTTTTATGCTCAGAATCTCAATTAGAAATTTACTATCCTAACAATACCAAGCTACAGGAATAAGGATATCCATTAATAGAAATACAAAGTTAATTTTAAAGTAAAGCCATGATTCAAGATATTTTATTGGTTATAATAAAAGCAATAATTACTTTTCTACTAATATAACGGGCTTTTGTGTGGTCATAAGTTGCCTGGAAGGGATGTATAATAAAGCAGTCAAGCTATCTTTCTCAAGGTTAACTTTTACACACACACACATAGAAAAAAAAGAAGAAGGAAAGAAAAGAAAGCGTTGATATGGAGGAATTCATGGACGTTGATGGGATTGAATTTATCCAACAAGTGAATCAAGAGATTGCCAGTCTACGTGCTCATCAAACGAACAGTTCTCAATTTTACAAAGGCGATTCACTTTCAACTCTTTTGTTAAATGGATCACATTCTAATGATTCCTCTTCACCTGTTCAATCCCAACCGTTGGGTAGGAACTCTGAAAAAAAAATTGAATGCAATCTCTTTGAGCTTTACTTATGAACACATGAATCCCAACACATGAATTAGTTTCACCAACAGGAATAGAGCAGTGTCATCAAGTAATCGTATTGGATACCAACTTCTTAATCTCCAACCTTGGTTATCTACAGTCGCTTTTGACTAAGACTGCTTTACATCCTAATGTGATCACCTTGGTAGTCCCTTGGGCTGTTGTTCGTGAATTAGATGGATTAAAGGTACTATAATATACGTAACCCCAAAACGTATCTGGCATTGATGTCAGGGGTTTTCAGTATGCAAAGTCCAGGGACAAAAATGGTGGTGCTACCTTGGGAGAATTGGCGCGGACAGTAATGAGGTTTCTTGAAAAAGAACTTCGCAACAAGACACCCTGCTTAAGAGGACAAAAGAGCAATGAAATATACGATCCTAAAGCAAAAAAAGTAAGATGTGCGATTGTATTTTTGTGAACTTGCATCCTGACATGTTAGTACGGGTAGGCACTTGGAGACGATTCTATTTTGGATTGTTGCATGTAATTATTATTATACTATGAAGTTGTATTCAAAAGCGTGGTTTAATATGGGCTTCTCTTTTTTTTATTGTTAGGTACTTTATGCATAGCGTGTCAAAATATGTAACTCTTTTTTCCAATGACCGGAATCTTTCTATCAAAGCTATGATCCATGGAATCGATACTCTTTCGTCTGAGACGAGGGATAAAATGAATACTTTTCTTGTGTGCGCATCAAAAGGTCTTTTACCCGCTTTATATACCGAGCAGCCAAAGGTCCCTGATCAACAAACGTCAAAATGGGAACCAAAGCGAAAAAACAAAAAAAAACCAAAAGATGGATCTGTAAAAACACAGACAGTTAGCCAGGCACATGAACTCAAAGAAAACAATGTAAGTAATCAAAGGTTTATTTGATATTACTTTCTTGGTTGACTTTTATGAGAAAAATAGTCTATGGAAATAGATCATAATCCCCCAGTTGAGCAATTTCAATTTATCGATGAAGATGTTGATATGATGGAAGATGACATGGAAAATACTCTGGAAAATGTTGACGCTTGGAGCGAATTTCCAGAACCAGCAGTATCAGAGACTATTATACCATCCCATCCTCTGAATAAGTTAGATACTTCAAAAGAAGATCGATCTATATGGACCTCTAAATATGCTCCTAGACAACGATAGGACAATAGAAATAATATATATATATATATATAACATTCATGCTTGAATAAGTAATTTCATTGAATCGCTGGAACGATACAGTCATTTTTGTGGGGAAATCAAAGTTTCTTCTTATTAGAATAATCATAATCATAATATTAATATTAATAATAACAATAATAATAATTTAACTTTACATCGAATTATAAGTGTATTACGAGCATATAACTATATACTGTATTGTATCTAAGTATTGATTTTTAGGACTACCTTGAACTTCTTCTTTATTGATGCTACATGAAAAGAAATAGTTGGTAGGACAGAATACATCAATAGTTGATAATAAATAAACAGAAAGCAAGAGGACTATATTATACCCAAAAATAATTATGGGATTCAATAATTTGCTATCTGTGTTGTAATAGCATCTTCTTCCACTATTTCCGCAGTCTTTGGCCTCACTATCCATTGAGGATGAACACGTTTGATTCTTCGCTTCAGACCTTCGATCTATAAATGTACGATTATACTGAAATCAGTATTTATAAAGTCGTTTCTGATTTCAACTTACATCCATCAGCATCCAGGGACTATTCTAATTCGATTAAATAAGATGAGTATAGCTGTTTTAATATATATATATATTTAGTAAACCTTACCATGGCTTGATGAATAGTAAATCGATTGTCCGGGTCAACAGTCAAAAGACCTCTAATAAGTTTCTTGGCTGTACAAATGATTATTGTTAGTATAGAAGACTAATATAGAATAACCGGTTACCTTCAGAAGATATATTTTCCCAAGGAGAGTGATCAAACGAGTATATCCCATTTACGATCTGCTCTTCCATACTAGGTGGTCCAACAGCTTCTGCTAGAATAAAAAATCAGATTAATATAAGGTGGCTTGCAAAAATATTAGTATATATGTTATACTGACCATCAAAAGGTGGATATCCAGAAAGGCAGATATACAGCATTACACCCAAGGACCAGAGATCACATTCCTTTCCGTATGCTCTTGTGGAAGAGTGTTTCAGTACTTCTGGCGCAACTAATGGATACTTTTGTATTTAGAGTTTTTTCTTTCTTGATATTAATTTGAATACCATACCATATGTAGGTGTGCCGCACTGAGTCACAAGCTTTTCTCCGGCTTGTTGTTCTTTAGCCAGCCCGAAATCAATTAGTTTGATGTGAAGAGTATCCATATTTGCCAGCAATACTATTTAATCCATATTAGCTTGTGGAAATATAAAATATTCTAGTAGACGGAATGATTCGCTTACTATTCTCTGGTTTCAAGTCACGGTGAACAATTCCTTTCTTATGTAAGAACTATAGAAGCAATTGATTTATATAAAAAAATGCGATTGCTATTTCGATTCCCTTACATTAATTGAATCAAAGAGCTGCCAAAAAATGAAACGGGTCTTTTCTTCATCAAGTTTGCTTTTGGTTATGTAGTCAAATAATTCCCCATGCTCAACTCTGGTATTTCAATATGATAAGAAATATATACATATGTAGATACACATACACACACGCACATATACAAACTTACAGTTCAAGGACCAGGTATATAAAATCTGGCTCGTTGTAAACCTTTTCAATCTTCATAATACATGGCTGGTATATACATCATAAGTACCTGCTATAGTAATACACACCTTTCTTTATTCACTTACATGGGCTTCGAGAGACATCAAGATGCTAATTTCCTGGATAATTGAAGGAAGCATCTTTGGTTTGCGTACACACCTAGACTTTGTAATGATCTTGACTGCAACTGGTACCCCAGATTTTTTTGGTACTGCCCGACTAACAAGAGCAAAATATCCTTTACCAAGAGTATTATCTATCTTGTAATCTTCGTGGAATGTCTAATAATAAAATTAAATCAAACCATGAACATTTTGTTTTCATTATATATGATATTATTACTTACTCCCACTTCAAATGTTGGTGGAAGAATAACACGGAAGCCTATTAATATCAATATTAATATCATCGCGAGACGAGATAATATTGCATTTTAAAATTATATATATATATCTTGACTATCTTACAAGTCAGATCGTTCTCGCAAGCTTCTGTAGCTTCCGGGTAGAAAAGACGAATTTGATCTCCGGACTTGAGCATAACACGTTTTCCGGATCCAATAGTTACTCCATTTACAAAAGTGCCATTCTTACTGTTATATCAATTGTAAGAAGTTGATGAATATTTGATAGTATACACCCTCAAGAAAACCCCGAAAAACTTCTATTATTAATATCCTTAAATATAATTACCTGGTATCGTTGATATATATACTTATTCCCTTATATCTACCATCATTACCACTCTCCTGCATATCATGCAATAATTGACATAATAAATAAGTAAATAAATAATGAACAGGGCTATTTTATTTACCATGTAGATAGTGCAATGTCTCTTGCTAACTTGTGTTAATCGAAGACTTATTTTGGAATAAATAAATATTAGCCCATAAACGATCAATAGCTGTCAAAAAAAATTACTCACGTTATATCGCAGTCATCGGCGCGTCCAAGTACATATCCTGTGCGACTACCATCAGTGCAGGACTGTCTATCAAGATAAATAGATTTATATGAAGGGTGCATGCTTTGAAGATAACACCAAGCAGAATTTGTCTCCCAGTTGGGTGGATCAGGCACATAAGTCGGCGTCTGGATAATATTTTGTACGGTCGCTGAAGACTGAGAAGGTCCAAAAGGCGCAGCATCAGGTTTCGCCCAATGTTCTTTACGATGATTAATATCAGAATGAGAGCGCCTAATATGATTTCCACGCTTAGAATTTATTGTGAATGTTGATTCTGATTCAAGTCGACGCTTGGGAATTGATCCTTTAGAGGAGCCATTTTCAGGTGAAATCGTAGCAGTCGATGAACGTCTGCTTAAGGCTGTCAAAGGAATGTGTCTTTTCTCGCCTTCGATATTGGCTCCAATCGGTGGGTCTCTATTAACGGAGTGAGAGCTTGCCATTTAAATTGGACTCTGGTGATAAAAGTTTGTTTTAGATGACCAAATGTAAGAGAGAGAGAGAGAGAGAGAGAGAGAGAGAGAGAAGAGGTTGTGTACGGAAAGAGTGGAGTACAATAGTGGAAAGCAAGTTGGAGTGTGTATATGCCAGTCACGTCCATGCATCCTACCATCACTGCAAATGGCGCTTTATTTGACCATTAATATGTTTGTTTGTTTGCTTTTTTGTTTATTAAAAGAAAGTTTCTTTTCTTTTCAGGAGTAGAAACGTTCTTGACATTACATGATGATCAATAAATCTTATCTTTCTCATTCCTTATTGACAAGTATTAATAAACGATCCGGCTCAAATAAAGTATCAAATCAAAAGATATATTTTCCAAAAATGAGTTTGCTCCTAGCATATTCTACAGGTGAACGTTAACAAAGGAAAATAATAATAATAAAAAGAAGGAGATAATCCCTTTGCGAGTACCGAAAAGTGAAATGAGTATGATACGAGATATACACAATGACATTCTCTAGTCTCGGCTCACTTGAAGATATGATGATTATTATGAATAGGATTAATATACATTACCAGTTAATGCCTTTTCATGGCTTCCTATCTACTCATATCATTTTAAACTTTAAAATTAAAGACACAGTCTTTGTCTCCTTCAAGGTTTGTGGCAGTCTTGTCCATTGTGTGTTTCCTAGTTAATACTATATTAAATCATACCATCGTTGTCCATACAGTGTGTCTGTGTGTGTCTGTGTAAACTATCTATGGTTATATTATTATCTAATATGGATGTAAAACAAATAGCTTGGCAATACATTTCTCTTATTCTTTATATGCCCAACCAGGTAACTCTATAACGCCATCATTTTCATGATTGTGTCACCTACTAATTATGATCCGAATATGGGCGCTGTATTCAATGTGAGATATGGGCATCTTTATATTTTCTTTGAACGTCACTAGTCTGTAATGCATACTGAAGATAATAGTCCGTATATACTTCTGCGCTTACAATTCGTCACTTCTTTTTCCATTCTAGTAATTCTAATCTGATTCAATATCATAGGTTTATAAGACCTTGACTGTGCACGATTATCTAACGGGATCCAAATACTGTAGTTTCAATTGGGGTCAATTTTGGATTGTGGCATTGTTTTTTTAGAATACAAAGCGCTAAGAGGCCTTGTGTGACACCAAGACACTTACTTTTATTGCATACATATATATACATAGAAAATAATTAAAAGAGCAATTGACTGTGTGGCATATTTCAAAAGTAGCAAAGAGAATATTTCATAGACTCTCTAAATTAGCATAGATGCAATTACCAACGGATTTAAACTAGCTAATTGGAGTCTTTTGAACCTTGATTTTGAAGGCTATTCATTTTAATCTTTTTAAGCTGACCATACCAAATGTATATACCAGAAAATTATCTAGTGTAACTCATTCTAGCTTTATATCAGCCTGATCTGCACTTATTGTACTAGTACTTGATAAATATAACTGTGTAAATTGATAAAAGAAGAACGAATTGCTAAATGACCCTTGCCAAAGAAATGATTGTATCAAATGTTTAGTCAATTTTAAATATTAAAAAAGTGGACATATATTCCAAAACAAAAGCTACCTTTTATCTTCACTCTCCCTATCTTTCCTCTTTTGCATTGTGAGTATTTATTATTTAACACAGCAGCATACGTTACTGTTCGTTGTTACTCTGGATAGCTTTCATTAATCCTTTTTTACCGAGCCAGAGACACCCTCAAAACACTATACGTATACTTTGCACCATTGATCTCTCACCATATTAATACTAGGATTTACATTCTTTATTTCTTGGAAACAAAGTATATCAAAGCTTAATTGATGCATTTTATTAATTAGAATTAAACTGTATCCACCGTTTTAATCATGGGTACATTTCCTAGACACTTGTCTATGTAGAGCGGCTGATGGTCTTGGAATCGGCTTGTGCAGTAGGGAAGACTATATACATATCTAGTTAGTAGATTATTTCTTTATATATCATTAAAATTACCAAGCATATCACTGATGTTGACGTGGGGAGGGCGGGAAGCGGTGAAGACAATAAGTTCAGCTAAAAATGGCTTTGTATTAATAAAAAAGAAAGAAGGCTGTTTCAACTAAAGATGGGTTAATAATAGTGTCTCATACCGATATCCTGTCCAACGAGAGGTTGAAGACCCTTGTACACATTATCTGCCTTCTCCTGGTCACCACGGAAACGGATAGTAGAGAATTCTGTCTTGACCATACCAGGACAGATCTGACTGACTCTAAGAGGTGTATCTACCAGCTCAATGGAAAGAGCTCTGGTAATTGCATCAACAGCATGTTTTGTAGCTAATAAAAGTTTTTCAAAAATCTGTTAAACAAGAAATATTATATATATATATATTAATATTACCACAGTAGATACTTCCACCACCATAGCTCTGTTTGCCTATGTGTTATCATGTAAGCCAATCTTCCGATGTGTCATCATGTTCTTATTAGCTATCTTACCTGCCACAGATCCAAGGTTGATGATATGACCAGTCTGTCTAGCAAGCATACCAGGGAGAACAGCTTGAGTCAAGAAAACAAGACCCTTGACATTGGTGTTGAACATGGCATCAATAGCCTCTGCGCTTGTGTCCAATAAACGATCCAAGCCAATAACCAGACCAGCATTGTTTACGAGAACATCTACATGTTTAACCTTTTCTAATAAACCAGGAACAACCTTGTCGATATTTTCCTTATCGCTCACATCAAGAGCAACTGTATAGATGGTGATGTTGGGATGCTGCTTGAGGATGTCAGCCTTGAGCTCATCAAGCTTGCTAAGACGTCTGGCGGCAAGAATCTAGTCATCGACATAAAATAACAATAATAATAACAATAAATAGTCGTTGAGCAACAAGTTTAGCTTAGTTTATTCTGCTTTGTTTTTACTTGTCGAAATAAACTTACCAAGTTTGATCCCTCTTTTGCGAATTCGCGTGCACATGCTTCACCGATTCCGGCGGAGGCACCAGTACTATGTCGGAATGTAAGTAGACTTGTCGAATAAAATAAAAATTATCAGACATGACTTTGGCTTACATAAGAATATTCTTTCCCTCAAGTCTGCCCATATTGTTGCTTAATAATTTATTTATCAGGGAAAAGAAAGAATGTATAAAGCGCGTATATAAGGACAAATGTCTAGATAAGACAAGAGCGCTACTTCAAACAAAGGTTTTGTGGACTCCAAGAGTATTTCTACAAATATGTATATTTTCAATAACTGGCAGTCTACATATGCATTTGATTTGTGATCTCTACTCATAAACATAATATTACGTTTATTTTTATTGCGATGCATAGTAGCCCGATATATGAGTAGCCTCTATTTGAAATCAATATTACTGAGTGGAAAGTCTCAAGATTATTGAATCGATAGTGTAATCCCACGGCCAATAGATATTCCGATAAATAGAAAGAAAGAAAAAAAGGGACAGATTATATTCTCTCACGCGGGGTTTTCTTTTGACTAATTTTGCACTAAATGCTGACTGACACTGATTACAAGAGATCTTGCATTACTTTGATAGTATAATATAAGCTTTACAATAGAGAAGAATATATGACAATTAGTCATATGTAAGACGCGACTCCTATGAGATACGTGGCTTTCTATTTAGCCTCCAACGCCGAAATTATCCACATTTTCCAACTGGCTAGAACTTCTTTCTTTCTTTCTTTACAGCTTGAATACTTCCAAGGGGTCGATATACATATGCATTTTTAGAATGTATTTTTTTCTCTTTCCTTTTTAAGTATCCCTCTGTATCGAATGATCCAAGTTTATTTTATGTATAAAATTTTCAAGAACTTTAAATTTATGCAAATTTATTACCTATAAGCCAGGACTCCCAGGCTGAAGCAAAACAAAAACAAAAAACAACCCACATCTTATAAAACCATTATGGGCTAGAAATAATTGATTGCTGAATATTATCTTTACATTATAACAAAAATCGATTTATAGCCGATTCTTTTTTGTTGTTTATTAATACAGTAGTTAGTAAGCTCTTTTATAAGAGTAGAGATGGGGATGAATAAAATAAGGGAAAATAGTACAGTATATATAAATTTAAGCAATAGTAAGGTTGTCAAGAGATGCCTCAACAGGGGCGTTGGCAGCCTTGAGAGCAACCTCAAAATCGTGCTTGATATCATCAATGTGTTCGATTCCGACAGAGACACGAATCATATCCTTTGTGACGCCGGAAGCACGCTGCTCCTCATCGGATAACTGCTGATGAGTAGTAAGAGCAGGAGCAATTACAAGAGTCTTGGCATCACCAACGTTGGCAAGATGAGAGCTGAGCTTGAGATTGTTGATAAAAGTCTAAACATAAAAAGTTTAGTCCCCATTACTAAGGCTTTGAATTATATAATATACTTACAGAAAGAGATCCCTTGGCACCGAATGTCAAGACACCACCGAAACCGTGCTGGAGGTACTTCTTGGCAATAGCGTGGTAAGGGTGGTTCTCAAGACCAGGGTAAGAAACCCAGTTAATATCATCTCTGGCCTGCAACCAGCGAGCAAGCTCAAGAGCATTGTCGACGTGACGCTGGACACGGAGAGACAAGGTTTCAAGTCCCTGCAACAACAAGAAAGAACCAAAGGGATTAAGACAGGCACCGATGTCACGGAGACTCTCTGTTCTAAGACGGAAAGAAAAGGCAGCCTTGCCGAAAGTCTCCCAGAAGTTCAAACCGTGGTAGCTAGGGGAGGGGGATGTAAATTCAGGGAAGCGGCCATTGTTCCAGTCAAAGTTACCGGCATCAACAACTATATTACGCCCATAAATATTGGTTAGCTTTTATGTTTATAATTGTATATGCATGTTCCCCTTTATGCACCGAAAAAAATCTTTATATTCTGTGAACTAATGATCCCATCAACCGAGAAAACACACGACAATAAATCAAACTTACCAACACCGCCAATGGTGGTACCATGGCTAATATCAACCATGTGGATTAGTTCATCTCTCAATAATACCATATTCCTTATCAGTCACTTACCCTCCAATCCACTTGGTAGCAGAGTGTACAACAATATCAGCACCATGCTCAAGAGGCTTCACGAGGTAACCACCAGCACCGAAAGTGCTATAAAAAAAACAAGATGTGAGCACAACAGCTTCTGATTTGCTTTGTCGTGCATCGTAAAATCGCGCATCCTTACTTATCGACAACCAAAGGAACGCCCTCAGAGTGAGCAACATCAGCCAAGCCCTTGAAATCAGGAACATTGAACTTGGGGTTACCGAGACTTTCAACATAAACAGCCTTGGTCTTCTCGTCGATCAACTTGCGGAAATCTTCGGGATCATCACTTTCAGTGAAGCGAACTTGAATACCAAGTCGGGGGAAGACAACCTTGAACTGGTTATAAGTACCACCATAGATGCTTGACGAAGCAACAATGTTGTCACCAGCAGTAGCAAGTGTAGCAATGGTCAAAAACTGGGCAGCCTGGCCAGAAGACACGACAGTAGCAGCGATACCCTTCTCGAGAGCAGCAATTCGCTTCTCGAACACATCGTTGGTGGGGTTCATGATTCTATAGTAGAATCAGTTAATCATGTCTCGTATAATGATTGAAGAGCTATTTCTAAAGACTTTACCTGGAGTAAATGTTACCACTGGCGCGAAGAGCAAACAGGTCGGCACCATGGTCGCTGTCATTGAATACATAGGAGGAAGTAGCATAGATGGGGACTGCACGCGAGTTTGTGGAAGGATCAACAACCTGACCAGCGTGTACCTGGAGGGTATCGAAGTGGTACTTGTATTCTTCAGGGGCGTTAGACATATTTGATGTATGAGCTGAAGAAGAGAGTTTTGTGAGGAAAGGTGCGGTTTTATTGCTGTCGCTTTAGCGGACTTTTGATCATCTATTCAAGTCTTTCATTTAGATGAAGATGGCGCTATTGAACTATTGTTTCGCTCATTGGCTGGTTGCTTTTTATTGGCCAAATCTTAAAATATAAAGATATCATATACCTTTCCGTTGTCTCACCACTAATAGACTTTCTACAGCATTTTGAAATGTCAGAAACTCGGTAAAACTTCGTTCCCGTTATTATTTGACATCAACCCCATCTAAAATCTGATAATAAAATGAACAGCTGGTAGTCTAGTTCATCTCATTTACTTTTACCCCACTCGCCTGGACCACACATGTTATGTTGATAGTATTATGCTACTATATGAACCAAAGCTTGATGATCGATCCATAAAAGGCTTTCGTAGATCTGCTTTTAGCGTGTGTCTTACAGTAAGAGACTGTGATACCCCAACAGTCGCACATAAACAGAGAAAGAACGAGAGAGAACAAGAAAGATCCCAATACCCAGAAGAGTTCCCTGGAAATTCAGACTAGGATTGTTTTCTTGTAAATTAAATACGACTATGTCAGTATTACTGGGTGTTTTTTTTTTACAAATAGGATTGACTACAAGATATCGCTAGAGTAGCACATCTTAGTCTTTAACACCCTTTGTTCATTTGACCTATGTAAAGAAGTTTTATTTGATTTTACCTTAGCACAGTACAATATACCCAATTTAACTATAGAGTTTGTATTGAACCAAAAATACCGACATCCCCACACTCATTAAGAGTCATGCGTAAGATAATCAAGGAACAAGATCTTGAAAGGCGTCTTTTTTTTTCTTATCATCTTTATAGTATATATATATGTATTGTACAAGTATCCACAAAATTGCATTATATTTTAATTTGTGATCCCAATAGTCTATTCATAGTCGTTCAGTAGAATTAGGGTCTAGGTGATCAATATTATCAAACTTTAGTTATTTCTTTATTTTTTTGTCGAGGCTGATGCTTATCCATGGTAAGACCAAAATACTTTAAGGAAATCTTATTTTGTACTTCAAGCCATCTCCTCTAAGCAATAATAATAATAATAATAATAATATAATCACATAATTGTATTTTTATATCCAATTTGATTTTATGAATAGACCGTTGTAGTATATAATTCACTTGAATATTACTTATTATTTATCTAGATCAAAAATACTCTCGTAATATATTAGTCATTAATCAACCAAAATACACTCTTTATGGCAGACCATTTTCTGATAGCACACGATGTTTCCAGGATGGAAGTCAACATTTCCTGTTAGGATATGTTTTTGGAAATAATATGATAGATAGCTATTTTATTGTTAATATAAATCTAATAGAATATATGCTAGTAATAACAATATATGGTTATAAGAGTATGTGATTAACATTGTGCTTGTTTATACTTGGCTAAAGGTATTACCCTATATTTTATTAAAGTAATCCCACTAACAATATGTACGGATTGTTAGAAATTAAATATAATTATTGAACGCGGGACAACGGGTTACATTTGGGTGGTCCGATAAAGTTGAGACGTAGGCTCCCACCAACTAATGCCAGCTTCCTATAAATATTGATTTAATTTGATTTAATTTATTTATTTTGATGGTCTGCATTTGTCTTGTTTATCTGCATCGTCTTTTTATCATGCATGCCATATTGCTTTTAAGTTTTCCCATATTCGTCTAAAAGATTACCTTTATTAAACAGTACTTTAAAGCAAACTGCTAAAATGTAATATTATAATAGAGTCCATTTTAAGTGTAGTGGGATTGAAACACATATTCGGAAGCTGCAAAGCATTTGGCTAGAAAATAATGGACTAAAACCTTCAGCTCACTCAAAACTAATATCGGCTTGTTTACGGACAAACTTGATGCGTTGGTAAAGGTATATTTATTCTACAAAAAGCTCTTGAATTTTATTGAGGTATTCAGCAATTGACACACTAGTAATTCGGCACTACAAAAAAGTAGAACAATATCTTCCACAGAATTTATAGCTCCCATAGCAAAATACCGAAAAATAATGCTCATATTTTGAGAAGAAAGAACACTTTTAATATACCAACTTTACCTTTCTATTAAACAGAGGCAGCAATAGTGCTAAGTTTTCTCTCAAAACATTTCTTTGACTTTTTTTTTGCCTTGGTAAAATACCTTTAGATTGTTTCAAATATAATGCAAAACACTTATAACGTTGAGGTTTTCTCGCTGGGTTGACTCTTTTTGAAAGTATCGTATTATAATAATACTATCCTTTGAGCACCTGCACTTGCGCTTGCACCTAAACAAAATATACTACTTAGCCTGCTGTAATAACCGGTGTGCATCAAAATTTCACTTCACTACACGTAATTCAATATGAAAAGATACCTCTTTTATGATATCCATGCCTTTCTTACTCAATATACCATATATCTGTCAACTTGACTTTAAGGACTGTAATATGAAAGCTGTCTGTACATCTGTGGCGAATCATTCTTATACAGAATATTTAAGGATGGGTCTTGTAACTTTCAATACTTGTCTCCTATTCTTATTTGAATTAAAATTATATTTTGCACCGTAAATATAATGGCGAATGTGTGTATTTGATGAAGAATGGAGGGTTCAAAGCATTCACTGATATTCGAAGTACAAAAAGGTTTGTGGGTAATTAATGATTACTATTTCATAAATACATTCATATTAAGCTTCTTATGTACAGTCTGTAAATACAATGAGGACATTGTTGGTGTATTCAACTCACCACACAATTTCTGCCTCTCTTTCAAACACGCATTTCTTCATTCCTTCTCATCTCTGTTTTCTCTTCATTTTTTCCCGACTTTTCTCTCTTTCTCTTTCTCCCAATTCAATACGTCTTTACAATGTCCATTCGAATCAGCCAAATTCAGTATTATATATATTTCGCGCAATTAGCATTCTCAAGAATCGTCTCAACTTTACCGCCAAAAGCACCCTATACAATCAAACACGGTGATTGACACAATTATAATAAGACATATTATATTATATTAATCTTCAGATTTATTTAACTAGATTAATTTTTCTTATAAAGGAGACTTTCTAATTACAACATTAATCTCTTCAATCAAGTAAAAAAAAGTTTAAACGCGTATTTTTTTATTAGAGTCAACAACAGTTTAAAAATTATTCTATTTATTAAACTTATACATAAAGCTATTTTATTTCATATAATTTCACTTAATGTTCTTTTACTAATGTAAAAGAATAAAAAGCATGACACCAAGTTCTTTGTCCCCGCATTACGCGGCTCAATCTCCCTCAGGACGTAAACCTGTCTTGGTAGCGAAGGAGGTGCTGGAATGGTGGTAAACCAACGGAAAGCACCCGTTCATCCAGCCCCACATCTCGTCACCGAGTAATGTAGGTGCGAACTCGCCAGAGAACTTACCACTAGGTGATAAGGTCCAGCTCATTCGACTACCAGTAGCTTCACCGTCAGCCGTTAAAGAGTTCAGTCAGGTTAGCAGTGAAGAGCCAGCACATCTCACCACAGGTTAGACCTCCCTCCCCCCAGCATCATGATTCCACATTGGCGATGCGATGTACACAGTAGTCCTTCCATAAATGAAAAGAGACCATGCCCCACGACTTCTCAGAATTAACTGAGCTGGCGAGTAACAACTTTCACTTTCCGATGCTTGTAGCATGGAAGAATCTCCCTGCAACGGTCGCAAGAGACGCCTCACTATGAAACCGGGACTGTTGTTGCTCAAGGAGAAAACAAACGACACGCGTTGGAGGGGTTCTATTTGTAACAGAAATTTTTTTCATCTGCGATTAAAGTTTAGGACTGCGCTTTTTGTCAGTCTTATATGTCCACGTCAGAGAAAACGTGATATAGCTGTATATTCTTTTTACTTGCTTTGTGTAACTTTTCTACCGCAGAAAGAACAGCTAATAATATTTAATTAGAGTACTTACGAAATCAACTTTGTAAGGTGAAGTAAAGTAAAGTAAATCAAATAAGCAAAAGAGTAATGAAAGGTTCGGTATTGATCGGTGTAGCAATGACTCTCAAAGTGGAGTACAAGTTTCTAAAGGCGATTTGTAGGTTACTCTAAAGTGGTCTGTGCACTTCTTGCTAAAAAGGGTAAAAGAAAGTTTTTTCTTTTTCTTTTGCTTGTAAAAGTAGACACAAAAGCAGCCCAGCAATCACTAGAAAACAAAATCTTATATACATATTTCAAACGAATATTAAGCAATAGATAAAAAGCAGAAAAGGAAGCAAAAAGTATGCATGCCTATTATCTGGATCTCATCATAAGAGAGAGGACAGCGTAGGGTATTTTGAGACTGCTAGAAATGGAAGAAATATAAAACCAGAATCGTAATATACGTCTCCGATTAAACGAAGGGTACTTTTGAGGACGTAATGGAAATTATATTATACTTCTTTCTTCTTCTTTTATCCTATTTAACAGAAAAACATTATGGTTACTATCACTCCTGCTATTTACGGCTATTACTTGCTCCATCAAAACACTCAACCCACCATCTCTAAGAAGAGAGCCACTTATAAGCGTCTTGATTTGACAACTCTTTCTGATAATACCTGCAAGAAAGAGTTCCGGTTTACTCTTTCTGAGGCAGCTATTCAATTAAGCCATTGGTTCATTAAAAACAAGCGTATATTACAGATATACTTATATTTATATAAGAATTAGATTAAACGCATGTGTGTATGCATGAATCTTCCTCGTATCATGACCTTCAAACGATACGAATCTTATAGAATATGTGTGCAACGTGAATTCGCTTTTGCATTAGTACTTTACCGTTTTGCGCACCCTCGAAGCTATTGCACGATGGAGAAAAAATGGGGCATGAACAGAAAGAATATGGCCTGCATAATAAACCAATTTTCGACTATGCTGATCAGCAAATTCAAGTATGGTCTTGAATTTGATAGCCGCCAATTCTCTCGAGAAAATTGTGCCAAATTTTCAGAGGCCATCTACGAGCAATGTAATTATATCTCTCAATACAGCATTGAATATTATACCATATAAAACTAAGCTAATTTTTAATAACCCTAATAAGTATGTAGGTGGCGTATATAAAAACATCATTGGCTTTATTGATCGCACAATGCAGAAAGTCTGCTGTCGTACAAACAATGATGAGCAGAAACATACTGGCAATGGATGGAAGGTAATGCATTAGGTTTAGGAATATATATATATATATGTGTGTGTGTGTGTGCTAAAGCTCTATTCTGAACAGCATGTCCATTGCATTAAGTATCAAGCTATTGGTACACCAGATGGTATCACTAGCACCCTTGTGGGCCCATTTATTGGGTCTGCTCATGATGCCAAGGTGTTTGATGATACAAATACACTTGATCGATTGATTCTTCATCTTGGCCAGTTGGGTCCTTTGACACCACAAGTCAATTATAGAATTTACGGGGATTTGGAATACAAGAAGTGTAAGCATGTATTCAGACCATACAAAGAGCACGAGATCAGAATACATGGTAAGTTGTCGTAGCAGTAATATTACAATCTATTGTTTTTTTTCTAATGACTATAATTTGAACATGATGTATAAAACCGTAGCTAATGGGAAGTATGTTAACACTGAAATGGCGAAGGTCAGAGTTCAAGTGGAGATAGAGTTTGGGAAAGTATCCCAATACTTCAAGCTTTGCAAGTCTAGCTACATCATGAAGTTCAAAGGGAACACGAACCCAGCTCTGGTCTACATTCTCTGTACTTTGTTCAAAAACTTCCACACCTGTCTAAATGGATCAGCTACAAAGCCAATTTTTGGATTAACTCCTCCAACTATAGAAGAATACATCAGTGGTCTTATGCGTGAGCGACAGAAGCATGACACCATTGACAATGTTGATACTATATTGAATAACGCATCAAATTTGGTTCAAAATAAACCAATTAAATAAATAAACAGCAAAAATAAAAGAAAAAAGAAATTTGCTGAATGTAAAAAGTTTGTTTTTATTATTTTTGAGAATTTTTTGCCACGGTTTCAAAATGACAAAGTTAAAACGATTATCTGACCCATGCTTACAAATGTGTTCTTTAACAACCATTGGGCTAATAAGAGTTAGAATCACCTTTTTTTCTTGTAGTATTCACGAATTACTTCATCTTGCTTTTGTTCCATGTTAAAATAAATAGAAGAAAGGTAAAAGCAACAAATGTCCAAATATCAGCATTAGAAAAGCTTCTTAATTATTGTTGAGATATTTGGGACTGCTTATGAGTCCGTACTTTAACATTAAAGAAAGTAGATACTGCAGGAGCGTTTATCGCATATTGCAATTGGAAACCTTTCCAAGATTTCTGAGCAAGATTGCTTGGTATTGGTTTGGAGGCCCCATCTTATCCGGCTCATAACAATGCTCTCAAATCCTCGGTAAACTACAAATACATTGCTTGCATTCATGCCAAAAAGCATGAACATATCATCTGGGCGTCTCGGAAAACTGTATCAGTTCAGCAACATTGCAAATCCAAGGTTCTTACGGGCTTTATACTTAAAAAACGGTATACATGATCCAATCTGAGTGCTGTTGGTATTCTCTCAATTTCATCCAAAGTGAAACAATATATAGACACAAGTACCATAACTAAAGAAATTTAAGTTTAGCTTGATGTACATATTTTTCTTGAGCCTTCCACTTTCTCGAGTTAAAGCTTCTTTGCTCTGCTGTTGGTGTTGGTGTTGTCATTTACAATGAGCTTGACGGCGATGGTGAATGTTATATTCAGGAAGATCAGTAATTTTACTTTGAATTTAGACTATCAAATTTTAATATAAAGAACTCGCTAGAAAATGAAGCTTGCATAATATTTTCATAAGCTATATTTTTTGACGCAACAAGATAATACACATATGGTGTATATGAGAATATTTTTTTTAAAAAAAGTTCTAACTTGAGTGCCTTTTTTGTGAGTTGTTACAAGGCAACTTCAAACAGCTCTCTATTATACGTAACTGAATTTTATTGAAAATCCAAGACCTCTTGGTCATATATTGAAAAAAAAGAAACCGATTGCTTTTTAAGAAATTATGTTCTCTACTCAATAATAGTTAGTAGACTGTGCACTAAGAAAATGGTTTTAGTAGATCTTTGTTCTTGTTGTTGGAATATATACATACACACCATCGTTACTTAGACTATATATTTTATCTTACTCTCTTATCTTTATATTAATATAAAACAAAACAAAAATACCAAATGTAAAATATTCTAAGTTTGTTAATTCTCTATACATTATACAGTTTCATTTTTGGAAACGAGAAACCAAAATATAGCTAAAGTTGCGTAATTCTGATCGATGCTACTCTTAAATCCAGGTATCCACGGCCTAGATCCTCTTTCCAATCCTCTTTTCGTAAATAATCTAATCCACTTGGATTATTTGGGCCTTCGACGTATTGTTCTTGCTCTGCTTTAAACGATTTAAAGTAATTCTCGGTATATTTAACCTCGGTTTCGTTTAGCTCCCATATGGTGCATTGGGTTTTGCATGATTCAGAAAATCTTGCCAAATGAAACCATTTTACCTCGGCAATTCCTCTAGATGACTGACCATTAGATAATCTTCGCCTCTTATGATTTTTGTCTGACGAAGCTTGATCTGATTGAGTAACTGCAATCAAGTGAATCCTGATAGATTCTCCAGAATCGTTTATTGGGGCATAAAACTTTGCTCCTCCGATAGCAAAAGTATTTAAATGTGATCCTGCCATATCGAGAAGTGCGGATCCATTTGTTAAGAATGGATTACATTCTACTCTTGTTGCATGCATTGTTATACGCCCAAGATTTTTGCAACGACTTGATATACGACTCAAGACAGCTGAGCTTATCCTAGATATCTGAAAGTAAACAGACTCTAAGCAATGTGTGGCACCAACTAAGGAGGCTTCTGGGCTGATTGAAAGGTCGCATGTAAGAGTTACGTATTTCAATGCCTGACAACAATCTAACAGCATATCCACATCAAATGTAATATTTTGGGCTGTTATGTCTAAGCTAACCAGAGCAGGACATTCACCAAGCCCGTTTAAGAGAACTACAGGATTTTCTGGATGGTCTTCGAGGTCTAACTCAATAGTATCGACGGTGTCTGGCAAACGTGATAAAATCTCACTCATAAATATCCCTTGAATATCAAAAGATGGTTCACCACCGGCTATATAGTTGAATTCGGTAAATGGAGACTGAAGTTGTTTGAGAAGGAACATGAATAGGGTGTGAAGTGCATGATTGTCCGAATTACCCCTGAGCATAACATACTGTAAATTCGAGAAATACACTTTTGGGTTTCTTCGAAACAAGCCCAACGTTTCGTCCATGTGAATATTTGGACTTCCACTATCTGGTTTATCTTTCCAGATGAATCTGGTTAAGGAGGGATACTTGCTTCCAAAGTAGAATATCCATCGAAGATCAACAGGGTCAACATTAAGTGACACCTCTTTCATAGAATGTGTCGGTGTGTGTGTTTCGAGAATACTAATCTCGTTATCTGAAATTTCTGAGAGCTCGGTACCAATATGAAGTTCTTTTAAGTGAGGTAGATGGGCGTGTATCTTTTCAAAGTCGCCAAGGCACATACGCCCACACCCGTTCGTTCGCTGATAAAATAAATCTTCGATTGAAGGTAGGTGGGGTAGGATAGAAACAAATTCTGCAATGTCTTTTCCGTCAGTTCCAGTGTACACTGTAAGTTCCAGAGTCCTCAGGGATTTCCAATGGTCCCAATCGCTATTTGTTCCCAAGTTTATTTTTGAGAGACTTTCGTAACCAATTGAAAGATCGTCCAAGCAAGAAAATGCCTTTTGAAGGGTCTTTAGTTGATCTTCATCGACCTGAACATCGTTCGAAAATGAAATACCCTGGACATAATTGTACTTCTTTTTTTGTCCAAGTGGTGTGGATACAATTTCGCATAAAGCTTTAAGATGAGGTTCATCCCTGATCGTGAGGCTATTCCATAATATCTTTATGAACACTGTATTCCATTCTCTGCAAACCAAAGAGCATCCTCCTATATCTTCGGGTCCAAGAACCTTGGAAATCTCGCACAAAATGTCAAAGGGTATTATGAATGGTGTCATGAAGGCAAATGTTGAGAAACTTCTATAAAAGGTGTGGCTTGCAAAATAAAGATATACTCAAGTATTTGTAGTAAAATAAAATAAAAATACGTGCAATCGCTGAGTTTTGTGCCGTAATAAGTTTGACCAGCCGAAAGGGTATTTTTTTTCTTTTCTTTTTATTTTGAAAACCCTAGTGAAAGGGTTTTGTTGGTTATAATTGATGCATTTAGGTAAACGAAGGAATTGTTTCCGTATGACAGTCTTCAAAGTGCTCATGTGACCAAATATCTAATGCTTCTATAGTCAAATTTCCCTATACAGCCTCCTTGTGTATACCAATACAAGAGCACAAGAGATGTGTAGTTGTGTAGGGAAAGATTAGTGCTTATTACATAAACTATACCTGTAGAGAAAAATATCGAATAAAAATGAAAGAAAAGACGTGCGAGAATACAAGTTTACCTGTGATAGGAATCGATATTACTACGGCTGTATGGCTGGCAAGTTATCTCTGAAACTAATTCTAGTTAAACCGCAGCCAGCTCTCTCAGATATCAAACATAAATATACTTTTACAGTAGAAAAGACTTTCTTGTTTGTTTGTTTGTTTGTTTGTCTGTTTTATTAAATTGCAATTTACAAGTCTATACAGTTCCTTTCGGTAACGGGATATAAGATCCTATAGCTTTGTTGTTTTCATATTTGGTTCCCTACACTATTTAATTATCGCGCTTTGGATCTGCTAGTCTGTGAACAGTTACAAAAGGTCCCGGTGTCATATTACTTGCGTCTAAAGTAAAATTCAGAGTTAACAATATGCGTATTATTGGGAGTAAATTTATCAGTAACTGTACCTTGTGGTGTGATAAGAATGTATTGAGAGCTGTTATCACTTGCCGAGTCGATCTAAGTCCAAATTAATTAGTCAATGGCAAATCATAATTATATTACCAATATGTATATATACTCACAATCATCTTCATACTCTGTTTACGGTTAACAGCATCCATGTACACATCAAACTCGTCAAGACTATTAAAGAAGTATTAGTTTGCTTCTTATTTTCTTTCTTTTTTTTTAAAAAAATCTAACAATGAATAAATAACTAAATAGATTCAAAATATTTACCAAATAATCGGTGAAGAAATTCCTTGCCAAAGAGCCAATAAAAGACTGATCTGCGAAAATGATTTCTCACCACCAGACAAAGATCTAGAATCCTTTTGTCGTTTTGACCCCTTTCTAACTTGGTCACCTGTAGATACCTGTATAATTTTCAAGTAATTCTTAATAATAATATCTTCAAATATTTTTTATCAATTACTTTGATTTCAAGGGTCTCCTTCTTTTGATCGAATCGTAATTGACCAGTGTCTCCTCTCTTGTGTAAGTAGTATGCAAAATGACCCTTTGCAGCTAAAGTTATATACATATAAAAGTCATCCCAGTTCTTCATACGATCCTTGAGAGCTGTATTCATTTTCTTTTTCATTCAAATTAAACGCCACAAATAAATGGTTAACACATAAGTCTATCTTTTTTTTTATTATCGTTATTATTCAAATTTACCTTGATAAGTTCATCGATTCGCTTTATAGAGACTTTAGCATCGTGCCAAGCAGTTAGGGTATCCTTTGCTTCGCTTTCAACTTCTTCCAATGTTGCTCCAACCCTAATTTTTTTTTCTGTGAGTGAAAGAATCTTACATTAATTAAATAAAATAAAGTCCTTACTCTTCTTCCTTTCTACGGCGAGCTTCATCGAGATGTGCAATCTTCCGTTGTAAAGATTCAAGAGATTCAGTAGTCTCGACACGATTCGGGTAATCTACTATTGCTTGCGAGATCCATTCCTTCGGGCAAACCACATAAGAGACAGAAATATAGGAGTATACATTATCCCCAGACTCAATTCCATACCTTGCAGGTTGATTCAAGGTCTTCAAGTCTCTTCTTCTCATTTTCTATTTTATCAATCAGTTGAATAATGTAATCTTCCACTGATTTTAAGACGCGCCTTTCATTTAATCGCAAGTTATCAAGTTTGTCCAAATCTTCCTATAAAAACAGTTAATACTGGCAATATAAATGGTTGTAGCATTGAAATTACATACCTGTAAGTCATAAAGGCGTCTAGATGCCTCACTTTCTCCTTTCTCAATCTCGTCAAGTTGAGCCTGGAGTGTACTAAGAACTTCTTTGGTTTCTTTCTCAACCTTTTTGCAGACAGAGAACTGGCCAGCCCACAGTTTGACTTGGTTTTCACAGTTCTATTTAGTTCCCTCGTACAATGTTTAATATTACAATTAACATATGCACATTATTATACACATTCTACCTCTTTTTCCTGGACGTAAGCATCTATATTTTGAGGCCCTTCGTCGATTTCCTCCTCTTTTAGACGAGCTATTTCTCGGGAAACCTTGACTTTTGCACCTTCGTTAGCATATTCAGCATTCTACAGGATTTCGATTAGTATACGTGTATTGCACTTATTAGTCGATTGTACCTCAATTTCCGATAATGATGCCTCAATGCCCTGGATCTCTTGTCTAAGTGCGTTTTGCTCGGTTTTAAGTTCTGCAGCTCTCGCAGCAAACTTAATACCATCCTCCCGAGCCTTACTACATACACAAGTAAATGTTCATCAGTGAAGCTTACTACCGGTTGTAAACTTACACAATCTCTGACCCGACATCTTTTTTGAAACGAGGTGGCCCTTTATATTGTTGCAGTGATTCTGTACGCATACCCGAGCGGGCACCAACACTTTGACAGTCCTTTGTGAAACAAATATTTACATTTCGAGGAGGATTATACATCACTTTGTCTGCTTCCCGTCGATCATCCATGAGTAAAGTTTTTTCAATGTTATTTGCAATAATCATTTGACGTTTGACCCATTCGTTCTCAAACTGATAATAACAATAGTATAAAATACTACAGTAAGCTTCATATGGTCTTTATCATCTAATAGACAACTAACCTTGATGCCACGAACAACAGTAAGATATTGTTCATCAGGTTCCTCGTGCGAATATGAGAAAATATCATACTCTGCTACGTAGATAGAAACATGACTCCTAAACGTAATAAATCAATATGTATATAATGTTAGTTTATTTAATGCTATATTTTTTGTTTTGCTTTGTCAATGAAAACTTTACATATTGCGGCGAGTCAGAATCTTGGTCAACATGTTTCTGTCATTGAAATTCTCGACGACAAAAGCATTCAGAATTTTACCCAAAATGATCTCTAGAACAGGAGCGTATTGGGGATGCATAAGCTGTAGATATGCACCAAATGGGCCAACAGGTTGTCGACCTGACCATCTTGACTCCCTTTTTATATCACTGACAACCTCTGGCATAGCGTGGCCGAATGCCCTGAGTTTATCGGCCTTCTGAGCAACCAGTTCTTTGTGAAGATGTCTTGCATTCTCGACTTCTTTTTCAGCACTCCTGACTTGATAATCCATAGGTCTGTACCTTTCCTTTGCCTCACGTAGTCGCTGTTCTATTTGAGTTTTCTCTTCATGGAGCTCCTTTCCTCTCTGCACCAGTTTTATCTCTTTAGCCTCAAGATCTGCAAGTTTAGCAGCAGTAGCCTCTTTTTTGGGTTTATTCACTGACTCGATTTTAGCGGTTTCAGCCGCAATGTCTCTATCGCACTTGTTTATACGAATTCTAGCTTGTTTGACGTTTTCGTTGATTTCACGAATATCTGCCTGATTTTATGATAATATATATATATATATGTGTGTGTGTGTGTGTTAATAGCTCTCATATAAACAAAGCTTTAGTCAAGGGACTTACGCCAAGTTCGCGTAATTTGGATTCCTGGTCAATGATATCTTTTCTGACTCTTTGCTTTTCGTTATTGTTAGGTTCGTATGTTTGTTTAAATCCAGTTATCTCTTCTCTCTTTTGTGCCATCTCTTGTTCAAGCTGCTCTATTTTAAGCTGTGAAAAATAAGACAAGAAGAGGTTAAGACATTTAACTTTTAGTCGAAGACTTGAATACAAACCTTTCTGTTCGTGGCTTCTTCTTTTGACCTTTCAGCTTTTCTCTCTATCTCTCCCAAGTTCATCTTAGTCTTTTCTGCTTGTTTTTCTTTTGCAATAATTTGAGCCCAGACAATTTCGTTGTTGAGGTTGTCAATCTTATCATCGATCTCTCGTGCTTCGATCATTCCTTTATATCGGGCCTCGGCTTCTAAAGCCTTCTTCTGAAGATCCGGTAGGCATTGTTTCTTCCGCTCCACTATAGTTCTTGTGGTGTCAATACTCTCGCGTACCACATCATAATCTTCCATAAGTGATGACAGGAGAGTCGCTCTCATAAAAAGCTGTGATGATGAAATGTGAGAAAGGGTAATCCTATAAGTGCATGAGATCAACTGCTTACTCTATACTTGTCGTGTGGTGTGCTTGAATTCAAGAACTGTCTTGCATTATCTTGGCTTAGAATAGTAAGAGGATTATCTACTTGTATTGACATGTAATCGCAAATTGCTGTAAGCTCCTCTTTCTTTGTCGAGATTATTTTTCCGCTACTGTTTTTTATCTTGTAGTATCCAACTCCATCTTTCGATATTTTTCGCTCCACTTGGATAGTATCTCCATATACATCCGGCTTGTACGCATCAGGACCCTTGTTTGTCAAGTGAACGATAACAATAGCAGAGCTATATACACACACATACACATACACATACACACAAAAGAGGGGAGAAAAAGATAACATTGTAAGTTTGTTTAGCTTAGGTTTCTAATATACTCACTCTTCACCTTCACGGATAAACGAATTTAGTCTTTTTCCTCTGTTTGTGGATGTAGCCTTTGCACCCAAGGCAATAGTAAGTGCTGTTAAAATCGCACTCTTTCCACCTATTGTAACGTTTTGTTTCTTTTGTTCAGCCTTTCTCGATTTTTAAGAATTGAATAGATAAATAGAGACATTTACATACTTCCATTATGGCCAATAACAAAATTGATCTTGGGTCCGAAATCGACCTTAAGATGCGCATGACACATAAAATCCTTTACTTCTACGCGTGCGATAGTCCCGAACTCGTTGATTCGCTATATTAAGATAGCGTAGTAGAAGCATAAGTGTGGTGTACAATGCTGAAATTGATTATGATTCTTGATGATTACTGTTTTATTTTGAGGGTAAATTGGGCTTTGGGTCTCTTGCTCGTCTTCAGAAGTCTGATCATCGGAATCGGATTCGAATTCTGTTTCTGCGATCGTCCTTGTTCTTTTGAATTCCTGTCAAATTTAAGACTACATGGGTAAAATGCTTTCTGGGTATCCATTTTGTTGTTATTTTATTTTTTAGAGTTTTATGGTTATTCAAAGAGCTTGTATTGTATATTACAGAAGCCAAAGCCTCGGGTGAGTCATCGTTGGCCTTGCGCTTCGTTGAAGTAGACATGGTAGCTAGAAAGCCAAATCCAGCAGCGACTGTCAATTGTTAAAGGTTTGTGCAGTAAAAATCGGTAAAAAATTATACCAATTTTTTAATAAAAAAAAAATTCAAGCTCTGATTGTCCATAATTCCTAAAGATTAATATTGGGACTCCGCTCAGACGTCAGACTTGGCTTCAGGTCTCTTATATATATTCTGTTTGGCTCCTATATTGATTATGACTTATATATATATGCCCAAATTACCTATATAATCTCTTCCAAAGGAGATACCAAAAGAAAAGGAAAATATTTCATTTATCTAGATATCTATATGTGAGCATTAATGTGTCCATTTTCATTATGTGCAGAAAACTATTAGTATTACAAACTCAGATGCTAGTTATTGGAAAATTAAGTGTATGTGTGGGGGAAAGAGGGGGGTGGTCAATTAGAAAAGTTCAAACTTTTATTTGAAAACATAGTTTAAATAATAGAATGAATAAGAAATCTTCACTTAGGATTGACTTTCATTGAAAGTGATTCGTTTACTATACTTTAATGCACCAGATTAAAGGCTACTATTATGTAATATACCATCGTTTTTTATTATATTAATAAGAAATAAGAAATAGGACAATCTCAACACGAGTATCAGTCTGTAGCTTGCTTGATAAACGATTAGTACAAATGGTAATATTTAAACATGTTTTATGGTTTATTGAAAATTATTTTTACACGTTCTGACCTCTTCTATAAAAGTTATTTAGTTGATGCTGCCTATAAACTTGAACCTTTGTTTCTTTATAATTAGTTTAAGACTATTGTATTTTCCCCTGTGCAAACATTTGTACCTTTTGAGTTGGTTCAATATGGTTATATGAGAGGCAATTTTCAGATAATTGTCTAACATATAAACAGATCAGTACCATCATGAAATCCAGGCTAAACAAGTAATATTATATATATATATATATATATATATATATATTCTCGTTCAAACCAAGTTTTGCATTGGAAGAATGCCTCTTTAGAGAGCTAATATTTTGATTATTTATTAGACAACCAATAATCATATTTCTTATAGGTTTATCTTTTTTCTTTTCTATAATTAAAGATATAATTTGATCAATCAATTTAGTAGAGCTTTTTTGTTTTGTTTTGAACTTCGTTTTCAAAGCTCAAAATTTCCAAAAACAGCAGCAAAAAGCCTTTGTCTCTTAGTATTCTTGAATATATATATTAAAGGGAAAAAATTGACGCTTCTCCTTTTACCATATCTTGGCTTGTATTTAAATATACTATTGTTGTTCGCTTTCAACTTTATCGATGGACCGGCTTCTCTGGCTTGAAATTTGTGACCAGCCCATATTAAGGAAAAGTGCCTCAGTATTGCTTGGCAAGCTAGATTTGGATGACGTGGCTCATACTGGTGTCGACACAAGCCCATCATGATTGACAAGGAACAAGTTCATCCAACGCTGTTTCACTATTGAAACTGCCAAGTAATGACGGAAAGAGCGCCACTCTTTTTATAAGAGTAATAATGCTAATACAGTGTTTCCATTTTGAGTTCAGACATTGGTAGTTTTTTTTTTGTTTTTGTTTTTGTTTGAATGAATGAATGAATGGATAAAAAATTAAATTTCAGATGTTTTGCTTTACCTTTTTAGACAAATAAAATATATATATATATAAAATCAGACAAATTAAAAGTTTATGCCCAAAATTCTTTACCTGTAGAACTCAAAAAGGCTTCAGAGAATAATCAAGTGTATCTTAAAGTTCCTAGATTAGTAATAGCGAAATACAATGCTCTGGCTAAGGATAGAAGTCTTTTACTGCATTCCGGTACATTGTAGATTGCTACGCCAAATACAAGAAGCCCAGCGCCAAGTAAAAATTATCCGCCGACACGGTGTTATGCCCCAAGCGCTATGCTGAAAAAAGATCAGTGCAAGATTGAAATTTAGGTACCACAAAGTCAAGAAAAAAAAAAGAAAAAAAAAAAGAGGTAGGCTTCCATCAATTTGGAGAAAATCTGTACACTTTTTGCAGATATTTTTAGAGCACCTCTCAAAAGATCTATGATATAACAATAGGTTTAAAGTTGCGCATACGTGTAATAAAATTAGGCGCAAAAAATAATAAACAAAAGAAAAGGTAGAAATACATTGAGTGGGTTTATTTGTAAAAGTTAGAATCCTGAAACTAATTAACTACAGATCCCTTGATATGTGGGTAGGTGTACCATTAATATTAATAACATCGCCCTTCAGGTGTTCATGCTGTCCTGAAATGCCTAGTGTTTTTATTTTGCGAAAGAAAAATAAAAAGTTGATATGGTTCATATTGATGGCACCTAATTATATCTACCACTGTACCTCCTGCTGACTATCTCTTCTTTAATCGCAAATAAATGAAAACCTCTTTGAAAGTAATAACACTCTTTATTTTACTCTTTGGTCACAAAGCCGTGTCTTGTCACTTTCTTGATAAATGACACTGAACTCTTTGTAAGACTCTGGAAAGCTTGTTCCAAAACAGCCGATAGATTATTTTCTGAGAAAGTTATCAAGTGGTCATTGTAGACTTTGTTGACTTTTATATATTATTTTTCTTTGTGTATCATTTCTCCTGAATACCATATAATAAATCCTCTACATCTTTCTTCCCTTTTTTTTATCGAACCCTGGGCTGTTCAAAGTCAAATAGCCATGGTATTGACTGCATGCAATACATTAAATTATTTCTCTCTCACACACACACACATACGCTCAAAAGAACAAACGTTCCATTTGCTTTACGATTTTTTTTTCTTGTGTGCCACATGCTATTTATCTGCTCGTGGAATTTTTTCCAATTCTTACATAAAATATATATATATTCCACTTTTTTTCCTTTCACTACCTTTAGTGTCTCAGGAGGCTTCAGGTCCATGTAAGTATCGTAAATATGTGATTTTATCAAGGAGAAGTTTTATTTTTTATTTTATTTGCTTTATCAACCTTTAAATCAAGAAATCTATACTTGGCCTTGTTTATTATATAATCTTGATAATCAAAATCAACAACAACAACAACAACAATAGAAAAAAGAAAGAAAAAAAAACTTTTCTGTATTATTAATTTATTTCTTAAAAATGTGCGTTAATTAAGATTACACGAGTCTGTATTCTTGCGTAATTTGTGTTAAAAATATGCGACCAAATTAGTTTTTTTCTGCGCTAGCTATATTTTTGGAAGGTGTGTCTATAGTAGCCTAAAAAGGCTTATTTAACACGTTGATTGTTCATCGTGACAAGGATTTTTCTATGTTCAGCGAAAATAAAAATAAAAAAATAAAAATAAAAAAGCGTCAGACGGTTGCTGGAGGCCAAGAGCGTGCCTACCTTGTATTTTCGGTATAAAAAAGATATTTGTAATCCCGACATCGGTTCTTTATTTCTCATGTGTCGACACCGAGTGAGCTAAACGCACACACGCACACACACACACACACACATATACACACACAGAGGCCTATCTTTCTTGCGGTTCTATAACTTCCGGGAACTATCAGTTACCATTCTTTCCTTCCTATCCATTATTTTGGATTCTCTTGTGCGCCTCACTAACGCTCACAACACTCTCCTCTCTTTATTACCTGCTCCTTCTCCATAGCAGTGAATGACAGCTCAGTGAAGCACTTGTTAAAGTCATGTACCCACAAAAATCTCATTATCAGTCCGCAGATAGCCTATCAGGCTCGCACCTCCTCCCACGTCAACAACAGAATGGAATGAATCCTCAGTATAATATCAATTCAACCATCCTTCAACCTACTGGTCTCACTGCCTATCCAACTCCCTCCGTCTCTTTGCCTCCCATGGCAGAGCCATTACCTAATGCCACCGATCTCCAGCCAACCATCCCACTTACCTTACAGGAATTAGCCGAGTTTGCCTCTACGATGGTGTATCTGATGTGGCATACTCGCAGACCATCTGTCATGGCACTTCATAATCAATCAAAGGTATTAAGTGGGGATACACAACCAGAGCCTACTCAGGACTCCAGCCGAGAGACCGCGAATATTGCAAACGAAGTCAGCAGTGCGTTTAGGAAGTTTTGTCGACAGGTAATAATAAATTTCAAGAATGCCAGACTTTAACCCAATAATGCCTGCAGATCTTACACGCTACCCAACTCTCAGAGTCTGTTATTATGCTCTCACTCAAGTATATTGCGATGTTACTCCAAAATAATCCCCGTATTCAAGGTGCTGAAGGATCAGAATACAGGTTATTTACTGTGGCGCTTATGTTAGGTAATAATTGGGTTGTTGGTTGATTAGTGTTGCTGATGGCTTATATTTTAGCAAATAAATTCCTCGACGACAATACCTTTACAAACAAGACCTGGGCTGAAGTGTCGGGCATGAAGGTCACTGATCTGAATATCATGGAACTTGAGTTTCTAGATGTATTAAAGTTCCGGTTATTTGTACGCAAAGAGGAATTTGAGCGGTGGAAGGCAGCCTTGTTTGTTTTCAGAAGCCAGATCCAAAGTTTCAACCAAGCCGAGGAACACCATCAGAGGCAAAAGGTTATTGAGGCTACTCTCAAGAGTATGGGTTTGGAAATGTTACAACAACAAGACCCGGCACCGTGGGGAACATCACAACAGGAAGCAGCGGCAGTCCAACAGCAGCAGCAGCAACAAGAAGAAGCAGAACATCAATATCGTCAAAGATACCTTTATTTATTATCTAAAGAGCAACAACCACAATTCCCTACCCAGCCACTAAATCGACCACTTGTTCGTGTGCCTTTGAGAATACCCATGCAGCCAATCTATCGCAATCAAAACATCCAAACCACATCTAACATATCCCAACAGCAGCAACCAGTTCAACTACAGCAAGCCCAACCCCAACCCCAACCCCAACAGCAACAGCAACAACAGCAGCAACAACAGCAGCAACAACAGCAACAACAACAGCAACAACAACAGCAACAACAACAGCAACAACAGCAGCATCAACAACAACAGCAACAGCAGCATCAACAACAACAGCAACAACAACAGCAGCATCAACAACAGCAGCAGCATCATAATCAACAACATATACAACAAATACAACAGACGCAACCAATGTCAACTCCTTTATATGATAATAGAGCAAATGCTTCAAATGCTCCTCTTCAGCCTCCCTTACAATATACTGCAAATACCACTCCAGTTGCAAATAGCTTACCAGGCTCAGCAAAACATACACCTGGATCTCAACCTATGGTCATACCTGCTGATAATGTTTATTCACATTACCATAACCCACAGGCAACTCCTTCACGGATTTCAAGTGCCCCTCAGAACCGTAATCACTATGATTCATATGGAGTACAACCTATCTTACCAGAATATAAGGTTCAGCCTGTATACGCTCCTCCCCCTACTCAACCTTACCAAAAATCACATTCATCCCGACCACCTTATCCACCACCGCATCATCAGCAACAGCAACAGCAACAACAACAGCAATCACAGCAACAGCCACAACCACAATCACAATCACAGCAGCATCAGCCACAACTACAACAACCACACCAACAGCAGCCACAACTACAACAACAGCAACCACAACAACAACATCATCCACTACAACAACATCATCATCCACAACAGCCCGCTACATCAGTGACACATTCCAACCACCGCGTGCCGTCTCTTCCGTCAATGGTTGGCCTTGATCTGTCTGGTGCACAGGAGATCCCAAATGGATTGCAGACGCCTGCGTCGTCACTTTATTATTATTCGTCTGGAACCACTACACCGACGGCCATTCACGACAATGGGAGCACCCCGGGGTATGGGTACACAAACGGGTCTCACTACGCGACACCTGTTTCTCGTCCTACACCACGGACGTACTATATGGATACTCCACCACAGACAACACCATCTATTCCGGCTGGGGATTATGGCATTTATAATTCTGTAGGGGATATCTATAACAACGCACAACCACAGATACAGCCAATGGCACAACCACTTTTACAGCCACAAAGGCCTCCTCCAGCTAGTCGCCAGCCATCTACTTTTCAGAACGTTTATTCTCATTCTAACCAGCCTTTGCCGCCACCATCAAATCCTCATTATGGTCAAACGCAGACACCTTTTGATTATCAGACCAGACCAAAATCTACTGGGCCCGTTCCCGAAGATCCCCATAATGTTGCTGAGTCGTATCGATCAAAAAGGCATTAAAAAGAAAAAGAAATAATGAAAAAAAAAAACGATAAAAACCAATATCTTTTCTCATCATATACACAACATATACACACCATATACATAAGAAAATCTATACTGCATCAAACCACATTATATACAGTATGGCATTTCAATCCACGGCACAACATGACGCACCAAGACGCACCACGACGCACCACGACACAGTATAGCACAGCATGACACAGCACAGCATGACATAGCACAGCACAGCACAGCACAACATATCACAACATAACATAACACAGCACAATACAATATAATGATATAACCCGATATAATATTTTTCTTTTCTTTTCTTTTCTTTTCTTTTTTTTTTCTTTTTTTTTTTACTTGTTATCTCTTCTTCACAGTGAGTGGAGAAGAAAAGTGGACGCGTCCTTATTCTTCTTGTTCTTTGTTATTTCAGCAGTAACCCTTGTTTATCCACAACACGCTCAAAATAAATTGGTGCAAGTATATTATCCTTGCCTTGAGTAAGAATTACACCATTATACGACCGATAGAACTCAATTCCATCTATAATAAAAAAAAACATGCAACAAAGACTGTAAATTAAACCAAACAATCCTGCGACACACACACAAATACAATAGTTACTGCGCCGCTTTTTTTTTCTCTTATATATTTGTTTACTTTACCTGCCATTGCTTTTGAAGCATCAATATAGATGAATATTTCGCTTGTCCAACGCACACCTGAAAAAAAAAGAAACACGATTTAGAAACATTATAAACTAAATCATTAATGCAATTCAACATTACCACTTTTGACATCTTTATCTCCGGGAAGACCAGCTGAAAAATGAATGTGTTGTCGTCCCATCGTTTTAAGTCCAGTAGTCTTGATGAGATCCCAACAAGCTAGTTTGGTACCATGGATCACTACTGGAGGAGGATCTATAATGCGATCAAGCGCAATATCCTTCACCTCAATTGAATGCCCTTGATTTGCACGGATCCACCATTGATCATCTTCAAACATGAGATGGAATCGTTGTTTGTCGTTATCTCTCACAACGTACTCAATTTGCTCCATTGTGACATCTCTAAAGGATCCCAAAGAAAACTATATGCAACAATAGAAGAATGAGGAAATTCGTTTGATAGACAAATATATGCATATAACTCCCTTTTCATTTAAGAAACAGGGGAGCCTGACACCTGTTGTGAAAGGGATATATATGTGTAGATCTGCGTACCAGTTCAGATACTGCTAGATAACCATCTGAACGTATATTTAGTTTGGCCTTGACTGCATTATGGCGAAGTAGACTGGATAGTAGTTTAGAGATACGGGTGATACGGCGCCTATCAAAAGGATCAATATGATCTGGTGTGGTCATGACAAGAGGGAGGGAGGGAGGGAGGGAGGGAGCTGGGGGTTTTATAAGAAAAGATGGAAAGAAACTTTAAAAATTGTATCTCCATCCATCTTTATTCCTGCTTCTCTTTCTCCTCATGCTCGATTTACTCCCACCTTTACTGGCCCTCTCTGTACAAACCCTCAACACAATGCGCGAGGTCGAAGCCGACGATCTGCGTACGATGTGGACCTGTAGGGCACATTATATAGCACCATCAAAGTAAAGCTCATCAATTATTTAATAGTGTTTACAAAGTGTAAAGGACAACTAGAGCATGGCCAACGTCTAGAAAACATGGCCTGGCGACTATGGCACCATGAGAGCACATTAACAAAACGTACAGATATTGCATGTATCGAACGGCCAACAGATCCCATCCAGCGACAATCTCCCATAGACCATTTTCTGTCTTGTCTTGCCACCCCCTCCATGACAACTACAGAACCAAATGCAGTGCAATTTCAAAAATGTCGCTCTTCTCCTCCTATCCCTACTCCAGCAATATCACCAAATGCCACACCCTGGTCTGACTCAGATCCTGTCAATGTAGTTCCTATTGAAGTCCTCTCTGTACCAGATTCTTATGATTCACCTATACTCAATAGCCAAACCAAGGATAAACACACAGAAGACACCCCGGAAAACGATACAACATTTGCAAAAACCCAGCCAACTTTGGCGCCTCGTCAATCGCTCCTTTCTATTCTCTTTCACAAACCTCCTTCTGATTCAGCCAATACTGATATCACCAATCAACAACCAGCTCAACTTTTTATGTATATGCCTAGAAATATTTCTGAAAGTGTGCAACAAGACCCAGCTTTGGAAGACATCCAAAACAGCCCGAATATTAAACGATCCTCCTCTAATCGGCATCAAGATTCGGAGTGGAGGGAAAGTTTTCATGGGTGGTGAAAAGACTTTATTTTTATTTTTATTTTTGCGCAATAGATAAGCAATTTATTCTTCTTTTAAATTCTTGTTTTCATCCTCACTGATCATAGGATCTGAAAGCACAAACATCTTTTAGATAGATAGTATCTCACCTAATGGTATTATTCTATATATAAAGTTAATTACCTTCTCAGTATATATAAACATAATCAAATTAATATATTTTGCTACGCTGATATATACATATATGTATATCTTTAGAATCAACCAAAATAAGGATTAATTGCCTAGGATCTTATTCTAAAGTCACAAGTGGGGCTAACAAGTACAGGGTTTTGAGATTTTGGATCAACATGGTTTGATTGATATTATCTTCCGTACTAATTACAGACGACCGCATCAACTTTATTATAAAACTACAAGCTGCTTATTCATCACTTTAATTAAAGTAAAATACAATTTATACTTTCTTCTTCTCATTCACATTCTCATTCTTTCAAATAGATATATATATAACTGAAAAACAAACCCTCAGATAATTTGCTTTGTGCAAGAAACTTTGTTTTTATTTATTTATTTATTGAGAAAAATAAAATAAAGAGGAATGTTATATTTAAAAATAATAATAATGAATAGTAAACTGCCTATAAAAAGCAGAAAAGAATGAAAGAGATCTTGGTATGCCGCAAGAGGAAGGGAGAGGGAGGGGGGTTAGATGTAGGTATGGAATTCACTTAGCGAATAGCCACTGTAAAAAGAAAAATAGAGAGAAAAATAGAAAAAAGAGAGAAAGAGAGATAATAATGATGCTTGGTAGTAACTTAACCGCTGCAGCTAATGCAGGCATCCTTATTATCCAATGAGCACTGCATGGCTACCAATTTCTCCTCTTGTATCTTGCGCTCCTCGGCGGACATGTCCTTGAGGGCCAATTGGTCCACTGTGAACTTGATCGCATCTACTGCGGGTCTGGAGCGCAAGTAATACATGCCAGTCTTGAGGCCCTTTTTCCAAGCATAGAAGTGCATACTGGTCAATTTTCCGAAAGTTGGCTCAGCTGCAAACAAATTCATGGATTGCGATTGATCAATAAAGGCCGCACGATCTGCTGCCATATCAATAATAACTCGCTGAGAAAGTTCCCAAACAGTCTTGTACAGCTTCTTGATATCCTCTGGAATAGTTGGAACTTGTTGAACGCTACCGTTGTGGGCAATAATCATGTTCTTGACCTGGTCATTCCACAAACCACGTTCAATCAAGTCTCTGAGGAGGTGTTGGTTGACCACCTGGAACTCACCGCTCATCACACGACGTGTGTAGATGTTAGAAGTATAGGGCTCAAAACACTCGTTATTACCCAAGATCTGACTTGTGCTTGCGGTAGGCATAGGGGCCACCAACAGTGAGTTACGCACACCATGTTGAGCAATCTTTGCTCTCAAGCCAGTCCAATCCCAACGATCAGATCCACTAACATTCCACATGTCGTGCTGCAGAATTCCCTGACTCACAGGCGAACCTTCATAAGTGGCATAATGACCATCTTTGGCTGCCAGTTCGCATGAGGCCTCAAGGCCAGCATGATAAATAGTCTCAAAAATATCCTTGTTCAACTGACGTGCCTCGGGAGAATCAAAAGAGTAGCGCATCAAAAGGAAAGCATCAGCCAAACCTTGGACACCCATACCAATACTAGAAATTATACGTTAGTTCAGCTTGTTTTGTGCTGGTTGTAAAGCTGCAAAATTATGTGAAAACATACGGTCTGTGACGCATGTTGCTGTTTCTGGCTTCTTCGACAGGGTAGTAGTTGACATCAATGACCTTGTTGAGGTTACGTGTAACTACCTTGGCAACTTCATGAAGCTTCTCGAAGTCAAAGGTGCGAGTTTCTGTGTCGACATACTTTGGCAACGCAAGTGAAGCCAAATTACAAACAGCTACTTCATCGGGAGCAGAGTACTCGATGATTTCTGCAGATAAGTATTAGTTTTGGATTCGAGGTTATGTAAATTAAGGTGTTTACCAGTGCACAAGTTGGAACACGTAATGGTACCCAGGTTCTTCTGGTTAGATTTTTGGTTGCATGCATCTAAAACGTATATATGTTAATAAGTCGACAGGTCTAATTTTTTAATCCTTTTCTCCATCTTTATCGGCAAAGACAAAAAAATACGTACCCTTGTAAAGCATGTAAGGCATGCCAGTCTCAACTTGAGAATCCAAAATAGCAAACCAAAGCTTCTGAGCTTCTACAGTTTTTCTAGCCCTTCCTTCATTCTCATACTTGGTGTAGAGTCTATCAAACTCCTCTCCGTAGCAATCATAAAGTCCCTTGGCCTCATTGGGGCAGAAGAGGGACCAGCTACCGTTGCTCTCAACGCCTAATAATCCCATATAATCAGCCGACCAATATTTTTATATACAAAGTATCTAAAAACATACGCTTCATGAACAGATCAGGGATCCACAATCCGAGGAACAGGTCGCGGGCACGCATTTCTTCCTTTCCGGAATTCTTGCGAAGATCTAAGAAATCAAAAACATCCACGTGCCAAGGTTCAAGATACCTAAACTTGCCAAAAATTATATATATATTAATATCCTTGATAATCCATATTCGATCTACATTCACATCCACCACAATTATGAAACAGAAATAAAAGCAAAACTTACATGGCGAAACTTCCGTTGCGCTTTCCTCCACCCTGAGTTACAAAGCGAGCAGTGTCGTTGTAGACACGCAACATTGGAACAATACCGTTGGAAGTACCGTTGGTACCAGCAATGTATGATCCAGAGCCACGAATCTTCTGGAAGCTCACACCAACACCACCAGCAGACTTGGAGATACGAGCACAAGTTGTCAGTGTATCGTAAATTCCCTCAATGCTATATCTGAAAGTTAGATCATCCAATCGCTTTGCTAGTTTGTTCCACTATATCAAATCTTTTTTTCCTTCTTCTTCTTTTACCTGTCATCTTTCATCTGGACGAGGTAGCAGCTAGAAAGTTGAGGACGAGGAGTACCGGCATTAAAGAGCGTAGGTGTAGCATGAGTAAAGTATTTCTGGGACATAAAGTCATATGTCTCAAATGCAGCCTCGATATCACTGCCGTGGATACCAAGAGCTACACGCATAATCATATGTTGGGGGCGCTCCACAGTTCGGCCATCAACCTTTAAGAGATAGCTACGCTCAAGTGTCTTGAATGCAAAGAAGTTCAGGTCATAATCACGCTCATCATCTACAGCAGCATTAATTCTCTCAGAATATTTGTTCACGATATCAAAGAGTTCTTGGGACACTAAAGGATTATCGGTCTTGGTCTTTGGGTGCTTGTGGTTGTAGAGTTGGTTTACGACATCACTGAATTGCTTGTGAGTCTCCTTGTGGAGGTTGGATACGGCAATACGAGCAGCCAGGATAGCATAATCAGGGTGAGTGGTTGTCATGTCCGCAGCAGTTTCAGCGGCAAGGTTGTCCAATTCCACTGTGGTTATGCCTTGGTACATGCCACTAACAACCTTTTTTTATACGATTTGTGTAGTGATAAATAATGTAAGTATATAAACATTATCAGCCTCAATCAAAGAGACTGAATTGATCTACCTTTTGAGAGATCTTGGGAGGCATGACGAATTCTTCATTCAGACCATTGCAAAGTTTGCTGATTCGAGAAGTGATCTTGTCAAACAAGACTTTTTCGGTGCGACCGTCTGCAAAAATAACGGTTTTGTTAATACCACGAAACGCGACACGGCGCGTACACCAAATAAACAAACACTTTAGCTGTACCTCTTTTGATGACAAACATTATTCTTTTTGAGGAGGTTTAGTGAGTTTGCAACCAAGGAGAATTCGAACTAAATATTCAGGTTCGGATAGGTTGGAAGAAAGTAAAGAAAAAGAAAAAGAAGAAAAAGAAGAAAGAAAGAAAGTAAAGAAAAAGTCTGGAAGAAAAAAAAATCGCGACATTATCTTTATCGCGACGCGTCAATAATTTTTAAAGTCATTTTCAAGACGCGGACGAAGGTAGGTAGTTGTAACATAACGCACTAGTACCCTTTGTATCTTGACCAGGTACAACTCGCTCACAAAAAAAGCTTTGTGTATCAGATCAATTAGATTTTGTCTACATTTCCAAATTCTGAAAAATCCAGGTAGAAAGATTATTGCAGAATACTTAAACGTTTACTTTTGAATATTGAGTGGAAAATATTGCAAGCATAAATAAAATTCTCAAGGTAAGGATAAGCTGTAGCGTATGGCTCTAGTATCTATTATAGAAAATAGCACAAGTTTATATTTTAAAAGCAAATCAACCTGGTCCTAGGTTGAATAATTAGGAATAATAACAGGAATAACGTTAATCTGGAAACTCGGACTTTTCGATTTAATGACAAACGATGAACAATTTATCCAATTTTAAACAAAATATTTACTTATTTATTTTAAAGTAATAAGGTACTTTTTTAATTAGTAATGATATTTTGGAGCATTTATCAATATTATTTCTTGCTGTTTGTTATATTTGATTTTAAGCTATGAGGCGCACGATCTGTCATGGTAGAATTCAACCTTAAAACAACCCTTAAAACCCCCAAAAAAGCTTACAAGAATCCCTAAGATTGTTCATTTTTTATCATAGTGTATCACTCCATGTAAGTGAGTGAGATTGTATATATTTTTTAATCTTTATTGATTGTCTGCTTTTGGGCTTGTTCGCTGTTATCAAAAGCCATGGTATCAAGAACACTAATAATAATAAGAAAAAGTAAACTTATCTTGATATATTAAAAACAAAGGAACCAGGAAAACATAATTTAATATACAAATTTATTCTTGGTAGCAATAAATATTCGCAAAGATAGGTGCTCCAGAGAGATTAAAGAAATGCAATGTGGTGATATATAACTACTCACAGTAAAGCGAAATGCACCTCTAAGAACACCCCTAAACACGCATTTTCTTTTAAAAAATTGAAGAAATATACTTAGTTTACTAAATATATATAAGTATATTGAAATCCATAGTCTATAGCTAATATGTTATGACGAAGGAAATAAAGAAGAAACAGTTGGTACTCCATATGTAGCATCTGTGTGTATTCTTTGAAGAGCTGTTGGTCGTGGTACATAAAATAATTTATTAAAAAACAAGCAAATGAAAAAAACTAAGGCAGAATATGCCCGGCTTGTGTGGATTGAGGGCCAATTTAGTCGGCTAATAATATGGTCCGAATAGAATTGGTTTGAGGATCCTGGCTTCACGACAAACTCAAATGTTTTGTCGATTAATGAGCAATGAGGGGACGATGGCATACATTGGCGCTCTTGTAGATTCCCTGATCTACAAAGAGATCGCTAATAGTGTATGCAACGGTGATGTGGGACCAGAAAGTCTGTGTGGAATGGAATGAGAAACAAGTATAATAAGAATGTTGAATTACTTACACGAGGATCAAATAAAGCGGTGTTTCCACCCTTGGAGTAGTAGAGAGTAAAGATCTTCTCTCTCAACTTTACAAGCGAAGGAGACTCAACAATGATCTGGTAGACAATATAGTTCTTGCCATCCTGAACAAGCTCTGCCTTGCCGAGACAAACAATATCGAACTTGCTCTCCTGGATGCGTTGCTCTCTGGCTATAGCATTGATTTCCTCAATAGTGACACCGGCAACTGCCAAAGTATCGAACTCGGGTGGAGTGACAATAGTAATATGAGACTCACCTTGAGAATATAAACATAAATTAGTAAAGAACGGAAACGAACGGAGAGCAAGTGACATACCACGCGTCAAAAGGGGTGTTTCAGTTGAATTGATGGCATCAACAATGGGTTTAACATAAGCATAGTCAAGCTCAAGACCAAGCCAAGGAGGGTAAGCTGCTCGAAAGATTAATGAATTATTGCAAGGAGTTTTGAAAACTTACATGAATGTTCAACAAATTCAATAGACTTAGTGTCGTGGATCTTTTTAGAGATGTAGATTGGAGGACCTATAGTGTAAAGATGTTAAGTTTGTGTGTATCTTGTAGAGAGAGAAAGTATGTGTAAGTGTGAGTATAGGGTACCTTCGAGAGGGACACCAAGAGGAGACTTATATGTTTTGGTGAAAATGCTGCTTGCAGTGCAAGTCATGCTACACAGCAAAGTACCGACAAGAGGCAAAATAAACTTCATTTTAGGTGATCAGAAAAAAGAAAGTAAGAAAGGAATGTGAATTGGATTTAAAAGGTTTAAATAGGTATATTTGTACCCACAGACAGAGGTAAAGATAGAAAAATTGATATAGATAGTATATAAAACTAGATAGACGGCAATGTACCTCTAAGTGCTAGCCAAGTATGCAAGAACAGGAATATAGATACCAAGCGGGGATGTGCGAGTGTGAGTGAGCGTGAGCGTGTTTGTGTAAGTGTACGATATGAGGGGTGAGACAAAGTTTATGTACTTTCATGGCGATTTTAACTTTTTAGGAACATTTCTCTTGGTATAGACACTTGGGAACTTATCTCTTGATAAAGAAAAACCCCATTTCATATCAAACTATTTGTATACCACTCAAGTGTGTCCAACTACTCTTCCGGTATCTACTTATACAGTGATTGGCTCGGACAAGTTACCTCTTGTACTCTTTAGAAATAAAACTTAGAATAAATATAACCAACGGAAGTCCTTGTCAACAACATTCATTTGAAAGAAGTATTGTATATGAAACGTATACACTGACATTAATCAATCACGTGTACATTACCGATCGGTCATTTTTATATTCACCCTTCATATACTTTAATTGCTGCACGTCTTGCTTAGATCTTTCTTTACTTCTCTTGTGTATGTGTCTTCGAGAAAAAAAATATATTGTCAAATTACTGCCATAATTAGCGTATTGCAACGTGGAGCAGTGCACAAAGTTCATTTGCCCTTTTCAAACTAACGGCGTTTAAATCAATTGAAACAAATCTAAACATTTAATATTTTTAAAAAAAAACCCCCCAATTGTATGTCTATGTGTTTCTGTGCGAATTGCTGTATATACTTTTAAATTTTTCATGAAGTTCATTTGTGATTCTCTTTTTTTATTTGGCAGTCTGCTTTTAGCTATAACTGCTGTGAATGGTCAATATGACATTCCAGATTTACCTACTCCATATGTCCCTCCTCCTCGAGATTATATCGATGACTTTAAACTACTCCATGACGAACTTGATAAACCTATGAATGGCATTGTACGAACTTATTACATTGCTGCAGATGAGGTTGTTTGGGATTATGCCCAAGAAAGCAAAACAAATGAACTTCCTAAAGACCCTTCCTTGAGCATATGGACAACAGCCTGTGAGAAAATATACAAACCTATCTTATTTTGTATGTAATAATTTATTGTCTATTTCTTTCCTTTTCTTCTTCTTCTTCTATTTTCCTTGAATGTATGTGATGGCTAGCATCTACTACTCTGGGCTCAAAGTATTACAAGGCTCTCTACCGTGAATACTCGGACGAAACATTTAGTACACTTGTAGAACGTCCACACTGGCAAGGTGCAATGGGCCCAATACTACGTGCTGAAGTAGGTGATACAATCGTTATCCACTTCTGGAACAGAGCGAGCTATAACTTTACCCTTCATCCACACGTGAGTCTTGCCAAATTTATTGGTTGGTTAAGATGGTTGATCTAATCAGATATATCAGGGAGTTCTGTATGAGTTTGAGATGGAAGGTGCTGTCTACAAAGGAGCCACCGAAGAGTCTTCAATCGCACCAGGACATAATTACACCTATTCCTGGAAGGCGTTGCCAAGGGCAGGGCCTGGCCCAAATGATGGGAATTCACTTGTATGGGGTTATCACTCGCATGTAACTGAAAATGACATGTAAGCTTATTACTATTACTTTTATTTTATTTTATTTTATTTTATTTTATTTTATTGTATTTATTTATTTTAAAAAAGCAGTTCAAATCCAATAACCCTCATTATATTAGTTATGCTGGACTATTTGGTGCTATTGTAATTTATCGACCGGGAAAACTTACTAAAGAAGCCGTATCAGAAGAAGTTGTAACAGCCCTATTTGGTAAGATAAAAATGATAAATCAATATTTGTATTAATTGCATTGTATCGCACAGGCTCTGATGAGAATCTGTCACCTTACTTGACACGCACCATAAAAGAGCTAGGCCCTCAACTAGATATTTCTGGGATCCAGAAGGACAGAACAACCAGGCACGCTTTTTATCGATCTAATGTTAAGCAGTCTATCAATGGTATTATGTACAGCAGCCCTTCAGACCTTGTTGTGTCCAGATCCAGTCTTACCCAATGGCACCTTCTTGGTTGGGGTTCTTTTCTTGACATGCACGATGTCAGTTGGGATAACGCTAGTGTACTTATGTATGGACAAAAGGTTGAAAATGTTAAGCTTTTTCCAGCTAGTTTCAGGACAGTTCAAGTCCAAGCAACTGACAAACGAGGAAGCTTTGGGCTTCTTAAAGGAAAATTGGCTGGACATGGGATGATAATGGAATTTGATACAAAATAAAAAATTTAAAAGGGTGTACAATTATATTTCTCCTTCTTAACCACAACAATAGAGATATCACAAAAAGAAAAAAGAAAGAAAGAGAAATTCGCCTATTTTATACATGAAGATAAGAATAAAACGTATAGTATATATATATAGAGAAACTTAGTCCGTTAAGCCTTCTAGAGCCAAAGCCTCTAATGTTCTACTTATGGGCTCAGAGGCGTAATGCGTTCCATCCTCTCCATATATATCATTCTCATCATCCAGTAACATTGCGCTCTCATCATCTTCATTATTATAGAACCGTGAAGATCGACCAAATTCGTGGTTGTAGTAGTCTACCTGGTCTAGTCCGTCCATCATTACACCATCTACATCTACGTCTACGTCCACCAGGTATCGATCCTTTCTATCTGAACTGTCCTCTACGCTCGCCTTGCTGCTTCCAGACTTTGCTCCGTTAGATTTAGATCTGCCAGACATTGAGAACCCATGTTCAGAGGTCGTCATATTTGATGTCATGGTAGATCCTGAAGCCGAGTTGTTGGATGGACTTAGTATTGTATTTCCATTCCCATTATTTGTTGTATTGTTTGTAAAATGAGATCCATTGCGGTGTCTAGTGATATTTACAGGAGACACAGTGTCGAACAAGTTGTCCAAGAGATCTATAGACTATTTTAGCCAGTATTACTATCTTGATATCATTTACATACCATTTTTGCGCTTCTTGTAAAAGTCTTCTTTTTCTTTTTCTTTTTTCTCTTTTAATTCACGCAGCTCTCTCTCCTCTTCTGTCATCATGTCAGGATTCAAGAACTTCAATCGAAGGCACGAATGCTTTCTAAAAGTGATTTCGCCATTCCATAACCAGCGAGGTAGTGTTAAAGGAACTGTGATCTCAAAGTTTTTAAAGTTGTCTACAAATTCAAATTCTTCTGAAGCAATGACATTTGTGTGAAGATGCCTGTTGTTATTATTATTATTATTATTAGCATATATGCGTGGATTATATCAACTCTTCGCAGCTACCTAGAAAATTCACACATTGCACTGGATAGATTCCACATTTGCAATTTTCGGAGACATGCAACAACAAGCCCTGTTACATCTGCACCATCCAAACAGTGAAGGTAAAGAGGGTGGTTTGTTGGATCAATCATAATCTATACCTTTCATTACTTTCTCTTTTTTTATGCAACAAGACTCGACAACTTTAACTTTTTTTTTAAAAAAAAAGACATGGCTTTACCTGAAGTGCCATGAGTGTTTTGTTGTAGCTTAGAGGAATATTATCCTCCTTCATCTTGTCCACTGTCAAGTGAACTACCTGAATTCCTTGATTTTCACAGAATTCCAACATTTCTGGCATGAGATTGTCTGGAATAAGTGAAAGAATGGTCTTGAGTCGCAATCTAAGTAAGGGGTTAAGTCATTAAATCATCAAGCCAGTATAATACCTCTTCAGGAACCGAATGTTTTTTGGCTTGGGGTATCCACCCCTAAACATGTTTTCCTCTACCAAAGAGTAGCGAAAGGGTGGAATGAGATCTGGCAACTTTACGGTCATGGCGTTCAATCTACCTAGCCCATCTCAGTTATCCCCGAAGTCTTCTTTTGACCTATCCACAAGCAGTCACTGGAACACAGACAGAGGTATTATGCACATATTAACAAGTAGGTGTACAAGTCCATGATTATTGTTGTACTTGATGACTGTGTTGAAGTACCAAAGTGTAATGTAATTTTTAGGACATTTTAATCAACGAGTATGTTAATTTTGGTCTTATTGTTTTGTAAAATATACACGTAATACTGATTAGTCTTTAGTGTGGGTGTGAGTGTAGGTGCAGGCGGGCACATATATACAAATAATGAAATGGTTGATTGAGAGAATACGTGGATCTGATGACATCACAGCTATATTTTTATTATTCTTCTTCTTCTTATCTCTAGCTATTAAAAATAAAGCCTTAAAGTAATTATAGACAGAATATGGATGTGGATAATAAGATATATATACATGTGTAAAATAAAATGTCTTCAGTTGGTCGTTTGATTGTTTAATAATATTTATTCTAGCCTACATTCTTACTAGCAATACAGATCCGATGCAAAGTAAAGGATGCTATTCACAATTGCTCAGTTTATGTTGATTTCTAAAAAGAAACATAAATGCTTATTTGAGCTGTAAGCTAATGCCATATTGCATTGACAAAGATAAAACTACAGACAAGTGCTGCATAGGTCCACGCGCACATGTAAGAATAGTGTTTTTAATGAGATGGTTTCCAAGAAACCTATTAGAGTATAATGCTTTATAAGAAGAAGAAACCGAGATTCCAAGGTTAAAAAAAAATAACAATTATGCAAGATGCTGAGAAATATTATACACACACACAAATATATATGTTTTATATATAAAAGTGAGATAATGAATGATCGTTACAGGACTGTCTTTTTGTTTTACACTTGCAGCAGATTTTCCTTGCTTGAGATATAGGGTTCATATAAATTCGATATTCTCTGGAACATACACGGAATAGTTAATTCTGGATGACCTAGAGAATATTCAAATACAACAGCGTAAAAGTCTTGATATAAATTTCAGAAACGTCTCGCGATTTAAGAATATGTCTAGTTACTGGAAAGTTATTGAATCTCCTCTACACGGAAGGAACCTGTCTTTACCTAAGGCACCACCAACCATACCAGAATTCAGAGACACATTTGGAACATCTGTTGTATACACTAGTATAAGCAATCCCTTCAAGCGAACTAGGATAACACAGAGCATTCCAAAGAAACCACTATCACAATTTCCAATTTCCAACAAAATTCAACCAAAAAAATCAAATATCATGTCTGATGATGGCAATAATATTAAGAACCATGAATGTGATGATAATCACAGCAATAGTGTAGACCAAAAGCAGCTTGATGAAATTCTTTTACGACTGGAAGGAATTAAGCTTGATAGATCAACACCAAAGGTCTACGTTTCAGCACCAAAGATTAGGCGGAAAGAGGTTAGACAAGAAGTAGATCATTTACGTAAAAGAGAATGAATGAAAAGAATGCTAAATTACAAAAAAAAAAAAAACTTTTCTGGTTATATTATATATTGTAGTGTGCATATGTTGGCCCTAATATATCCAATTTGGAGGTAACTGCTCTTTTTTGATAAAATACGTTTAATGGGTAGAAGCTGTTTTTATTATTTATTGAGAATATACCTTTAATAACGGAATGTACTGATACTTTTATTTAAAGAAAGCGGATTTATTCGAAAGTCTTTTCGATGACACAGTCATACCTCCACCAGAATCAGTTAAACCATTGACAAAGGAAGAGGATGAACATGTATGATAAAGGTCGTATTTTGGATAGTTAATGTATATTAATACATTATTTAGGTGAATGCTCTCTTGAGAAAAGGTCAACGTGGATTGATTGCTGAATTGAAGACGGCCATGGTCTCATTTAATGACATATATAAACTTGAGCCTCAAGTTTGGTTAAATGATGAAGTATAAAAGCCTTTGAAATATTGCCCGAGAAAGAAAAAGATACTGACAAGATACGATTCTAGATTATCAACTTTTATATGGAAATGCTTTCTGATCGATCCAAGGCAAATCCAAAAGAATACTTAGATATACATTGCTTCAACACCTTTTTCTTTTCTACTCTAAGTGAGTCAGGATATCAAAAGGTACGACGGTGGACAAAACGAGTAAGTTGTGTACATTTAAGATTTTTCTGACACATGCCAGTGCTTCAAAGTAATGCATACATTCGCTTAGATTGACATCTTCTCGAAAGACTTGGTTTTTGCTCCTATAAATCAGTCACTTCATTGGACATTGGGTGTTATTGATATTAAAAACAAAAAAGTTTATGTCTATGATTCTCTTGGAGGAGCTCATCAAAGAGGCCTAAAGGTAGACTATACATCTATAAATGATTTATTAGACTTGTGTTTTAATTTGTGTTTGATAACTTGTGTAGCTTCTATTGGACTATGTTGAACAAGAGCACTTGGATAAAAAGAAAGATACGTTAGATATGAGTGAATGGACATCGAGCGCACCAAAGGTAGGACTATATTATGGATTATAAAATCTGAATGACATGGGATTTCATTTAGGATATACCACACCAAGAGAACATGTCAGATTGCGGTGTATTTACATGTACTTTTGCGGAGCGGCTATCACGAAACCACGAAATGGATTTTTCGCAAAAAGATATGAACCTTATTCGAAGAAGAATGGTGCTAGACATATCTAGAAAACATATTAGTTGATTATATCCTGTTTCACACATCCAAAAAAAATCACACCCATTAGCACAACAGATTTTATTTTACAGACTTCCACTACACAAAAGAAATGAGAATGCATATATATTAAAAATATTATCTGTCGTGCTAGTCTCTTGTAAAAACAAAATTCCAAAAGGGAGGTCTTCGCAAAACTTCCTAGGGGAAAGGGGCTATTCAGGTAGGATGATACATATCTTTTGATAAAATTTGACAACTATATATCAATTATTTTTATTATGCACTTTGGTGTCAACCGTGCTCTTTCAAACAAAAAAATACCCACGGTCAATAATTATTATTATTATCATTTAGTCTTGTTTTACTTCTTTATTTACCTTTTATATATATATATATTCGTATTGATATTATTCCAGGCCATTGCTTCCATGGAATAGTTATGATAAATTTTCTTCATGCTCGTTCCAAATTTACAAGGGTTCATATCAATTTTTTTTAAAAAAGGAAAAGACAAAAGTATATCCTCAAAATACACAGAGGCTTTGCCCTTTTATCAACAAAGGCGCAAATAAGGTTCTTCAGGACAATATCCTATTGAATTGTAAACGCTTTGGCTTAGAAGTATGAACAGAATGTAATAGGCTGCTGATATTCATATATTGAGCCAATGGCCCGAGTAATATGTAGTCAGTTAATTAATCCAGTTTGTAAGTTTGGATTTTTGATAAGCTTGTAATGTTCTTTGGAACAAACCATAATCATTGTTCAACAAAACATAAATAGTCTCCTATCTAAGCGTGATAAAAAACTATAAAATAAATAGAAGAATTCATATTAGCTCCTCCTCTTTCTTCAACTCATATCGAAACGGTCTTGACTTACATTCAACATGCCCGAGATCGATAATTTGATTAGCATGTTTGAGTTTGACGACTTGGTCAATATGATTTCCTTGGGTACTGCCTTAAACATAAATCCCTTTCTTAATGATGCACTACGACCACAAATGCAGACCCCACAGGACTTCAAACAAGAGTATCCATACTTTACTGTGGAGTATCAAAAAAAGAAGCCGTTTACTAGACCGCTTGACCGATCCATAGCCCAACTACCACCAGAGAAACTGTTCACTGAGTTCTGTGATAGAATCCCTCCTCCTATTAGCAATATAAACTCATCGGATTATGTTTTTGTCGAAGCCAACACTATTGTTCAAATGAGACACCTCAAGCTATTTAATCGACCAGAACGCCCCCGGCCAAGCCGAATTGAGACTCAGCTATCTCAAGCCATTCAGCGTGTCGAAAAACTTATGGATATTCCTGACAAGCTCCAATTCCCAGAAAAGAATGCATTACGATCAGTCCCATTCTACAATAAGCGATCTTCTGGCTATTACTATTGGCTTCAACGTCTAAATACACGTGAAAAAGCCAACTTTGTCGCCCAAATAGATGCAGAACAGGCATATGATGCATTAATGGCTGGTAGAACTGTCAACCCCCACTTGTACCGAATATGTGGAAAAGGAAAGGCAACACTCAAATCAAAGCTATCTGACAACAGCCTGATTACTGGACGGCTTATTTTATTGACTACTCAAAGGGATATAAAGCTAAATGGTATTACTGAAAACTATCTGACAGAACATTATATTGATAAAAAGTACCCTGTCGGCTTTGGTCTTTCTTGGTGGCACGGTGGATCCGATGCCTTTATTGAGCGAATGAAACCTTATGATACTTTCTATTGTCTTGATGCCAAAAAGTTTGACGCGAATATCGACGGCTGGATGGTCAAGATGGCCATTGGAATACTCCGAAAGCAATACATTGACGGGACGGACAGCAGATATGATACGTACTGGAACTTTATCTACAGTGGTCTTGTAGATACACCAATATTTCGTGATGATGGAATAGCGTTTGAGAAGCACGTTGGATCCACTACTGGACACTCGCACAACACACTTGTGCAATCAATCATAACATTAATCATAGCTTATGCAGCTATTATCGTTGCGAACCCGCATCTTTCATGTGACTATATTTTTGAGAATACTTGGGTCGAGAGTCTTGGGGACGACAACATCATTGCCATCAGAGGAAATATGAAGCGTCTTACTGCTTTGGAATTGGCAAAAGTAACAATGGAACATTTTGGGATTGATTGGAGCGGAGCAAAGAGTTTCCGAACATCTACCCTGGTGGACCAAGAGGCCTGTAGCTTTTCAGGTGTCCAGTTTCTCGGAAAATACTTTCGAAAGGCTGATATTGAATCTGATCCTCCTAATGCTCAGGGACACTATCTTCCTTATCGTCCTGCATCTGAGACCTTTCTAAAGCTCTTGTTTACCACCAGAAAACCTCAAGATTCTCGAGATGTATATGGTAAAGAGCTAGAGACGATGTGTGCGAAAGACATGTACTTGCGTGCTTTGGGAAATTGGTACGATTGTGCAGGAAACAAGGAGATGCGAAATTGGCTTGATTTGTACCTGGACTGGCTCGAAGGTGTTTTGAAAGGAGATTTGCCTAAGCGATGGACTGATGATGATATAAGAAAGTTTCAGCATGGGCAGCGGAATACCGGCCTAATTCTACCGGACTGCAAAAGGATTACTTATGAACAATGGGTCGACATGGTAGTCACTCCCAGAAAATAGGAATGCTTTAAAATATTGCTTTCCTTTTTTTTAAAAAAAAAAAAAAGAAAGAGAAAAGCCAGTAAGTGGCGCAGTGTGGACTCTTAATGCGCACGCACGTACAAACGTGCATTTATATTAAAAGACCAATATTTCCCACTGAATATATTCTCACTAATTTGGTTGGTAACCTCTTTCCACATGGTGATATAAAGTAATTAATAATGTATATTTCTATAAAAAGCTTAATGTATTTTATAGTCTTGACTCCCATTAGCTTTAGTGTGTAATTATAAATACTCAAAACGATAACTAGCTTAACTCTTCAATTCTCTTGAATCACCTTTCACTATTGTTCTGGCGGATAAAAGACCCGATATCCAAATCAAACCATTCCCCGTCAAAGCTTAGCTAGGTATTTTTTTTATTCGAAATCTAGTTATATTGAAAGCATGGTAACACATAATATGCTTATTTATTCAATTTTCAGGTGTTTTTCAAAATGATGAGTTGCTCTTTAAAGATGTTTTCTTTTGAATATTTCAATTTGACTAATATTGGCCTATTTTATTTTATTTTTTCAAAATAAATTATGATTGTAATGACTTTATTTTCATGAAACCATTGAAACAAATTAGTCAACATCTTGATATATGGCGGGAAATCAATGAGTCAAGTCAGACTGTATCTTGGCACATGATTCGAAATGGTGAATGTCTGTCTATCTTGTTCCCCTATTAAAATTTCGAATTCCCCACACACAGCATTCTTCTTTTACTACTTCTATTTTTTGGAAGGGGTCAATAGGCAAGGTATACAAAATGTAAAGTAATTTGATTCTGACTGGTGGTGTAGAGAATATGATACAACACTTAATTGATCATAAAATAAGAAATATAAGAAGGGTTTAAATATCAAAGGTCAAGGCGACTTGTATATTTTGTAAAGTAATCTTTATTGTGCTACTGAGCTCAGTATTTGGCTAGTTCAAACACAAAAAAAAAGTACACGGTATCTTGGATCATAATTTTGGTTCCGTCAATTAAGAGACCTATTTTCAGATATGTGATATATAAAATGACTTTTAGACAATTGACACTCGCGAAGACATATATGCTTTTGGTTTGTACATACTGGACCTCCCGTAACAAGTGCTTATATTTTAGAAGGGATCAACTCTAGCAGCTCATGATTTTTGATATGCCTTGTATATACTGGAGAAATTTGCAATTGATAAATAGCCTTTTTCCTAGTTTGGAACAAGCCAAGGTTGCACCATCATATATCTATATTACAAAAATAGTATTGATGGATTCTAGAGATATAAAGAAACCATATACAATACATTATATGATCTTCTATTGGAAATGACAGTAAGAATATCAACTGAGATTTTATAGCGATAGCTAAAAAGTTAAATACCGGTCTTTGGTCTAGTATCTTTTATAGTCAGAATACCGGTAATACCGGTACTTTGGTAACTCTTGTGCTTTGTAGAGCATTTTGCCTTTTGGAGGCTAGAACACGAATTCTCCTTCTGGCCCGTGTACTCAATTTAGAAAATAGTTTCTCAGTTGAGCGTATACCATCAAGCTTGATTTAGTACAAAACTCAAAAGGATACATTTATTTTCTTATTAGAAGCCTTACCATTGGTAGCTTTGGTGGTTCTTGAAGTTACACTAGCTCAATACAAGAGGGTTATTATTTTTGATTTCGACTTCTTGATAATAATACTTTTATCAAGTATACCGTTTGACAAAATGAATACTTATCAGCCCATTAAAACAAAACCCCAAAAAGAGCTGTTTTGTAGATTATAAAGTCCCTCTTTAGATGGAGATTAGTTTGCTTTATTACAGTCATGTACGTATAATAGAAATAATATATTCTTATTAATTACATATATTGCACAAGAAATCGATCATCTCGATCAATATCATAATAGGGAAAGGAATAACCAAACATTATCAGATTCTAATCGATACTATCCTCCAGCTTTTTGATCTTTTCATTTGACTTATTCTTGTTTCAATAAAAAAGATAATAATGGTACAATATATATATGTACTCATAAGCCTTGAATTATGTCCACCGACAATTAGACCTTGCAGAAGACAAACTTGACAAGAAGGCTCCTTCCACGTGGGAAGCTTTTTGTCACAAATTTGAAGTCTTGATAGATCAGGTAGTTAATTTATCCGAGAAATCCAAAGAAACTCTTTAAATTCTAATAAGGAGGTATCATATTCATTGTCTCTTCTTCTCATATAATGACAAGACCAATAAGAAGTTCAAGTTCGAGACGGAGCATAATCATTTTCAGACTGGTCTTTCAAACTCTGCTGATCATTTTTTTTTATTTTGTTTACCCCGAAAGC